GCTGCTGGGTGGATGGCTGCTGGGTGGATGGCTGCTGGGTGGATGGCTGCTGGGTGGATGGCTGCTGGGTGGATGGCTGCTGGGTGGATGGCTGCTGGGTGGATTGGCTGCCGGGTGCCAAGACATAACGACATCGCCATGTCGTTGTGGCCCGTGCACGCCAAGAGCACGCCAAGACACTCGTAATGGCTCACCTGGGGACCATAGGGCAGCATCACCCTACACCGGAAGCGGGGTGAGCCGCGCGCTGTTTTTACTCATCTTGGCGGCCCTTTTCCAGTTGCGGGAGAATTCCTAAACTCGCGACTCTTAACATGCAACGAAAGTCCCCGGCAATTCTCTTCCTCAATCAATCCGCCTTGCTCGTGGCATTTCATGCACGACATATATGTTAGCACGTGCGACCAACCGGGTCCATATCTGCCTGCGATGCCAGAGAAATCTTGCCAGGGCCAGCCTCAATTTACCGGGAGCCGCAGAGTCCGGCCATAGTCGTATCCTACGACGATGGCAGAGTGTAGCGACACACCAGCTACCACACGAAGAAGTCGGCGAAGATCATGAGGACACTAAACCCTCCCCTGAAAGCGAAGTAGAACCTCAATCAACAACGCCGTCCCGGTCCAACTTCCGACGTCTGAATTTTCGAAAATGGAAGCCCAAACCCACCGCGCAACTTGGGGTCAACTCCCTTGGCAAACCCGCAGAGGTGTTGCTCCTGCCTACGAGAGATCGGCGAATACCACTGGTTCCCAAGGATGAGGGAAAGGAAAAAATGCTGGGCAGTACATTGCAAGAGTCCATCAACTCGGAGAACGTCCCGCTGAGTGGACAGAAGCTGGCAGAGAACATCGAGCAAGTTCGCTCTTTGGTGGGCAAGATGCGCGGGCAGCTGGAAAAACATGAGTGGACAACCCTGAAGAGGCATCTGCACAGCGGATTTCAAAAACAGCAGTTAAAAAAGTACATTCGCCTGCGCAAAGGCAACCTCTCTTTCCCCGAGGAACTTGAGAAATACAACAAAAGGGATATCGTCAAATATTTGGTTGAAGAAGTCTGGGGCTTCACAACGCCAGTGCAAGACGAGTCTGCTGCTTCCACCAGCAAATCGACGAAGCTGGTCTTGACCCTGCACGAGCTGGTCAAGTTCGACCACCTCCTCATGCACCCCAGTCAGCCGTTGAAGAGAATCGCCGAGGAGCTGGATGTTCAGATCGATGTTTATCCGACTCAATCCAAGATCAGAACGATAGGATCCAAAACTAATGCTCAGCAAGCACTGCAAAGAATTTCTCGCTACGCAAAAAATCTGGGCCAGATTGTGATACAACTGAGAGGCACCCACCGTGCCATATACCAAGATCCCGCTATGAGGGAGCATTTGAATGCGTACCTCAAGTCGATCCAACGGAAATACCAAGGATTAAGTATTGGCATGGACGCACAATGCATTAGAATTGTCCACTATGGCAACCACCGTGGTGCTGAGCAGGCCCGCCGCGAGATCCTGCTTTCTGTGCCAAGAGACAGCGCTTCAGACAAGTCACTCATTTGGCCGCGAATGGACATATCGGCAACGACTCATCAGCCTTTCCCCACTCCGCCTGAATTCCCTGCGCTGTTGCACCATTCTCAGTGGCTGAAGCTAGTGTCTACGTCCCCGAGTTCGCAGGAAGCCAGTGCCAGTACTCGTAAAGATGCGGCCCTGGCGCCGCTTCTGCAAGGTCTCCGGGATGCATTTGACCTAGCCACTAGAACTCGCAATGCGGATCATCGGCAAGAACTTTACTATGATGTGGCTGCCAAATTTGGGCAAGCTTTGATGCAAGAGCTTCCAGAAGCTGCCAAGAGTGATGTTGATAAGCTAGTCTCTGTCGAAGCAGAGGAGCAGCGGCAATCGGCAAGCGTCTACCTTTCGCCTGGTGACAGCCCTGGAAAGCTTGAGGCCGACAAAGACAATACATCAACAGAGAACCAAGCAGGAGTCGAAACCAAGTTCCCAGAGACCCAGAAGGATATGCCGAATGCCGGAAATGACAGAACTTCTTCTGCCGCTATACCGAAAGCCCGGGGGTCAAATAGCGAAAGTCTGACGGAGGCAGAAACGGAGCGACCAACACTTGCGTATGGGGCTCGGATGAAACATTTCGTGGGAGGCGGACCGTTTCTGGCACAGCACTTCGCTCACATGGAGCCGTGGACTGATCAATCTTCAGACCCCTCGACGGATTTAGACAAACGCACTCGTGCCATACTGCGCCTCGAACTCTCACCTGTCCAAACCTCGAAAGATTTGCCGACTTTCGAAATGTTTGTCACCGCCACCGAATCTGTTGGGGGACAACGACCTCGACTCAAAGTCGTTCGGGTATCGGCCATACACCAAGAAAAACGTTTTACGGTGCTGTGCCCACACTCTCACATGGACGTGCAATTGACGCAGCAGCTCAAGCAAGACCTCGTCTACCCTGGATCTTCTGAGACTGAGATCGTGCAACTCTTGGTGAATGCCCTGCGTGTCTATATCGGCAATGCGCAAGGCCATGGTTCTTCGGATTGGGTGTTTCCGCCATTTGTTACTCTGCAGGTACATCCCGGTCTGCGAGAGGGGCAGAAAAGCACCCAGCATGCCATTGGCCAAGATGAACGGCTGGGGACTCACGGTGGTGCGGAGACAGAAGGCAAGAAGAGCCCTGTGGCGATGATCGAGAAGAAACAGGAATACATTCTCCGATCAGTGGATGTCGTCGACGTTGATTCGCGGCTCTTCTCGGTTGAGTCGACCTCCAAAATCCCCAAGACCAAGTCTAACCCCAGATCAATTTCTAAGCACACGTCCAAGTCAACAGCAAAGCTTTGTTTGGACCACATTACATATACCGGTGCAGCTGTTACCAGACAAGAGCTTCGCCTTGCGGACCGGCCACTGATGTGCTCTCCCACGTTAGCAACGCCGGACATGCCCATGTTTTTGAATGCAGCGTTGGACTTGGCGAAACGATTGGGCAACGACCCTGTGAAGACCCCTCCCGCCAAGATGACTCTCTGAGCACGATTGAAGGTCGGCTAGTGGGGAGGAAAAGACGTGGGGGACCGAGAAACAGTTGTATCGACACCGAATAGACCATTCGAAGGAAGGGGAAGGTGGAAGCCAAAGGCAGAAGCCCGATCCTGGCGCAACAGACAAGCAAGAATCTTCAAGGCTTCGACGAGGAATTTGCGAATCACCGAGGAACATAAAAGGAGGTTGGGTTCCCCCGTGGTCATGTTTGGTGCATTGCATGAATGATACCCACGGACATTGGCGTTATGTGCTGTCCTCATCGCAGTCTAGTCCCACGAAGGCTTCGGGTTGGGGTTGGGGTTGTAGTCATATGCTTGTTCTACTACGTCTGTACACTAGAATAGAACCACTTGTTCATCCATCATGGTGAGACAGGAAGATATACTCTGTGCTCTGCACCTATCTGGAGTCTGATAGATGCTGTCTACCTACCTAGGCACCTTAAGTACATCCGTCTTGGCAGGCCTGGGGTCTCCTCGCCAGAATTCCAGTGGCAAGGTCCGGCTTCCCTGCCTTGTAGCCCGTCATCTGACTAGACGTGGAGGGGTCTACGATCAATGGGAGCGCATCGCATGTCAACCGGTCCCACGGGGAGGAAGGAAGGAGGACGTCTGCAAGACTGCAAGGAGGATATATTGCATCCAGGAGGGGGGGGGGCACATGTTGAAAAGATCTGAGTTTGCATATATATACCGTGGCTTCGTCGTTGGCTGGACGGAAAGGTTATCTTCGCTGGGTGGACTGTGCTCCGTCCATGCATACAAGGAGCAAAGAGCAAAGAGCAAATGGACTATGAGACCACTGTCTTCCGCATACAAAAAGGGGGTAGAGATATAGAGGAAACGAAGCAGAATCCGCTCAATCCACCCACCCACCCACACAGAAACATAGACACATCAAAAATACTCATGCGCGCTGGGTTTCAATGCATCGGCTGATCCACCACACCGACCCCCATCGGCCTAGCAAGAGGAAAAAAGGGCCTTGGTTCCCTCCACCCTCCAAACCTCAATGCGTCCTCAGGTACTCGGTGACGGCGGAGGCGATGGACGGCCTGCGCGACACGTCGGGCGTGGTGACGACGGAGCCGCGGCGCTGGGCCAGCGCGTCCTCGGCACGGCCGTGGTTCGCCAGCACGTTAGTCACCGAGGGCACGAAGGACGGGCGGCGCGGCGGCCGGCCCTGGGCGTCGACCGAGTACCGCGCGGCGAGCTGGTTCTGGTCGTGCTCGTCGAACTCGTCGACCTGGGTCGTCTTGAACTGGCGGGCGGGGATGTTCTTGGCGAAGAGGATGTCGAGCTCGTGGAATGTGCGGTCCTGGAAAGTCCGGGTCGGTTAGTTTTGCGGAAGGAATATACAACGGACATTGCGATTCTCTTTGAGGAGTGCAAGGAGAAAAGAAAGGGAAGATGAAAACGCACCTTCGTCTCCGGGAGGCGGAAGAATGCCCAGATGAACACGAGCCAGGCACACCCACCCCACACGAAGCCCGTGTAGCCCTGGAGGTTCCAGGCCTTGGGATTCATGAAGAAATTCTCGAGCGTGCCGCCGATGACGCCGGTGATGTTGGACACGTTTCGCGCGAGGCACACGGTCTTCTGCCTCAGCCTGGTCGACCCGATCTCGGCCGGCAGGGCCCATCCTAGCTGGCCCGCGCTGAGCTGGAAGGTCACGGTCCAGACCAAGGTCAGGACAGCCTGGGTCCAAGCGACGGACTGACGATCGGTCCACGGGTTGAGAATGCCAATCAGGCACAATTCAATGGCCATGGCGAACATTCCCCACACATAGACGGTGCGGCGGCCAAAGTATCTAAAGGGTGGGCGCGTTAGAGACCAGCGGTTGGGAGGAGTTGGGGGAGAAATGAATTGACCTACGGCATGAGCAAGAACCAGTTGGCAAAGCAAGCCAATAGTGCAAGGCCGTTAGCTCCAACGCCCAAAGAGTAAGCCGCCTTTGTGTCCAAGCCGACTTGTTGAAAGACTGCTCGAGTGTTAGTGCCAAAGAACCCCATCCGCAGACAGAAACAAAACTTACAGTATGTTGAAGCATAGGCAAAGCAGAGACCACACACGAGCTGACCACCAAAGACCACACAGGCGATCTCTGTCCGTCGCCTTTCAAAGCCTCGGAAACAGTCGAAATACGAGGTGCCAACGGCAAGTTGCTCCTCCAAGTTGTTCGTGTAGACAATGGTCGCGAGAGTCCTCTTGGGATCTAGCCCCGGACCAGGAGCCTGCAGTCTGCGAATCGACTTCTCCGCCTCTTCGAGCCTGTTGTGACGAACGAGGTGATACGGCGACTCGGGAGCGAACCAGATCAAGGGGATGAGGAACGCCGGCCAGATCCATTGGATCGCGAAAGGGATCCGGTATCCCCACTGGTCGCTTCTGCTGACCAGTCCGCGCAGGACGCCGCCGGAGATGAACTGGCCGATGATGAAACACATGTTCACATACGAGGTGAAGAAGACGCGGAGCTGCAACGGGAGCACCTCCGACGCGTATGCCGGTGCGGTAGTGGCGAACTGAAAATGCGCATCAGTATCTGAATAGCCTCATAAATAGGACATTGATTGCTTACGATTCCCCATTCGAACCCCAGCAGGATCTCACCCACCAGGAGAACTTCTTTGCTGGGCGCGAAGAAAACGATGAAGAGGAAGCAGGTCATGACACAGAGGGTCCAGAGAAGGACTTTGCGAGGACCGAACGCCGTAACCAGCCACCCGTTGATGATCGTGCCCAGAATGGAACCGCAGCCTGTGGTGGCCGTTAACAAGATATCTTGGAGCGCATCTTTTCTCTCAGAAACTCACCAGAGCCTTGACCGAGACCAGACTGCCAACCAGCAGTCAGCGAATACCCCGTGGGTGTCTGTTTCGAGATGCCGACCCAGTCGCCATATTTTTTCTGGAAGGATGCTATATGACTCGTCAGTCGATGAGATAAGTCGGAGTGTGGACACCTAATGCCACTCACGGTATGCATAGAAGTTGCCCAGAAGGTTTGTATCGTATCCCTATTTCGGTCAGATTGGCTGAGCGAGGGAGCTTTCTCCGTGCTGCAACATACCTCCATGATGACACAGGTTGAGATGACCAAGCTCCAAAGAATGGCTTTCTTGTAGATCTTGATAGCCTCGGGGATTGTCATGTCCTTTTCGTCTTTGGCGACGTCCTGAGCCGCAACACTCAGTTTCTTGTCTCCCCACTGCTCCTCTCTCCATTTGCGATCGAAGTTGCCGTTGGGCTCGTCGAGGTGGATAACATCCTGGCCCTTTTCTTCTGACATTTTGATAGCAGAGCGAGTGTCTTTGGGACAGGATTGTGCTTGATCTTTGACTGGATTGTTGCGACCATCACAGTGTGCACAAGACGCCGGGGCAGCTGGTAGTTATAGTTGCCTTTCCCTCCTCAGTCGCAATAGTCCTTCCTCAGCATCTATCGCTGGATCAGGCTCATTTCCGCGAATAGCGACTGTGTCCGCCATAGTGCGTGCTGTCGTGAGTGTCAGCTGGTCCCGGTTAGCAAGAGCTGGGAGAACAGAACAACGTGAGGTCACACACAATGCCGATGGTGGCGGCGGACAATGGCGGGATTGGAATCGTATGATTTGCTGATGCTTGCTGGCAGCATGGAGGAAGCAGCGCAGTACGGGGCGTGGCAGGTCCGATCCATCGTCAGTGAAGCCAATAACCAAGGGCTGATCAAGCCTCAGTCTAGAACGTGTCGACCGAGAGGATGGAGTCGAGAAGTGGCCAGGGAGCCCAAGCGATGCGGGGGAAAATGCGGGAGAAATTGCAGCTGAAACCTCGAGAGACCAAGGAATTTTAGCCTGATCTGCTTTCGGCCCGACTCCAGCAGCTCAACTCAGTGGAACGCAGAATTTATTTTCCGCCAGGGGGTCGGGAATGGATGGAGAACACCTGATTGTATTTCCCTGCTGTGGGACGGAATATGTGCGTGTAGATCTTGATGAGTCCAGATAGATTGTAATTCAGACCAGAAGGCTCAATGTGCACTACTCCTTCCCTTCGACACCCTCCAGAGGCTCGATTCTCGACAACAGCCTCTCTTCGTCATCGCCTACTCCTCCAGAAGAGTTTGCGCCTCCAGCCTCGTCAGTATTTGTCAGTCGTTCGCGTTCGTCCACAATGTCCCATCCTGAACTTTCTCCGCCGGTTGGTGTATCAGTTCCCGCTTTCCTCGTAAGTTGCTGCATCTCGTTCTCGTCCAGGGTGTGCACATTGGTCGATTCAAACTCTCGTGCGTCGATCCTCTTTGCAAACAAGATGTCCAGCTCTTCGTACGTTCTGTCTTTCGTCTCCGGCAGCCTGTACCACGCCCACACCCACGTGAGAATGGCTGTTGTGCCCCAAAATAGCCCGGTATAGCCGCGCCAATTCAATGCCTGCGGGTTCATCATGTACGGTTGAACCACCCCTCCTATGAAACCGACAAGGTAATAAGCGTTGCGCGCGAGACATATGGTCTTGGTCCGAAGTCGAGTGGAAGAGACTTCTCCAGGAATAGACCAGCCCAATTGCCCCACTGAGAGTTGGAAGACTATGGTCCAGACGAGGGTTAACAAGGCCTGCGTGAAGGCGATGAAAACATGCGAGGTCCAGACATTCAAGACGCCAATGACATAAAGGATGAGAGCCATGACCAGCATCGAAGTGGTGTAAATTCTTCGCCGCCCAAAGTAGGGCATGACGAGGAACCAGTTCGCCAAAGTCGCGAGGAGCGCCAACCCCGTTCCGAAGAGACTAAGCGTGTACGTTGTTTCAGCACTGAGGCCGACCTGTTCGTAGAAATATGTCGCATTGTACCCGAAGGAGAGCCCGGAGAAGTTTTGACCCGCAAAACACATGCACGCGATCTCGGTGCGTCGGAGTTCGAATCCACGGAAGCAGTCAACGTAGGACGTGCCGATTTGCAACGATTGTTCCAGGTTATTTGTGTGGATGATATCCGCGAGCGTGTCTTTGGGATCAATCTTCGCTGAGCGGGACTGAAGGCGTCGGAGTGATTTCTCGGCATCCTCGAGACGCCCTTTTCGGACGAGATACCAGGGTGATTCCGGCGCAAACGACAACAGAGGAATGAGGAAAGCTGGCCATATCCACTGGAAACCGAAAGGGATGCGGAATCCCCATTCATCGTCCCTTTCCAGAAAGATCCTCAACACGATCGCACATATTATCTGTCCGATGATGAAGCTCATGTTGGTGAAACTCGACAGGTAAGCCCGGAGTGCCATGGGGAGCACTTCACTCGAGTAAGATGGCGCGACCGTGGCAAAGATCCCCCAGGGAAAACCACATAGGAATTGCCCGATCATAAGGACCACTATATTGGGGGCAAAGAAAGTCATGAAGATGAGACAAGAGAGGACGCATAGGGCACCAATGAGCACTCGTTTCTGGCCAAGTCGGTCGACAAGATAGCCGTTCAAGACTGTGCCCAGGACAGCTCCAACGCCTGAGGCCGTCCCAATCTATGGGTTCGTGATTAGCCACCACCACAACCTCAAGTTCGAAGAATGATCGGGGCGCACAGTAAGGAAAGGCTACGACTTACCGCAGCCATCCAAGTCGCACTGAGCTGATACCCGGACTTTGTCTGCTCGGTAACCCCAACGAATTCGCCATCTGTAAGAAGCTATCAGCATCGGGTAGCTCTCGAGACCGAATAAACAGAGAGGTGAGACGCACATTTTCGTTGAAAGGTAGGATAGGCATAAAAATTGGGTACCAGAATGCTGTCAAAACCCTCCATGATGACACAAGTGCTGACTGCCAGCGACCAGAACACGGCCATCGGGTAGGCTTTGATGGCTTCTCGTACGGTTAAGTTGTGCTCAAGACGAGAATGATTCGAGGCAGCTTGACCAAGCCTTCTATTCTCTTCTCCATCTCCGTCGCCATGCCACTCATGGCGCAAGGGTAACTGTCTGGCACTCCCATGTTGCGAGAAGTCGCGTACTTGGATACTCTGTCCGGCAACTCCTGTGTTGGCTAATAGCGGGCGGTCACCCGAATGGTCGTCGTCCTCAAGACTTGTCCTCGACGGAGTGCTGGGTACGGAGTCATGGTCTGGATATTTCAGTCAGGTACATTCCAGCGTTGCAGAATTCCTCTTCAGCTCGGAGTCTTTACCGTCCATTGTAGCCGGCAGGGCATTCTCACCGCTGGTAAGAGCAGCGTGTCCTTCGTTGGCTTGGGTGAGAGCGAAGCGGTAGGAGCCGCGTATGCACCTTATTGTCGCGTGAGGGTATTGGTGCGTGTGACTGGAACGGAGCTGGTCCAATGAACGAAAGAAGGAGGACGGAACCCACGGGTCAATACCCCAGATCTGTGTGGGTCATAGACGCGCCATTGGAGAACGAGGTGGTGGTGGTTTGTGCTTTCAGGGGCTGGTGGCTGATCGGGATAGGGTTCAAACACAGCCAGAGATCCAATTGCTTCTCAATGCACCAGTAGGACGTGGCGAGAGATTCTGTCCAGTGAGCAGGGGCATGCAAGCTCGGGGAAACAGATGGACTCTGGCGTTGTAGTGATGGGAAATGACGGGAGAAACGCATGCGGTGCAGGAAGACGGCGAAGCGAGTTGCGCGGAGTTGGCGGGAAAAGGGGGCGGGCGGGATTAACTGCACGTGGTTGGCTCAAGTCTCGGCAAGTTTGTTAGCGGCGGAATTGGCAAACGACAAGGAAGAGTGTGTCCCTCACTCTGCCTGCATTGCCTGCGCCCCCAGAGACACCGTCGACACGCACCACCACCGCCTACCGGTCGATCTACCACATGGCAGCGCTATAACACACACAAATACCGATGTCCCATTGCTCATTCGTTCGCTTTTTGGCTCGGTCCTTTTCGCATGGTAGTAAGCCGCCTCTTGTGCGACCGCCGTGACGAGACTTCTCCACTCATGACTCCTATTGTAGTAGTCATTTCCCAGCTACAACGACTCCTCTAATCCGCATAGGCACAGCAGTATGATGAGCTGTCCGCCGGGACCGGACACGTACCGCTGATCTGCGGACCTTCGCCAGAGTCGAAGCTCCGATCCATTGTTCGGTTCTCCTTGTATAAAATGGCGATTTTGGCGTTCCCCGAGCCATCTCAACTGCCTATTGTTTGTTTTATCGCTCCCTCACCACGTGAAAGATGTTGCTTCTATTCGCTCACAGTCTCTTGGCTACTTCAGTGTATGCAGTCAACAATGGTCTGGCTAGAACGCCCCAGATGGGGTGGAATAACTGGAATTCCTTGGGTTGTGATGTCTCCCAGTCGCTGTTGCTCGAGACTTCTAAGGTGCTGCTGGACAGCGGCCTGAAGGACGTGGGCTATCAATATGTCGTCCTTGATGATTGCTGGTCGGATGGCCGCGACGCAGGTGGCTATCTTCAACATGATTCGAAAAAATTCCCTAACGGCATGAAATGGGTTGCCAATGAACTCCACGATATGGGTCTTCTGTTTGGCATGTATTCGAGTGCTGGAGAGATGACCTGCGCCAGATACGAGGGCTCGCTTGACAACGAGGAGAAAGATGCAGAGATCTGGGCTTCGTGGGATGTCGACTACCTGAAATACGACAATTGTTACCATCGCGGCCGATTCGGCTACCCTGAAATCTCCTTCAACCGTTACAACAGGATGGCGAAAGCTCTCAATGCTACAGGTCGACCGATCCTTTACTCGTTGTGTTCCTGGGGAGAGGACTACGTTCACACTTGGGGAATGTCCATTGCCAACTCCTGGCGGATATCCGGCGATATCTATGACCACTTCAATCGCCCAGATGCCCTATGTGCGTGCGATGATCCTCGAGATCCCCACTGTGTCGCACCAGGCACTCACTGCTCGGTCATGAACATCATCAACAAGGTTGCACCCTACGTCGATCGTGGCCAGTTTGGCGGCTGGAACGATTTGGATATGTTGGAAGTGGGACAGGGTGGCATGACGGACGAAGAATACAAAGTATGGTGAAGTCGATCCTGCTTCATCCACCACGTGCTAATGTTTAATGCATAGGTACACTTTTCGATGTGGGCTGCTCTGAAATCCCCGCTGCTGATCGGCGCCGACATTCGCCAATTGTCGCCCCAAACCCTGTCCGTTCTGAATAACCCCGCCGTCATTGCGGTCAGTCAAGATCCGCTCGGTAGATCGGTGGCTCAGATTTTCCGGGACCAGCAGGTCAAGAAGGACAAGTACGGGCAAGGAGAGGTTCAGATCTGGAGTGGCCCTCTGTGGCTGCACGACCAAGTCGTCATCTTCCTCAATGCTGCGGACGAGGATCTTGAAATGACAACAACCCTGATTGACATCTTCCTGCACGAAGGACCCGAAGGATCGGCGCCACAGACCATGGAGGAATTCGACATTTACGACCTGTGGGCTGACCGCATGGATGACTCTACAGCCGAGCAAATTCTCAACGGAAAGGCGCAATACAAAAGCTCATGGTATAACTCGACTCGGACGCCGTACAAGGAGGGTCTGGCCAAGTCCGACCCTCGGCTCCTGGGTAAGCGAGTGGGCAGCATTGGCCCAAAGCACGACGTTCTGCGAGCTCATGTACCACGACACGGTATTCGCATGTTCAGACTGCGGAACCTGAGCGGCGGCTCTCCGAGATATGCAATGACGAAGAGTGAGCTTTGATTTTGTTTGATAATGGGGCGAGTTTCATCAATGGAATGTGCAGGTGGAGGCCATAGAGACAGCACGCTGTCCTCAAGTATAGGATGGCTTCAAGACAAGGAACAGGCGTTTCTATAGAGACGAGATAGATGAGGCTTAATGGGCGAGTCCAGCCACTCCTCTCATCATTCTCCCTCCCAATTTCCAGCAATTCTTCGATTTCTTTTCATCCTGGAAGAGAAATCGCCCAGCAGAACGTCTTGTATGCCTCGTATTTCCCCGCCTCCACCATTTTGTTCGTCCTTCTGTGCATCCAGCCCGCAACCCCGCATTTCTCTCAGCCACATCGTTGATACAGCTCCTGATTGTTGCTGGGCTGCTTCCAGATCTATTTGTGCAGAAATGTCCCGACCTCCTCCATTCCTGTAGCATGTTTGCTAGATCAGCGCCAGACCCCGGCCCTTGAGCCAACGAGTCTCTTTACACTTCGACACAAGAAAGACCATCAAACCCCGAGACATCTCACCAGACCATGCGGCCTCCCACTGCCTGTGTCGTGTGCCGGTGAGTGTAGCCAATCCTCATTCCTTCATTTTCAAAGCCTTACTGTCTGCTAGAACCCGTCGTCGTAAATGCGAAGTTACTGCTGCTGGTGCGCCATGTGCCTACTGCACCTCCCGCAAGCTCAGCTGTTCGTTTGCGCCGTTCCCCCCGACCGACACCGCGTGGCCCAACCAGTCGCCAACGACTACCCCCGAGACCGTTACATCTGGTCTGACTCGGTGCCAGAGCATCACGACGGATCTACCATCGCAGCCTCTATGCATCGACCTTGTGGAACTGTATTTCCGCTACATACACGATACCTTCCACTCGCTCTTCCATCCGCCCAGCGTGATGGAAGACGTCATCAACGGCACCATCCCGAGGGTCCTCCTGTTTGCCATGATCAGTCTCTCAGCAAGGTTTTCGGACGATCCCTTCTTCGCGGGGATTGACCCAAGAATCCGGGGTCGGCCTTACGCACAGGAAGCTGAGCATCTCCTCAACATGCGAGAAGTCTCCTTGACGACGTTACAGGCGGCCGTCCTTCTCGGCGCCTACGTTATTACAGAAGGGGAAGCAGCAGCCGAGGCTGTCTTCTACAGCGTGGCCTGTCGGAATGCGCTGCTACTCGACCTTCCCAATATGGCCGTGACGTCGCGGGTCGAGCAGGAAGTCAATCGGCGAGCGTGGTGGACTCTCTGTATGATTGACGTCTGGTCATCTCGAGGGGTCCGGATCCCGCGAATGCTGACGCCCAGGAGCGACGTCCCCCATCCGATGGAAGAGACCGTGTTCCACCGCCTGCGGCCCGATGGCGTTGACGTTCCAAGCCCATCCAACCTGCAGGAGTCGAGCGCCTCGCTGCTGACGCAGATGATCAAGCTGAACGCGATCCTGTTCGAGATCAGCACCGTCAACGAACTGGCGGCGTCCACTTCCCACCTCGACCTCCGCCACCAGGAAGCCGTCGACGCGCTCACCGCCAAGCTGGAAGGTTGGTACAACAACCTACCCATTGGGCTGCAGGACACACACGCCAACCTGTCGCGCTATGCCACCATGGGGCTCGGCCCCATGTTCGTGGCGGTCTACCTGGGCTACTACCACTACGGGCAGTTGCTGTACTACCCGTACCTGCACGAGGACTCGTATGACGACACCATCCACGCGCGATACTACGCCGACAAGTGCAAGGGCCACTCGATCGGGCTCTGCGAGATCCTGTACCGGGCATACTCCACCCCGGGCTGCGAGGTGTACTACACCATGGTCGGCCACGTGCTGGTTATTTCGTCGACGGTCCAACTCCACATCCTGCTCTTCAGCACCGACGAGGTCCAGATCCGGACCGCGCGGTCGCGCCTGGAGCGGAACTTTGAGATCTTGACTCGCCTGCAGACGTTCTGGCCCACCTTGGACGTGTGCTTCACCCGCTTCCGCGAGTTCCACAAAGCGTGCCAGAAATACAAGGAGACGTCCTTCCGCATGGACAAATGGATGCTGCAATTCCTGTTTGAGTTTGCGAAACCCGTGGGCGAAAAGGATCCAGACGACCTCGCGGAACTGAGGCCGTGGTCCATGCAGGATTTGGGATTCACACCTCCTTCCTGAACCCGCAAAGACAAACTCGAGTCAAAATCTGATATTGACGGCTATGTGGTCTATAACGTCAACAGGCTATAGCTCTCGGCTATACCGCGCTATATGCATCTTCAAAGACATGTGGCCACATGTAGGGCGTCATCCTCATCCAAGAAGTCTGACACAACTCCAGTGCATCGCAAATTGCGCTTACAGACTTGCCTTTCCGCTTGTCTCATATGGGAAGATAAAGCTGATCAACCCGGCAACGATATACAAACTCGCCGAGACGAAGATGGGTGTGTTTGTGTAGCCAACATAAGTTGCGATGATGGGTGCCATGAGACCACAGATACGGTTGAAAGCTGCCGCCAAACCGCAGCCCGTTCCTCGATGAACACTGGGAATGACTTCCGGGGTGTAACAGTACAGAGCTCCCCACATGCTGCATTCCAAGTCAGCGGACAAACTTGAGATACCGGGAACCCAAAGGGATACTCACATGTACGACACAAAGCTGGTTATGCAGTTGAACGCAAGGATTGAGGCTTGCGTCCTCGCCGCTGTAAAGGCAAACTGGAAGACGGAAGTCAAGATCAGCGAGATCCCGAGCGTGCCTCTTCTGCCAATATATGGCAGTCCGATAAACCACCCTGCCATCAGAGTACCAGGAATCGAGCATGCGATGATGATGAAGTTGTTGCGGTACGTGATGCCGATGCTATTCGAGCCGCTCTGTGCACCATGCAACGCCAGATCTGCGTCATTGTCAGCAACCCACCCAAGTTATTTCGATATACACATCCTTATACGTACATTCTGGGAGAAAGTTTGCATAGAGAGGAGAAGCTAATCCTATCATGCCCCATACCAATATGATTAGCGAGGTGCTATAGGCAACCTTCTTGGTCGAGAATAGGGCTCGAATGTGTTTGAAGCCACCGGGTCGGAACTGTGCCACGGTGCGTTCCCAGGAGGTTGGTCGCTTGACAGCTGCAGGGTGTCCGACATTCGCATAGTCTCTCTCGACTTGCAGCAGGTCCTCCACAGTCAGGGGCTGCGTGGTACCGTTGTATTTGGCAACGTCGTTGAGCACGTCGATGGCCTCCTGATACCGTCCTTGACCGATCAGATATCGTGGGCTTTCACGGAGTTTGAAGAAGACGAATCGAGCGAAGAAGGCAGCCAGGGTGATACCACCCATGGTGTACATCAAGTATCTCCATCCCATGTTGTCCTTCTTGTGGCACTGGCCGACTGGAGTATCGGCGCTGCACGAGAAGTTGGGGAGAAAGCCCCAGGCGGCTCCTGCTGGGATAGCTTGACCAATGGACCACCAGACGGCCAGAATCTCGAGGAGGTACTGGTGAGTACCAGGAAGGAATTCGAGGAAGACGGCAGAGTCGACGGGCACTGCGAAATCAGTAGAAGCTCTTCAGATCAAGTCCTGGCGACCTACAGTTTCCTCCAACACCAAAGCCGCAAAAGGAGACCAGAACAGCACAAGACACGAAGCTGTTGGCAGCTCCCGCCGCGGTGCCGAATACTCCAGCAAACAGCAAGGTCAGATTGAATGCGAGTCGTCTTCCAATCAAATCACCTGCCATGGTCAGCGCATTCATCAAGTTCGGGCTGGGATATCTCACATCCAAGTCCCCAGAAAGTTGCTCCAACAACCAATCCAGCGATCAAAGCGAGAGACAAGAACGCCGAATGCTTTGGAGTGAATTCAACGGCCACCTGGGCAAGGGCGTCTGAGACGGTAGTTTGCCAGAGCTGGGGCGATCAGCTTGTGCTGTATTGGAGCAGTGTCTCGAAAACTCACTTGATCGCAAAGCCAACCATATCCACAAAGGACGAACAGGGCCCATTGGTACTGAAAATGTCAACTCGCTTCTTCCTCGTGGGGTGTCCTCTTGGTATTACCTTGCCCATGCCAATGGTCTGGACTGCATGGTTTACGAGTCGAGCTTGATGCTCAAACACCGGGTCAAGACCGTCCACATGCAGCGACTTGAGCTCTCGGATGGAGCCTCGAAGGGAGCCCACTTCTGCTGCCTCCTCCGAGACTGGACTCGCGGTCCCGACATTTGTCTCTTTGTCCATACCCATGGTGTCTCCTGTTTTTCAACGAAACCGAAGTCTTGAAGCTGGGAGAAGTCAGAGGCGTGGACGGCGGAAACAAGCCATTCTTTTGTATTAAAGTCCTGGTTCAATGTCCCCCATATTTGACTTTCGGTACTATCATATCTGCCTTGATAGGCCCACGGGATCTAGCCACGGCTCCATATCCAGCATTGTGATAAACATGGGGGGAACGTGGATAGTGTGGGCTTTTGGCATAGAACCGCAGGAACCAGCCATCCGGTTGCCCGCTGACGGCCAAGGCTGTATATCCTCATTGGCGAGACACCAAGGTCTCTCTATGATAGGGAAACGGCCGGCTAATGGAGGGACTATCGCGGGCAAGAAGACGCGGCAAGGAGCTTATCTCGCGGCTGCAGTGAGACTCTGACAACTCGAACTGAGCTTAGCGCAGGAACCGTTGAAGGAGGAGATGCCCGCCAGATCGATTTGCGCTTCGCCGTCAGCTTGCCCGTCCATATGGGAATGTTTCTCTGTCCACCACTCCATACGGGCAGCAGCTCGTAAAGCTAAACCTGACCTATCTTCCGGCAACGAAGCTCCCCGTCACGATGGCTATACCTCCAGGATCCTGGAGTTTGCGGGAGAGACGACGGCCGCGCCATGTTTATAAAATCGAGGTAAGTTAGAGCCAAACTCACGAGTCGCAGCACAGCAAGCATCCAACCACTTGCCCATTATGGCCGCCGAAACCAGCGTTCTTCCCTTGCCCACCGTCGACCATGCGTTCGTCAAGGTCGAGCCTCTTGTCTGCAGTCTCCCGGCTCCCGTTCGCTTCGATCCTGCCAAACATCTGTGCTTTGAGCCTCCAAAGAGCATCATTACTTTGAAGGAGCTGCTTCTGTCGGAAAAAGATGCCATCTCGCCTGTCGCCATTACGGAGCCGTTCCCGCTGTTCACCCTCGAAGGGGTCAAGCAGATGCGGGCGGACCTCTTCCGCAAGGAGGTTGTGAACAAGCATGGCAACAGGACAAAGAAGAATTGCTACAAGATGAGGGGGTACTCGCAAGACACGCCGTTTGTCGATGCCGCATGGCGCAGCAAAGAAGTCATCAAGGCTTGCTCCGAAGCCGCGGGGGTGGATCTCGATGTGGTCTTCGACTACGAAATCGCCCATATCAATGTCCAAGTAGACGCCCTGGAGGACGGCATGCCGCTAGATGCCGCGCTGCCTCCTGCAATGCCTCCCAACCAGGCACCTTCAACTCCCCTTCCAGCCATTGACCAATCCGAGGAGCTTTCGTCAGTTGGCCGATGGCACACAGACTCGTACCCTTGGGTCTGTGTGTGTATGCTGTCTGACCCATCCAATATGATTGGGGGCGAAACTGGCCTCAGAAAAGGGGACGGTTCCATTGCCAAGATCAGAGGGCCGCAAGTTGGCTGGGCTGTGATGATGCAGGGAGGCTGTATCGAGCACATCGCGTTGAGAGCCATCGGCACGGGCGAGCGTGTTACCATGGTGACTTCGTTCCGCCCGCGGGACCCGAGTCTCAAGGACGTCAGCAATCTCGGCAACGTCAAGAAAAGCAGTCGTCACGACCAACTTTTCAAGCAGTGGTCGACCTACCGTCTTGATGTCCTCGAGAAGCGTGCCCGGCTACTGAGAGAACGCATTGAGAATGGCAACTTATCTGGCGAGGAGATTGCCCAAATGGTCGCTCGATGGAACGAAGAACAGATTCCGTACATGAACCACACTGCAGTTGAGATGGTGGGCCCTGGAAATGAAGGCTCGCAAGAATGAAGCAGCGAATTCGACAAGATATTAGCTGATGCGCCAGCATAGATTGTGGTCTAGCTAATGGACTGTTTGGACGCCTTGAGCAGTGCCGAAGCCGCCTCTGCTAAGATCCCTGCATCCCCTCCTGGTAACATGATGAAGCTGAATCCCATATCCACCAGGCGTGGAACTGCGGCCTGTGACCCGAGAATGCCAATTGGCTTTGCCCACTTTTTGCCCACCTGAAGCACCTTTTGCAAGGCTGCGATGTATTCCGGTTCATCGCCCGTGGCGCCCTCGAAGCCCAGCGAGTGTCTCAAATCCACAGGCCCGATGAAGATCCCACCCACGCCGTCCGTGCCTATGATGCCCTCGGCGTTTTCCACCGCCTCCTTCGATTCGATCATGGGTAAGATGACAACCTCGGGCGCCCGTTTTCGCTTGTAGTCGGCCACGTCTGGCGGCGCGGGGATCTCAGCGAAAGGGGTTCGAAAGGGGCCGTAGCTCCTCTGCCCGGCTGGAGGATACAGCGCTCGTTTGATGACCCCGTCCACTTCCTGCTTGGTGTTGACCATGGGCACGATGATGCCGCTGGCGCCACTGTCCAGTGCCCATTTGATCCATTCGACGCCGTGGGAGGGAATCCGGACGATGGGCGCACAGCTTCCCTCCGAGGCCGCGACGGTGGAATGCACCATGGCGGTGATTTCCTGCGCGGAGAGCGGCGAGTGTTCCATGTCGATCATCAGCCAGTCGAAGCCGCACTGTGCCAGGATCTGGGCGCTGTACGGGTCATTGAAGCTGACAAAGGTTCCAACGAGGCACGGGTTTGCTTGGAGGAGGGAACGAAACGAAGGCATCCTGAGACCGTGCAATGCTTCCTCCTTGCCGGTCCTGCGTAGAAGTGTCCTGGACGAGGACTGTCTGTGGTTATATAGCGTTTGGCCTTACCTGACAGACCCAGCATCTGTTCCTAGAAGGCGGTGGAGTTGCGCCGTGACAGATGGAGTCTGTCAGGGCCGTCTCCTTGGGCAGCACTGCGATGGCGAGCTCTCCATAGCCTCTTATCGACGCTTCCTACGGGCAACATGCGTGGGAAAGAGGGCCCGGAGATGCGCGATGGCAACATCAAAACTCACGAGGCCGACAACGAAGGCCTCAGGGCAACAGCTTTATAAGATGCTTCGTGCGTGGAAGAGCGGCTTATTGTTCAAGCACCATTGACTTCTCGCGACCACCACCGTCACGCATAGTGCGAGGGAAACATAGTCGAGCTTCGGCCAACTGCGCGAAGAGAAAAACGTCGTCGTTATCAAACGACTAGCTCTAGCCGCTTTCAGATAACAATTCCCGCTCCCCCCCGCGAAGCCACCAACTTCGTCTCTATCCCACTCGTTTCACATCTCTTAGCTACTCCGAAGTCATGAAGTTTCCCTTGCAGCCCTCAAGGATGCACTATACGACCCCCCAATGGACCTGTCCAGTCGCCAGGAAGGTCCCAGGCCGTTCCGCTCGAGGCGCGATCGGCCGTGCGACGCCTGTCGAGGACGCAAGATAGCGTGCCGCATCGAGACCTCGCCGCCGTGCGCCTTCTGTGAAAGTCGGGGGAGCAACTGCACGTTCCAGAACGGGCCGAACAACAAGAGACGGCGCGTGTTCTCCCACTCGATGCCGCACCACCACTACCTGCCGCAGCCGGACGGCTTGACGGCGATCCCTCAGACCTGGGAGGACTTCGCCGCGGAAGCATTCGACAGCACCATCTTCGATAGCCTGGATCTCGCCGAAGATGCGAGTCCCACGGCGTTCCAGAATCAACGGTCCCCTCCGCAGCCGCCGACCTCAGACGGACGCCACGCAAGTACGAGCCCACGGCATTTCCCGCCGCAGAGCCTGCGTCCGTCTTCGGGGGATGCCAGGCATCACGACTCAAGTACCCTCCACCGATCCCAGGTCCCGCCAGATACGGGCCACCTGAACCGCCATGTGGTGATGGAGTTGATGAAGGGCCGAGATCAGCTCGAAATATCTCGGACCCGCTTGAGACGTACCCGAGATCACAGCGACGACCCATTCGCGGGGGGAGAGGGTTCCCAGATCTTGATGGTGAGAGAGGATCCGCCGTTTCTGCTCCACGGCAAGTCGTGCATGGAGCGTGCTTCGTGGTCGGATATCGAGGGCCTGCTCTTGAGCAAGCAGCGCGACGAGCTGCTGCGGCTGTATTTTCGTTTCGTCCAGCCCTTGTTCCCCATTCTCCAGCACGGTGACGGAGCCTCCGGCGACGGCACGCAGGGCGATCCTCCTCAAGACACCGCGTCACTGGCTCTCTGCGCCTCGGTGTACGCAACCGCTCTGCCATTTGCCATCCACAATGATTACCTGAGTGCCACACTGACGGACGCAAGCGGGAAGCGCGAGCAGCTGTACTCGATCGCGATTGCGGCCCTGCTGGAGAATGCAAATGCGCCTTCGATCGAAACCCTGCAAGCCTGTCTGCTTCTGTTGCAGAAAGGCCCGACCATCCAGCATCAAGGGTTGACACCGACATATTCCTGGCTCGCGTCGATCGCCGCCACCACTGCCAAGTCTCTCGGCCTCCAATATGACTGCAGCGGATGGAACATCCCCACGGCGGAGAAGCAGCTTCGCACACGACTCTGGTGGGCGACGTTTACCATGGACATGTGGGTGAGTGTGGACTCGCCCGGGGGCCCATCGATTAGGTCCGACGACTACGACGTGCCTCTGCCAAAGGCGGGAGACGGGATGCCCGGCGATTACGAGGCGGTGGTGACAGGATCCGGCCACGAGTTCGACCGCCTTGTCCTCCTGACGCACCTTCTAGCCCAGATCCACGAAACGTACTATACGATCCACGCGGCCAAACAAACGTCCTCGGACCTGTTCAAGTCTCTCGAGTTTGCGCGGCCCCTCCGTTCGGCTCTCGGCGACTGCAGGCAGAGTCTGAAGGCAGCCCTGCCGCTCAACGCGGGCGACGAGCCCGGGATGAGCGCATCCGTGCACCTGGCGGCGTGCGTGGTGTCGATCGTGCTCTTCCGCGCCCTCCTCCGCCCCGTCCAGTGCCGCGGCCCCGGGTCCCCGGTCGAAAGCTACAAGTCGGCCGCGGCGGCCGTCGTGACCGGCTCGGTCAACTGCGCGCGCGAGACGGTCGAGCTGTTGGAGAACATGGTCTCCGTCATCGGCCCGTGGAACGCGTTCTGGCATTCCTGGTCGCAGGGCAACTTTGCCATCGTCAGCACCTTCTTGGTCCAGCTGCTGCTCGTGACCGAGGTCGGCGACGGGACTCGCACCGAGGTCAGCGAGCTGATTTCGCGCTGGAAGCGCGCGATCCGGGTCATGGCCGGGAGCGGCGGATGGGGGAGTTCCCTGATGTGTATGGCGCTCGCCAGACTAGATTCTCTCCTCAACCAGGCTGGTCTGTGACGCAGGGCAGATCGATAGCCACGGCGAATGATGAAGGATGGCAGGTCAATGAATGATATGCATGAGAGTTACTACATCTCCGTTTCCCGCGTCGCTTCTTTCTGACTTTGTGTGCTTCCACCGATACCCATCTCCACATAGAAACTGTAGGGAACTCCTGTGAGGATGGAAGCGGAGCCTGGTTGATGCATGGGGTGGATTTACCCAAGAAAAAAGCCAACAATATTCGAGACGCGCATCTCGCGTAATTACATGATTAATTCTCGCTCACTTTGAGGGAGCGTCTCACAACTCTTAATATCTTTTGTGTTAGATTCAGAGACCCCACGCCGAAACTGTGTTGTGTGGAAAGGCAAGGCAAGACAAGGCTGAGCAAAACCAGGAGAATCCCCCGACGACCCCCCACCCTTGAGAAGCCCACCTCAGCAAAAGAAACAGCTTCGCCCCCTCAGCTTCTCCAGCCGCAGCAGCCCCAGGCTGGCTTCTGAGCGTGGCCACTTGGTAGCGCCACCTGTGGCTGCAGTAAGTAGCCCACATCCCCAATCCCATGCCTTGATGGAAGCCATCCCCTAGTCCATGACCATACCCTCCCCCAACATCAAAAAACCTCTCGCCCAACCTGCTCTGTCTCCACCTCTGCCCTGTCACACGCAGGACACAGGTCTCTGTACCAATCCCCCCACGTGTCGCGTCGCCTCACGCCCGATCCACACAGCCCGATGCCACGGACCGCATCGCTCCCCGACCGGCCGGGCTGGCGGGGGCCTCGTCGGTGCTGCTGGCGCTGGTGCTGGCGCTGGTGCTGGCGCTGGTGCTGGCGCTGGCGCTGCTCTTTGGACTCGTCACATTCGATCTCAAAGTACTGGTCCGTGGCGAAGTGGACGCCGCATGTGCGGCAGTGTTTTCTGGTGGGCGCGGAGATGCACATTTTCCTGCGGTGTCGTCTTGGGGATCGGAAGGGAAGAGTGCTGGAATGTGAGAGGCGCAGAGAGGTTTCGAGGGATTGTGATCGAGGAGGTGGTGAGAGGAGTAGTTGTCTCTGTGAAAGTCGCGGTGTTTGTGCAAGACCGTCGTTGGATTGCTATCGATCCAGTTTCCATGCGCTGGGTTTGTCGGGTTGGGCCATCGACCGGGTCCTGGTTCGTTCACGAGAACGGAGGATGGATTTATATGCCTGTTCCACAGAGGGTGAGTGACGGTGGCGAATGTTCACGCTTCTCACCTGCTGCGGTTGAAGACACGCTCAAGGGCGTGGGCGTGTGATGTCCATCCCCAGTGCTGCGAGTGACAGCGATCACTCGTCGCTTTATTGAGCTAACGTGTCCATGCATTCCTGTTCGTGAGTTCCTCATTCAGAACCAGGATGAAATATAGGCACTCCCGGAAGCCACTGCAATTCCCCCCAAAGAGATATCCGGATGACCTTTCGTCACCCTTTGAGTGGATATACAGAAACCTGTGGCGGACCGGCAGTGGCTGTGTAAGTAACACGAACAACGGAACTATGCTTTGCAGCCAACGAAGTTCTGCACCGCAGACGCAATGTGAAAGAAAAGGTCTCAACAGCAGACTCTGCAGACTGAAATCACCCAGTTGTAGATCATTATTGATATTACCATTTTGCGTCTGGTGAACTGTACATCTTGGGACTGCATAGGCCTGCGACATTATGTATAGGAGCGGTTTCCACCCAAGCCCTCTAGAAGTTCTTGCCGGTGAAGGGACTCTGAACGGAGCCGAATCTGAGAACAATCGTCAGCCAGTGCGCTCATTTGAGATTACCGTCACGACTTACCCTTGAGGACATTCCCTGCCCAGCGCGACGTTGGCGCTTCTCATGTAGCAGATCTTCGCCTCCGCACAGGCGTTGCTGGTGCAGTTGGGGCTCATGATACTCGTCTTCCCCTGGAACGTGTTGTGGATGCTCACCAGCGTATGATTTGCAGCCATGGCCTCGGTCACCTTTTGCCAATATGTTGCGTTGAGAGGCGCATCTTCAGGCCATCCAACTTGATACGTGTCTCTGGTAGAGTATTCAAAACTCCAGACAGGGCCACTTTGAGCAGCGTCGAGAGTCTGAAACGCGCTCACGTTGGCGTAATACGTGTAGGCGTTATAGATGGAGAAATCTCCCGTGTCCACCTCGTACATGCGGTAGCCCGAGTTCAGGTTGGTCAGAGGCGTCACACTCGGCCCGATCCAACCAACGTTGACGGCATGGGCAGCATCTTGAGTAGTGCCGTTGTTGCTGTAGTAGATGAAGAACTGGTCTTCGTGGGTGTGGCCGAAGAAGACACCAGCAATCACGTGCGGGGAGTATCGGTCAACAATCTGGTAGAAAAGGTCTGTCCAGCCGTCAAAAAATCGCACGCCGTGGACACTTCCTCCGCCATGGCAAGGTCTCGCACCGACTTACCTGTTGGATTGGGAAGCGGGTTGGAACCATCCCAGCCCGACAAGACGTGGCCAAGGAGCCAGACTCGTTCCCCTTTGCTCTCGGCCTCTGCCAGCTCCTGCGCCACGAACTTGAAAATTCCACTGTTATCGGGATTTGTGGTGTTGCTGGCCCAGAAGTGAGAACTCTCTTCAGTAAAAGGGGGAAGCTCGGCCTACATATAATTCAAGAGGTTGCTTCGGTACCAGAAGTCCGTGTTGAAAGTAATGATCTTCAACTGTGGGTACTTTGGATGGTTGATACTGTAAGCCCCGTAATGCATGCGGGCCTCGTTTGCGGCCTGGGCACTAATCCAGTTGTTCTGCTGCCAGAGCGAAGCAACGTGGTTCCAGTTCCAAGACCTGCTCTCAAGTCAGAGATATCCAGAAATGGAGCGCTCGACTTACTGTTGCTGGCCTAAATTTCCTGGCATGCTGTGGGGAGAATCAATCCCGTCTGCGTTCCGACCTTCAGCCACGTCTCTCTTTGCAAGGGCTTTGCTAATCCTTACCAGGGTTGCTATCGTGATTCCCAAGCACGGCGAAAATGGGCCCGCTAGGAATGTAAGACTTGATCATGTGATAGATCGAGACCTCGGCGTATTTGGTGTAGTTGTTGGACAGTTCATTCTGGGATTCATGGGAAACCAAATCGCCCGTGTATATACCCCAGGCGAACTGGTCGTTTTCGGTTTGGTTGTTGAACGTCGTGCCGGTCAGAGGCCCAATCGACTCCAAGGCAGACGTCAAGAGGAAGTAAGGGCTGTCACACCTGAACGAGCCGTACAATGGTGAGGGTATCTCTAGTTGACCGGAAGCACTCTTGGGGTTGTTGGAACGGCAGCACAGCCCGCTTGAGCAGTTTGCCTCGGAGCCAACGTCGTATCTTGGATCAATGTGGAAATCACTCATATGGACGACTTTGACTCTGTTCCCACTGGGTTTGGGGACGGTGACATTGTCAGGTTTCGGACCGAAATAGCCCGTCGTATTCGAGGGAAGAGTGAACGGACGAGGGCAGAAATTGCCGCTCAAAAAGTTGCAAAGGTACTGGCCGTCGGACCCGGTCATGTTGCCCAAGGCGAGAACCTGGGTGTAGACCGCCCCAAAGTTTTCGGCATCGTAATTCTCATGACAGCTCGTGTTGGACATGAACCCGCTGCTTATGCACAACTGGACCAGCAAATCTGGGACCATGGATGGGACCCGCTGGGCCACGTACTGTCCAACCTCCAATGCCGAGAGACATTTGGTGCAATTGGTTGCGTTTGTTGCAAGAATGGCGTTGACTTGGCTGATGGCATTGGCCACAATCGCGCTCCCGTTTGTGACCGAAAAGAGGGGAGTTGGATAGAAGACTGGGTCTTCACTCTCCTGTGGGATGTTTGTCTGGTTCGTCAGTTCGAGGGGGAAAGCTGCCTTGTCGTCAGCATCGAAGCGGATCATTCGGAAAGTGGTGTTTTTGGAAGACTCCCATCGCATGAGCTCAAGGGTTTCGAGGGGACTCACTGTAGTTGAGTGCTGGGTCAAAGAGGATCGGTTGGGGCTGAATGGTAGTGTGTCAGCAGAATCTCGACGGACAAGCCTCAGGTTGCAAGACTTGCCTCTTGACTTGGTGAAGGGGGGATATAGTACGAGGGAAACAGGCTGGTTGGGAAGCCAGCAGGGACCGTGTAAGCCAGGAGTTGAGAACTGGAGCTTTGGGCGTATGCGAGGGGACAGGACAGCAAGGGCAGCGCCAATGACAGCCACATGCAGCGGCACACCATGATGGGCAGAGTTGGAAGCAGATATAGATGAAGCGAACGAGGATCTCAACCTACCTGGGATCTCTAGCGAGCAGAGGAGGAGAAGGCTCCTCAAGGATGCTCGGCCCTTTTATTCCTGCATCGACAACCTGAGCATCAGCAGCCAGAGGACAAGCTCGAAGCTGTCCCGAGCTTCTTGCAGGTCGATGGAGGATGTGGTTTTCTGGAGACCAATGGCGTTGACGGGCGCAGGCAGAAGCTGGTGAAGCTGCGAAGACGTTGCGAAGCTGCTGGTTCCTTGCCACCAGCCGCCAAGGTCTCACCAATTGTAGAGCCGCTGACGCTGCACGTGTCGGTTTAGCATGTCGCTCGTCAACTTCATCCACCGGCTGACGGCCGCCAAAGGAAACTTGTTGCTGTAGCCGAGCCAAACACCAGAGTTGGGCCTGCAGATGAACCTGCCGATCCCGGTCCGTTGGGTAGTTGTGAGGGACTCGTGGGCAGCGAGGCACGGGGGATGATAGCTAGAGGTAACGTCACTAAACAGACACACTCCACCAAAACCCGAGATCGAGATAGCGAAGAACACTGGACAACCTAGTTAGAGCACCAGTATGGGCAGCTCAGGTACACGTCCCAGAGTATTGGGCCAAACTAAACCCCCTCTCGCCTCTAGATACCAAGCTTGTCCACTGTTCGAGCCACAATCTCTTCGTACTGCTGCATCCCTCTGTCTAGCTTTCGAAACCCAGTCTTCCGCACGTGGTACACGACCCCTGGTGTCCCTGCATCCGAATCCGACTCGCCGCTGCTTTCGTCGTCCTCTTCTGTCCTGGCTGGCTTCTCTCGATCCACAACACATCGCATAAAATGCCGGTCGTGGGTGATGACGAGAAGAGCACCCTGCCACTGTCTGAGGGCCTCGATCAGCGCGTCGATCGTGTCCGCGTCCAGATGCGTGGTTACCTCATCTAGGATGAGTAGATGAGGAGAATTGAAAAACACCTCTGCCAGTGCCACTCGGACTCGTTGCCCGCCAGAGAGAGCTGCCAAAGGAATGTCCGTCACAGTGTTCCCGCGGAGACCTAGCTTGGCCAGTGTGCCCCGAGCTGCCTGCTCGTCTCCAGTCCAGTTCGGGAGCCTCATCAAGTGAGACAGAGCTGTCCTTTGTGGATCCTGTCTTCCCACTCTTTCCAGATCTTCGACGGCGTGCTGAGAATAGCAGCCGAATTTGGCCTTCGAATGTACTAGGATTGAGCCTTTCGTTGGTCTCGGGTCTCCTCCAGTGGCTGCTCCCATCAAGAGCTTGACCAGCGTGGATTTTCCGCTTCCGTTCAGACCTGCCAGTCCCACGCGTTCACCAGGGTGCATGACCAAGTCAATATCTTTCAAAGTCCAGATACCTGACTTCGGATAGGTGAACGACACCTTGTCGAAGCTAAAGAGAGGCCCAGAATGACGCAAGGGTTCTGGCTGCTCCGGCAATGTTATAGTCACGGGCGGATCAAATTCGGGAATGTCGATGCCATCGCGCACTGAATTGTGCCACCCCGCAAGGTCTCGATTGAGCTTGAATCTACCACCACGTTGGCCAACCTCGAGCCCAGTGCGCTCCTCCAGTTTCTTTCTTCGCGACGCCGCTTGTTTCAACTTCTTGTCATCCCCGGTCCGTTTGGCAGCTTTGACGTTCTTGGCTATGGTCTCTTTCATGTGTTCGGTCTGCTTCTCTTGTGCTTCGGCCATTTTGGTCATGCGTCGAATTTGTCGCCGCTTTTCGCTTTCATATTCTGTCAAGTTGCCCTTGAAAACCTCGAGCGTTTTGGCAGGAGCAAGTCGGACAAGAAGTACCTCGTTAGCGATAGCATCAGCAAAGTCGCGGTCGTGTGTAACAACGATCACCGTGGTCCCAGCTAGCGACTTTGTGATATATCTTTCCAGCCAAACAATGGCCGGCAGGTCCAGGAAATTCGTGGGTTCGTCAAGCATCAGTATATCGGTCCTCTGAATCAAAGCACATGCGAGGTCACAGCGTGTTTGCCATCCTCCAGACAGTGATTTGACCGGCTTTTCAATTTGTTCCTCGGAGAAACGCAGGCCGAGGAGTATTGTTCGAGCTCGAGCCTCAGTGCTGCCCGCGTCCATCGCCTCTAGTGCCGAACGTGTCGCTTCCAGCATATCAAGGCCGATTCGGGTAGCATCTTGTTCATATTCGGCGCTCTCTCCTTCGTCGTAGCTTGTTCATCGTCAGCGGGGAACCCTGCATTGAATGCGTGGGAAATATCACCGTTTCTGTGCCTCCTCCACTTCCTTCTCCCTTTCTATGAGCATCTGTCGTGCCTTGAGTCCTCGGGCACCACTTCGTCGGGCCGCTACTAGTCGAGCTTCGGCCAACTCCTGCTTGGCTTGCTCAAGTTGGAGCGAGCGCACGGTGGTCACAATTTTGCTGGAATGGGCCTTGTCTTCTAGTGCTGCGGCAAGACCTAGATTGTTGTTAGAAAGATGGCTTCACATCCGTGGGAGACGACATGCGATTAGCGTCCTTGAGAGCCTGCTCTCTGCGCCGGTCACTTCTTGTGACGTGTTCAAGTACCGTGGTGGTATCGCTCTCACTCTCGCTCCCGTCAGACTCCGTCACTGCATCGGAGCTGACGCGCGTCTGGCCGAGTAAGAGCAGACGCAGGTTGCGAGGAACACCGGGCACTCGTCTTTCTGCCAATGCTCGCAGCAACGAGCTTTTCCCAGTTCCGTTCCGCCCCGCAAGGACGTAGTGCACCCCTTCCACGATTCGAAGATGTGCATGGTCCAACAACTCTCGTCCCCCAACAGTTAGCGTCAGGTCTTTGACGTCGATATCCTTTGAAGTGGGTGCATCTAGAGCATCTACATGGAAGCGGCTTTGCTGGCTGGTGACGACTATAGTTCCATCCTGTAACGAGGGCGCTGGTGTGCTTGACTTTGATGGTTTGGGCATAGTAATGAAACAGCAAGAAGAGAGTGCTTTGACGGGATGGGAATCAGATTGAGAGCAGAATGCACCTTTTTATCGTCGGGTTGGGTCAGTCGCGTCTTCATATGATCTTTTCCTCCATCTTTCCCTTGGATGCTATTTTATCCGAGGCGGGATGGATTTAGCTTCTGTGGCTGCATCGGTAGAAAGAAACTGGGGTCGAGACCGCGGGCGCAGCTCCAATTTGTCGAACGCGAGACGTCAAATATTCGACTGGCATGAGTCACTGATCACCGAGGAGCTCGTGTTGCGCATTTGAACGAGCTCATTCGCGTCCTTGACGTTGGAGGTGGTCCTCGGCCGCTCCCTGCGAGGTGTTTAGGTTGGGGTGATTGAAGACATGAGTCACGCAAGTAGAGAGCCTGCAGCCCGCCTTGTGAACTCCGAAACGCTGTTCTATGGAGGGACAAGGGGAGTAAATTGTGCGAGCTCAGTGTCAATCCCATCGGAGTTCGAGAGAGATTTGTGACTGTCATTTGAAAGAAAATGCCCTTTGTGTGCGAACCCGTGACCCCCCGAATCCGCCAATCAGGCCAAGGACACGCCGCAGCTGCGCAGACTCTTCCAACTCCAATGCGAAGGTGAACGAACCCTCTTAACTCTAGCAACCCAGTTCTCGGTGACCGTTGGATCTTGCGCGCATAAAGTCTTCTAAACTGCGCACCTAGACTCGACGGTTGATCCAAACCTTCTTCAGCGATGGCGCAGTTTCGCGCAAAGAAACTCGACCTAGGTTGCTTCATCAACTCCAAGATCATCCGCGACCACACAAAGCGCAAGACCTTTGAGCAATTTGAACCGCAGAGGTACCCATCTCCTCACCCACCCTTTAGTCATTTCTACCTCCAGGCAATCCACAATCCCGTTTCATCTAACAAGCAACCGAGTATTCTAGGCAAGCACTCCGCTACCTCGTTCGGAACACATCACTCCCAGACTGGGTGCGAACAAAGGCGCAATTCGAGCTGAGACACATGCACTGCTACACCAGGCCGACACAGATAAAGAACAGGTGTATAATGGGAGGTGTGGCCCGGAGTGTGCTGAGGAAGTTCAGGATGGGCAGGGTAAGTCCCCGAAATGTCTCCCGAGGCCAAGTCGGAGGTGGGAAGACTTGCCCCTTGGGCATATAAGATAAAATGGCGGGCTGGAAAGGACATAGACATCAGGGCTAACTATTCCATGTTCCCGCAGTTCCAATTCCGCATGAATGCGCTCGAAGGGACCATACCGGGCGTCAAGAAGGCCAGTTGGTGAGCTAGCTGTACAAATATTTTGCAGGCATTTGGATCCGGGGCATTTCATGGCATGTGACGGCGTTCTCTCTGCGCTACATACTTTAGAATAAGAGGAGTGTGAGTAAGAAGGACCATATACCAGCTGGAGTGAAGGTTGAGGTTCAAGTTCTTCAAACGGAACTATTCGAGCTCTTGAAAAGGAATGTACCTAGGTCTTCTCTGTTGGTACAGCACGATCCGGGTTTGCGATGAAGCTGACGTCGCTGAACAATCCCCTAGAGCAATAAAATAGAGCGGGCCTTCAGGTCCCTTCGATCCCACTAACGGCGCCGTTCAGCTCTGCTGATTTTGTGCCGTCCTGATAATTCGCAAGTCCAGTTGTAATGGTGACCTTCGTAACGCGGAAAAATAGCTTCATGATGAGAGTCCGCCATCCCCCCATCGTTGAATCTCCGCGCATTCCAGATCCATCAAAAAGCCCGAAAGAATGAAAGGAGAGCTGAGTCAAGCAATGCATCTAGCCTCCAAGGCTGTGGCCACATGACAGCTTCATCAGTTGCCACCCAGTACCTAGTGGAAGCGAAGCTTTGGGTATTCCTCATCGATGGTCGGGTCCAACTTCAATCTTTCCACAACAGTAACAATATCCTCGTCTCTCTGGCGTCGAGGGGATACTCCAGACCCTGAAGAAGCCAGGGTGGCAGCCTTAAAAGCATCGAGATTTTCTGTCTTCCGCTGGCCACCGTCTGGAGTGTATGGCTGTCCTGAGTTGCCAGACGTAGCCGAAGGGTCGTCATTCGCAGCCAGGCCTTGATTACAACTGTCGTTCCGCACCGATTTGTGCCATCTTTCTGCTTCTTCATCTTTCTTCTGCTCCTTATCGTGATTCAATCGTGCCTTGATCAGCATTGCTACCAGCGCTTCCAGTGTATATCGTGCGTCATTCCCGCCGTTGTGAGGGAAGTAGCATGGAAGGCCTAAGTCTCCCAAAACCGAAGCAAGGTTACGGTTCTGGGTCTCTTCCTTCAGTATCCGATACAATGGTGCCGTGTCAAGTGCATCGATGATGGAGGCCAATGTTTGGGAACAGTCTTCTCCATTGGCCATAATATCCATGGCGGCAATGGGATAGGTGGCTCGAGAGGGTGTGAAGATTTTGGATCCGAGATCTTTTAAGTACGCGAGCTCATTCGCAATATCGTGCCCGACCAGAATAATTTTACGCTCCTTTGGTCCACGCTGCAGAGCTTCTGGGCCTGGCCCTTTTGTTTTGGCAAGTGTGACAGCATGTTTGATGGCTTCCTGATCACCAATACCATACAATACGCTGGTAACAGCTGCTCTGTTCGCAGCCTCTTGTTCAGCGTTAGTCGGGCCCGTGCTGACCCCTCCAAAATCGCTAGAAGTTGTTTCGCAGACGTCGTTCTCTTTTACGGGGTTTGCTGGCTCGACGCTCCAGGGATCTACCAGGCTAGGGTGTTTGTAATCCACAGAGAAAGGCCACTCAAAGCAGCTGTCCACTTTGGTTCCGGAATCTTTGAGGTCGACCCATTCTGACTTGCCAAATTGGAATGAAGTCGGATCTCCAATGCAGAAATCTTTGTTGACTAGATGCTCTCTCCCACTGATTCTGAAGTGTCGAGAACGGATTTGGTCCGTCCAATTCTTACCGTTTGGACCTGGAGGCATGTTGACAAGGTCGAGTGTGTCCAGAGTGCTGATACCAATCTCTGTGATCAGGTTGTGTGCTCTTTCATATGCCTCGATATCAACCGCAATGATAACTGTTTCTGCTTCAAAAGGGTATGGAGCTGGAGCACTGAGGTCGAGCGGATCCAAAATAAAATGGGCGCTCTTCAGCTGTTGCAGGCGGAATTGCTCCTGTGCATCCCATGGCAAGCTTGGGTCTGGGTATTGAATCTGGCCAGTCTTCTGACGCAAGCCCATGTAGCGCTGAGCTCTTCTCAACTGCACATACCAATCTCTTATTGCAATCAAACGGTCATCTGCTCCCTTCTTTTTGCCTCGTCCGCCTTTGCTCTTGCCCACCGCCACGATGGCAGATTGGCACTTGTGCTTGAAGTCTTCAAAGAGCTGTTTGGTTTCATTTGAGGCATCATCTGGGCATTCACCGTGGTCAGGGGGAACGCCAGGAACGTTGTTCTGTATCTCTTGGGCTTCTTCCTTGGAGCATGACACGCCCAAACATTGAGGTTTGGGGGTCCCGTCCTCGTAAAATGTGAGAGTAAACGGGAATGGTGGTACTGACACCGGGATTTTGAAGGCCTGGCCAATTTCCGTAATGAGTTCCTGAACCTGTGCATGTGGAACGAGGATGATCGGTTTCGCGCTCAAGCTTAGTGGAGGATGCAGGTAGTGGCTAGCTCAAGCGTTAGCAACAAACCCGCGATCAATGTGTTTTGTTTTTACCAGGGAATTGGCGGGATCGCCAACAGGTCAAAACTTACATATCCCAGGTCCGGTTGTAGAATTTATTGCCCGCAAAAAAGTGGCGCGAGACGCGATCATTGACATCGTTCATGTATTTGTATGGGAATTTTGCAGCAAGGATGAATTGACAGAAATGTCCTGCGACCGGATTCCCTCTCTTGTCTTTTTTCGGAAGCTCATCGTTGTCAGAGCCAGAATATTCCATCACGGGCCTCGAAGATATGCGCTTGGAGACCTTCCCCTTCGCGAAGTACCGAAGAGGCTCATTGGAGTCGAGAACAGCATCCTTGGAACTTTCACTTCCATTGGGTGCACGTCTGGCGCTTGGTTTTGGCTGTGATTTCTTCGGAGCGGATTTCATGGAAGGCTTCTGCTTGAAGGCGGAGACATAATCGTCGTCGTCGTCGGAGCTGGTAAGAATGAGGATATCTCTTTGCGGTTGTTGTTTTTTTGCCGCATTGGCCTCTCTTGGATATTGAACAGTTGCAGGGACCTTCCCATACTGTTGGTCTCTCGCTTCTCTTAGTTCGAGCTCTTTTTCGGAGAAGTGAGGTTGACCAAGAGTTGGAGCAGGTGGAAGCGCTTGGTTGGAGAACAATTTGTTCAATCGATCTTGAGGGGTAGTGCTGGCCATCTTGCCTCAACCTCTCTTGCAGTTCAATGGTGCGTAATGTTCAAACACAAGGAACTGCAGAGATAAAGCGGTGTCCTAGTAGTGTGGATGGGGGAAAGAGTGGTGGACAGAGTTGGATTAGCAGTAAGGAGTGGTGTTGGCTTCTGTGGTTCTAGCCTTTATTCTGTAGCATGAAGCATGGCACAGGAAGAAGGCATGCAAGCAGACAGATAGATGGCAACTTTACGAAAACGCAAGAAGATAGAGAAGTTGAAGTGAGGACTGAGAGACATCAAACCATGAAAGACTCGTGACAGTCTGTCTTGAAACCTTGTGAAAGACGGAAGGGGTTCATTTCAGCTTTGTTGCGCTTCGCAGGCTTGTTATCCCCGCTGCTTTTCTACTGTCGTTCGATTCCTGAAGTAAAGGGAAGAATTAAGTGAAGATGTGCTTGGTGCCGTTCCGATTGACAACGAGGCTGAACTGCATTCTCAAGGCGGAGGTCGGGACTGTTTCCATTCTGGCTATCCACGTGACTCTATCAAAATATTGCCGCCTTTCACCGCCTTCGCCGCGATGGCGATACAACTTGACATACGCGTTCGACTGCGGCAAGTCTTTGGTGGGATGTACACCTGCACCAACGACACAGGAAAGAAGCCGCCCGTATCTCTCACGGTTTCACCGCAAAAACGAATCATTCTCCGAGACATGAATTGACGTTGCGACTCCTACCTTGGACCTTCAGCAAAGAACCTGCCGATCTACTCTGTACCCATCGTTATCGCTTCTGGTCCTGATTGTCCCTCCGATGCGCCGGCTACAATAGCAGTTCACCTGGCCTCGATGCCGACGATGGCAGAGATCGCTAGCGACCGCGCTGTCGACCCTGACGCGCAGGCTGCCGTGACGGATTTCCTCGACTATACTGAATATCTCCCTTCCGATCTCATTCGCTCTCTGACCCTCATCCGCGGCCTCGATGACACTTATCTAAACAATTCTCTAGTGCTCCATAACCTCACCAAGCTCTATGGCTCTCTCCCAAACCTTGCGCCTCCCTCCCGCCCGAATGCCCAAGAACTCCGCGGTCAAATATCCACGAGTCTGGATCAAGCCCTGAACGCTCGGGAATCTGCGTATGCAGAAGCCTGTCGTATGTTCGACGTCGTGGATCGACATCAGAACAGATTGAAAAGCATCATCGCCAAATTGAATGCCATACCAAAGCCTCCATCGCGGGATCCAACTCCTCAGCCAACACCCTCCACGCAGGTCAAGCGGTCTCGGAGCGGAAGAAAGATTGATGCTGGTGCGTCGACGAGACTGACCCTACACCCCCCTCGTGGCAATGCCGTCGCCTCTGCAATCCTCAAAAGACCCCGTGGCCGCCGTGTCACTGTCCCCGGAGATGTCATGCCACCGTTCGATCCCGACTCCCCCATCGCAAGTACTGAAGTCTCGGATTGGGAATCTCCACCACCTTCACCTCCACGCCCAGTTCTCAAGCTCAAACAACCTAAGCCATCGGCACCACCAAAGAACTCGAAACAAAGACCTCCGCCACTTGACGAAAAGACTCGTGAATCTCGAGAAGCAACTGAGCCTTACCACAAGCCAACCCCTCCGCCTGAAGATGCTGAGATCGGAAGCAAGTGGAGACCGTGGACGCACCTGACTGAGTTCGAGATGTACAAGCTTCGGAAGAAGATGAAGAAAAACCATGCTTGGGAGCCTAGCGATGTTATGATCAGACGCGAATTGGCAGACCGTGGCAGAGGTTGGGACAATTACTACCGGGCAAAGGCAGAAGCCCAGGCGAATGGGACCAGGTTCATCGACATCGATAGCATCGAAAAATTGACCCCGAAAGCTGAGAGGCCTGACAAGCCGGAAAATCTTGATCAAGTTGAAAGCGTGGAAAAGCCAGACACGTCGGAGACAGTGGGAAAGGTTGAGGAGGTGGACGTCCCAGCGCCAGCGCCAGCGCCAGAGCCCGAGGCTCTGGAGAAGTCTGAAGAGTCTGCCGCTGCCGCTACCGTTGCCACCACCGCTGCCACCACCGCTGCCGCCAGTGGGACGCCTGCCCCAAAAAGCAAATCATCAAAGAAAAATGAAAAGAAAGAGAAGAAGCCTGATCCTGCGCGGTCGCAAGCAGCACTCGCAGCCCAAGAGGCTGAACTTGCCGCCCGAAGACTAGGAGATATTGGCTCCAAGTTTCGCACTCTGTTCACAACTCCATTCACCTCAGCCCTTGCGTCGCTAAGCCGAAGTGCCAGTACCCCGATCGCTAACCGGCCAACTACGACAGGGAAAAAGGGTACAGAAAAGACGTCCAAGAAGCGAAAAGCAGAGGACACGCCAACCTCATCGGTCTCCCCGTCAGCAGAGCCAGAAGCGGCAAGGAAAAAGCAAAAGATTGCGCCTAAGCCGTCGCCTCTTGCGGCCAGTCCCATCCCAGTCGCAGCTCCTACATCCCCTGCCGCTACGAGCAGCGAACCTCCTCCTTCCATCAGTACAGGATCCATCAAAATTCCACTGAAACTCAATGTGGCTGCTGCGGTTGCAGCTCCAACCCCGGGAGTAGCTTCTGCGAGTGCAAGCAAGACACCAACCCCTGCACCGACGACCCGTGCTGCCAGTGTCCAGCGCAGCTCAGTCGCACCAAAACCAGAGGGTACGCCGCCAGCATCAACAGCAACATCCTCTCGACCTCCCTCACGACGCTCCGGCGCCGCTTCTGTGGAGCCTCAGTTGTCTGCTGCAAGATCTAGCCGACGGGCATCCATGACACCTTCTCTCGCAGGAGGGCAGAAGACACCCGCCGAAAAAGAAGCACAAGGACCGAGTCCGAAAGCGATCGCCACAGTTCCCACAGCAGCGAGCCACCGTAGCAAAAGAGACGCGCCGGGGATGGTGACGCAGTCGAGTCAAGATGGAGGCGCTGCTGTCAGCGTGAGCAAGCGCAAGACCAAGCCGGCCAAGAAGACGTCGTCCACAGCGCAGATACCCCAGATCAGGATCGACGTTGATGGAAGGCAAGAAATTGTGGATCCAGACGAGGAGCGATATTGTCTCTGTGGCGATGTCAGTTGGGGGGAGATGATATGCTGTGAGATGGACGAGAAGGCATGTTTAATTCCTTGCCCCAACAAATCCTGCGCTCCCTTTTTGCGCTGTTTGATTTCCCATCTTTGAGGGCCTAGCTGACTTGTGCTGTCTGTCTAGTGTGACTACGGTCAATGGTTCCACATGGAATGTGTATCTCTGGTGGAATTGCCTCCCCGTACCGTGAAATGGTACTGTCCTGGTGACAGGAAGAAATATCACAAGGGCGAAACGACTAACGGGCTTGTGGGAAGGGGGATCAAGTGAATATCGCCTGGAGGTGGGATGAACGAAGTCTTGAGAGATGAATACGCAAGCACCATGAGAGGCATCATGTTACTATTCAAGCACTCTCCGGAGCTACCGCTGTCTGTATTGGCAACGAGACTTGCTGGCTGCAAAGACACCATCACTTGTGGTAGCTATTAGCTGGCCACAACATCCGGGTGTGAGATTCTGCACGATCGGCATGTTCATAGTGGTGATAGGTCCATTACCAACACCGACGCCAACATCAACTCTATTCATGCATATCATCCCGTGACTGTATAGTAAGAGCAGGTGTTCGCATTTCAGTAGTGCCTTGCTCCCCAATCGAAGGGGGCGAAGTCATTGCATCAAGACACCTATGGAGGTATGGAGATGGGGTCTTCTACGTGATCTTGGGACAAGTGACGGTGATGTCTCGTTCACCAGTGCCATCATATCAAGATCATGCTCTTCCTCATTCTACGTGAGCAGAAGAGCAAGCTCATAGTGGAAAGGAAGGGTTTGCTGGGGCTTCGCGCTTCCATCGGGGACGTGTGGGAAGATTCCACCCATGCACCAGTTGAGGTCCTGGGCTCTAGACGTAGGAACAGTCTTTTCCTCCTCGCTCCTCTTTTTGAACGTTCAGTGTGTCGTGAGAAGATCGGGGTAGTGGTTATCATCGACGACGAAGGCCCCTGAGTTGGCGTGGAACCTCTGTGTTTGTTTCCCGTGTCCTGAAGCAACAGACGTTCGGGCTGAGCATATCTTGGTGGGAGATATCGTCGGTCGAGTTGGTATTGAGCAGTCAGATAGGGCTCAATCGGTGAAAACCTCTGGTCAATAGCCCGCCTCTCAGTCCGCGATCGGGTCCGTTCGTGGATCACCTTGCCGGCGTAACGTCGATGGATAGACGTCGATGAGGCAAATTCTATGCAAGCAGTCGGTGCAGTTGCACTTTCGATTTAAGCTAGTCAGCTTTGTCTCGGGTAAGGCAAGAAAGAGCAGGACTGCAAAATCTGTTGAGTGCCATTCCCAACGAACCTCATCCAGAAGTGTCAAAAGTCACCAGTGAGTACTTTGGCCGCAGATTTAATGCTGTCAGGCACCCAGCGGGTACATTGGGCATTCCAAATTACCTTCATCGTAACCAATGACTAGATGGTTACTCAACAGACAGAGCGAATGGAGACGTTGTGTGCTTTCCGAAACCGGCACTAGACAGATCAGACGAATGATCGAAACCGAATATTGATGCTGTTTCACAATGCCTCCACTGTGCAGGCGTGGACCATTGCGACCCGGCGGCTTGGTCAAGACCCGGTCATGTGAAGCCTTCTCGGAAGCTTGGGAAGGCGTCTTAGCCTGACCCTTCTGATGGAGAGGATGGTAAAGGAGCTGGTCTCCAGGTAGTCGTCCTTGCGACGATGTCTCGGCACGACAAGTTGATAACTACTGGACCCTTCAAACTGATCATGGAACGCCAATCGACAATCAACAGGAAGGTGGGATCATTGCGGACCCGCGGCAAGTGGGCGCTGGAGGCACAAGTACAGGGCTTCAGGGACTATACCCAATGCGCAAGGCTGACAAGATAATTTCCGAGACCAAGATGGTGGAATTGGAGGGAGCCGAGCTAGGACGACACATGGGCGACGACGGTCGACCTAAGATGACTTCCCCGAGGCTTGCCAAGGGAGAAGTTCATTGACAATCCCTCCCTCCAGCCTATTTTCCGGTTTGGGTTCCGCTGGGATGGTCTACTTCTTTTAGCCCTTTTCCAAGTCGAATGCGATCTCAATTTCAAGGGGGCCACCATTTTAATGCCGAGGTCATTGTGTATGCGAGTTGCGGTCGTGAATGTCCGCCTTTGTCGGGTGAAGATCACTGTAATTCTCTCAGCCGAAAAGAAAGCACGGCGTCTTATCTGGGTGCTGGCATGCAATAATTCAACTCCCTCATACCTTTGGAGAATAATTTTGCGTAGGCACGGAGGAGCTCTGCATGTGGCGTAATTTGACTTTAACGGCGGCCCGACCACACCAGCCGGCAACTTCCCACCGCCACATGGTTGACTGGGTCTGTCGAAAGGGATGGGGCTATCTTTCTGCTCCCAGCACATGAAGCCAATCGGGGTGGAATGCAAACGCTGCGAGCCATGCTCTAGGTGTGATGGCTTGAGGTTGCGGAGGTGAAGGACAGATAATAGGATGCGAAACGTGTCACAGAAGGTCTTGTCGACGAATCGTGCGACACATCCTCGGATTATTGAGCTGTGGCCCTTTGGTATTATTGTTACTATTGTTGCCTCGACGTTTTAGATCGACGGCCGGAGAGGTGTTTCGACTCGATCCATCCGAGGTACCCCGAGTGTTGTCGACGCAGCTTTGCCGCCGAACGGCAGATGTTCGTAGTTTGCGTGGCTAATCAGCAACACCGCCGGAGCAGCAATATTTTGTCTCCTGCGCTTTCGAACAGCAGTCTGTTGCTCGAGAGACCGGATTGCGATGTTCTCCATCTCGCAGCCTTTCGAGTTTCAGCCATGAAGCGGTGAACTCGACTTGTCATTTTGCGTCCGGGTCTAGCGGGCGGAAGCAATCCACCAAAATCTGCCGTGTTTCTAGCTGCATTCTAGCTGCATGAGAAAGCCCACAGGGTGTCAATCAGGCTGAAGCAACGAGCACAACGCTTGCCGGAGAAAGGGAAAATGATTAACAGTAACCGTGCCATTTGTGCGGGCCCCTTCTTAAATTTGTGGGATGCTGGGATGGAGGTCGCTACGGCGGGCCGCCAGGTCCGAGTGCATCGCTGGATATGTGGAGGGTGGCTATACGAAGGTGACCAGCAAGAAGGTACTCCGTACGGAGTCTTGTAGCCGCTGACTCGACGCAAATCAGCCAGTGCAGTGGGTGCGGAGCACCTGTACTCCGTACATACCTGTAGCACTGTCCCCACGATGAGATGCAATCGTATCATCGCAGTTCCGAAAAGCTATTGTTCTGGGAGCGATCTTACTGGTACATCTGGAAAACTCTGTTGTTCGATGGAGGCTGCGGGCGTGACAAGAGGGCGTCAATATGTCAGATGCCAATGACCCATCAGAAAGGGAAAGCAACACACCAGATCCAGTAGGAGGTTCGGGAGAGGGACAATTTGGACAGATTGGGAGAAAAGGTTGGAGGGGTGTGTGTGTGTGTGTGTGTGTGTGTCTGTGTGCGCGTGAGTGGATTGCAGTGGTGGGTATGGAGGGCGAGGTGAAAGTGAAAGGAGGCATCAACTCTGATCGACGCTTCTGCAGGTACCGGGTGTACGCCGGCGCACTATGGCACGGCAGCGTGGGGCCAGTGGGAGTTGCCAAGGGCGCAGGTGGGCATGATTCTCGAACTGAGGGTGCCGGGCGACTGGCACCCGCCAATGCAAGCCATGGGGAGCCATCGATACACTAAAGGCGCCCTGGCGGTTCCCCTGGTGCCCTAGCACCACCGGGGCCGACGCGATATCTTAGGTATCGATTAAGCAGGGGCCCTTGCCCCTGCGCGTCCTGACCATAATTTTTTTTTTGTTTTGCTTTCCCTTTCCCATTGCGCTCCTACTGGGTACTTGTCGAGTGATTTCGTTTTGCTGAGGGTTGCTTTTCCGTTTCCAATCTCTCCCTATGTGATCGAGCTGAAGGGTCATGTCATACCTGCCTCCAAACTGGCCCAGCTCTTGCCTGGCTAAAGTCAATGAGTCAATCCCTGCCACTGGCTCACATTTCTTCTCGTGTTGGCAAATCAATCGACCAAGCCCCAGCGGTGTGGGCTCATTGCGCATCCGGGCAGTCAATCATTCTCCAGTTGTTTCTAGCCTCCTCGTTTAGTTGTTTGGCATGCTTCCATCACGCTTGCTTCTGATCCACGCGCTTTGCCCTTGCCTTAGAATTTAGGCCATTGTTTAGTTGCAGGCATCCTCCGATCCCCCGTCTCCTCGCCTCCTCGCGTCAAAGTCTCTTTGCTGTCGGCGGCTCAGCTTCCATAACAGGTCCATGTCACTGTCACTGGCCTGTCACTCAAGTTCTCTCCTTGGCTACGGCAGCATGTACGGGTTCTCGGACGAGTTTGCTCCCTAGATACAATTCTCTCAAGTCTAGGCCACCCCTTGCTGGACAGTCACTCCTGTCAACAGGTCCTTGTTTGCTGGTCCATCGTCCAATGCCAACTACGGATCCCCACTTCGGAAGACAACTGGATGCGTCATGACGAGTAGATGCTCCCGTCCACGGGGAACAAAACAAAAAAGAATAAATAAAAAAGTCAAAACTGGTGTGCTGGGAGTTGGGCCGGCTGCACCGTGCGCAGTACACTACGATCGGGGACCAAGGGCAGGCCAGTGCATGCGATGCATCGTTGTTTTAGAATGGCGATTCATGGCAGTGGAAACGTCGAGGCAATCAAGCCATCGCAACAATCATTTGTCCCGAATCCTGCCTCCTCGTTGACTCGAGCTTTTAGTGTCAATGCGTACCCAGCTACGGATGGCGCATCCTCGACTCCCGTCTGCCTGGTGTCTGGTACTTTGGGTCTCGCTGAGATAACGACAATTCCCCCTACAGAAAGACTAGGCCCGCTCCAGCTCCTCAGACTCGGTCAGCTTGCGACTCGAGAAATGGAAACACCCCCCCCCCTCCCCTGGTGCTGCTGCTGGAACCCTTCCAAGGTTGGGAAGCACCTCAAGGGCTCCCGCGGCAGACTAGGCCCCTAGGCTTCGGCGTAGGCCCCACCACCCGTCCATCCAGCCTGGAGCCCTTGGAGCACCTTGAAGCCTTGTGGCTCCCCGGGTCCCAAGAAGAAAAGCCTCTTGCAAACAAACCCTGCGTATCCGAAGTGCTTAGTTCTCCAACTAACGTAGCATCCGTTGAGTATCCATCCGACCAGATGGGGGTGGATAAGGGGTAGCTGCAGCTTGTCTCCCTGTCCCGTCCTTTCTGCTATAACTATCACATTTCCTTGTCCGGGCTACAAATGTTACACGTCTTTCGCTTTCTCATCTGTTCTCGACGTTCTTTGCCTTGTTCATAGTCTTGCATTGCCTTTCGCTTGTCATCAACGCAAATCGTGGCCCTGGCCCTGTACCGAATTGCCTCCTAGATTTGACATTCGACACATCACAACGCCCGCACCCCCTAAATCAGACACCAACCTGGCCGTGTACCAAATCTATCTGCCCGCAATCAATTCCTACCCGAGACTCGACGACGTGGAATCAGCTACCTGTCTGATCGAACCTGATCTCAGATCTGTCGCTCAATCTAAACAAGACATTTGCGCTGGGCTGGAACTTTCTCTTTGACAGCGCGCACAAAACTCAAATTCTCGGCGCATCTCCTTTCCTCATCTCGCATTCCTCCCTTGGCTCGACCGAAAAAAGCCCCCTGACAGAAAGATCGTTTACATACGGCCACCTTCCCCAGGCCAGCAGTCAGCGAGCCAATTCTGTATCACATCCTTGTCCCGGGGGCACCTCACTGGACAGGTGCAAGATAGTCTACGGACTTCGCATATTACTCTGTGAGTCAGCCAAAAAGAATCCCGTGCTGCCTGGCTATATAAGCCTGCGTCCGGCGCCTACCCCCTGAACTTTCCCTCGACCCTTCCATCCGCCAACATTTCAGCTAACGCCCACGCAGCGCACACAGACACAATGACTTCCTCATCAACGTCAGCATCTTCAACTCCTTGTGACATGGGCCGTGGTGGATACGACACAACAGGAGTGCCCAAACCTAAGCCTCCTCAAAAATAAGACCTGACGAACCCACAACACCCCGTCAGATCACCTCAACTTTGCCCCAGGGGCTTCGGGCAGCATATGCCAAAACATATTCAATTCTTTTGCCGGTCGACGCAGACACTCGGTCTTCACGCGTGAGCCGCCACCACGACGGCTGGTCACGCTTCGAGCCTCGCATTACGACGCCGATCCCCTTTTCCGGAACTCCGACCGGGCAACTTGTTTCTGAACACTTTTAATCCCCCATGTGCTTTTGGACCAATCGACTACCCTGTACAAGTACTGTCTCAAAGATTTGAGCGTTCTCGGCGACACGTTTTTACCCCTGCATGTACGGCGCTAGGAACATTGTTTGCGTCTTTCGGGGACTCGACCAGCACGACCATTTCCTGTACAACCAATATTTGATGTATCAAAAAAGTGCTTTTCTCTCGGCGTTGGAACTATAGACGGAGGCTGGAATACGGAGGCGGATGGCCAAGGATGAGGAGCATTGCGGCATAGATTATATGACTCAGGTCACTATTTTGGGAGTTTCGTTATGGGTCTGGAGGGAGAGGGTATGCTTCTGTTGGATCGGCCATACCCAATTGCAATAGGTGTCTGCCTGGATACCACGATGTGGTTAGCAAGATGAGATGCCTGTTCAAATGACACAACAGGCTTCGTTGAAGGTCCCTGTGGAGTCATCAATCAGAGATCATAGTCGATGAACGGCTTCCTTTTTCTTCTGACATTCAATGGAATTGAATAATGTTGTCAACATCGGTCGAAAGAGATCTGTTCCTCGTAACTTGCTTGGTGTCCTGGGTTGCTGCCCATATAGGCTGGCTGTGATTCATTTGATGGCTTGTCGCACGAGGCTTCGACCCTCAGGGGTTGCCCCAAGGTTGCTCTTTTGGGGAAGTTAGTGCGCAGGCAGATAAGAAAATCGATTTGAGGCAAAATATGCAATTGCTCCAGGTGCGCAGGTGGCGTGCCGTAGATCTACGGTGGGGCGTACCCTCAGAAACCGTCACAGTCACCTGGAACTCGGCATCATCTGCGTCGTCACTGTACAATACTGCGATCAATCCACTTCCTAATCATCACCCTCATTCCACACCCTCCCTCATCCTTGACAGCTTTTGCTCCCTCAGTACTTTCCCGCTCCTCCTCTCACGACGGCCCTGTACCCTAGAGAAATTCGAGGATACCTGGGGCTTTTTCTAAGTCCGGAGCGACTCCACTCCACCGCCCATCTCAATACCAAACTTGAGCTTCCCCTACCGACAGTCTGCTGACTGCACGCCCAATTCCTGGGAAAGAATTTCGACGTCTCCAGGCCCAATCTGCAATTGAAAGAGCTCGGAAGAATTAGCATGGCCGACTCATCTTCAGCTCCCAAGCCCTCGAGCAGCGTCAAGCTTGTGCTGTTAGGAGAGGCCGCCGTTGGAAAGGTGGGTTGCGCATGACCCATTCTCGTCACTTCCCTGGCTTTCGATAGTTCCCTGCCATGTCACATCGAAGACAGCTCTGGACGCTACGGCTGTGGTCGTACAGTTGAGATCACGATACCTTATCCCCACGTCAATTGAAAAGAGATGCCTTCAAACAGAGCGGAGGGAGGAGATCATGAGAGTTCTATGGAGAGGTTACAAGAATGGGGATCGTCGCTGACAGCCTGAATAGTCATCTCTAGTCCTGCGCTTCGTCAACAATGATTTCCAAGAGAACAAGGAACCCACCATTGGCGGTATGTCTAGGTCCTTGTCAGTGTCGCAGTTTCCGCGCAACTGCGGGCCATTTTCTTTTTACTTCGGAACCGCTTCCCTCTCTCCCTTACCCAATACGACCTCTTTTGAGAGCATCAAGCTGACGTTTTCTAGCCGCGTTCCTTACCCAAAAGATCTCCCTTCCCAATCGGATCATCAAGTTCGAAATATGGGACACCGCAGGCCAAGAACGCTTCGCCTCCCTCGCCCCCATGTACTACCGCAATGCCCAAGCCGCGCTCGTTGTGTATGACCTGACGAAACCAACATCCCTCGTGAAGGCCAAGCACTGGGTTGCGGAGCTGCAGAGACAAGCTTCGCCAGGGATTGTTATCGCCCTGGTCGGCAACAAACTAGACTTGTGCGCTGAATCATCCGGCGAGGGTGCCGATGAATCTCAAGAGTCGTCCTCCACGGCAGGTGAGGATGAGGGCGAGACGAATAACGCCGAACAGGCCGAATCTGAGCCTACAGAAAGCGGAGATGCGAGGAAAATTTCTACACGAGAAGCCAAATCATACGCCGAGGAGGAAAGTCTGCTATTCTTCGAGACATCGGCAAAGACAGGAACGAACGTAGCGGAGGTCTTTTCTGCGATTGCGAATGCCATCCCCGAGACATCGTTGAAGGGCGCTCGAGGAGCTGCTGGTGGAGGAACACAGGCAGCATTGTCGGGCGCGGCCCAACGAGCGGAGGAAGCGAGGGTGAATTTGGCAGACAGGGGAAAGCAGCAGAAGGACAATTGCGCTTGTTGATTGGACTGGTCAAGAGAGTTAAGAGTGTGTGCCGGAGGGGATCCTAGGATCAATCACTTGAGAAATAACGGTGTGCTTGGTTCTGAGGATAAGTTTGGTTAGTCACCCTGGCTGAGGGTGAGCATGGACCCGGGATTGAAAAGGTGGTGAGCAGAAGAGGACAGGCGAGTGCCAGACCTGCTCAAAGTTGTCGTGCTCGCTTTGTGCAAAGGAATAAAGGAACGTGGGCATGCGAATTGGGTTGCTGATTGGAACAGCATCAGATCCTGCGGCGTCTGGTAGCGAAGAGCGAAATGTTGATCTGCGATTGCGTTTGTACAAGACTTTGAACGAAACTCACAAAAAGACCTAATCCTCGTGCAATCAAGCATCAAGTATCGTTACAAGCTATGGCATCCTTTCAAAATCCCTCTTTTTTTCATGCTCGAGTCGTGGGAATTCGTCTCTACGCTCTGTGTCCTGTCGATATCTCTAGTCTCGGCCTCACACACAGTTGAGATACATTGGGGTTTCATTCTGTTCGACCTCTCATGAGTCTAGCTTACGTTCTTGTCTAATCATCAGCCGGACATGTACTCCGCAGTCTCCGTTCGCCGGAGTTCTCGTTTCAGCGATGGCAGCATTGACAAGGTCTTCTGTGGTTGTCTTTCCTGTTTCCTGTAGGATCCACATTTGCAAGGAACCAGACTATTGGTATCATCCGCTGAGAAAGGATCTGTGATCATCACATTTGACTCCAAATGTCCGTTTCCCAAATGAGTTTCCAAAGCCCTGTTCCTCGTAACTTTGCGCCGACTTCCCCCACTGATATAGGCCATCTCTTTCGAGTAGTGGTTGCCAATGTAGTCCCTCTAGGTTGGCGTGCGCTATGGAATTCCGGAACTTCAGATACTTGTTCTCCACAGTAAGCAAACAACACTCAGGGGGTCGGAGGACTTGTAGAAGTTCGGATTGAGTGCATACTGCCAGACTGCACCATCTCAACTCTCCCGGGAGGAAGTTGAGTCCCCGCGTCGGAACGCGAAAGTGGAGAAAGCGACTGGCTTTGAATCTGTGTCACGATGACATCACGGCGTCGGGGCTTCTGGTAGAGAGGAGCTTCTTCTGCGCCAGCTTGCCGTCGTCTGCAGCGATTCGAAGATCTGCGTCTACGTCCCATCATCATTTGTGCAGCTTGATCTCCGGGTTAAGATGGCTGAACGAGTGAAGCAAGTGGCCGCCGAAGAGGCCGAGCACGTTCGCAAGATAGCTCACGAGGCTGTGAAGTCGCGGGCCTACCTCTATCCCTTCAAGGCAAGGCTCTTCCAGCAAGGGCAAGGTCTCCTTTCTGACTTTGGACAGGGTATTTTCTACTTCGTCTCCCATAAAGACCTGTGGAAGCCATTGACCTCCAAATTGGGTCCGACGATCACGCTGAGCGTTGGAGTGACCACGTTCATGTTCCTCGTGGCGTACGTGCCTCAAGCAGCCGTCATGGCCTTCACTTCTGGGCCTGTCGCAGCCATCTTAGCCGCCCTGCTTACCCTCAGCGAGAGCTCAACTCTCATCAATCTCCTCTCAAGAACTTTTTTGATTGAAGAGGCATTGGTCGATACCTTTGACGGTACCCTTCTTTCCCGAGATTGCACCAATCTGGTTGAGGAGGGCAGGCAAATAAAAGCTGGAGGAGATAACATTGCCAGACTGGGAAAGCTGCTGAAGCGGCCATTCGCAAAATTCACCCCCAACGCCATCATCCGCTATCTCATCTACCTGCCACTCAACTTCATTCCCGTGGTCGGCACAGTTATTTTTATCGCCCTCCAAGGCAAACGAGCAGGTCCAGCCGCCCATACCAGGTACTTTCAGCTCAAGGAATGGAACAAGAGGCAGCGGGAGCTGCATGTTGCGGAACATCGCGGAGGATATACCGCGTTTGGAGTGGCGGCCTTTCTGCTAGAGATGATACCATTTGCAAATCTTGTTTTCGCTTTCACAAATACTGTGGGAGCAGCCCTGTGGGCTGCAGACATTGAGAAGAATGCCACAACAGCGCCAAAGGTCCGTGACCTGGCTGGCAAGGCAGAGTGATGACGACTCCAGGAACCATAAGCCTCAGACCGGTTATCGAGACGCCATTGAGCAGTGCTACACAAGCATTGGGCTTATCCAGGGACCTGTTGCGGAGCGGCCGGTGATGGAGGTAAGCAGAGGGCAGCAAGGCTGGAACACCAGAGACCATTTCTGGAACGCTTGTGAGGCGGTGGCAAGTCCAGTGACAGTTGAAACGACTTCTATTTCCATGGACTAGGCGGCGTGTGCAACCATGGATCTGTCTCTGTCCATCCTCGGCAGCGGACGGAGGGTCATATGGAGCGAAGCATGCAAACATAAGCCTGGATGGAGAATGCGTCTAGTCCGATCGGAATAGACACATTCACACGATAATATGGAGGTAGAAGACGCTGCATGGAGGCCATAAGGATGAGCCCATCCCCCCATCTCTTGTCGAAACGGCAATCTGTATTCACGTACCTGGATTCACCTGGAACGCTTTGCCTCATTCTTCTTGCGTAGTTTAGAACCAGCCGGACGAATTCTGCCAGACCTTGTTTACCCTTTGTTGACAACCTGAAGACGTGCTCGGCCTCCGCTTCCCACCTTCCTCTCATCTCACCCCAAACACCACATTCATTATCGGACAACATCTATTTACCAGAACCCAGCAAAGAACCCTTTTAATCAACGCAGTCACTCTCTATCGTCAAATTTGAACCGGCTGGTTCGGTCATCGCGTACCACTCGTTGGCGAGAGGTGAGTGTCGAGAGCGTCGTCGTGATGAGAGCTTTCAGCTGACCAAAAGAACGTAGATCGCACCATGTGTTCCTTCTTATCCTTCTCCAGCTTGATGCTGCTGATCTTTCTCTTTCTCTCCTCCCTACAACCCGCTGCAACTCATCCTCATGGCTTCAATGATTCCCACCTAGGTCTCGCAGGTCGAGATGGGCCAGCTCAGACAACCAAGTATCCTATCCCAGCCAAGGCGAGAATCAGCTCTGTCTACGCAAATTCAGCCACTCCTTGTTCTGGCGCCCATTGCACTGTTGCCACTCCTCTCCCCGGAAGCCTACCTTGTAACGCTGTAAATGGGTCAACCTTTCTCGACGTCGTTCCCGACGGCACCAAGTACACGCTGATCTGCGATGTGGACTTCCCTGCTCAAAACATCTACCCCTTCGTTCTGGCTGGTTCCTTCGACGCGTGTTTGGCACAGTGCGAGGCCTACAATATGAAGAATCTGACCGACATCCACTGCGCCGGGTTTGTCTTTGCACCGGACCGCATCAATGACGCAGACGACTGCTACTTGAAGTCCTCCTTGGACAATCCGAGCTCAGCAACAATCCACATCGTGGGTGCGACAGTCATTCCTTCGGCTTCTGGTTGCTCTTCGCCAACAGCGTCCCCTGCTTTTCTGACTCCTCGTTCCAACCTCGACGGCTCCACGCCCTCGCTTCGTGTAGGAGACTTCAAAATGCTCGGTAGCTCCACAAACAAGCCTACAACTCAATACGTGAGCCATGTGCCCGCCAGCCCACAGAAGCTCGCGAGCAGCCTCTTGGTCCCTGGAATTAACACCGACCTCATCACACAATACCCAATAGCTGACGATACGGGTTCATGGACCTCAAGCCAGTTGCAGGTCGATGCAACGTTGGCCAACATGAAGGTTGTACCCCATATGTCTCGTGATGGTGGAAAAGGAGGCGTTATCAATGGGACTCACCTTTTTATCTTCTGTGACACCGCCAGTTTCCAGATCGATCAGACCTCAGGCACCAGCCAGATGGTGGGCTTTGTGTCCAGCTCCGTAGCCACAGACGACGGAATGAAAGCTTTGTATGGCCAGTCACTTGATCTTGTGGACAACGTTGGCGAGTGGCAGGACGACGTTGGCAGAATGCGAGGGTTTGCTCCGATGACGACCGGAGAAGAATCATTCAACATTGATCTGTCAGGGAATGGTTATCGCTATGCGGTCTGGCCTGAATCTTCCCTGATACCGCTCAACGCAAGTCATGCTTTGCTTTATCCGGCACTGGTGTATGATGTTGTGGATATGAAAACACAGGCAGCAGTCTTCAACAATGTTGGCAACTCCATTCTTGTCGTCTCTGTGGATCCAACATATGGTCCATCCGCCGACCGTATTGTTCGACAGCTCTACAATCAACACCAGGTCGCGTTCGGGACTTTGGGTGGCATCCGTTCTTGGGGTTCCTCTGGGACAAGCGGCAATGACGGCCACATCTATCTCTTTGGAAAAGGCGACAATGGTGTCCTAGTCGCGAGGACAAATCCAACTGGATACACCGACTTGTCAAGCTATGACTACTGGAACGGCAGTTCCTGGTCCAAAGATCTACCCTCGTCGAACTCAAACGCTGTTATGCTCGATGTCTTGGTCCAAGATCTCGATGTCATCTATGTCCCCGCCTTGCGAAGTTTCGTCATGGTTTACCTCAACACTCTGGCTGACGATACCTTCTATTACCGATATTTGGACCTCGATTTGAACGCGGACGATAAGGACTTCGACGTTGAGAATATCGTCAAGGCCAAGTGGTCTGACGAGCAAGTCCTAGCCAAAGTCGATGCTCCTGCCCAGGGCTATATCTACGCTGGCGGCGTGCATGCAGGATACTTCGGCGCAGACGACGTGGCCAATGGAGGATGGAAAATGCTGATTACTTGGACTGAACATACAGGCAAAGACGCCGCGTCTCCGGACTCAGGCTATGCACACAAATCTGCGTACGTGCAGCTCAGCCTTGTTTGAGCCTGCACCTCGATCGTCCTCGTCCGGTGGAATTGGCAGCACCTGCGAACATGTACTCCGACGGTGGAGCGGCTCGTGGACATGGACTGATACGCCTGGATATGATATTACGATGTGTACGACCGTTACGGCTGACCACACTCATCATGCACGCATTACTAGTCAGCAAGACGTCATCCTCTTTGGAATACTTCTTATTCACTTGCACGACTGCGATATCGTTCCGAAATGGCGCGGGAGACGGATTATGGGCGCCGTTCCGGGAATTCATGACTGATGAGCTACGACTTGTTTTCACGTGAGTTGCCTTGATGTGCCACGGATGCTAAGCGGATGCAAAATGTGCTGAGTAAATAGATGCTCATGAAACTGAATTCAATGAAGAGATTCTATCCCACTGTCGCAACTTGTTTGAAGTGAGATGAATGCGCAGAAATTCAGGCCAGCGTCTGAGCCGGGCCCAAGCCTTGGAGACATGGCTGGCACTGCAGCCTCTCACTTGCTCTGCTTCATGGCCACTGATAACGGCCCCCCGGTGATATCAGTCTTTTAGCCCTCGAGTCCGCCAACCCTGGCCCCCACCAAGGCTGTGCAGGGCAAAATGATTGTGTCTAACACGAAAGGGCATGCGGCGCCTGGTGGCTTTGGCAATTGGGCCTCAGCACTGCCACCGCGTGGTTATTAACATAATCGAATTCTTGTACAGTACCAACCAACTCGTTCTGGTTTTCATGCATTCGAAAACATGGGGACAGTTCAGGCCTTCAAACACCATCCTCTCGATTTGACTCGGCCGATGATTCGAGTATTAGATCTCTTGCCACTCCAAGCTGATGGCACCGTCAGGGGCAGCCTTCGTCACGAATTCCTCAACCCTACTTTAAAATTCTCAGCCCTGTCATACGAGTGGGGCAGCCTCGAGCCAGGACTGTGTGAGATCTACATTGATGACATGCGATACCACGTTCACCACAATCTCCATCGTTTTTTGACGACTCTCCTCAATATCAATCCTGCAGATGGGTACAAGAACCTCTGGGTCGATGCCATTTGCATTGACCAGCAGGAGACTACAGAGAAAAACCATCAAGTGCAGCAGATGAAGAAAATATATCAGACGGCTGCCAATGTTTTGGTCTGGCTGGGGCCTTCAGCTAATGGAAGTGATGAGCTGTTTGATTTTCTGCAAGATATGTGCATTCCAAACTCAGCGGAAGATGCTCTCCGGTCCGTCTCACAGTTGACCTGGGAGGAATGGAAACCCTATCAAAACAAAGTGTTTCAAGCCAAAATTGCTGTGTGGAAAGCCTGTGAGGCATTATGCAAGCGCACTTACTGGACCAGGACGTGGATCCTCCAGGAGATATTACTTGCAAAGCAGCCATTGCTTTTCTGCGGCAACAAAACGGTTCCCTGGCAAGCATGGGCCTTCGTACTGGATACGCTCGACAAAAATCCGGTTCGTTTTATTGCGCAATGGGCACCAGACATTTGGGGATCGCCCGCCATGTCTCTTTCCCAACAATGGTTCGCATCGATTGAGCAAGGCCAACCAGAGAATCTATTCCGGCTGATTCAGGCATTCAGACAGTGTAGATGTTCCGTTCTTCATGACAAAGTTTACGGCGTCCTTGGACTGCTCCCAGGCGAATCTACAATACTTGTTGACTACCGCCGTGAGATTGAGGACTTGTTCCTTGATCTGTTAGAAGCGATGGCTCCTGACACCCTCATCTCAGATATTGGAGGAGTACGAGAATTGTTGGACATCAACTTATCCTCCGCCCAACTGGCTTTGGATTGTGTATACGTCGGAAACTGCCCGATTATCCAATGTTCCACTGCGTCAAAAATCGATGCGACGACACGAGGCGCCAAGATGGCTGGAATCATTTCGTCCGGAGAATACTCGAGACATTCTCGGTGGCGTGATCAGCTGAAATGTCAACCACTAAACTGGAGAGTCAAGAGTCCCTACAAGATACCGGACCAGTCGGACATCGACGCGGTGTCAGAAGAATTGGACCTCTATACCAAACGGAAAGGCTACAGCAAGCGGTTCCTCAAGATCAATCTCTTGACGCATGCACGCAACGGGATGGTGATGAAATGCAAGCGCCCCAGATGTCATGCCAAGCTCAACACAGATGCTCTTGGGGCAAAACTCTTCAAAGTGCTCTCAGCCTTATCCTACCGGGACCAAGTCCGAGATCTCGAAGATAATTCGGCAGCGTTGCTCTTTCGCGAGCTTGCCAGGAAGGAGACATATTTCGGAACACTAGTCGAGGTGAGGGAAACTTCGAAAATGCTCTTGTTTTACGATCCCGTGACCGTGGAAGAAATAGAAACCGCAGGTTCTGTACAAGGACGGCTGGCGAGAACCTTCAATTTGCTAGCTCATCAACACTCGAGCCTCTCGTCGGATTCAGTCTCTCCTCTTGCCGAATGCAGGACAAATTTCTAGTATTCCATGGAGACAGGTGCACACCCAGGTACGGGTGTTCCAATGAGGGTAGAGCCCAAGACCAGGACTGAGCAGCACTGATGAAGTCATGAACAACCTGAGCAATGTCCAGGTGAGGCTGAGCCGAAGTTGAGCCTGGTCAACCTGAAGTGTGAATCGAGCAGCGAGTGCTGTCGTGCATAGTAGCCTAGCAGGTGGCTGAGCGAAGCCTAGTCACAACCGGCCCAATCAGCCAGGATCAGCCTTTGCCAACTAGGTCCTGACGAAAGAAAAACATCAATACTGGCCACAATGCGCGCTTTCAGCCGCTGCGGTTAGTGAGTGTTGGTGCGGCCTCGTCCTGGGTGCACTGCTCGCATGGATATAGCACAGTCCCCGCGTAGCAAGGCTCGTCCTTCTGGACGCTCAGCTCAGACGTCTCGTATAGTGCAATCCATGGGGCTTTGGCGCATCCTCTATATCGCCTCTGTGACCTGCCGTCATAGATGGATGCGTTGCGAGCGATCTTGAGTCTGTGAAGAAGTGTTCCATTAGATGGAACATTCGCACATAATGAGGAGATCGTGGAGTGTTACAAGCAATATCCAAATCGGCCTCGGATCATCTTTCTTCCAGGTTTCCATCAACTGTTCTGTCCGGTGCAGCCCTCATTATTGTGGCAGCACAATCTCAACTTCTCCATGCCAGGCCTTGAGACTCCTTGCAGATTCCAACCACTTTGCCATTCCTCCGATCCGGGTTGTCTCCCCAGGGAAGCCCTCGTCCACTTAGACTCCCGTTTCCCTGCTTATCCGGCCGATCCCACTCTATCATCCCTGCAGGCCTTTCCCCGCGCCCAGGCCGCCAGGACCACAATTTGCGGGACAATCGTCTCCCCTTTTTGAGGGGTAAGCAGCGCGTCAAACGCATCAGCACCAGTGCACCCATGCGCCGCAAGATGCTGGTGGAATCCCGCCGAAGCACGGCATATCGTCAAGCGAGACGAGGGGAAGGATGAGACAACAGCGTCTGAGAAATATCCAACCTGCCTCTTCAAATTTGGACTCTCTGCCTTACGTGACGCTCTAGCAGAAAAACACAATCGCCAGTCGAGACTGACGGCGACCCGGAGGTTCATACAGGGGCCTGCTTGAATAGGACTTTCGATTCTCTGAACGTACGTGTTCAAGCGGGTGCAAGACCGCAGGAAGACAACAATACCGTCAGCCCCGTGTTCAGATATCACACTTGACAGAATCGAAAATCCACGATGGCTGGCGTCGCAAATGGTGCGTCCTCGACTGCGGCAGCACCCTCCGAGCCTCATGATCCAGGCTCGTACCCTCTTGCCGCTCAGATTCCGTTGAAGGAATTTCAACTGCCAGACTTCCCTCCTCATGCTTCCCGCCTGAGAGAACTTACATTCACCGCCGACATCAAGCTTGATGAGTACCAAACTATGGTGCAAACTCATAGCGACGCCATCGTCACTCAAGCCCCTTTGCCAGATCTGCCGAAATCCATCACTCATTTGACCTTCGAGCTATTTGGTCTCGGCTTCCCTGGTACGCCGCCCTTCCTGACTAGACTAGCGCGGTCATTGCCAAACGTTAGAAGCGTTACCTTCTTCAGCTGTCTGATCGATGGTCTCGATGAGGCATCCAGGAAGGACGCGGAGAAGTTCTTCGAGTGTCTGCCGAACCTGCAGGAACTGCATATCATTGATTCTTTTGCGAGGCCCGGCTTTTTCAAGACCGTGGGTGAATTTCTTGAGGCACATGCCAAAGGCAACGCTAGTGAAGGCTTGAAGCTGGTCGACGTCAGTTACACCTTCCGTGGACACGAGGATAGCGACTTCCTGGCCAGAGTTCAAGGCGAGGACTTGCCGAATCTCCTTGTCAAGGGTCTGGTAGGGGCCAGCTTTGACTTCGTCCCTGAGCGGAAGGATGAGCTCGCAGAAGCTCCCGAGGGAGAAGAGGAGAAAAAGGAGAAGCAGGAAATCAACGAAGGGATTCTCCCGTTTGCCAGCGACGGACGAGCCCCTACTGCGATCAGGAAAAGGTTCGAGAGTATGAGCCACGGAGGCCAGTTGAAGAGTTTGAAGATCTTGAATTTGGGCATGTATTCTCTCCGTCCCGTGGAAGTGGGGGAGGTGGTCTATGCTTGTGCCGGCGGTGAGGCGGCGGGTCTGGTCGACATTACCGTCAGTGTTCTTCTCGAAGAAGGCTGGGTGGGGAAACTGGCAGAAGGCCTGCAGCACAAAGGAGTGGCTTCGGTCTTGGAAGGGATAGAAGTCATTGGGGTTCCCGACAAGGCCAAGGAGGAAGGCGAGGACTGGAAATCGGGATTGACCGTCGCGAACCTGGCCGACGTCGAGAAGATTGCTGCGGGGTGTCCGAAGCTGGGCAAGTTTGGAATGAGCATTCTCAAGGTCAAAAGTGCACCAAACGTGGTGTTTATGAAGGAAGGCGGCGCATGGGTTGAGCGGTGATTGTCTCAGAGGAGGTGGGGTGGCGCGATAGACAAGCCTTGGGTGGTTCAAATGAGGGAATGGCTAGAGGGGAAAACTCCATGCCGAAAATATAGCTGCATTAATGCAACATTGGGACTTTGTCGAACACGAGATACTTTGCACTGCAAAACTGGCCCTGGGAGAGAGCATGTGAATACGGCGAGCATTAGAATATTCATTCTATATTGCCTTTGATTGATTGGTTGATTGATTCGTACACTGTCAGGCGGTCTAGCCTATACAGATCAAAGCCTGAAATACGACCAACGGAAGGAGCGACCTCGGGGGAGAGCATGCCAAGGGGCACGTGCAGTCACATGCAAGGTGCCAGAGCAACACGGAGCACAAAGCTCTGCACTGTTACAACAACCCGTCCCTGACATACAGAGCGTCCTAGACCACTACAGGTTCCCTTCAGTCTGTCGGTACCATAGAGACTGTATAGGGATGGCTGTATAGTTTGTTTTTTCCCTTGCAACGGTTCAGCATAATTAGGAACGCCTTCCTCCAGGTGATAAGAAGACTGCCTCTGTTCTATTGACAAAGGTGGTCTTCATGGTATATCTTCCATAACGATTCGCTTCAAACTACGTCGGCGGCTTCTCTCCACCCCTCCAGGAAGAATAACGTCCTTGGGCAGAGACAGCTCTGCAGGTTTTGCGGCAATGATATGCCATAACCCATCGGTTGATCAAAATGGCTCACCTTGGCCAACCAGGATACACATCGGGATGAATAACGATGCTACAACGCATCGTCCTGGGCAATGGCGTGAAGGAGACAACGAGCCTGCATCCGGTATGCTGCTGGTTGCCGGATGATATAGCTCGATAGGACTTGCTTAGCTTCCAGGCACGAGTCTGGGTACTTCAAATGCTGTCTCTCCTGCTTTTGTTGACCGGCATCGTATTGACATTGGAGCTATGCTTTTTCAGTGTATAAGAGTGGACACCACGCGAAAGTATGAATTCCATTGTCTCTCAGGCGCATAATCCATTTCGAGTTTCAGAGAGACGGCGAGGCTCCATTCCTATTGGGGGTCGTATACAACCTCGTCAGCCCCTTTTCTCGCTCCTTTTTTCGGCCTGCAGTCATGTCCCATTGACCAATGACCGCGGTTCCGGTGTCCATTTGTCCTTCTCTTGCCACGTATTGCGGAGGTCGGTCGGCAGTGACACGGCGATTGCGATGCGGCCAAGATCATTTTCATACCATAGATAACATCCTCGCCAAGCATGTCCAATCATATGGACAGGAACGTGACGTTCGGACTGGCGTAGATTGTGAGGGCCCGGGATTGGTTCTCCGTACCTGGACAACGGGTCGTTCTGGCAACGGACTTGAAGCCGTCTGTCTGTCTGCGGCATCATGATTGTCGTCGGGGATCGGTGGGCTTCAGCTGTGTGTGCCTCCGAGATCCACCCGTCACACCTTGCGCCGCGCATGTCCGCTGAATCGCCGGCGGCGCGGTTCGGTGTTGGCAGAATCATAGCCAATGTTTTCAAAAGTTTGGCGGTTCTCCATTCTCTCCATCTTGACCCCCACAATCTCAACTGCCTCATACGGAACGAAGGATTCTTCCCGCGCAAACGTCGGCCTTTGACAATGTTGGTGGTCTCACTTGCCTTAAAGGCGGTCTGGAGCATGCCCCGGCGCCTTGGGTGGTAGATGTCATGCTGTCTCATTTCCTTAGCTAAGCAGGTGCCGTTGACCCTGACTTTGAAAGTCCTCCAACGTGGATCAAACGTCAACCCCGCGGATATAAAAGGCAGAGCGGTATTGCTTGGGCATTCGAATCGCTCATTGATCGAACTTGAAGATACCCTAACCAGCTTCGACATGTCGCCGTCTCGTCTCGAAGAACCGCTCCCCAACGCGCCCGCAGGAGGCTTTCCCAAGCACCTGGCCGAGGACTCCAGGGCGGCCAAGGTCGACGTGTTTGACGCGAGCAGCGCGACCGTTGACAACGTCGTCGAGTCGCTCATCCGCACCGGAGGCTGTGTCGTGCGCAACCTGGTCAGCCGGGACGATGTCAGGAACATCGACGCCGACGTGCGTCCGTACATCCTCAAGGACCAACCGTGGCAGGGCGACTTCTTCCCGCCCGAGACGCGCCGGGTGACAGGCCTGGTGCAAAAGTCGCCCACGTTCACACGCAAGGTGCTGGGCAACGAGCTGTACCAAGAGGTCTGCAACCGACTCATCTCGTCGACACATGACGCCTGGCTAGGCCAGAAGCTCGAGCGGTCGGTCGCCCCGCCGCAGGTCAACAACACCATCGTCTTCTCTATCGCGCCGGGCGCCAAGCGCCAGGAGCTGCACCGCGACGACATGAACTACCACAACGAGCTGCCGGCGCTCGATTCGCACGCCGACTACACGGTCGGTCGCGATTGCGCCGTAGGGCTGTTTGTCGCCGGCAAAAAGACGACCAGGGCCAACGGCGCCACACGCTTCATCCCGCGCAGTCACCTCTGGGCCAAGACGCAGCCGCCCAACGAGGACCTCTGTTACTATGCTGAGCTAGAGCCCGGTGACGCCTTCATCATGCTGGCGTCTGCCTATCACGGAGGTAGCGCCAACACCACCACCGATGAAGAACGGCTCGTGTTTAGTTGTTTCATGATCAAGGGCACCCTGCGGCAGGAGGAGAATCAGTTCCTGGCAAACTCGCTCGACAGCGTCAGGCAGTACGACGCCCGGCTGCAGAAAATCATAGGCTATTCCGTGTCGATGCCCTGGCTCGGATGGGTCGACTTTGACGACCCGCGGAACTTGTTGTTGAACGGCGGTCAGGCCAAGGAGAAGATTGACCATTATGGAAGTTGATAGTCTCACATTTCATATCCCATAAACCATCGGTAATTTGGTATCGCGTTCGTGGTGGAGCCAGCTCAAGAGTATCGTAGACATATCTCTATTCGGCCGCACTGTATCCCGATTCAGCCACTTGTCGGCAGAGGTGTCCTCAGCCTTGCAGGACATCCAGATCTTAGTGCCTTTCTAGCCTAGCGTCGCACATATCCAAAGAGTCAGGACCGCCTCGGTGGGCTTCGGCCGCATCACGGCGTTTCGACGGCCGAGTTATCGTGCGGAGCAACGATATTAAATGGGTCGGATGGGTGTGCCACACACAGCGGACTTGTCCTGATGGTACGGTTAGCTCTGGCGGAGGGTCGCCGGCCAAAGTCAAGCACCCAGGGCTGTGGAACATGGGAAGAGTCCCTGGCGGGAACCAGAGGCTGATTGTCGAGGATTAGAGCCACGTGAAGACTATTCCACTTGGAGCTGTTATTATAAGGAAACAGAGATAATACCGCCCTCCAGATCGCTGTTTGATTTTCGTCCGCATCCAAAGCTGGAGGTTTGATTGCTGTTTCTCGATTCGAGTCGATCTAGGTCGCCGCCCAAAGTACAATCAGGTATGTCGTTTTCGGGGCTCTCCTATACGCGCCCCCGTCACTGACATGACACTCTAGAGACCGCACCAACAACACAACTCGAGAAGCCTTGAACGCGTTCAGGATGAGTTTTCATCAATACGACGGACCCGGAGGCGAGTTTGCCCAGAACCACGGCTTCTCCCAGGCCGTTGTGCTGCCCGCGTCGGCCAAGATCGTCATCACGGCCGGTCAGGCGGGTTGCGACCTGAAGACGGGCAAGGTGGTGACGTCGTCTGCCGAGGCCCAGATCTCGGCGGCGTTTGACTGCGTCGAGGCGGCGTTGAAAAAGGCCGGCGTCGAAAAGGGCCTGCTGGGCGTGCACAAGTTCCTGACATTCATGCTCGACACCGACCTTGAACCCGTCATGATGAAGATCTGGCGCGAACGGTGCCCTGGCCACCGGCCAACCTGGACGTGTGTCGGCTCATCCAAGCTGTGCTTTCCTGAAATGATTGTCGAGATTCAGGCGGAGGCGACGTTGTGAGCAGAGGAGGGGGGGCGCAGGCGCAGACAGGGTGCAGGAGGAAATGACTACAGGTGGAGGGAAGATGGAGTGCGAGAGATGGGATTCGTGGAAGTCCTTGAGGATCCGCGTAGTACGCGTAGTCATGTGACACCGCCTGGGTGCCGCCCGCATAGGAACCCTGCGTGCCTGCGCACTCGAGGGAGACTGGGCGCTCGGTAATCCATTGGCTGCTACTGGGCGTCTCCCCTTAGCTAAAGATCACCCCTAAGGCCAACCCAATAAAACCCTGATCAAGACCCTACTACGGAGCACTGTCCCACCTATTCATGCCTAGACTCTGCAGCCCTGTGCCCTTTTGCCTCACTTCCCTCCTCACCACGCACTGTAAACATGTACGTGGGATGCAATCGAGACAATCTCGACGACAATCTACCAGCCTGAAATCCCATGGCACTGACTCCCCCTCCCTGACAATCGCTCAATGGCCACTCCGCAGCGGTCCAGCCGGACAGGTATTTGTGAACGTGTTGCATCGTGGAAGATTGACTCACTGCGATCCAGGTTCCAAGTCTGCGGCGGCCGCTTGCACGAGCTGCCATCTCCGCAAGGTGAGATGTGATCTGTCCACGCGAGGCCATCCATGTACACGGTGCGAGGATTCCGGTCTGCCCTGCGACCGGCTCCAACGCCGGAGACGACCTATTCGCGCTGTAGAAGCAGCCTCGTTGGGCGCCCCGAGGTATGCGACTGACGCTGCCCACCCGCCGATATCGAGTGACGTTGACACTGACTGACCGGCAGCACCACAAACCCGTCGAGTGCTTCAGAGACGGTCGAACAGGTCGGTCGCATCACCATCCCCTCGGCATTGGACGAGATCCGGGCACGATTTGGCAGTCTGGGGGAAGGAGACAGCCCGCGAAGGATCGAGGTGTCCCCCGACGGGTTTGGCGACATTTCCAAGGAGACCTCCATCCTGGTAGACTTTGTGGCGCAAGACTTCTCGCTCGGCGCCATCAGCGACTACCAGGTCACGTTCAACGACAACTACACGACGGTCGCGAGGCTGCTGGCCAACGAATTCGGCCGCGGCTTCCAGACCGACGTCTACCACTACCGTGATGCCCCGTTTTTCAAACGCGCCCACGGGGGGATTCCCCGAAGCATGGGCCTGTCCGAACTCGCCGTCCTCGACCTGTACGGTTCCTTTACCCTCCCCAGCCCCGAGGTGGCCGACAGCTTCATCGCGGCCTTTTTCGACCGCGTCCATGCCACGCTGCCCATCCTCGACCGGTCCGCCTTTCTCAAAGGATACTCCGCCGCGCCGAAACCGTCCAACGTGTCTCTCCTCCTCCTACACAGCGTTTTACTCTCCGGATCGACCACATTTGAGCATCCCAATCTCAAACTTCCTCACGGCGAGGTTTCCTGGAGACTGTACGGCCGGGCCAAGGCCTTGGTCGAGAACAGATTCGAACAAGACCGTCTGGTGCTGGTCCAGTCTCACCTCCTCTTTAGCACGTTTGTCTCGGACAGCTGTGACGACACCCTGCAAAACATGTGGCTTTGCCTCGGCACCGCCGTGAGGATAGCGCAGGTAAGGTGGTCCCTTCTTTCACAAGGGTGATGTGTATTCACGCTGCTGTACAGGGCCTAGGGATGCACCGTGCGTTGGGCAAAGCCAATGCAAGCGAACCGATGCGGAGACAGTGGAAGCGTATCTGGTGGTCACTTTTTGTCCACGATGTAGGTGCCGATCTCGTTGCATGACCATATGTGCTGACAATTGTAGACGTTGTGTTCTTTCGAGTGGGGTCGTCCAAGAGCCATGTGAGAGATTGCGCCCCTTGTCCCTCCGAGTGTCTTGTCTAATTAATCTTTCTGCAGAAACCTCGCCGATTGCGACGTCGAATATCTGACAGAAGCCGACTTTCAGCCCGAATATCCCGGTTCACTACCGTCGGCCGAACACACGCGGTTCTTTTTGGAATTAGTCAATCTCTGTCTCATAATATCTAGCTGGTTGGACCTGCTTCGGCCCTGCCGAGACCGCGATCGCCAGGGCGGTGGACGAGGCAACAATCTCGACCGCAATTCTCGAGCCCTGGCGCTCCTCACCGAGCTGCAACAGTGGCACAAGGGTATACCGACGACCCTACAACCACCTCGAAGCTCTGTTGGTGGTGGCGGCGGCAGCGGCGGCGGGAGTGCCTTAGGCACGGGATTCACCTTGTGGACGGCCACTTTGCACATCACCTACCAAGCGGCGTTGCTAAGGTTCTGCACATTGCTTCCCGAGGGGACCGACACCATGTTCCGCGCGGCCACGGACATTTCACATGTCTGTGAAGATCTCGACCGGCAGGACCTGCTGGGGTCGCTGTGGAACTTCGGCATCCACGAGTTCGACCTGGCCATGGTGCTCCACGCGCGTCAAGCCAACAGCGCCGACCCGGCCACCTCGCGCACCGGCGTGCGCAACCTGCAGCGCGGACTCCCGTGGGCTCGCAAGCTGGGGAGCCGTTCTTCCGTGGCCCAGCAGGCCCAAATGTTTTACGAGGATTTGGTCAAGAAGATGAACAAGCGTGCTCGGACGGGAAGACGTCCGGCGGCGGCGACGACCACGACAAGACACGACGACGGCGTGGACGGCTCGGACGACGGCCCAAGGGCCTCCTCCATCCCGACCCCTACGGGTGGTGGTGGTGGCACCGCCGCCGCTCAAATCGACCCCAGCGAACTGGGGGAACCGTTCGAGGACGCCACCGTCCAATCGTTGGCAGGGTCCAACGCCCACACCGACTGGGCGCCCGAAATGTACTTCACCGACCCCCTGTTCCAGGCGCAGATGATGGCCCACGACGGCAATGCCGGCTGGGGTTGGGATATGTATTACGATCAGGCGCAGTTTCAACATCAGCAGCAATTTCGATAGGGAGGCAAATGATACTCCGAGAAGGGGATGTGTCTTGTCACCCGGAAAAACAGTCCCTCCGTCCGATCAAGGATAGACAGTAATACGCGCTACGGGAGAGGAATTGGGTTCGAGATTTATGAGAGGCCCAAGGTTTTTACCGTTTTGCACGAGTGGTTGCAATCTGTATGCCTGGGAAACGCGGTTGGGTTGGAACATCTCTATATATATACCTGGACGATATCTGAACGGGTCTTTGATGGTCTCGTGAAAACCAATTGGCACTATTTTCACCTTCGTCCTCGTCTTGCCTCCCCTCCTCTCGTTCACCGCTCGGCCTCGCCCTACCCCTTGACCTGGACGGTCTCGGCCTCGGCCTCGGCCTCGGTAGACTCGACGTCGTCAACGGCGAGACCGCGGGCGATCTTTTCGAGTTCGCGTTCGCGGCGGATGACATCGTCGGCGACGAGGCCCTCGACGATGGCCTTCTCCTCGAAGGCGACGGGGACGATGACGTTCTCCTCGGCAAAGTAGTTTGTCTCCTTGACGTAGGTCAAGATGACGTAGTAGAGCGAGCACAGAGCCAGGGCGTACACGCACAGCTGGATGATGATCTGGTTCTTGTAGCTGACGGTGCGGGCGTCGAGGGTGAAGGCGATGCACATGCCCAGGCTGACGGTGCCGCGGAAGGCGCCGGCGTAGCGGGCGCACAGCACGGGGTCGTTGGTCAGCGCCGACAGTGTCCACTGCACGACGATCTGGAAGCAGGCGTCGACGATGCCGAAGAAGAGGTAGAGGAAGATGTAGCCGACGGCCGCGCTGCCGTCGGTCCAGTCGGCCCCCGGCGGCGTCTTGTGCCGGTCGATGTCGTGCACGCAGATCCATCCCAGCACGCCCGCCAGCGAGGCCATGGTGATGGTCCCGATCGCGGTCACGCCGACGACGCCGCGCATCCGACGCGACTTGATTTTCGGGCTGTCCATGACCCAGGCGAGGAGCAACGGGGCCGGAATCATGACGAAGTTGAACAGCAGGTTGGCCAGAGAGCGCGTTCGAAGGTTGAAGAAGTAGCCTGCAAAAATGTCATTAACCAGGCCCATTTGATATCTGACTGGGTAACAGGTGGATGGCTGCTGCTCCAGGACGTGCGTAGAGAAAACTCACCATTGATACTACTCGCCGGAGCAAGAATCATTTCACCGGCAAACATGGCCGGCAGGAGAATGATAATCTTGGGGTCTGACATTACCTTCCACACCCCCACAATCTCGGTTTTGATGTTGGGCTGCTTGAATACGGCGATGTGACGACCGTCGTCGCGGACCACATTCTTGGGCTTGACCAACAGCAGTAGGGCACCGACAATGGCACTAGACAGGTCAGGTTATGCTTCTTGCAGCTTGCGGCATCCCTTACATGCACATGATGATGATGAAAACAATATAGACCGCGGCAGAGGCCCCATCGACACTGGTCTTGTGGAAGTTGGCTGCAAAGGCAATGAGCGATCCGATGGTGCCGCCGACGGCCGACAAAGACCATTGATACGTAATGTACTATGAGTTCATTAGTGCTGAAGCCGTCATGGTTTTGTTTCAATCCTCACCTTGGCCTTGTCCTTTTCCTCCGCATAGGCAAATTGGATGAATCCAGCACCTGTCCAGAGGAGGGCGGCAGAGAATCCAAGAAAGGCACCAGCTATAATCGTCTTAGCATAAGGTTCTCTCCTCGGAGGGGGGGGCAATGACAAACCAAACAGAGGAAATGCTTGGTCAACACCGTTACCAAAGGCCCACAGAGAACCGGCGTATAGACTGGCAGAGAAATCAGCACTTTTGTCGTTTCCCACAGCAGATGCAAGATCTCACGGGTAGCCGAGTCCGCCGATACAGACGGTGATGCTTGGGCCAAAATAGTTCAGGAACGTGCCAGCACACCATCCAAAGAAGGTGTAGACGCCATAAAGAATGCTATGCAACGTCAGACTCGTCGGAGCCAAGTAGCCTGCCTGGTACATACGAGTTTGTGATGGATGCAACGTGCTGCGAAGTGGGTTGACCTCCTCCGGCCCCCAGACCCGTCAAGGCCAGGTATATCCCAGGCAGACAAGCGAGAATACATCCCATGAGAAAATTCTGGTTGAAGGGGCGGTTCAACCGCAGTTTGCCCTTGAGGGCGCTCGAGTTGGTCATGTCCAAAGTAGATGTGGCCGAAGATTGTCGTCGTCCAGGCTGAATGTTGGCAGAATGATCAGGTGAGGTTGGCAAGATTGGCTCTCATGTATATCCCGGCTCCATATATATGCATATTTCCAGCATCAAGAGTTGCCCACCTGAGATATGGCAGAGCAGTTGAATTAGACGGGGACCACTTGCCCATCCCGAGGGAGGGAGATAGCGCCGCGATGCCTTTCCGGGACATGGATCCAGGTGTAGACCAGTGGGAGCAAGGCCTGCGTCCTGGGTTGCAATCTCTGGTTAGGTCGGCGACTGAGCGGAGGCGCCACGTTGATGGAGCATGGCCAGGATGAGACAATCCAATGGTGAAACGGGAATAGGCTATGACCAAAGGTGGCAAGAAGAGTTCCGTGCACCGGCCGTGGTTGTCTCTGTGCGCCACGACTTGGAGACTTCTGGGCCGTGGGGAAGGGCATCTTGGTGATCTTCCTCGGTGTTTGAAGGGCGATTCGACGGCGCATTGACGAGTTTGCAAGGGCGGTCTCGGGGCGGACAAGTTGCCACTTCCCACAGAAAATCCAAGCACTCTGCGAGCCTGATAACAGCCCAGGCCATAGACGTGGCAGACCTCGCTGGACATGTTCGTCGCCGAAGGAACAAACTGCGTGTGCCAATGAAAGAGGCATGATCTGCCTTGCTTCTTCTTGCCGATGGGCAACTGCTGACTTCTTTTTTGGATCACCCCGGCCGCGTTATCAGTGGGATAAAAGGAAAAGCGTCTAACCGCACTGATAGTTGTTGATACACACACGCGTGCATCTCCCTTATCTGGATTTCCTGATTCTGTCAGATAATCATGGGTAGCCTCGGGACGGAAGAGATCACCAAGGTGGCGGCGGGGTTGGAGAAGGCTGCCTCTCACGGGACCAAGTCGTCGTTTGCGCCTCCGACGGTGCGCCACGAGGATGCGTTCATCTCGTACGAGCGCATGTTGGCCGGGAGCGACGAGGGAGCATGGCCGGCCCGCCAACAGGTCGCGGTCCCTGTGTTCGACGCGGCCGACGCGCAGGTGGACGACGTGGTCGAAGGGCTGAGGGCCGTGGGCGGCGTCGTGGTCCGGGGAATCCTGTCGACGGAGGCGCTGGCGCAGATTGAGCGCGACGTGCGGCCGCACCTCGAGGCCGACGTGCCCTGGGAGGCCGACAACAACTTCTTCCCGCCCTCGACGCGGCGGGCGTTTGGGCTGTGCGCCAAGTCGCGCACGTTCGCCGTCGACCTGGTCGGCAACGAGCTGTACCAGGCCGTGTGCGCGCGCTTCCTGACCACCAAGAGCTACCCGTGGTACGGGAACCGCGACACGCTCAACGTGTCGCCGCCGCAGCTCAACAACACCATTGCCTTCTCCGTGCGGCCGGGCAACAGCTACGACCAACCGCTGCACCGCGACGACGACATCCACTACGCCGACCGGCCGCGCGTCGACGTCTACCCGCGCACCAATTCGCGCGAGTATGGCATCGGCTTCTTCGTCGCCGGCACAAAGACCTCCAAGGCCAACGGCGCCACCAGGTTCATCCCCGCCAGCCACCTCGAGGCCACCGAGCACCCGCCCGACGAACGCTTCGCCCACTACGCCGAACTCAACCCCGGCGACGGCTTCATCATGCTCTCGAGCTGCTACCACGGCGGCAGCGCCAACACCACCGCCGACGAGGAACGACTGCTGTTCAGCTGCTTCATGACCCGCGGTTGGCTGCGCCAGGAGGAGAATCAGTACCTCGCCGTGCCGCCCGAGATTGCCAAAACCCTGCCCGTCCGGATCCAGAAAATCATGGGCTACGCCCTGAGTGACGTGAGTTCCTTCCCACCACCATCTTTCCCCTGCTTCATTCCTCCCGCTAATCCCACGTCAGCCCATGCTCGGATGGCTCGAGTTCAAGGACCCCCGTAGTACAATCGACCCCGAGGCCGAGCGCGTCGCGCACAAGAAGAACAAGTACACCTAGTATGAGCGGGATCATGTGGGAGGAAATGTACATGTCATGGGCACCAATCAATCAATATAGATGACTTTGAGAGAGAGCACAATTGGCCATGGACTCAAAGGGCAGAGCTCTCTGGACCGATCATGGCAGAAATGAGAAGTTTTTGTATGCACGTCTAGCCTTCGTCGGTTCTTGTCTACTGCTGTATAGTTCCCTTGGGCCCCTTGGCAAATTCCAGCAACACGTTCCTCGTCACCAGCGCCGCCGTATTGTCGTAGCCGTTGTATCCAAGCCCGCAGTACCAGCTGATGCTGCCCACCGAGAAGACGGCGCCTCCCCCGCTCGTTTCGTAGTATGTCATGTCCGAGCGGATCAGGTCGGTCTGGGTCCCCAGCGTGCCTTGGATGGGGAAGCTAACGTCCTCGGGGAAGAGCCCAAAGTCGTCCGAGTGCCCGACGCTGGACGCGACCACGACCACGTTGGCCGGACTGCCGTAGGCGAAGTCGACCCGGTCGATCTCGTCGGCGCTGGCGCCGCCGCCGTACTCGCCCAGCGAGTTCTCGCCGATCAGTTGGCCCTCGGGAATGTCGCGGAACAGCCACGAGGCCAGTTCGGGGTGCGATTGCCGCAAGTCCTCGGTCTGGCGATAGGCGACACCTACAGTAGCCTCGTGTTAGAAAGAGAAAGAGGAGGTTGAAGGAGAAACATCCTTACCTGCGCCGTGTCCCTCTCCACAGCATCCGATCCCCACCAAGTAATTCGCCGCCTTGCCGTAATCTCGCCACAGGCCACCTTGTTGGCCGTTGAGGGAATGGTGCCGCTCGCCCGGCTCCTGCCACGAAGTGCGCACTCCCTGGCCTCCCCGGCGCACCTCGGACCGCCACGGTCGTTTGGGATCCGTCACCGACACCCAGTAGAAGCCGTTTCCACCGAGATACATCATATTTCCGCCTTGCTGGACAAATCCTTCGTAGGCCGCATACGACTGCAGCGTGGGATACTCTGGGTGGCACCCGGTGATGACCGTCGTGTAGGGTGCGAGCATGGAGGCTCCGTGGATGTGAAGGTCGTGGTCGGTCACCACGTCGTAGGGGACGCCCGACCGGTCGAGGAATCCGACCATGATCAGCTCGGCGCTCAGCTCGCGGGGACGGTGGCCGGACCAGTTGATGTAGTCCGGGCGGTTATTGAGCAGGGGCCGTTTGGCGGACGAGAAGACGACGCCACTGTGGTCCTTGTGGACGTCGTAGTGGGAAAGACCCAGATCCCGGCGTCGATCTTGCTTGTAGAACGTCTCGTCCTTGTAGAATTCCAGGTTGTCGAGGCCAGCGGGGATTTCGGCACGAGCTGGCGTGTCGGGGTCGAACATGTGGTCGTTGGCGTAGGCAAGATAGGTAAAGGTGGACATGACTATGGCAACCTTGGCTCCGATCTATGAGAACCTTTGTCAGTGCCTCACGGTATTCCAGAGCCTTGCCGGCATTTTTAGAGTGGGATTGATCTCACCTTGGCCGTGGTTGCGGCGGTAGGTCTCACGTAAAAGACCACGTTCTCGCCAACATCATCATCGCCGCCGCGGATCACGACACTGTACACACCCGATCTGGCGTCCTTGGGGATTTGAATGGTGAAATCCGTGTCCCACTCGGCGTCATCCAGATCGTCTTCATGAAAATGAATGGCTCCGTACCCATACTTTGCTTTGGTCCAATCGGTTTCCGAGCCATCCCAGTCGTGTCCTTTCATCGCTCGGCTGGGTGCGTTGACCAAATCACCGTGCCGCTTGGCTGGAGAGACGTCCAAGAAACGATCCCCCGACATTTCGACGGCGAAATCATATTTGGCGAGGACGCGCTCACGGGCCCCCGTGGTTCTCAGCTCGAGTGAGTCGAGTCGGCCGTTGTACTTGTTTGTCGGAACGACCGTCGGCGCGTTGTCTTGGGGTGACGCCTGTCGACTGGCCGCCACGAGCAATGGCGTACAGGCGGCGACCTTGATCGGGCTTTTCAAGTCGGCAGTGAACACCCTTTGCTTCGCTGCCGGCTCGGTGATGCGAGATTTGGGTGTCAGGACCGCCTCCAGTTGCGTTCCGCAGACAGTCAGGTCGAGTTTGAACCACCTCCGCTTCACGGGCGTGAAGCCGGAACAAACAACCTGGACGTCAGCGCCGCATCCGACCCAAAACTCCAGCTGCCCTTCCTGATCGAGTACCACGTCAATTCCGGTCTTGCTCGAGGCATCCAACGTAGAGACGAGGGCCTGGACGTGGTTGCATGGGATCAGCCATGGTTGCACGTAGACGGAGATCTTCAGCCCGTTGTCTGCTGCAGTCAGTCCAATATCCTTGACCCTGCCATACGAGCCGATGTGAGCGACTTGGTATCGACCATCCCGAGAGCCGCGGGGGATCTCTGTGATCTCCTCTTCCTTGTGCCGAGGGCTCTTCTCTCCCTCGTGGCCCTGGATGACGCGGACGGTCCGGTAATTGTACCTGGCTTCGGTACAAGAGACCTTGATGTCGACGCTCTCCCCGGGGCTCACGATCCAAGGTTCCGCATAGCCAATGATTTCCTTGGGATAATCTTTCGGGACCGGTACAATGGTAGTCATGGTAGAAGGGGGAAGAACTTTGAAGGGTCGGCCGTGAAATGCTGGCGACAAGGCGACGACACCCACCTTTTAGCCTGACATTATGGATCAACGTCTCTCGCAGGTGAACTCGGCGGGAATGGCTATCAGGATAGAGACACACCGAGACGTTGGCAGAGGCAGCCTGAGCGAATAGGAAGGCTGCAATATCCAGTTAGCAGTCTCTTCCCACCTCGAACGTGGAGAGTGTTGGTCAGTATCTAGGAGGGGCTTCGCATCTCGGATCTCCGCGCTTGATCGCTGCCGTAGCATTCTGGATTCAGGGACTTCGGCGTTCCAACGGCGTTGGTTGTGGCCAGCAAAAGAACCGCAGAACCACAGGCCGCTGGTGGCAACTGCACCGGAAAATGGCCGTAGACTGACTGATAAGAAGTGCATCCATAAAACGCTTGTCATCGTCTCCAGGACCTATTGATTATTAGGTAAGGAATTACGTCTAAGCCTTAGTATTTATCGACGACGGGCGCCGTGATTGAGTGTTTTAATTTAAACGAGGACCACAAATTTTAGGAATTTGGGAGGAACTAGAGAAGAGGAGTAGAGCCGAATATTTTCGACCAAGACCAAATGCTTCACTGCCTGTCGAAATATCCTACTAGATATACTTGTGTATGATTCGGATCATCACCCACGCCCCGGAGCCCTGAATGTGCATTGACTGGATTGGTGACCCTCCTGGGCGTGGCAAATGGACTCTTCGGCTCATCCCGCAACAAAATTACCAAAGGACGATTGCTTCGTGGAAGGTAAGGTGGAGATAGACCATTGCCAGGGTCGTCACATGTATAACCTACCCCAATCCTGGCTTAAAAAGGCTTCAGAGCCCGAAAATGCAGACATCCTTGCTGCCAACAGTACCCTCGAGCCTTCCTATGGAAATTGTTTTTGATTGAGACGAGGATGTCGGTAATTGGGTTATGAGACACGCAGAGAGACACGCACACAGACGGGGTCGTGATTGTATTGAATGAAAGGTTGGTCGATCGGAGAGTTTGAATGATACGCTCGATGCGAGAGGTATCGACTGACTGGCCGGGAGCGACCGTCTCTTGTCTATATGACAAACAATCACGCCAAAAGACGAGGGTACGCGAACGCACGGCCTGAAGATGGAGGAAGTCTTGGGGTTCATTCAGCAGTTTTATCAATCTCTATCTGCACACAGCCGCTGCGGAACCAAGCACCATCATGCTCTCAATGTCGAATTTTGATCTCCGACCTTCAGCCTTGATACACTCCGGAAAGAATAGTCCCGCGCAGCCTGCCTGCCCAATCTGGAGAGAATAACAGCTCGAGCGTATACACCGAGTCACGATGACGGCCATTGTCTCCGAGCGAGGGAGCGCCCGGTTTGTTGACATCGATGCTGAGGATGATTCAGCTTGCCGACTTGAGTCGATCTGTGGAGTTGCGTCCTCCAGTCGAACCCATCGGAGCTCGAGAGTCGACGGATTGAAAGGCTGGATCTTCAATTTCAACTGCTGTTTGACGTTTCATGCACGCAGCTACGACTGGTGACTCTGACATGAAGATGCGGTGTCAAGGGCCCCTTCATCTCCGATCCTTACTGCTCGAGGACCCACTGGGCTTACCAACGTACTGGTCGGATCGAGTGGGTGTATAGGAAGAAGATCCGGACCTGGTGCCCGAGATGGAGGACGAGATGCCCATCTCGGGCTTGGGGTCGTTCAGCGACGTGGGATTCCGGTCGACGGACGACGTGCTCGCATATTCCGACCCGCAGTTGCACGGGTAGTAGTCGGACTGGTTTCCGCAATAGGCACACTTGGGCATCTTGGAATGTGGTGGTTTGGGAATGCTTGGATGTCTGGCTGAGGTTCGGTTCTCTGGAGGCTGGGTATATTTATTGTCGGTGGACGGTCTCTTCGCAGTGGGTTTCTTAGTCTTGTTGCAGGTGGTGGTGTATGCGCAGAAAGGAGACAGCTGGAAACCAGCAGATGCGGACCTGCCTTTATACGGGTTGTCCATCATGTCACTGGGACGCGTTTGCGTCGGTGACAACTGAGTGTTTGTTGGGAGGTCGATTGTTGCGACGGACTGCAACGAACGGACTGAAGGTAGTGATGAAGTGTATCCTCAGATCGTGATATCCAACGAAGGTACCAGGAGGTCATGTGCCGGTGACGACGAGAAGTCGGAACATATGTGGAGGTGTTGCTGCCACTGAAGTGTGAGGCACAGGTGATAGTAGCTCTCAATCCTTCCAGCCCTTCTGAGAGGAGATGAGGAGCAATTATAAAGGAGACCAACTGGCAACGCAAGAGTTCGTCCCAGCGAGAGCGGTGAAAGGCAAACATCATGAGGGCAAAAATGCAGTCGGGACACGACTTTGTTTGGGAGCAGCTGCACAGGCGACGATGCGGTTGAGGATACACAGCCTCGACACTGGCCAGGTGGAAAGGTGGAAAGGTGTCACCGTCGAGACGATTTCCTGCCTTGGATTCCCCGGCTCCCCGCTGCCGTGGTCGGTTTCAGGCTTTCAGCAGCAGCCACTGTTTCCCGTCGTTCTGCTTGTTCTCGAAAATTCGGTGAGCCGCTGCTGTGTCACCTCCCCTCCCGACAACAAACGGCAATGGCAAAACCCCGGGTGTCAAACAATCTTCACCCTGGAGGTGGTACTCTCACCAACGGCAACGGTGTGGGCGACTATCAGTGCTGGACAGGCCGTCAACGGCGTGGATCCTGCCCCTTTCAACAGCTCCGAAATTGATGGCGAACAGATCTCAGATGTACGGGGGCGCCACTCGATTGCTAGCCTTGGTTATCACGGTGGTTCCAAGCTCTCGGCACTTGTGTGACATTGGTTTGGTGCTGTCGAATGTTGCCAGCTGAGAATCCCCTCTGCACGCCACAGCCGGTGGTAGAGACGAGCTGTCGAGGCACGTCAGAACTGTCGAAGACGCCGCAGGGTGGCAACTAGAAGACTGTCCACCCACAGATACTGAAGGAGCGTACCTTGAGAAGCATGAGTTGCCAGCAACCAGCGAACAACCCCGAGAGCCATGAACTGTGTCCCTGCGGTCAGTGAGTCTGGAAATCCAGGTGACTCAGTGTACTCTATTGAAACTGCCGAATTGGCACTGTACGTTCTTCAACAGCTGCATCAGAGACTTATAGTCGTCGATCTTCACGGTACCCGGTATGACGGTCGACTGGTTCAGACCTTCCATACGTCTAGGATGACAATATCTTGCTGACACTGGGAAGGTCGGTGTGGCGGTGACGTGCGGCTCATGACTGATGTTGTTGCAACCAGGAAATTCCATTTCCCATATGCTCCCACTTCTTCCAGAAAATGAGCGAATGATCACCTCGAACCGGGCGGTGAGATGGGAGGATAATGTCATTTCGTTCAACCAAGGAAGTAGACTTCAGTTGAGATCTCTAGCAATGTTGGAAAGTTGTACGAGCCTCCCACGACACCCAGACCCATCTATTTGCCTCCTTCTTTCACGCTGACACTCAGACCGCCATCTGGAACTTGAACAGGTCTCTGCTGACGACGTCATCCTTCTTGGCCTCCAGTTCAGTCACGTCCCAGTTGCTATTGAGGTATCTGCCCGACAACCAGTCCCTCTTGGACGCCGTCAGCCACGTCAAGAAGCCCCCGCAGAGGCCGATGTCGTCGTTCAAGACTGTTGGACAATGGTGGTCAGCATACCTATTCTTTCTGGGGATTCGGCGTAGGGGGTCTTTGTACTTACTCGGCTTCCACTTGGAGCCATCCGACAGGGTGAGATGCGCCTCCGTCTGTGGTGTCAGGACCACACCGGGATGCACAGCATAGAAGACCAGGCCGGATTTGGCGTAGTCGTTGTGCAAGGACTCGACAAGCCGGTTCTGCGCCAACTTGGAAATGTTGTACGCCAGTGGCGTGAAGCCGCTGTTGGGGAAGTGGGAGGTGACGGAGCTGATGGCGATGAAGGCTTGGGCTCCGTTGTCCGACGCCTTCAGGAGCGGAATGAAGTATTTGGCCAGATAGTAGGTGCCCACCAAGTTGATGTCGATCACGCTCGGGAAATCCAGGTCCTCCTCCACGTTGTACGGAAGACGGGTTGAACCGTCCTCGGCCGTGTAGTACTTGCCCATCACACCGGCGTTGGCGATCACCACGTCTGCTCGCCCGAACCGCGCCTTGGTATCTGCTGCCAGCTTCGCCACGTCGGCTTCCTTGGCCGCGTCGGCCACGAGTGCGAGCACGCCGATGGAAGGGTTGACGGCTTTCAACTGGCGGCTGAGCGCGTCAAGGTCCGACTGGGTGCGGGAGGAAACCACCAAGGCGGTGGCGCCGGCTTTGGCATACGCCAGGGCGGTGTGAAAGCCTAGCCCCTTCCCGGCGCCGGTGACGACCACAACGAATGGCTTCGTGGGGACAGGGTTGTTCGACGGCGAGGTCGGGCCCTCCGCCTTGTTGTGCAGGGTGGGTGTGACTTGGAAGCCGAAGGAAGGGGGAAAGTGCGCCATGTTTTTGGGTGCAGGAGAGTTGGATTGAGATTTCAATATGCGTATAAACAGGTTGGTTATAGTATCTACTGGAGGCAGAAGACAGGTTTGTCGAGGCGGGTGGGCGGATTGTTGTCTATGGGGGTTTGACTTGCCTTCGACCTCGATGCCATCCCAGCTCCTTTTGTACTTTTCAGCGTCCACTCTCGCAAACCCCTCCCTTCTTCTCATCCAGCCGACTGCTGCAAATCCACCAAGCAAGACATTTTTGTCGAGCTTACGAAGCCGTAACAGTCCATGATGGCATTGTCACATTTTGGAACACCTGGCGAAGGGAAGAGATCGAAGGGGTGACCGTTCGACGCTGACAAAGAGCAGTGTGCGAGGTTTCTCGAACGCTACTGCGGCGAGAGGAGCGTTAGCTGAAGGCACCAGTGACTGTGCGCAATCGCATTGACATACAGGACGAGCAGCCGAGTTGAGCAGTCGTGTGTGCTGTGTGCCATCGAAAGCTATCCACGAGAAACATCCTGCTGAGTAACAGGTATAACGATTGATTCCCTCTGTCATCACGACAAAAGGTTGTAAGATGATGCCGACCGGGGATAGGGCGATGCATTCTCGAATCCCTCGAGGTGTCCTCGGCCAATGGGCGTTCGCACGGGGATGTCCAATGTACCTACGGGCAACCCCCGAGATGGATCCAGGTCAGGGGCATGAGGAGCATGGAAAGGGGAACAAACAGATCCAGGTACAGGAACAGGTTCAGGTACACGTACAGACAGGTCCACGAACTATTGACTAGTTGATAACCAAGCAGGAGGACATACCTTATGACCAAGGACCTCAAACTCAACCCTCTCTCCTCCTTTTCCGGAGATGTTGGGTATTGTTCTGATTGGAATAGGTCACAGTGGATGGCGAGGCTCTGCTGAATGTTCACAAAGGAACCCAAGACTAAAAGGACGGCTTGACCATCGACCGAGGCTCGGCGCCATGACTGCCTTGCCCAGGATATTAGTCATGGCGAGGTTGATGGTGCTTAGGGGCTGGCACGCTGGTTACATAGTTTCTTATGTCGTTGGTGCTGTGTATGGATGCTTGCCTCTATTGACATCACGTCGTAACGATGGCTGGACCACCTGCAGCCAGCGTCTGTACCCGACGCAAGGCTGAATGTTTTAGCCTTTTGCTCCCGGTCCTCCTCACCTCACGAAAAGATAATCAATACCATCGGCAGTTTTTAATTCACCTTGGCCCAATGGGTTTGGTTGACTCGTGAGCCTTTTCACTGCCGATGTAATATAGCTGTTTGGCAATGTAAGCGATGACAATGACAACGATGAATGAAGGAGCCACTAATAGGGAAGAATGATGGAATGGAAAGGAAAAGATCCCGGCTGCTTCAAGCCGGGCTGGTCAAAAGCGGCGTTTTTTTTTTGACAGGGACATGTCTACGTATGGACGGACGGAGAACTTGCTGTTCTCAGGTATGTACCTAGATATGGATGGTTGTATGCATGTGCTTAGAAGCGGCGTGGACTGGGTGTGTTGTTGCGCGCCCGAGGAATATCCCCTGCCCCCTAGATCTAGATTCTAGACCGTTGGACCTGATCAGTAATCCGTACCAGGGCATCTAGGTACCGACCTAGGTATGTCACTACAAAGATGAGAATCTTGTAGGATTATCCGCGCTGGGTCTGGCTTCCTACCTCCTCTAGAATGGAATCTGAGAAGGGGTGCGTTTTGATAACGTTTTGTGGGTTGCAGGGCAGAGAGAAGGAGGGAGATGGATGGAGCGAGCGAGCGATGCGTTCCACCCACTCATCGTGCCCTCATTGCCCCTCAAAGGCAGAGGCTACATAGTAAAGGGATCGAAAGAACAGGAGAAGGGAGCAGAATTTGGGCGTTAGTGACTCTGGGTTAAGCCGGCATCTGCCCCAGGAGAACACGCTATACTGCACGTCATACATCATACATCATACCACGATGGGACACTTCACCGTGCCCTCCAACAGCGCGATCAACTCTCTCACGTCCGCCAGGTTCTCCAGCCCTAGGACGCACTTCTCGATCTGATCGCGCCGGTCGTCGTCGAGCACGTCCCGCACGAGCATGCGCCACTTGTCCACGATATCCTCGTCGGACGCGGGGGGCAGGATGCCCCGGGGCCAGTCGACCAGGGTCTCGACGGTCGTGGCATTTTCGCCGGCGAACCGCACCGTCACGACCGTCCGCCACCCCTTGCGCCGGTCGCCGTCGAAGGCCGGGTTGTGGGTGGGCGTGACCTTGGCCATGATCTCGCGCAGCAAGGGCCGGTTCAGCCGGTCGGCGCCGAACTGCGCCATCAGCACCTCGCGGTCGACCAGCTGCGCGGCGGCGGCGTACTGGATCGACATCTGCGCCGCGGTCGAGGAGAGCGGCCGGTCCGCCGGGGCGGCCCAACCGCCGTGCTCGAAGGCTGGCTTCGCGTGCTGCGTCGTGATGGCCGCGATGTTGCCCAGGTTCTCGGCCGCGAAGAGCGGCCCGTGCTCGCGCTGCAGCTTCGCGATGCAGTCGATCGTCCCGTGCAGCCCGGCCATGGCGGCGTGCAGCTTGACGCGAATGCCGTGCAGTTCCCACTTCTCCCCGAGCCCGCTGATGAGCTCGTCCGGGAGTGACTTGGGGGTGAAGTTGGTCACGCCCTCGGAGAACATGGATAGGAAGCCGCCGTAGGGCGTCTCGTACACCTCCTGGATCCCCGTGTACCCTCCCCTCGCGAGCAAGGCCGCGAAGAGGCCGTTGCGCGCCCCGAAGCCGTGTTGCATGCGTTTCGCCATCGACCCGAATTGCGCCGACATCAGGCCGCCGGTTTGCGTGCAGGCTATCCCCAGCGCGGACTCGATGTACCCGGGCGGCAAGCCCAGCAGGGAGGACACGGCCGCGGCGGAGGCCGAGGGCCCTTGCACGGCTCCGGAGTGCCAGCCACGCGAGAGAAGGTCCATGCCGTGCAGAGCCAATCCGACGCGGGGCCCAACTTCACAGCCCACGATAAACGCTTTGAGGTAGTCTTGGCCGGAGAAGGTGCGTGAAGTCTCTGCCTCGGCGGCGGCGAAGAGTGCAGGCAGGAGAATGGAGCACGAATGCAGCGGTGCGTTGGAGTGGTAGTCGTCGAGCTCGAAGCCTTGGATGAAGGTGCTGTTCAAGATGCTCGCGGCGAGCGGCGACAGTTTCTTGCTCCCGCCCCATCCCATCACCGTGCATTGGCCCTCGGGTTCCATGTTGAAGATTGCTCGTGCCGCGATCTCGGACCACGGTAAGTGCGCCCCGACCAGACCGCAGGCAATGCCATCGAGGATGAGATACTTTGCGCGCCTCACCACGTCGTCGGGGATGGAGCTGATGGTCGTGTCGTGGATCCAGGTGCAGAGTTTGCCCGTGATGCTGGACGGGTTGCTGACGGCAGTGGATTCGTGGTGTGTTTGCTCCTCTTCCGTGGTTGTCGCTGGTGGAGGAGCCATTGCGTCTCAAGTATTCTTCGCAGTACAATAGGAATGATAGAAGAGTTGTTGTCTGGTTATCTTCACCGTAGGAGTGTTCGCTGGACGGATTGGAATCGATTCACGGCGACAACACCAAGGGTTATATAGTCTCGTTGAGGCCGTCATTCAGGCCCCGATGCTTCATCTATAACATACTTACCTTGGGCTTGGGCCTGAGTGCGAAAGCGAGCAGACATTATGGTGAAACCTCGCACTTACAAGGCCCTTGGCCCTGGAAGCCTAAAAACGGAGCGGTACCGGCAGTGGATCGGAATATATGTGGCCTGGAGGGTTAGTATGGCTGAATGCTTGGATTATAGAGAAACACGAGGGCGACGGTCTCCTTTATTATCACGTCCGAAACAGGAGCTGGACGCCGTTGAGGGGTTGGACAAGGGGATGTGAGCGACATTCTCGAAGAGCAGCTGAGCTGGTGAGATGCGGATTCTCGGGTCTTGATACTCCGAAGGAGCGGAACAACGATATACCGAGGCCGATTTTAGTCTGCAACTCCGGTCCGACTTTGAATGCATCGGAGTCAAGGGATCCCACGAGATACTAGGGCTGCTTGGACACGCAGACACCCAGCCTCTCACTGATTATGGCTAATTCTGCTTGCCAGGTCTAGCTTGGGCTTGTTCTACGACTACGGTGGACGTCTCAGGCGCCCTGTGTTTGTCCAAGCGACGCGTTCTCCAAACCATTCCTTTCTTCTTGATACACCACAACGCCACCCCGCCAAAACTGCCACTCCATAGACCCAAGACGGTGAAATACCAGCCTCTGCCTGCGGCGTCGAGCAGAGGCTGCAGCACCGCGACGCCCGCAGCCGCCATGGCACATCTCGTGATGCTTGCAGCTGCCGCCGCCGTGCTGGGACTCTGCGGAAACACGTCGACCAGCAACGTGTTGTAGACCGTGTAGAAACACGTGCCCCAGAACCCCTGCATGAACTGCAAAATCAACAAGACTGAGACATGGACATGATACTGTACAGCCCAGCCGTACCCAATGACGCCAGATGTGGAAACCAGCAACAGCCAGCCGCTGCCACGGGATCGGGCCCGTTCGATCGGAAACTCTCTCAAGTCGTCGCCTGATAGAGTGTCGATGTTCCAGTTGATCTGACGGGCTGTGGCCTTGTAGTTGAAGTCCATGACTCGACCGACGCAGTAGCCACCGACAGTGATCCCGATGCCGCGCGGGAGGTATGTCAGCCCAATCTGCAACTCGTTGAAGTGATAGATCTGCTTGTATATATCAGGTATCGCGGCGACCAGCGAGTAGTCCACGGTGTAGAACGATCCGTGCATCCAGAGCACGAAGAAAGTATCGAGGTGAAAAATGATCCGCAGGCACGTCAGTGGGTTGTCGACCTGGAGGCGCGAGAGTAACTTTGGATAGGTCGACGACTGCTCCTCGTCCAGCCTACCTCGCAACGTCCAACCCCAGCCCCTGCCTTGCTTTTTGCACTCCTTCTCGGGAGATTGATTGAAATGAGCCGCGTGATGATACGCAACCAAGTCCATTCCCAGATTGGCAGGCCTGCTCTCTTCTCGCCATTGCCCACGAGCGATCGAGCCGTCTCCGGTAAGAAGGCTCCGACCAAGAACAGCAGCACAGCGCCGACAATGACCAGCGCCAAAAAGATCCATTCAAAACTGCCGCTGGAATACGCGACCTATCCACCGACCACCGGGCCGATACAAGCGCCCAGATTCAAGGCCATGCTGACCGGTCCCAGCATCCTCCCCCGTTCGCTTAGCACGCAGACATCAGCGACAACGCCGAAGCTGATGGCGTAAGCCGCACTTGCACCCAGGCTCTGGATCGCCCGTAGGCCCAGCAGAATGCCGTAGTGGTTCCGGTTAAGGGCTAAGCCCAGGTTCGTCGCCAAGTACAGCGACAGCGTGAATAGATACGCCGGCCGCCGCCCCACAGTGTCCGACAATGGTCCGAAGATCGCCGGAGAGATCGTCTTGAAGACGATATAGATTGTGAGGGTGAGGTTAATAGCCTGTGACGTTGTGTGGGAATACTCTCTCAGAAGAGGCAGAAGGGGGAAATATATCGTGGCCGTCAGTGGAGACGTAATGGTAGCGAAACCAAGCAGCGCAATGAGCAGACGCTTTTGGTTCGGCCCAAAGATCGTGTAAGGGGCAGGTGCTGGGCCATCTTCTACAGCCTTGAGCTCCATGGAGCCCTCGGTCTGTTCTAGGGGACGCCGTCCCAAATCGTCATAGACATGTCCGTAAAGACTAGGTCGGGCGGACGCGATCACAAGCTAGGAGGCGAGGGAGGGTTAGAAGCATCCACAATGTGATTTATACCCGTAGCCTTTAGAATCTTTCAAAACTTTGAATACGATGTTGGAGAAGCAGACACAGGACTCCGTTCTGTGGCGGTGAGCCAACATATATGAGGATGTGTTTTTGCGGGGCTGGTATGTAAGGATCTACCTCAATACCGAGGAGGCACTGAAGTATTTGAAGGGCATTCAAGCGGGGCATATTCATTGACAGTAGACCGCAACAACTGAAGAACTGGCCTTATCTGTCGAAGACCCAAGAATGCTCGACAACAACGTAAATCGTCGTCCCCACATATTCAAGCAGGACGACTGAGCCGAAGAGAGCCAGAGCGCTCTGTGGATTTTGTGGATTCCAATATCAATACAGCCGCCGCTAATCAAGGGGGGAAAATCTATTGATTGTAACATAGGAAGACTGCTTCTCAGACGCAAATCATTCCATGTTCGGCGTCGCCGATGGAAGAGTCTCAAGCAGAGATACCAGCAACATTGCTTCTAATTACAACGATACTGCCTTCCTGGATGCAAAACAGTGTCCCGTCTCGTAACATGGTGCATAGCACGAGATCTTCAGCCTTTGTCCAATCCCTGGGGATGAAGTAGTGACGTGTCAGCGAATCCATCCGTCCTGGCTTACGCAGGCTGATGGTGCAGACCCAAAAGTCTCGGTCGAGAAAGACCAGCAAAGGGCCCGGCAAAACGCCCAAAGGCATTTCAAGTCTCTCCGCCAGATCGTCCGCAATTTCTCCATTTTCGAGTGCAACTCCCTTGCCCGTGCCTATAGCTGCATCCAACGCTCTCACTTCTAATATAAGGAGCCTTTTGCGAACTCCATCTTTTGGTAGGGATTCCTTGAGATGTACCAGAATGTGCTTGCCATCTTGGGTGAGCATGATTTTGTTGATTTTTGTTAGGATTTCCCGTCCCAGGATTGACAGATCGGTTGTTTGTGCGCTGTTGGCAGAGTCGTTCTGTGAGGGGATGGAGGCAGGCTGTCTCACCAAAGATGAAACTCCGTCGCCGATCTTGAAATGGTGCATTTGCTGTGAGGTGGACCATTGATATATCCCGATATGTTCAGACCCGACTCCCAGGAACAATTCATGATTGGTGGGATGGTCAAGCCAGCCCTGTTGGGCAGCACGGTCTATGAGTGCAGAACTATTTATTCTGCAATTAACAATGTCCCATATCTGAGCAAGGCCATCGCTGATGACGAGAAGCAGTCGTGATGAGAAATCCATTAGCATCTGATGTATCGAGCCGCCTTCAAGAGCCAAGCTTGGACGTTGTAAATGCCGAACATCCGTTTGCTTGAGATGTCTCGAGTTAATGTTGTCGATCTCCATTATGCGAACGTCAACTCCAAGATCGGCGGCAACGACGATACTGCCACTAGGACTCCAGACGAGATGACCAACGTGTTGAAAGTCGGGGAAGCTTGTTAGTTCAATCTGGAATGTGCCTCGGACATCCGCAAGATAAACTCGGCCATCATCATGTCCAGTTACGTACCACAGGCCATCTGGAGCTGCAGCGAGGGCGGTAAGGCCTGGAGATTGTGGCGCATTCGCCTGGCGTATGCGGGAAATGACTGCATCTTGCTGTTTCTCACCGGCGGCGTCGCTGAAAGTTTCTTTTGATTCTGCAAGCTGATTCAAGCCACTAGGCTCCCATGCAGTGATAGTAGATCCCCGGATATCATAAAACCGCGCGGAATCCGGGCTGAAGCATAACCCGCTGACCAGGCCCCCTGAAGAGATTTGGTAAGTTACGGTGAAAGATGCAAAGTCCCAGAGTTTGACAACGCCATCGCTGTCACTCGTCACAAAATGTTTCCCGTTCGGACTCGAGACCAACCCGTCGACACAGGCAGAGACTTCATAGATTTCATCTGTCACAGGGTGCCATTTGAAAAGATTGTTGCCCTTGTACCAGCCGATGATATGACCGGTGACAGGATTCCAGTCGAGAAGTTCCACGGGAAACCAAGTTTGCGAAGAGATCGACTCTGAATCAACCCGGGCAATGGGTCTCAAGCATCGACTAATGAGGGTCGCCTTGTTGAGGTCCCAGACTGTGAGAGGAAACGACCTATAGCACACTGCAACTTGTGTTCCGGTTGCGTTGAAAACCATACGACTCGGACTATTGATGATGACCAGGTCAGATTGAGGATTCTCTTTGAGCAGGGACGCATCGAGAACTTTCCACGTAGCTCCACTTTCTGCTATATCCAAGAACCTGACCGAACTGTCATCTGTTGCAGCCAGGATGCGCCGGTCATTCATTGCAAATGTAAGCGACCTGGCTCGGCTGTTTCCTGTGTGTGGCACTTGAAGTCGGACGGTGCCCGCATGAACGTCCCAGACGATTGTTGTCCTCAAACCGTAGGTCACAAGTATGTCGCCTCGGTTGTTCAAGCACATATCTATGATGGGCTCATCATGACGGAGCGTGCACACCTCTTTGAAACTGGTCGAACTCCATATATGTACAATACCACCTTGTGTGAACACTGCTAAATGAGGTCCGGACGACACAATCTTCAAAATTGTCTGGTCTTGAGAAAGTGAAAAATGCGCAATTACGTCTGTCCATGACTCGTCCTGACCAGATACCGTGATCTTCGAGTTCTTGTATTGGTAGAATTGGCGGCTGATCATAGAAGCCGAAGGAGATAATGCTGGAATTATCTCGTAGATGGCGTAGGGCTGTGTTATAAGATGTTTGTTAAATTTTGCTGCTATCCTCACCAGGTCCATCCCCCAGTTTCCGAGGAGTTCCATGGTATTTAGCTGAGCAGAAGTTGATCTTTCGCTTTTGCGAGAGCTGGTGACGAAATTCAACAGAGCATTTCCAGCCCTTGCCAATGTGCTGATCTGGTCTAGGACCGCGACAACGTATATCCAATCGAGAACATGGGGGCGGCTGAAAAACGTTTCTAGTGCATCAAGGCCCTCCTGAGAATCTGAACCAGCATAGCCAAGGTAGTAGAACCACGAGTTCGCCACGTAAAGTGTGAATGGGTGCTGAGCTTCAAGCTCTTTTCGGAGCGACAGGCTCTCTCTCGAACCGAGGGCCAGAGCACGGATAGATAGTTTACTGAGACTGGAGAGGCTCTTTCTCAGGACGCTGGTGTTAGCCCTTTTGCGATTAAGTTCAATCATCCTATTGGGAGCATTTGTCAGAAAGTCGCGCGCAGTTTGGTGGATCATCGTTACATGGTTCGTGCTGTCGATGAGAATGAATTGGCCACAGACGTCGCGAACGGCCTTCTTCAGATCCAGGACATCAGGATAATCTTTGCTGATGGCGTCCCGTAATTGATCCAGGGTCAAGGGTCGTGGTACACAAATCACCCACTGGAGTAGCTCTTTTGCCAATTTCACCCGTCGCCCATTGGGATTTTCCGTAATTGCAAGTTGCATTCGTGAGTACATTTCCTTGAAGTTCTCAGGTATTTGTTCCAAAGTGGCCTGAATCTCGCTTTCGGTTTGGCACTTGTGCAGCTCTTCCAGCACAATACTCACCCAGAGAAAGTTTCCCCTTGCCCGTTTCAAGATTTCTTGCCGAAGTCGTTCCCGAATGGCTGTGTCTCCATGCAGATTTGCAAGTTCCCTGTCGACGAGTAGCTTGATGTCTTCGTCATTGTGAAGCTGACCTTCTCCGTCGATTATGTTGACTTTTCGAAAGCGGTCGAGCTTTTTGAACTGCAGCGCAAGCGCTTCTGTCCGCCGGCTAGTGATCAAGACTTTCATTTGTATCCGTGCTTGTGAGAGAAGTTCTTCTAACAGTTCGACAACCAGCTGGGGTGACTCTGATTCGTCCAGGCCATCTATAACCCAGAAGAGCGGATGCGGGAAACTTTTAGAGAACAAGAGATCCTCAAATAATATCCGCCACAGGAAGCGGTAGTCGTCCCCATCGAAGCGAGTGCCTTCAGCACTGGTCATGCGTATCTCTTCCTCGTAGTCAGGCATAATCGAAGATATTTGATGCGCCAGTGACTTCAGCATCCCCCCTATTGATCGTCTCGTCTGGTCTCCAGAGTTGAAGAAATAATACTGACAGTGGTAGCCATTTGATTGAAGATGGTGAATGACATGGCTCGAGAGGACGGATTTCCCATGAGCAGGTGGTGCATTGTACCATATCAAATGAGCATCGGAGAGGTTTGTGAGCCACTGCTGAGTTCCAGGATCCCGTAAGAACCATTCGCAACTTCCTGCCACCCGGCGTTTTCGGAGAGTGATGAAATCCTCGGCAGGAGTGCGTGAGAGATCCAGCATCTTTTTGATATCTTTTCCGGTATTCAGAGCCTGGACATCATATGTCCGGAGAGCGCTACGCTCGAACTTCTCCACGAGATCTTTCAAAGCGTCCCTCACTATTCTGAATTCCGGAGCTTCCTCGGTGGCGAATTTGCAGATCGTGTGATGGTCGGCAGGTAGACCTCTTGAATCCTCGTTGGTGTAGCCCAAAATAGCTGAATCCTTGCGGACAATCATTAGCGCATTTCCCAGTACAAGGGTGGGATGCTCCTCATAAAAAGAAAAGATCGAAAGATTCGGGGCCACATGTCGGAATTGATCATTGATATCTTCAATGGCTGAAGAGTTTCGTTCAAGTTCTTTGATAAAGGATTTTTTGGACTGAAGCGTGGCTTTCAGAATGAGGTTCAGTACAAGGCTGAGATTTGACCCCCGGTGAGGCGTCGACAGAAAAACAATCCCCATGATCGACCGGGCGATTCGTGTACAATTTTGGTCATTCTGAGCCATCAGATAGGTCTTCTTGACGACTAGACCACCCATGGAGTGAGCGACAAATATGATAGGTGCGTCCCCGATTCTCAAGCTGTGTTCCTGGTTGCTCCTGCTGTATCGCATGTCGAACAAAAGTGACCTTGCAAAACTCATGATATTGGACACACTCTTGGGACCGTGCAATTGCGAAGGGTATCCATAGGTAAACAGCCTGGCTTTTCGGATTTTGGGGTCGTTTGGGAGCCATGACCCAGGCCAGAAAAACTCGATATTGTGGTCTTTCGACCACGTTTTGTAACTGTGCCCACCAAGACCATGTACAAAGATGATATCGGCAATGGGCCTCGACTTTGGCTGGTGGATGATATGAAGACCCAGAGCTTTGGTATCATGTCCTGGAAAGGAGCGTCCTTCTACGGCATTTATCGCTGTCGAACCCGGGTTGAAGGGACTCAGAGCAGGAAGAGTCGTGACGGAACGGGAACTCTCTCCTCCTGCACGAGAATCAACCGTTAGGTTCTCTTCAGTGGCATTTGATGGGCCGTTCGGATGTTCAACTGCTTGCCTGCCTCGGTGAGAGAGGCTGGATCGTAGTTTTCCTAGCTACAATTCAAGCTGTTTAGCCAGGATTTTCGAGGCTGGAGCAGGATAACACACCATTTGGGGGCCAGTAGAATGCTTGGTTTAAGGGACGGTCTCGATACACGTACGGCGATCACCATCAGACCCAGAGCTGTGATGATGATGGAGGTCGAGAGGAAAGTGTATGAGAGATGGCAGTGTGAGCGGCTCAGTATTTTCAGCAGACATCCCTCAAGCTTGGGGCCTAAAAGGCAGCTTCAAGGCAACTCGACGCATCCACATAAAGCCGCAGCCCTCAAGTCTGCCTGCCTTATCAGGTCCGTCACAAATTGGTACAATCTTGAAAAACTGCTGATGGCGTATGTATGGAAAGTGTTTGCATTAGATGAATGGATGGGTGGTGGGTGCAAAAAGCCATGCCCAACCTCCATGATGGTGCCCCCTTCGAAGCGACGCTGCGATTGATTTGGAAATCGCCGTATTTGGATGGCTCAGACATTGACGCTGGCACCTGCATTAGACTGTCTCAGAGGTGGTGGGCGGCTGTTGGGATGGTGGGAGGATAATCTGTCGTTGTCCTCGCAAGGAGGAGAAGCCGAAACTGGGCGGCTAAAATGCATCGCTAAGGCGTCGCTGGTGTTTGACTTCAGGCCCGTCGATTCCGCGAACACAAGCTCGGCGTCAGCATCAGCCACCGTAGGGGTATATAAAAGTCGTTGCAAGAACTCCCGTCGGATACATATGCGTCGCTGATGCCTCCCAGTCCTCTTGACGAGAAGCAACGTGCACATTTCAGGCTCGCCGAGCGCCAGTGTTGTCGACGACGATGCCCACGAGGTCGACTAGCAGTCCTCCTCCAAATCTACTCACAGTTCCTCTGCTCCGTCATCCCTCTGTTTCAGGCGTCTCAGCTACCTCGTGCCTGACCATCTTTCGCTCCGTTTACAAGAAAACATGCATTGGTTGGACTAGGTAGGTACCATGCCACGTCCATCGTCACGCGGTGGAATGCAGGTGAGCAAGAGAATGTCAAATGCAAGGAATGCACACAAAGGCAGGTAGAGAAGGACAAGAATGTCAACAATGAGAGGTTGTCATCGAGAAAAAGAATGCCCAAGGAGCATGGATGACCAACAACAACCACACTGTTGTCTTTGTTCCAAGCGTGAAAGTTGCGAACATCGGCCCTCCCGCTCTCCCAATTCCTGGAGCTAGATCTGTGGCAATTTGCTCTTCTTTTGGGCCTGCGTCCCGAGTTCTGAGCTACTGGAATTTCTTCTGTATCCGTGTTCAATGAGCGAGGCCACGCACCGGTCTCGCTATGACGCAACCAAACTGACAGCGACCGAGGGCGATTTCTTCTTGGACGACAATATTGTCAATAGCTTCCCTCTGCATACCAAAATCCTGTCTGCCAAAGAGATTGCCCACTCCAGATGGTCCTTCCTGGCCCGCTTGGAAGTCGAAGAGCCGGACGGGAGACACACTGCATACTTTCTGAAATGCGCCACCGGGGACCAGGGTCGGCTTATTGTGGCAGGGGAGTTCAGCTCCATGGCCGAGCTGTACAATGCAATGCCAGATCTGGTCCCGAAGCCGTACGCCTGGGGCAAGTGCTCAGCATCGTCTCCGGAGGCGTACTTTCTCCTCGCCGAGTTCATCGGGATATTACCTGGCTGCGACCCAGAGCCTAATCAGCTCTGTGCCAAGTTGGCAAGGCTGCATAAAACCAGCCTCTCTCCTACAGGGAAATTCGGCTTCCACATCACGACATGTCAGGGTCGGATCCCTCAAGCCATTGCATGGGAGAGCAGTTGGACGGTCTACTTCAGCAATCTACTCCGCCATATTATTGCGCTCGACGACACAGAGAATGGTCGGTGGGACGCACTCAGCGCGCTTGAGGACCGGCTTCTTGCCCATGTGGTGCCGGCCCTCCTGGACAACCTCACGAAAGACGGCCGCGTGGTGAAACCGTCCCTCATCCACGGTGATCTCTGGGAAGGCAACACGGGCACCTCGTACCAGACGGGGGACATCTACCTCTTCGACGCCGCGGCCATGTACGCGCACCACGAGTTCGAGATTGGGAACTGGCGGTGCAGCTACAACAAGATCCACAACAAGGTCTACACCCAGACGTACCTCCGCTACAACGGACCCAGCGAGCCGACGGAAGAATGGGCCGACCGGAATCGACTGTATTGCATCTACTATAATGTACTGTACTCGGTGAACCATCGGAGCCAAGGCACGGCCGTGCGTCAAACGTGAGTTTCCTCGCCGTGGTGGCTGGCCAGCACACTCTCTGGACAGTCATGGAACTAATACACAACGCTTTTGTTATCCAGGGCCTTCGACGACATGTACTACCTCATCGACAAGTTCGCGCCCTTCCCCGACGGCCAAGGGCCCGAACGGATCAAAGATGCGGATAGAGCCACGCTCTCCGACGAGGGAGACCACACCAAGAGCTGAAAACGGGACGAATGAAAATTTGCAGGAAGGCATGAGCAGCGCCCATATAGCATTATCTACTACCATTCCAACTTCTTATCCCCCGTCTTGCCTTCCTCCCCACCACCCTGCACTGCCGCCCTGACCATGGACGTCTCGATCTCTTCCTTCCCGGCGCCTGTGAACCGCTCCCAGATGCCCTTCCCGAACTTGCGGTAACTCTCGGCCACGCCGTTGTTGACAGTCAGGTTGTACTCCATCTCGGACAGCTGGAAGGGGAACGCCTGGCCCGCGACCGTGATGGTCCGGGCGGGGATGTCCAGCGTGATCTCCTCGCCCTCCCGCGCGGCGTCGTAGAACGCTTCGTCCGTCATGGTGACCCCCAGCAGGCCCAGGCTGGGCTGGTTGCGGCCGTAGATGAAGGCGAACGAGCGGGCTATCACCGCCTGGACGCCCGCGCCTACATACCCTCAATCGTCAGACGTGGATACTCCTCAATTCACACGGGAGTTTGTGGGGACCAAAGCAATCCAAGGGCAAGAACGAAGAAACTCTGAAGGCGAGAAAAGAAAAGGTGACGAAGACAAAAAGCTGACAAACCTTTCAAAGCACCCACGGCCATCTCGCGACTCGACCCGACGCCAAACGCATGCCCGGCCACCACGACCTGCTGGCCCCCGCGCACTTTGGCCCGGAAGTCAGGGTGCGTGTGCTCGAGGACGTGCTCCCCGAACTCCTCGTCGGTCACGCACGACGTCAACGTGTGTCCTGGAGCCAGCTGTACGACATGTCACGGAGAGCAAAGAATGTCAGCCTGGGCTCGCGGGTCCGCCTTCCTCCCCTTTCTGTTTGGATGTGTGGACTGTTCCTGACTTACCGCGTCCGTGTCGATGAAGTCGCCCAGCGTGACGACCTTACTTGTGATCTTGTCCAGCTTTCTCGGCGGCTGGTCTTCCGCATCCGGGAGAAGAGGCAACGTGGTGGTGGTAGCGCTGCTGCTGTTCGTCGGCCCAGCACTCGAGCTGCTGAGATCGGGCTCGACGTATTCAATGGGGACCATGTCCACCTCAGGGAGAGGACGGTACCGTTTGAAGAAATCCATGTCCAGCTCCGAGAGAAAGTCCGCCGGGCTGGTGATGGACATGCTGAAGCTCGAGGCCGCGCAGACCATTGCGGACGTGACGTGGCCGAAGGCGCCTATACAGTGATCAAGCGATCAGCACACACCCATACCGAACAGAAAAAAAAAGAACACTCCTTTTTCTAGAGATCGTAGAGACGTCGAATTAAGCGACTCACCCTTGCCCATGCGGTTCTGGAAATTGCGGTTCTGCGAGCTCAACCACGTCTCGCCCTCATCGGCGTGCTCGGCCGAGAGACCCACGCAATACGAACAGCCAGGCGGCCCGCGAGTGAAGCCGGCGGCCTCGTATATCTCGAGAAGTCTGAGATCCTTCAACTTCTCGACGATGGGCAGCGACCCGGGCACATAGTGCCGTTTCCCCTTGGCCAGCGGCAGTTTCCTGTCGAGGCCGACCTTGAGCACGAGCGCGGCGAGGACCAGCTCTTCCTCGGTGGTCGTGCAGGCGCCGATGAAGACTCCGTCGAGCGGCTTCCCGGCCATCTGCGAGACGGGCACCACGTCGTCCGGATTCGGGTAGACGGCGACCGAGGACTCGACCTGGGACAGGTCGATGGTATACCTGCCCGCGTACTCTGCGTCGGGGTCTGGTCGGAAGTAGAGCGAGTTGACCTGGTTCGCTTTCCTCCGCCGCCGTGCGATGTAGTCGCTGGTGATGCGGTCCGGCACGAAAATGCCCGTGATGGCACCAAACTCGGTGCACATGTTGGAGATGGCGAACCGGGCGTCGACGGAGAGGTGCTGCAGGCCTTCGCCAGCGAACTCGACGATTCGCTCCGCGGCGACCGTGTTGCGCTTGAGCTCGCCCAGGATGTGGAGGATGACGTCCTTGCCAGACATGCCAAAGGCGGGCTGGCCGACAAACTCGATGAGGATGGACTCGGGGATCTTGAACCACGTCTCCCCCAGCGTCAGAGTCATCATCACATCCGCCGTGCCGAGTCCAATGGACAGGCAGCCCACGGCGCCGCCGGAGCAGGTGTGGGAGTCAGACCCGATGGCGAGCATCCCAGGCTCGACCCGTTCTCGGACGAACTCGGTGTGCATGATGGTGTAGTTCATGCCTTGGTACTCGGTCATCTTGAACTCGTTCTTGGCCTTCTCCGCGACCTCGACCATGGCTTTGATCTTGGGCAGCTGCGCCACGGCCGGGTGGACGACGTGGTCGCCGGCCAGCCAGAACCGGTCGTTGCGCCAGATGCCGGGAGAGCCCAGCCGCCTCCAGGTCCGGGCCATTCCCTGCAAAGAGTGTCAACGTTTCTCGGACAGAGCCTTGAAGAGGGTGGGCTCAAACCATACCTGCCAGGACAGCTCTGACGCCAGGATCCAGTCAATGCCAACCCTGACGACGTCGCCGGCCGCCAACCCCTTGCCCGGTTTGTCCCCAATCACATGCTGGGCGAAGATCTTCTGCGCCAGAGTCATCGGTCTCGTCCCTTCCGCGGGCGAGGACCGATATGACAGAAAGTTCTGGGCTCTTTCTCGCGAGTTGACAGCCTCGAGCCACGCCTCAACCAGGAAGAGTGTCTCTGACTGCTCGGCAGGAGTGGCGGTGTCGTCGTCGTGCAGGCCGAGTCCACCGAAAGCTTTCCTGTCGAGCGCCTTCTCGCGCACCTGGTCGAGCGCTTCGGCTTCGGGCGCGTGATGAGCCTCTTTCAAAGCCTGGGCGTAGCATAGCAAAACAGCAGGGATGCCGTTGGAAGACTTCTCGGGGCTGAGGTTCAGAGCAGTCAAGTCGACCTTCCTGGTGCGGGACAGAAGGTCCCGTAACTTGCTCTCAAACTCATCGCCACGAGTCTCGGGGGCACTTTGTAGAGTCTCTGTTGTCGTCTCCATCGCCTATTCGAATTGATCTGAACAGAAGCGTCTGCTGTAGAACTCCAGAGGCATATATCGATCTGAACCCGGGCTCAGCGCACAGATGCAATCTGACGAAGACCCCGCCTCCGCGCTGCATACCGGACCAGACCTAGTATGGGACAGGCGATCCATCATCGCCAGCCTCCGCTCGCGGCCTGCGAATGAAAATAGCGGGCGGCCGGTTTCGTCAGGCCGATGTTGCTGGCATGTCCGGGTTTCGCTGCGAAAATCGGACTAACGCTGGATCGACATCGGCGTCAAGCCATCCACCCCCCCATGTTGGAGTAGAAACGATTGGGAAAGCCTCGGGAGTGAGATATAGTTGGGTTTACTTCCTGTGGGTTAAGCGGCTATTCGCGTTCAGTCCGTTCATCTGAAGCTTATATATGTTGGTCGAGGCACAAAGAATCGTGAACTATTCCATCCAACTTCGCAGCCTCATCCTTGAAAAGAATGGGGTCCGTAGCCGACAGCACGATGAGCCCAAAGACCGCGAAAGCATGCGCGCCATTGACCGGCGCCAAGCGGCTGAGAGAAATGCTCAAGGATCCCTCCAAGGTCGTCGTGTGTCCCGGTGTCTTCGACGGCTTCACGGCCCGCTTGGCTTTGGCTGCGGGTTATGATGCGCTGTACATGGTAAGTCGAGCACGAGCACAATGCGGCGCAGAGAAAAGATCCACAATGCAACCACAGACTCACCTTTCTTCCACAGACAGGAGCAGGCACCTCGATGTCGAGACTGGGATGGGCCGATCTGGGCATCGCAACACTGAACGACATGAGAAGCAATGCCGAGATGATCGCAGCCCTCAACCCCTCCGTGCCCTTGATTGCAGATGCCGACACTGGCTATGGGGGACCGATAATGGTAACCAGGACCGTGACCCAGTATGCTCGCGCCGGCGTCGCTGCGCTCCACATTGAGGACCAGGTCAGTCAAGGAAAATATGGCCGCAGTTTGGACACTAACAGATGAGATAGGTGCAAGAGAAGCGATGTGGTCATCTTCTCGGCAAACAGATTGTGGATAGGGAGGTTTACTTCAGCAGACTGCGAGCAGCGGTTGCCGCCCGGGACCAACTGCAGTCCGACATCGTGCTGATTGCCCGCACGGACTCTCGACAGACCTACGGCTTCGACGAAGCGATTGAACGATTGCAGGAGGCGGTCAAGATTGGCGTGGACGCGGTGTTTCTAGAAGCACTGCAATCCCAGGAAGAGATGGCAAAGGTGTGCAAGATCATGGGCGATACTCCTGTGCTCTTGAACGTGGTGCCAGGGGGGGTCACTCCCGAACTCACGATTGAGGATGCGAGCAAGATGGGATTTCGCATCATCATCTACCCCGGACTCTGCATCGGTCCGGTTCTCGGAAGCGTGGGCAAAGAGCTCAAGGTACTTCAAACGACGGGCAAGAGCACCCCGAGGAATTCGGCTAGCGGCGTCAAGGAGGCCTTCAACTTGTGCGGCCTGCAAGAGTGTATCGAGATTGACATAAAAGCTGGAGGTAAGGCGTATGCCACGGTAGGGAAATAGGATGATCAATCGCTTGCAGCGCGATCAACTGTGAAGCACGTCTTTGTTCCGGTCAACACTCTCGAACTGTTTCATGCCACCGATGAAAAATCAAGCGAAAACCGGAAAGGGTGCAGCCGCGGATGGGATTAGAAGGAACAATCTGCAAGAAGCTTTTGAGTGAATCCTTGTACTTGCTCATTGAACTTTTGGCATCTGCAGGCTAACTTGCAAGTCCTGTAGCATTTAAAAAACCACCACTTAAAGTACGAGTTCTCGTTTCTGTTACCTCGATCGTTGATGTCTGTCGAATGGTGACTGTGGTTCTGGTCAACGAGTCCAATGAAAAGGTTCTCGTGGTTGGCATTGTCACCAGCACAGTTACTGTGTGCTCTGACGTAGTGGATGAACTGCCACCTCCGAGCCGATGGCGACTGATCGCTGACGAAGTAATCACCGTGGTCGTGGTAAGGGTCGATTCGAAAGATAACGTGGTCGTGACTGTGTACGTTCCAGATGTAATCACAGCGGGCTAGAACAACGACGTCAGTCGGGAACACATCTGGCGGAATAACCTCAACCTACCCCTGCGAATGAAGCAACACTGGTTCCGATACTAATGCTCGTAGTTGTCTCCACATCCCAGCTTTCACTTGAAGTAATGCAGCTCCACCCGGTTGATTGAGGAAGACAGTCTTGCACTTGGACGATATGGGGAATAGGACTTTGCACAAGGTCGTACCAATGGGCAGCATAGAACGCCATGGGCTCGTTCGTCACTCCTGGTGTGAGGGAGGGGCCCAAGAGACTCGATCCGTCAGTCGTAGAGCACGCATCAAGTCTCTGGCTGGAGAACGTAACATATTGACCGCAGTCGGTGACGGGAACGGGAAGCATTCCAGCTGGCTGCACAGTCGTACTGCACCACGTCGTAGTCTTTGCACTGTATACCGTCTGGCATCCATTCTTGTCCATGACTATACGTGCTGTTTCTGCCCCCGTGGATGCGAGGGCAGATATTGTGGCTGGAGTCGTTGATAGCACATGAGTCGTGCTGGTTGTCAAGAAAACTGTGGTGCTTCCGTTCGGAAGTAGAGCTGTGGCATTCACTCGGATGGGCATGAAAGTTGAGCTATTGGTAATTGAGCCTTGCGTCGTGTTGGCTATCACCATAGATGCCAACGAAGACACTGGAAGGATGGAGAATATTGCTGACGAAGCTGGTGTGTCAGGGCACACCGTCGCAACTGGTTCTTGAATCACCGTCATGGGAAAGACATAGGAGGATACTGTAGGGGTAATCGATGGGGCGGTGGTGACTGCGGCGACAGGGGCCGGACTTGGCAGCGCTCCCAAGCCTTGGACGGGTGAGTTGGGCTGTTGTCGACGTTCTTTAGGGTGGGAATGAGCTCGTCCCTCATGTTGTCTAATTGAAGCAACAGGCGCCGCCAGGGCGATCAGCAGTAGTAGAACCTCCATGGATTCTGGGGAGTGAAGCTAAGTCTGGTCTCAATCAATAGGGGAGAGAACTTGATGGCCTTCGCCTGCGAAGAACAGCGGACCCGACATGGACTTTATGCCGCCATAGAAAGGTGGCAGAAAGAGATCATTCGAGTGGCGGGGCATTTCAATTTCACCATGTCGAGACCGTGTATGCTGGAATGCCAAGTCAATCACGGTTGGTATGTGGATGTGCTGCTGGCCCCTTTTGTGCTCCCTTTGCTCCTTGAAACGCGCTGCGCGCAGCGCGCAGCGCGCTGCGGTCCGCAGTCTAGAACTTGTCTCTGGTTTGGTATCTCAATTCATCCTGGGTCCATGGCTGGACTCCCCACCTTGTTGCTGGTGACCCTGGTCCTGGTGGTAGGCATTACTCATAAACTCGATCTCGGCGTCCGTCGGCTGTTGGAATTGCATGGAGGGATCGTCCATTAGCAGATCCGGGGGGAAATATTGGTCATATCGCATCGTTGAGTCGAACGCGGCAAAGGCTTGCGCACTTGGTAGATCAGGCATTGTGCCGTAGATGGAATGCGCGCTGGGAGCCGATACATACATGTTGCCAGACAGAGGGTTGCTAACCGCTGAGTAATTTAGCATGGAGATATCTTGCTGGGACGGAGAAGGCTTCCCCGGAGGATCCTGTGGCAAGTCGTCGGCATCGCGCCCGATCTTTTTGACTGCTTCCTTAAACAGTGTGAAACATATTGTCCAGGCACGCCTAGCGGACACGTTGTCTTCTGCTAATGCATGCAGCCAGCGGATGCTTTTCTTGCAGGACTCCAGGATAGCTTCTGCTTCTTCCGGCATGTGATTGGCTCGGAAGGATATTTCAAGCATCAATACTGTCGCTGCTTGAACCAGCCAATGTACAATATTCCACCAGGGACCAACTCGAATCAGGCCGACAGCATTGGGCTTGTCAGGAATGAGTTGAAGCATGTCCATTGCGGCCTCCACACAGGCGGCAGCTGAATTGCGGTTGAACTCGAGTGATTTGGTTGATTGCCCCGGAATCTTGCGGTCGAGTCGACACAAGCAAGGTCGATGGATGGTCATCTTGGTGCTATAGTAAAAGAAGCCAAGATTCAAGCGGAACTCGTAAGACCCTCGCTCGCGCTGGTTCCGTCGAAAAGCAAACGCCTGGGGCAGTTTACGATACCAATGCTCAAGCCGTTCGTCAAGGTCCTTTATCTTGGCCTGAACTTCTGACCACGTTCCTTTGATCGAGGCCGGGTTGTAAAGGCTATGAAAGATGCTCTGTGTCAGGCGGGTTAACTGAACCACGTGGAGAAAGTATAGTGAAGAATTAGGTTGCGCATCCTTTGCCCAATCCAAGTCACCGGCTTTGAGCCCTCCAGGCATTGAAGGTGAACGAGAGTCGACTTTGGTCTGCGAACGAGAGCGGTCGGTTGAAGGGGTCGATCCGAAACTCGGCGTCTGGGAATTTGAGGAGGGTGCTCGATCACCCTGTTGTATTTCTTTGCTCAAAAGTCTTTGACCTTCCTCGGTATCGAATTGTTCTTCTTCCAGGGGAATCGGCAGGGGTGTAGTGCAATGCTCGTCCATGACACAGTTGACCCTACCAGTCATGTTGCACAGGCGATGTTCCAGAGCATAGAGGGCCCACCAAAGTCGGTATCGGATTTCTTTGAGTGGATCTCTTAGGTCATTGCTATCATTGCGCATATTCAGCCCCAAGGCGCCAGCTCCTCGGATAGCAATCCCGTTCAACATCCATGCACTGCTCGCCGGTCAGTTCACACGGGTACTGGAAAGTTTTAATGGGCTGCCCTTACCGATTGATTTGACTGGTACACAGCAGGTAAAACGACATCAAGCCTAGCACCTGGATCTGCTGCAAATCTGGATGATGAAAAATGGTTTCAGAATTCATACTCAACAGTCGAGCTCGGGTGAAATAGATCAGGTGATCTCTCTCATCGCCTTTCCATTCGGCTTTGATCAAGTGTGAATATTTTGCGCCGATTGCGAAGATCAAGTTGAGGATGGCGAGCCATTTTTCGGGTGGTCTTTGCACGGTACCGCTGATGAACCTTCGAAACTGAGTTGTCAGATTCAGCCTACCGACCACGGGAAAGGACGCGTGAACTCGTTGCATATACGCATTGAACAGATGATCCGCAATGTCAGGCGTAGGCATCTCGTAGGCGTCGACAGCATCGTACATAAATATCGACATGTCGTCCATGTGATAGCTGGAATCTTTGATCGTGAAGCCATCGTCCGCTTCCGAAAGGGGGATTTGCGTGTCACCGACTGGACGTTTTGATGTCAGCGAGGCACCGGACATGGCAGCAAGCGCCTGTTGCCTCTCATTACCTTGCTGATCTTGGTCTACGTCTCCATACTTGGTCTGCTCGCGCAAACGCTGGAGCCATGTGACATCCGAGTTTTTTCCCATGAAGCCTGTCATCCTGGCCTGCTCACGCGTGAAATCCTCATCGGTTCGATCCAATGCGCCTGTGGACCCAGCGCCCGCTGAAGCTTCTGATTCCGCACCGGACTCCTCTTCTTCTGCCTCAGCATCGCCCACCGGGGCGACTTCAGCGGTGCCTTCGGTAGGGGTATCTTCGGCGTCATAGCTGGACTCCTGTCGAGAGTGAGCGTATGACCACGGTTGGGGATATTCGTTGAGAGAGACCCACCTTCTCCAGCGACGCTCGAATCAATCTTGCTTCGTCTTCATCGACCCTGGATATCAGTTCCCTCAGTAGTTTCTCATAATCAGCCACCTTCTCGGTCAAGGTACCAAATTGCCTGGATGTGTATTAGCCTCAAGACATGAGTGTCGCGCGGACGAACATATCGACTGACTTTTTGGCCCTGTCTCTTTTGCCATCGGCGTAAAAGCACGTAATCTTGAAGTCCTGGCAATGTCTACACGTCGGGCGCTCCCCACTGCATTTGGTCTTCCGGTGGCGGCATGGTTCGCAGGCGTGATTGACTCGATGCCTTCCTCCCGAGCGGGTGAGATCTTCAGACGGATCAATCGACCTCTTCAATCTTGGAATGGCGACTTTGCCAGCTCTCTGAGACGATTCACCCGCCGCAGTGAGGGGAGATTGTGGGACCCGGAACAGGAGGTTTGGCGCGGGGGGGCGTGGTGTCTGTGAGGCGGGCGTTGGGCGATTGGAAGGATCGGACGTGGGTGTTTCGATTGAGAGCAACGGAGCCTGAATTGGGGTCTGAGAAACGGATTGAGACCGCGAGGAGGCTTGACCCTGCCCGGGAGCAGGAGCACGGGGAGCTTCGCCGCGACGTTGGTGTCTTTGCTCCGACATTGGAAGCGAAATGAAATATTACCTGACCGGTGGTGCGCGACGACGTGAATGTGGCTCGAGCGGGCGGCGAGTGGCGCAGGGAGATTTTTGCTGGATTGACGGCGTGAGCGGGGGAGACTTCTTGGGCTGGCACAATTGCGAGTTACGGCGATGGGGAAGACAGCAGCACACTAGACTCGAGGCATCCAGTCCAAGTCGCATGGTGCTGCATTCGTACTGCTCCTGTGAATGAAATCGAAACGTGATATAAAAATTCAGTCGAGTGATATCTCTCTCCCTTGGTCTTTATGGCTCGAAACCCGCCACAAACGTGGAGTGGAAATGCGTTCCGGGCTCCAGGTTCCAGACCACTTAGGCTTGCAAGTTACTTCCGAGTTACTCATTGGTCGTTGGAGAAGCTGACCTAGGTGGTCCCTCAAGATCATCCTGATGAAGGATCTAAATCCATTTCTATAATGCAAAGAAGCCCTTTGTGCGCATGCCACCCAAGCCTGGCCGTGTCCGCACACCGCTGGAATTTCCAGTAGCTCATATAGAAATACACACCCTGGTGCCCTTGCGCCTGCAACAGGGTCGATCATCGCCTCTTGGGTCCCAGCGTTGGTGGCGTGGGTGCAGAATTACATCATGCTCGCGGTCGCTTACAACAATCTTCATCCGCCTCTCAGACGCTTCGGCGCATTCTCAAGGAGCTTGGCAACCTGCAGCGTCGACGACGTCCCGAGATCGGTCTCGCCTAGTCTTGCCAATCGGTAGTAACGGGCGAAGAGGCATGGCAGCAGTCATGTCGGTCGCATATTCACAACCAATCTGAGTGGTGTGGTAGTCGAAAGGGTACTGGAATTGGTTGGCTGTCGTCTATCGCATGAGAATGCTCAGTGTCTTTGGAACAGACAGCGATGTTGTGGGCCGGTTACAATGTTCGTTACTCCTGTCGCTGACGTTTCGCTCCATGTTGATTCCAGTCGCCGCCACCAAAGTTCGGTCCTGGGCCAGAGTTGAACATTCCCGGATTGAATTGGTTGCCTTGAAAACCTGAAGTACATGGTCAACGTCTGACGCAGACAGATTCAGGGAACGTCCAACATACCTCCCATTCCCATGCCAGCCATCATGGGATTCATGCCCATATTACCCATGGCCATTCCACCGCCCATGGGCATCATGTTGTTCATGCCTCCACGGCCTCCGCGCATGCCGCCCATGGTACCGCGCATTGGATTGCCCATCATCCCTCCCCGGTTGTTGAAGCCGCCATAGTTACTTCCCATCCCCATGTTGCCTTGAAAGCCCATGTTCTGGTTGTTGTTGTAGCCACCCATCGGGCCCGAGAAATTGCGGTTGTATTGGTTGTGCGAGTTGTAACCTCCTCGGTTGAAGCCACCGCCTCGGCCACCTCGAAAGCCTTGGTTGTTCGTCCCGTAACTGGAGTCAGGACGGGGCCCGGTATTATATGAGCCGCCACGGGTTGGTCTGTCGTCTCTGGCCCGAGCAGGCGCATCTTTTGGGAGGGTCTTGAAAGGATTCTGGGTAGCATTAGTGTACACGACCGAGTGTTTTCGCGAGCCAGGCTGGCTGCCAGCGAGGGAGTCGATCTTGTGCTTCATTGCCGTTGCTGCCTGTGGAGAGGAAAACTCGAGATATACTTGGCTGTCCAGTTTGTATTAGCACCGAAGAAAATCACAGTTCGTATTGGTGACTAACCCTTTGCTCTTGCCATTGACCTTGTGTTCACTGAAGGTCAGGTCCCTCAGTTCGTCTTCGGCCTCTACCTCGTTTGCCCAGCCACGAATATCGTCCTCGGTTGTCCACCAATGCAAGTCTGAAATCATCAGCGCGTTGGTAGCCCCGTGGTCGATGGGTCTCTCGTCCGAGGTCTCTTTACGTTTGGTGCCTTGTTGCGGGACGGGTTTGGAGGAAGAAGTGTCGGGATTGCTGGATTGGGCGTCTTCGGCTTTCTCCTTAGCCCAAGAAGTAGTTGCACTCGAGGTTGGCTGTTGGTGCTCAGTTTCAGGGTTCGCATGCGTCTCTTCAACAGCTGGCATCTCTTCGGTGTCTGCGTGCAACTGAATATCCTCCTCGTCCTCTGGCTTGTAATCCACGTTTCCGTCGTTACCCATTTCCACCTCGCCGTCGCCGTAGATGTCAATATCGAAATTGTCTTCGTCTGCAGAAGCCATGGTGGGAAACGCTTAGAGGAGCGGAGAGGTTAGAATAAAGTCGGATTCTCTGTCTGCCACAGATCTATGCACAAGACGGCCAAATCAACAGGCAGGACATAAGAATCAGGTAGTTTCTGTAAGATACATGTGGGATTAGCCAGAGATACATGCAGGGTTCACAAACAGAGGACACATGATCTGAGATTCAACTCGTCTTTTCTTGCCAATCATCAAAGCATCCCGCGCCGCCAGACAGTTCGACCCGACTCGAAGCTCAGGGACATGAGTCACCCAACAAGTAATACGTACAGAAGTTGAGGCTCTTGTACAGTTCAGTGTGGTTTTTCATAGCAATTTCAATCCGCACTTTTCAATGTCATAATACATGAAGCAGGCCAGCTGTCTTCCTGAAGCTTGTGATACAGTTTGTTCCAATGTGAATCCTAGCAAAGTAATAGGAAAAAGAAAATGACTTCAGCGGCTGTTCTCTGTGCCGCCCGGAGTTCGTTCGCACTGTGAAGTTAGGCACGGAGAGGGCCGGCAAGAAATCGGTAGGTAAGGAGTTGGGCGCCGCGTGGCTTGGAAAGGAGAATTTTGGTCAAGGAAACTATGTGGAAAGGAAGGCCGCGTGTGGCAGTGACATGTAGAAATATGGTCTGGACCCAGGCTTGAGGAGTAAGAAGAGGAAAATGGAAGGGCGGATAGAGTTATTGGAAAGAGACGAGGAGTTGAACAGGAGACACGGAGCTGAGATTCGATCCGCAGCGACGCTCGCGCCTCACCCCGAATCGGGGCGAGGGTGATGCCGCCCTATGCTCACCCATGTCTCTATAGTAGGGGCTAAAAGGTCTAGCGACTCGGCGTGGGATAGTACAATACCAAACCTACTCGCCTTAGTAGAGACCAACGATAACGGCTACGATTAACCTTCTCTATTAATCGTCACAACGGATGTCGAGCGCTCTAGGTATGTCTAATAAACACGTGAGCACTTTAAAAGCAGCGTCTCTTTATCTACGATTTAGAGCTAGTATAACTCGAGTATGGGAAGAGGCTCTTCCTCCTTCTCAAGCCTTGTGTCGTTGTCAATAGGACGTACAGCTAGAATAGGCAATACAGCTATTGCAATCACCAGTGCCTACCGTGCCCGCGTGGCTCAGGTCCTTATAATCACGTCTATCATGCCACCAGAAACTCAGTGGGAACTACAGGCGACAGCGCACCTTCTCTCAAAACATCGCAAACTATTGTGTTGACACTCGGGACTACTTGTGTTCTCCAAGCCACCTGATCACGGGAGACAATCCCACGATCTCTGGTCCTGAGAAGGCTTTTTCGTGATCCGCGTCGGTCGGATCTGTCGGTTCGTCGCCAATCAAACCCCTCTTTGGCCGTTGGTGCAGGCGAACACGCATGTTTCCAACACCCTTCCGCTTTAGAATCTCGTCCATATGTTTGTCAGTGATGACTCCTCGATGCCGTTTCACCTCCGCCAAGATCTCTTCTTCCACCACGGTCCCTCCAGCGGTTTGTGCGAGCGTCATCCAAGCCTCTCCCAAATATGTATATCTAGTCTGGCGGAAAAACACCACTACAATGATCCCCAGCAAGATGAAATGACAGATCACCATGCCTAGCACGACGAAGAAACCCCATGCTTGCATCGGTCGATTGACAATTTTGAAATCTGCACGTTGCACGACAGCAGTGGCGTCGAACTCCGGCATCTTGAGGTAGTAAACATTCGCAGCCATGACCGTATACAGACTCTGCAATGCAAAAGCGACCGAGCCACCGCTGGTGGTGACAATCTCTTGGAATAATGTGACCAGAGTCGAATCAGCCTGGAGAGAGTTGACACCAGCCTCTTCCAGGGCTTTCCCACTGAATAGGAATACTGTGGAATTGGCGCTTTCGCCGTCGAAGCCGGGCCCGCTGAAAGGATCCCCCGGGATGTTGAAGTACTGCCTTAACCAAGGTTCTTGCGAGGATAACTCTGAGGGTTGCGCCACCCAAGAATCGCGCTGGCTGCTCAATGTAAGGATACCGCGCTCTTCTGGCGTCGACAATGATCGTACTGGATTGTTGATTTGACCCAATTGCCTGCGGACGTCGTCATAGTTGTAACTGGAAGTAGACTTCTCGTATGGCGGGATGGGTTCCGTGCGGTTCATGTTGCTGGACATCAGCACAGGAAGATTCGCGGTCGCGAAGGAGGTGTAGCAGAGCGTTATACTCAATACAAGAGTGTCATTGGAGTAAAGGAGGTCCACCCACTCTTGTCGGTCTCGATAGCTTTGAGGGGGGTGATGAAACCCGGTTTCGTCACTGGGGGGAAGCTCTTTGGCCCATTGTGCTTGTGACCCTGTTGTGAGATTCAGAATCAGATATGCCTGGCCCAGATTTTGGGAGTTCGACGACACGTTCCAGTTATATCCATTAGAAAGATTCGTTGGCGTGAGCGATGCAAATTCACTCGAAAGGCCGCCGGAATAGCCCTCAATCCCGTCTTCTGGTAATGAACACAATGTTGTGCGCCACTGATCCAAAGTCGCCACCGTAGGAAGTACACAGAGGAAGGGAACAGGCATGTTATACGCAAAGGTGTCAGTGGCTGCCTGCATATCCCATGGGAACGTCACGACTGTCTGATTATCCAACCTTGGCGTGTGCTGAGACGCTCCGACAGACCCAGTGACCAGGAGACCGCTCGTTGCGATATCGTAGAAAAGATTGGCATCTACCAGAGCAGGCTTCTGGCACGTTACCCGTGTGTCGATGAGTGTAGCGAGACCTCGATAAGAGTGTATATTCTGTCGGTCGGCTGCCGATGGATACGGCAGGAAGGCACGAAGACAAGGACCTGTATCTATGACGCCAGTTTGTTCCACGCCAGGTCTTCCGTATTCGGCGAATGTCGGAAATAGTGAGAGTTTCGTGTTCCAACCGCTCCCAGGATTTGTGGCCGATAGGAAATCGTACATTACTGTACCGTTGACACTGAAGCCTGCGAGAGGTTCGAGACGTAGGTTTCTGTTGAGAAGGATGGTGACCACTTGGGAGAAGGCTATGATTGTTGCAGCCACAGTCATTAGAAGTAGTATCGACGGCTTATGCAGCACTCTCTTTGGACGATCAGAGTGACTTAATTGCTGCCATAGATTTAGCAGCAAATTGACGACACCACCGCTCCATCGAGTGAGCGATACGTTGGCGACATCTGTAAGCGTCACATGAGATCCTTCTAGAAGTATTCCCGCAAGTATGGCACTGATCACGCCCATCTGAAGTTGTATGCCGGTTTCGATGCCTTTGGAAAGGGCGGTAACCACAGTGACAAGATGGTCGTTGACAACTATCCAACGCCAGGTATCGTTGTCGACACCAACAAACCAGAGGAACCCAATAAAACCAAGACATGCCCAAATGATAGGAGACGCTATCGCAAGGGTCCAGAATGCTGCTGCTCCGAGTTTCTTCAGTGCTCGATTTCCAAGGAGGGATAGTGGCTCTGGACAAAAACCCGCAGTATCCGATGCCGCTTGTGATTTCTCAGACGAGGCTGTAGAGTCGTTGCTGATGTCCGTCTCTGCTGGAGCTAACGAACTCGACAAACTGCCCGACACGTCCACATTGTATGTTGAGGCTTCTGGATCACGAGACAACCCCTCCTCGACGGTGCACTCGGGAGGCTTGATCAAAGATACCAGCTCGGCTGTCTGAGCAGATTCTATCGTGCGACCCCCTTCATCATTCTCGTTGATCGGCGCTGCCGTTGGGTCCATGTTCACGGAAGGTGCAAGGGGCTGGAGCCGGACCGACGATCCTGCAATGGAATCTGTGCTATTCAGCAGGTGTGGAAGCGAACAACCTCAGGCGGCATTCTAAGGGCGGGCGAAGATCCTTCTTCATGGTAGAAATTTCCACAGAGTGGTTCGTTAGCGGGGTAGAATGCGTTTGCGTGACAGCTCGACAATGAGGCTGTGAGGCAGCCATGGTGGTGCAAGGCGAGACACCTTGCAGAATGCTTCTTAGCCGAAGGCGATTGGGGCTGTGGCGATGCTGAACCTGGTGCGAACTGCAATTGGCGAGGATATTAAGGACAGGTGCAGAATTGGTTAATCGACCAAGGCCCCCAATGGCGAAGCGCCTAATTTCTGGCAGACTAACTACTTGTAGACCAGTTCCTTTGCCAACTTACCTACCGCGGGTGAAAAGCCCTCACAGCGCTCATGATGGCGAAGGGCTCATCCAATAAAACTACTAGCCTTTTCAAAAGTAGCGTTGCTGAGGAACGCTTCTGGGCTGGCTTCGGCTCAGCCGCTTTATCCAGAGTGACAAGGAGCTATCACCTTTGCCGCCGAGCGCCTACGACTTACAGTAGGTGTAACACCTCGCCCCGTGGCGGTATCGAGCAGCCGGGCAGTGCTTCCCAGCCCTTTGATAACGACAAAGTTACAACCTAGTTCTGTCATCACCATATCGACAACTGTCCCTCAAATCTTTCTCCCAAAGGTTCCGTGCATTACTCTACATACCTTTTGAATTCGTCAGGCTCCAGGTCACACAGGGGCCCGCGCGACGCGACTGCTTAAGACTTGACCAGGTATCCTTGAGTCGGTAATCGAGCTTCACACGGCACCAACTTCCTTTCTGAGAGTGTCGATAACTCTTCTTCCTTCCTCGCTAGGGCAATCGACTGCGTCATAGTTACCCTGGCTGTATTGTGATGCTCAAACTACGAGTCTAGAAGTTGCGAAGCCGTTCCAGGTCTCCACGGATTCTAGATGGCATCGATTATCGTGGCACAACAGGGTGAACCATCAGACTCGGAGCTCAGCGATCACTTTGATGCTTTGCCGCTACGTTCAATACACCCGCAAACCCCAGACTCTTGTGATGCTGCGCTGTTCAATGGACAAGAGGATCAAGAAGTAGCTGACCCTCAAAACATACCTGTTTCCGGGCCAACCGATACGGTGATTCCACGCCCTCACGGCGTCTCAAACATACCACAACAAACTCGTTCACAATATGCGGCTTTGCCGAATGAAGATGTGATCGAGGAGGCTGATTACGATCCGCATCCCACAGAGTCGTCTACAGGCGATCTGACGAGCGTAAACAAACTTTTCTGGAGACCATCCACTCTCCGGTGGCCTGTCTTGCTCTCAACACTTATTGTCGCTCTGGTCCTTGGCTTGGGAGTTATTTTCCTCCTGGTTTATTCGGCTGCAAACGATGGCCTTGGTCCGGACGATGGTTCTGCTGCTGTTCTTTTCGGTTGGCGCTTCGTGCCTACCCTTGTCACTGTCCTGTACGCTATTCTCACGACGATGACGTTTAACGACGCTCGACGAACGGAACCTTTTGCGCAGATGTCTCACGTGCTTGGCGCCTCATCAGCTTCAAGCGTCTTCAAGAAACCCGAACAATGGTGGAGTATACTAGGGAATAGTCTAAGGAAGCATAAAAATCACGGCAGTCCTAACTATCTTCTCCCGGTAGCCGTACTTGTCAACGTCATCAGCTCTCTTCTCATCAATACTTTGTCCTCGGCTCTCTTACAAAGCCAGCTTGTCGAACTAGTTTCACACGTTCCCTTCACTAGATACGGGATTTCGCAAGATCAGCCAATTCGCATGGCGGCCAATGACCTCATCTACTTCCGAACAATAGGCAGTATTCTTCAAAATCTTACAACATCCGCTTGGCTTACCGACAGGTACGCGGTGGTTCCATTTTCACCCTCGTCCGACTCAGTGAACCTTGGCACTGCAGTGACAGACAGAGCTCAGCAATGGCAATCTAACGCGACTGTGCTATCCCTCGAGCTGAATTGTGAGAAAATGAATATCCACTCCTCAATCTGGTCGAAGAGCTTAGATTTCCATTCATTATTGCTGACAGACACTCATGGATGCGAGGCCGGCATCAATGGGTATTCTCAATATCTCACCAAGTCTGGCGGTGGGTCGTGGTTTGCACCACCCAATTTTACAGTGCCAGTATGGGACGACGGAAATGATGAAGGTGCACTTTACTATAACAGCACACAACAGTGCAATGGTCGACAGATTATTCTGTCGACAAACGGCCCTTGGCAGGGTGAAACGATAAATTCTTGGAACGAGTTCTTTAAAGCCGCAGCGTGGTCGTGCCAGACCACGTATTATGCTGCCACCATGCCTGTTACTGCGTCAACCGCCGCCAACGGTACCATTCTAGAGATCAACGACGCAGCCTTCGATGCTGGTCGAAGTCTGCTGCAGAATACCATTCTTGATCAAACCAGCTTTGATGCCGCGTTCTTGGACAAAAATTGGACTAGCATGTTATACACCGCAAACCCCACCGGGCAGGCGAATTTCGGAGGAGTGTCCGCTCTTCTGGCTGCTCTTTATGATTTCGACCCCGCCAGAATGATCGATGCCGACTCTGTTGCTGAAAATGCCAGAAGAATTAAGCAACATTTCCTAGGAGAAATGGTTTTGGCTACTGTCACGGACAACAAGCCGATTTTGCAAGCTGGCCAGGTCATCGACACGCAGCGCAGAGTCGTTGTTAACCTTCCCATCGGGATCTCTCTAGCTGTACTCTTTATCATCTCTGCGGGCCTGGTAGCCGCTGCGTGGTTCCTGTCAATTCGACGCCCTCTGAATCTGCACAATGATCCTTCTTCGGTAGCGGCTGTTGTCAAGCTCATTGATGGTAACACCCTTATTCAAGGTTGTTCCAAGACTTTAGATCCGGACAAAGTTGGAGGGCTGTATGAAAGACTAGGGAGTACGAGGCACTTTTTACTGGACGGATCCTTGTCGTCAATCAAAAGTCTTGCCGAGAATTCAGGTATGAAATATCCAATGCCACCATTGAAAGTGCCTTGCTAAATTTATGGTTCCAGAGAACGACAATACTCCTCATATGCCGAGCCGCGACTGGAGACCCTTTGCCGTTCGACGACTTGGTGGTCTTCTGTTATTACTACTCCTTGCTCTCATATTTGCTGGAATCCTTACACTCTTCATCCTGGCAAGCACGACCGGCCTCTACGAGTCTGCCTTTACATATCGAACTGACTTGGCCCTTTCTAGTACTCACCTATTCACGCTCGCACCTTATTCGATAGTGCCCACTTTCCTGGCCGTTGCTGTGAGCCTGTGGTGGGATAGCCTAGATGAGACGTTTCGCAGATTACAGCCTTATGTTGCGATGGCACAAAAGGCTGTACCTGCTTCGCCTAATATTGGATTATCATATCTGTCTACTTACTCAATCGGCTCTGTGGCAAAGGCTTTATGGCGTAGACACTGGCTGGTTACCGTGGTATCTGGCGGCGGTGTCCTCGCTCAAGTTTTGACAGTGTCGATGTCAGCATTGTGGCAGAGAACGGACGGATCTCGACCTGGTGATATGAACCTCATCCGCAATTTAGAGCCGAGAACTCAGCCGTTTGAGTATATCTACCTCGTTGGCAATGCCATGGGCGGAGGAGATCCTACAGGACAAACAACTCTCTCCAGCTTTTACGGGAACTTGTCCACAAATTGGTTATACAGTGCCACAATGCAACTCGTTTACAACGGGTCAGAACCGGCTTGGAGCAGAGATGGCTGGAGCTTCGTACCAGTGAACTTATCCTCTATCGTCGACTCACATATTTACAAGAAAACGCCTTCGGTGAATACTTCGACCTCAAGCGCGGGTTCAGGCTCTCTCAAAAGTGTTAACGTTACGCTCACAACTCCTGCAGTAAGAGCTACTATGGAGTGTAGTTCGATAGAGTCTGCGAATAATCCATCAAACTGGGCGACCGAGTGGGACCTAACTGACCCTTCAGTTTGGAATGTTTCAGTGAACCCTACCGGACTACAGAAGGGATTCGGAATCAACATGCAGATGGAGCTTGGTCAGGACGCTGCATTCTCAACAACACCGATCCTTAGTCGAGAAAGAACGCTTTTATGCTGCTTAAACCTTTCAAGTACGGCCGGTGGATCGTCAGCCATCGGTTACTGGTCAATTAACTACAAACAAGGCCAAGTGTACGATTTCGAATCAGATTCTGGTCCTTACCCCCGGAACCTTACAATAAAGTGGATCCGAGGTACCGCTGTCCAACAGTACTACTTAATGAACTCGTCTTATGAATTCAGCAGGGGCGAAGGCGAGGATTTTCGGCGTTTGATCTGGCAAGAGGCACCTAAAATGTCCGCGCTGAATTGCCAGCCTCGAATTCAGTGGACCAATGCCAGCGTGACTGTCGACATGACAACAGGTCAGGTCTGGCAGTACATCATCGCTGACACGCCAGAGGCGTTCGACTGGCCCTGGAGTGACGTCTATCTTCCACACAAGTACTCGGGCCCAGGCGACGATCCAGCTGCAGGCAATTTTCACGACCAGATCACCGTAAGCTATGGCGTACTGTTCCAAGACGCTTTACTATTTGCATCCGACCTGCAAATACTGTGGCCATCGGGCGGGAGTATGGATAGCCAGGTCGAGGATCTCAACGACAAGAATTTCAATATCCGTCTGCCTCAACAGGGCCTTAACACCGATCTCATGTCATACTCAATGTACCAGCTCGCAAACGGCGACCTAGATGTGCTGATGGACCCGACACAAATGGCGGCTCTCGGCGGGAAAGTTTTCACCACCTTCTTTCAGCATTTCATTTCTGCGAGTGTCACTCCCAGCGGAGGTTGGGGCTTCCAGAAAATCGGCTCGACTCTAGCCCCTGACCTCGGCCCTGCCCTCGACAGTATCGGCTCATCAGTTCTGTCGACGTACCAGGATCAAAACACGAGCCTGACCTCGGATACGCGTGTCCCTGTCCACGTGGAAATCGAAGTTGAAGTCCTCCAGATGTCCCCCGCTGCGGTGTATGTCTCGCTGAGTATACTGTTCGTCCTAGGACTAATCACGCTCCTCGTGTATTTACTGGGGTATCGATACTTCCGGCATTTGCGACACGACTTCGACAACCTCGCCAGCGTCGTCGCCCTCGTGTATGACAGTCCCAAGCTGCAGGCTTGGGTGCGGACGCATCCGGATCCGAGACAATGGGGTGGGAGCCTGAGGACCAGTGGTGTAGCAGCAGATATGCCGCTCGTGCGACTTGGCACGTTTATCGGCACGGCGGGTCACGAGAGGTGGGGAATAGAAATCGTCGACGAAGGCGTCGACGAGAAGAAGTGTAGACAGCTTTAACGAGTAATATTCGTTGTAATCGAAAAATAACGCTGGTGGCTGATTTCAGTTTAATACAGCCTAACAATAATCGGTGGACAAGGGCTTGGCTACGTATTTAATATTGAATTGTACCTTGTAAGACCTTATTAGTGCTTTAGCTAGGAAGAGAAGGGAGGCGGAAGTTGAGGGTTAGTCGAACTGTCACGAAAACGCACGGTGTTCCTGCGATGCCATGTACCGTGCCCAGCCTATCACCCAAGGATATTAAGGACGAACTAGACATTCTCACGAGCGTGCTTCGACAACAGGGTCAAGTGCTGAGCGACCTCAGTGCTCTCCTTCGAGTTTCCAAGAAAATAGCCCGGTCACAGCAATCTGGCCTCTTCAATAAGGCCGACGAGCACGAACTTCTGGTCGATCTGGACATTCTCTATCTTGACCGCATGGCACGGCAAGCCAAAAGCGTCGATAGCAACTTGACCTAAATACTAGGCCTTAAGTAGAAGCACGGGAATGCAGTAGAAGCAAGAGCTCAGCGCAAGCAAGCTGGGGAGGCTGCGAGACAGGGACGGACGATCATGGTGTTTAATATTGTGACAACTGTCTTCTTGCCGCTGAGTTTTCTCACGAGTTTCTTTGCAATTGACATCATCGAGTTTCCGCGTCCCGCCGGAAGTGGTCCTGGAGAGTTGCATCTGGGTTGGGTGCTCCAGTATGTTATCGGCATAGGACTGGCATTCAGCCTGCCATTGATCGGTTTCGCCTTCGTCGTCGGAGATATTAAAACTTGGTGAGCCAGAAGAAAGCTCTGAAAGTCTCACAGAAGGAGGTTCATGAGGAGGCGCAAACGACTCGCACCCTGGTACGACAACGAGTCCAGCACCGGATTACCCTCGTCGAGTCACAGTGCTCTGGACGAGCTGGATGCTCGTAAAGAGAGTGTCATTGAGGAGACACGGGCGTTGCGCCGGATTAATTCCAACAGCACCCAGCATATCAGCATGCAGCCGTCGACAATGGTGCCGGCTCAAATCCAAGCGGGACAGCAGCCAGTGTCATCCAGACGAACAGGGACCCGCTTCCCGCGTCGTCTGCGCCAGATTGGAACAGAAATGACAGGGAGATCCGCTGAGACCGAGGATCTCGAGGTTAACAATGGATATGGCTTGTAACGACGAAGCGGCTGCTGGCAAACAAGTTGCTTTGCCAGTAGCAACCGGGATACACTCAAGGTCGATAGTTTGGCTCAGCAGGAACTTGACAATCTCGGGGTATCTCTGACAGTACCTGAAGCTACCAGGCCGCCTTCTGGCATAGCGAGCGTTGTCAGGAGTCTATATTCCGACTTCCACTATTATATAGTCGATACTTTGTGATCTCAGGTCCCCCAAGTATCCAGACACGGATCACAATAGTCCCGGACCATTCCTAATGTAGAAGTTTCCTAACCAAACGGGGATTTCGTAGCGAGAGAGGAATCGCAGGCCGCTTTAACGCCCAATGAACCGCCAAGCAATGGGGAATTGTCCCCCTGACCATCGGCGCAGTTGAAGCCAGCACAAAAGCCACCTATTGCTCTGCCGGCACATGCGAGGGCAACTTTCTCACATTATCGTTCAAACATCCCGTTTCTGGTCGCAGACACTGAACTTCCCAGCACCTTACTACGCCCTCCTCAAGTCTGTCTCTTGGACAACAATTAATTCGACCCGGCGAACTAGACCCTGTTTCCCCTCGATTCCCGTAACTGATTGACACTGCTGCGCGAAATCGAGCCACCTTTCCCTCCTCTTCCCCATACCCCGGACCCGAGTCGCCAGTCGCCTCGAAGAAAGAAAGGAAATAGAAAATGTCTGAAATACTGCAAGAGATCGCCGATGTGCCCAAGGAATTCTTCAAGGATGGAACGCAGTTCATCAACAGATGTACAAAGCGTACGTTCTCCTCGCCCGCTCCTGATCGAAATGCCCTTTTGCAGTTATCCCCCCCAACCGAACAGCAGCAGCAGTATCAGCAAGGCCAGACGCAGAGCAGAGCGCAAGACCTTGCTGCTGTGAATTTACCCTTTGACTCTTCAGCTGCGCATCACCGTCCTTTTGGCATCGGGCATATCCCCTCAAGCTTGTTCAAAACCGCAGATTGCTAACTATTTGTTTGAATAAATACACAGCCGACCGCAGAGAGTTCATCAAGATCTCACAGGCCGTGGGCATGGGATTCCTGATCATGGGCGCTATTGGATACTTCATCAAGCTGAGTGCGTGCCCCCCTTTCCCCCCTCCTCTCCTTTCCCACCTCGATTTGCGGAATCAAGAGACCCCCCCGATCAACGAAACAGACAAGAACAAAATGCGCTAACCGTCAAACCCGCTTGGGCCTTTCTTGCGCGCAGTACACATACCCGTTAACAACGTATTAGTGGGTTGAGCTACATACATCCCAGCAGCACAGCAGCACCAAGCCCGGAGACGAGCAAAAGGAGAAGACGGGGCCTCATAATCATCACCCATCCAATTTTCCCATTCCGTGACGGAGACTACTGTCATTTCCACATCAAAACACCAAACTGAGCGATTTTTGTATTACTATCTATCTACCCCCGGGGATCCAAGGGAGCGTTTGTGGTCCCTCGAGCCAGGAAAGCCAGGGCACGCAAGGAAAAAAAAGCCGAATTGATCGGGCTGTGAAATACATCTCGAAGTGTGTTAAACAGAGAGAAAATCAAAATCGTCGCCGTGACAATTTCTAGGCCGACTTATTCTTTTTGCTATTTTTGCTGGGCGCGCAGTGTGTGTATATTCCCCGTTATCAGAGATTATAATATGGCGTGGTTATCTCGTTGTTTGGTAAGAGCGCACACCACGGACCCAGCGTTCAGACGCGAATCAGCCGTATCCTCGTGACGCCCCTCATATATCTTGTCAACCGTTCCGAATGTCGTCTGTAGTGGTTTATTCCAGTCGTTGTATGTATGAATCCTTACTCTCGTGTTCAGGTTTCAGAACCTCCCGCTGCGTTGGAAGTTCCGAAGCTTCCAGCTGAATGGGTTGCGCGAAGGTGTGGGCAGATTCCGCTTTTCTCCTTTTCTTTTTGTCGGGGTGGGATCTTTCGCGCTCTGTTCCCTCCATCTGTAAACACACCTTCGCCATTTGGGAGTGCCCGCGGATTCCATCGTAGACACGACAATGCCTCTCGGCAGGTCCAGACTGACTGTCTTCAACGTGCAGACGGACCAGCTTCGTTCTCGTCTTCGTCTCCCATCTCATGCCGTACGGCGCTCCTCAGACTCAGCCGTCTCCTCACCCTCCGCGCGGCATCGGTCAGTGATTGTCACCAGATGCTTCCGCCGCCGCCGTCGTCGTCACCCAGCCTGGCCGGCCTGACGACATTGCTTCTCAAGCCTCTCCCCTCGGCGCGACTCCGCGTCGCGGTGGGACTGCTCCTCGATGCATCGCCGCGGCCTCCGCCCCGCGCACGACGCATTGCATTGTCAAAGTCCTCTCGGGGATCAAGCCGGGCGTTATAGTTTGAGGACATGGCTGGAAGGGCTTCGTCGTCTTCCGCGCCATCGTTCCACGAGTGCACCGAGACTGTCCCTGTAGCCATGCCCCAGCCGTTCCAAGACGTCGCTAACCCATGATGTCAGTACATATCTTCAGCCCCAAATAGAGATGCTGGGGAATTAAGAGCCTGATAGAGACCCAGAATGGGCATGGAAGGAGATTTCGACTTACCAGCCAGGACCGGCGCCGTGGGACTCCAGCTTGCATCCCTGACGCACGTCTTCCACACACTATTGTGATGTCCGTGTAGCTCATAGCCATACCCTGCGCCACCGAACCCGTCACTCCCATCGTGTCTCGGTCTCGTGTGTCTCGTCGCTGCATAGACGTCGACTGTGGATTTCAGGGTCCCGTCCATGTTCCAAATATATACCTTTCCATCTTCACTCCCGCTGTACACATATCGAGAGTTCGAAGACCCAGGCGGCGAGAAGTGACATCGGATCAGCGTCTTCAGGACGGAATGGCCCCGGAAGGTTACCACACTGCAATCCTTGGGATTGGGAACGTAGTCGTCCTCATCGTACGTGGAGAATCGATAGTCGAAGTTCGTGGTGTAGGAATGGATGTCGATCTTCGAGAACTCGTTCGGGGATATCATCTTCCGCAGGTCCCAGAGCTTCATCATTTGTTCCTTACCGTTCGAGAGGACGTAGCGGCCGTCGCCCTTTGAATCAACATACGTGAGGCCCTCTGTATGACCGACGAAAATGCCGGCGGGACGGCCATCGGCCATCGATCGTCTGTCCCAAACTCGCAACGTTTGGTCGTCACTGCCCGAATACAGGATATGAGGAGAGGACTTATCGCCGAAACAGACCGCATTTACGTCATCTTCATGGTTCGATAGTCGGACCGTCGACTGTCGGCGTTCCAGATCATACACCACGACCGAGTGATCCGAGGTTCCGGCGACAATCTCCCTCCCGTCACCGCTGAAGCGCAATGACCAGATACCAAAACCGTGTCGACCCATGTACCCATAGGTCGGTCGGCCCATCCCTGATCCAGGAGCGAAGTTGGTGAAATCCAGCAAAGTATGGTCAGAGTGGTCTGTTGGGTCCGTCGGGGCGAGACACACAGTATGTCGAATCGAGGAATATGCCAGCCACTTGTTATCCGGGCTCAGCGTCGCATCTGTAATTGTCCATTGCCCAAAGGGGTAATCCACAGTTTTGTAGTACTTCCACTCATAAGGGTTGGATGTGTCGTACATGCGAACCTTGAAGTTCTGCGTGCAGCTGAAGAAGAAGTTCCCATCGTCCGAAAATTGACCCGAGTAGGCTCGTGAGTCATAGTGGATGATCTTGTCGGCAGTGGTGGTGTTGGGTACTTGGTCTTGGGCAATGAGGTTGTTTTGTCGTCTCATAGTGGATCGTGCCTCTAACCCTAAACGCCGCCACAGCAGGCGGTCACTGACTGTGCGCCGTCTCTTACGCCGGATGTCCAAGTATGTGTCTCGGCAACCATAGGTGCCTGAGTTCATCAACGCCTTTCCAGCTTCACTTGGGACTTTGGGGAAGCGGTCGCCCTTGGGCTTTTGTCGTTGGACCCGGCGACGGCGACTGAAACCGCCGTATTCGTACGGCTCGTCATCATCGTCATCATCGTCGTCAGCGAAGAGGTCTCGACCGTTCGGGCCTAGCAGGCGGTAGCGACTAAGAATGAGTTGCCGAAGAGGCGCACTGGCGCTCAGCAGGCCGCGGATGTCGTTGACAGTCACTGTTGCAATAGTTTGGTCAGAAGACAAAAGGCGGCAACTGGGAACAGTAACAAACCCTGTGCTGGCCGGGCGGTTGTTCTTGACCCCATTGCAGTGCCATCGTTCTCGGTCTCGGTGTGATTTCCCTCATCTTCGTCTTCATCTTCTTCGTCATCGTCTTCGCCCTCGTAGATTATTTCAATGCCGTGCAAGGTCTCCTGGGCATCTGCAGCCAGTCAAAAGCCATACATCTCTCACATGATGGCTGGTATGTACCGGTGAAATCAGCATCGCTGTCTTCATCCTGTGTGACACTTGCATCGGTGCTTTGTTCCTCGGTTGGGTGGAAACTTTCGCCGTCATCGTCGTCATCGCCGAGGAAGATATCGATGATGTTGGACGGCGAGGGACTCAACCCCTCGCGAGGATCTGGGAATTCGGCCATGGCTTGATGTGGACAACAAAGGGCAGGTGAGGGATTGAAGCCGGACCGCAGACTGCGGATAGTGATGAGGTATCGACTCTAATCGGGCGTCCACCCTGCGCAAAAACGGTTTACTAAGTTCGTCAAATGCGGGACATTGAGATGCTTATCTCCGACTCAGCCGTTTGGAGCTCAAGTGGAGCGCAGGAGCATCGCCCACGTTGGCCCCGCTGCTTTAAGTCCCTGGAGAACCATCTCCTCCCAGCGTTCTTCAGTTCTGGACTTCATATCCAAGACAACGACGTACACAAAGGACAACACTCAGTCTCCATATTAGGGGAACTCTTCGCGCGAATCATGAAAGTATAGCCTCCTACCTATGATCCACCTGGCGAAAGAGCATTTCCACACAGGCTTCTAGAATGTGACCCTTGCTTCCAACACGGCTGACATGAAATGAATGCTCTTTTCCGCCAGCGGATCGAAGCAAGGGGCTATCCGCGTTCACGGTGAGCTATCGACGTGGCCATTTGTGCATTACTGAAATTCCCTTGCTGCATGGATGATGGTTGTGTTCATTTCTTTGAGTGCTGCTTGCAGTTTCCTTTGTACGGGGATGTATAATATCTACTTTGTGGTCATGGATACAGTCCTATAGGACACGGCTACGGCATTAGGATGCTCCCACGAAGGAACCATGGCGCCTTTGTGCTTCTCGAGTCCTCTGCAGAATTCTAAGCCCATTTATCAAAGGATTGTTGCTGCCTTCTCTTGATTTTTCTGCTTGCGATACTGCTCCCCATCCCCTCTCCCTCGTTCTCAATATCTACCGTTCTCCCACCTCGAGAAATGGCGGCAAACGCCACGCTCGGTGTAAGTACCAAAAAACCCCATATCCCCGTGCTCTAGCTCGATCTGCATTTCCCTCACCACAGTCTGGTTGACCGGTCTATTATCCAGTTTGAAAAAATCCTGGCCGTCTCGATCACGCCCAGCTGGCGTAGTCGGGGCAGGTGAACACATTTAGGCCACCAGTAGTCTTCCACTTCGGCGAACTTGTTGAGCTCGTCGCCGACTCTTTCCAACACGTTTGGGCTGTGGGCAAGGTATCGAGGCAGCATTAGATCGTAGTCTGCGTGCATCGCTCGGATGCTGGGGTAGCTGCGGCGAAACCTGGCGCGGTACAAGACCTCTGTGTTTATAAACTCCATGCGCTCCGGCTCGTCTTTGAACCGTTTGAAGTGGCCGGAGAAGAGAAGAGCGTAGAGACCAACGAGATCTCTTTTCTCAGAGTCCGTTGCAGGGCTGGAGGAAGCAGTTGGGTTGCCTGTAGCATTGTCGGCGCTCGATTCGTTTCCTGACATGGTGGCTACCAGGCGGTGTTAGATTGGTCACTCTGTACGCTGACCCAACTCTGCACTCACCATCGCCAACGGATAGTCGGGTTTCGTCGTCTGTGCTGTCCGCGGGGGAGACGATTTCCGAAGAGCAGCCACTTTCTCCTCAAGCTTAGCTACTCTCTCACGAAGTTCAGTCATATTCTTATCAATCTCAGCTCCCGGGCTCGCCTTGGGTGCCATCGTGCCTGTACCAGGACGGTGATAGTAGGGCACGGTGTGTGAGGTCAGGAAGAAGAGTTGTTAGAGAGTAAAGTAAGCACAAAGTGCTTTTCGGAATGAGAAGTTTCTGAAGAAAGTGAAAAATGACTCAAGAAGGACTAAGGGAGAAGTGAAATAAGAAATTAACAAAAGTCTTCAAAAAGTCTTCCAGTGCATTCATTCACATAAACGTGTCCTGATTCTGAACGGGGAGCGCTCGTAGCAATGCAACACGATGTCGAGGGCGCCCGTCCCGATATTAGGTACCGTGATGTCCTTCGGAATCTGTCCGACCTTCAAACACAGTTGATGAACAAGTACTTTTCGATAAGAGTCTTTTCCATACGTACAGTTCTAGGCCCAGAGAGAGAACGCCAGCCATGACCGTCTCAACGCCATGCAGAAAAACATATCTCGTCATCGAGAACAGAGGTTGACAAACATTGTACATCGGCTTCTGGACGCACCTAATATGCTGATGGTCTTTCGCCGAAGTCCAAAAAGCCCCCGTTTGCAGCGGCTTTGGCTTTACCGCACCAGCTCGAGGCACCGGCACCTTTTCTTCCTGATATGGGGGACCATATGCATACAATTAGTTGTCGTCCAGCGTACATGCCGATGGGGCGTCCGTCCACCCCGTCAGCCTGTTGGCGATATCACTGGCGTAGCAATGCGTGGCTGAACCCTTACCCAGATCTCCTGACGCGTCAATCGCGCCCGAGTTGTACAGTCGTGCCCCTCGATAGTAGCCCTCCGCGTAGTCGATGTCGGCAACGTCGGCTTGAGCGTTGATGTCAGATGCGTATCCGTGGCCACTAGCCGTGCCAGCAACTACAGGCAAGAAAGGTTAGCCAGACACGCACAACCAAAAGATGAAATTTGCCGTCTTGTGGGTTCGCATCTCACCTCCATCCGAGATCATGCCCAAAATCTGGTCCTTCGGGCACGGATTCTGCACTTTGCCATTGTCATTGCAAGAGTGAGTGCCCCTGAAAGATTGCAGGAGTCCCGGGTTCCTCACGGTGCCATCTGGCGAGACGGTCGTCTTGGCACGCACACATCCTCCTGTCTCCTGCATTACTGCGGCCAAGATGAACCTGTGATCTACCCGCGTCTGCTGTGAGATCTGTTTAATGGCATCATAGAGATCTTGGATTTCTTGGTCCGAATTGTTGGGCTGATTGTAGAGGTTGTTGCAGCTTCGGGAGATGGTCTTCTGGTTGGCGGTCCACATGTCGTTGAAGGATATCCACGACAGGCTCGACGGCCATCCAGATGCTATCGAACCGTTCCCTGTGTATTGTGTGTAACTATTCTGACCACCTATTTTCCCCAATCCAACTCATTAGCCTTTCTCCTTACCCCGGCGAGGTAGACCGAGAGAGCGTACCGTCGTAGTCATTCCAGAACCCGTCACTACCGAGTTTTCCTTGTACCACATCGGTGGCGCGTTTTGTGAGGGGGACGGCCGAAGTCCAGGCGGAGAGGAGAGAGGTGAAAAGGACCTGGGATGACCATCAGCATTCTAGGTCGTATCCATTGTCTGCGAGTACCGTAGCCTCAAACATACCAGCCTTGATAGAGCCATCGTGCACCCAATCCTGCACCCTCCCTGCTCAAATACCATGAAAAGGAGACAATTCACAATTTCCGAACGGATAACGGGTCGATCTGCAGCAATGCGAGGGAGAGAGACGCGGGGAAATGCGAAGGGGAAAAGGTTATGAAAGACGAAGGAATCGAAATCTTCTTACTACATATGATGTGCAGACACAGTGGAGAGATGGAGCCCGACAAGGAGGCCCCCGACAATCATGACCAGTCCACATGGGAGCGGAGGCACGAGCAGGTAGAGTCGCAGTTGCATAGCCAAGTCGTTCGTCAACAAATCTGACCTTAGGATGTTTCAGACAGGTCGAGCAGCTCCACCGCCATCGAAGAGATGGTCAGGGTATGATGATATCCTGCACCTGAGGCCGCCCAAAATAGGGCACGATGGAAGCGATCAGAGGCTGTTTGGACCGGGCCTGATCCCCACCGAGGATATGCGCGTTGTGCGAAAGGACGGAGGACGAGGCATAAGGGATCAGGACGAGTCCCTTCGGCGTGTTGTGGCTTCCTCCATCCTCCATCGAGCGTTGGGGCGTGGAGGGTGGCCGCATCCCAGCACCCAACACACTCGCGATATCCTGACACGGAGAGCGTTTGCCATCCCTTCGGAGTTTTGGGGAGATCCTTCGTCGTTTCTTGCGCGAGGGAAAAAAAATCTCTTCATTTGTCTGCAAAAGGTGGGACCGGTGGATGCCCGTTGTTAGCAGTTGAACAAAGTCCACTTTCTCGGTCGGCCGTGGCCACCATCCTGGCAACCTGGGCCGACAGGGGGCAAAGGGGGAATATCATCAGTCTGACTCAACTTGGCTGGGCACAGCGGGCAGATGACTGCGCTGCACGCAACCTCTGAGTAAGGGCCGCTGCAATCCAGAGCTGCTGACATTTGCGTATTGCGTGTTCTTCCGCGACAACGACTTCAGTGCGGTGGACGAGCTTGGTGCAAAGCTGGTGTAGCTTCTGAGGTCGTAGATATTGGCTCTCGGCGGCGTTCGCCAATGCAGGTCCCAATCGCTTGCTTGGTGCCTCTAGAAACTTGGTTCGGTTGTGGTTGTGGTTGTGGTGGCGCTGGCTCTTCTTCCGCCTACTGAGCCACCGCCACCGCCCAACCCTTGTACTACAGGGAGCCCAAGAGAGCGAGGAGATCGTCACAAAACACAGCCTTGTGAAAGGCCCGACGCAAAGATGGAGCTAATATCTTTTTTTCATTCATGCTCTAGCTCGGTACGGCCTCTGAGACCTTTTGTGGCGTCCAGCTGTCTCAATGCATTGATGGTACATCGATTTCCATCCTCCCTTTGGAGGCGCATCTACCCATAATATGCCCGAGGAAGCTCTCCTCCCAATATGCTCATCCCTTGCCATGCGGGTATGCCGTCACCCATCTGTCTCAGCTCTTGCGCGACACATATCGAGTTTATTTTTCATCATTTTTTTCTCGTTCAGCCGTTTAACATCAGGTCATATGCTGGTTGTTCTCCACTGCATCTTCACCACTCCTTATGTTCCTTCAAATCCACTCCCCACCGCCCGGCGCTGTGCCGTGGCCCAAGCCACCAAGAATGATTGGTGCTGTCTCGAAATGCCCGATTTTCTTCATCAATTTGCTCGCTTCGTGGGGTTCGAAGCCATCTGCTTCGATTCCGAAAACGTCGTCGCTGGATCGCCCAATCTGAATAAGCGGAATGGATCTGCCCCGACCTTCGCACGCCACACCGGGAGCGCCCTGCCCGCTCGTGGGACGTCCTTCGCAGCTCCACAACGTCGCACAACGGAGCCCGGAATCTGATATCGATCGTTTGATCGCTGAGCGAGGGATCATGGACACATCCAGATCGCCCGTGTGAAGGTCCCAATTGTCGATCTTGGACTTCAGAGGGTCAATAGAAGCTGATGGCTTGTGAGCCAAGTGAGTGCCATTTCCTGATGGCAACCCTGATACAACTCGATCATTGCTCTCGGCGTCTCCTCCTTGGCGATCTGCTGCTCCCGTGAAACTCAGCTCTCTCACGTCACGGCTATAGATGCTTGACGTGCCCTGGCTGTGCTTGCTCCTCGGGGCAAGAATGGGCTTGAAGATCGTCGAAAGCGAAGAAGAAGAGAAACGCCGGGAGATTCGTTTGCTGGGTCGCAACTGGGACCATGACACGAGTTTGGCACGTCCTGAATTTGATCGCCGTTTGAAAATCTTGGCAGGAGACCCTTTAGCTGCCTGAGGCACTTTTTTGTTTGGCCTCGCCAGCTGCAACTCGCGGAGCTTTCCTGGAGATGGGAGGATCACCGAACTAGGTGTTCTTCTGTGGCTGTGAGATGGCACATTCATGCCAGGAGCGACACCTTGTGGCCGCGACGGCGTTGCCAGAGCCTGTGGCTTCTTCAACGTCTGGGTTGGGGAAGTTGCTGGCGTCGATGCCAGTCCAGGCGTCGTGAAGGGATTGGAGGAGGGCGTGTAAGGCTTCGATGAATCTTTCTCCTTGTTGGCAGTGCTAGCCGCTCGATCAAACCAATCTCGTATCTCAGCCACGGGAGTCTTTGGTCTTGTCAACGTCCCCATTCTTTCTAACCTCTCCTGCTTCCGCACGTGTCTCGTCCTTGGTGCTCCTGCCGCATCGCAGGTTTTGGGTGGGCATCTCGTGGCTGACAATAGGCCAATTCGTTGCGCATTGTGTGTCTTGCCCTCGCCAGATTTGTGCAACTCGCCCTGGAGGCTTTCAGGAGAGGTCCGGCAGCGGGCGGGTGGTCCCATCGCTGACATTTCTACAGCAGCTGGCTGACTAGGATGTTGCGGGGCTGGGGAAGGAGTTCCGAAGGTGTCTGTAGTTGACTCCGAGTTTCGCAGTTCCAAATCATGGAAGAGTTTTGCGGGATGAACGAGTCCTCCTTTACGGCCGGAGCTGAAGGGGAAAGGAAACCGCTCCAGTTGCCTCGTCAGTGGCGGCGGTCTCCCTGCAGGCCTTGGCTTCAAGACAAGAGGCTCCGGAACTGGCAGTATGTAATCATGCTTCCCTCTGAATGTGGTGAAATTTCGCGGGTCATTCCCTGCCCCTTGTCTTGCCGCTTGCAGGTCGCCTTCCCATATGGTTTGGGTGTGATTTCTTGTGGAAAGCCAACATTGACGGGGAGTGAAAGGCCCATAAGCGTGACTAACAGGGTTGACTGAGCCAGCTTGGGAAGGATGATGGATTGTTTGCAGCTGTGTCGGACTGTTTGGGAAAGGGCTCTCGATTCTCGGATCATATCGTTGCACCGGGGCTTGAGGCTGCTTTCGAAAACCACGCAACAGGGCAGGATGACTGGGGAAGCGTGGAGGAGGACTGAATGGAGGATAATACGGCGTTACTGTGTATCGACCTAGGCGATGAGTGCCGCGCCTCTTTCGATATTTCGGAAGGATGATGCCCCAGATCACACACCCAAGGACGACGAGAAAGGCGATGACGGCAAAGATGATTGAGAAGGTTCGGCCTGAGTCGTTGCCACGAGGGCGCAAGACTTTCGAAGGCATGACGGCCATGGCTTGTGATGGAGGTCAATAATGTGCGATGGGCGACTAGATGGGCTGAGCCAAAATTGGCCTGACAATGTGGAAGTGGTGTGAGAGGGATGTTGTTGGCGTGAACGACGCGAATGTGCGACGACGGCGACGACAATGAGGGCCGCGAGGCTTGTGCGACAGCGACCCAAGACGGCAGGAACAGCGAGGCACAACAGTCGACGCTTCTTGCAGCACCTGCACTCTTGGAGCTGGCGATCGGGACTCTTTCCTGATGAAGCCATCGACTTGCCTCTATTCATTCTTTGTCACTTACAACGTCGTCCCATGTGGCAAGTGACAAGGCGGCGGCCTTCCACAGCATCGCTGTTCACACTGTGGCATGAAGGACGCAGGAACAAACCCTGAGCATCATCGACCCTGAGATCATCGAGAAGGCATCAAGAACATTACACAACCAGACCGTTCTACTCACTCAATGTTGGCTTTCGCCCTTTTAGTCCACCCGATCTCGGGGCTGTGCTCCAAGAACCCATCCCATCCCGCTCACCAGGCCACTTGTTACCATATTGGCAACCATGTCTCTCTTTCGTACCCTTCCGCCATCGTCGGAAACCGGAGAGCCGGCTTGCTCCCTCTGCGCATCGTGTTTTGTGGCCGTGTCCGAGTGTATCTTCAGATCTCGCAACCCCGTGGAACCTAATGGGAAAGCCGCGCTTTTCCGTAACGCCGATGCAGCTCCTCTAGCGACATCGAACAAACCCAGCGGCGCCTCTTCCTCGTAAGAAGGTCCTGACCCAATCGGTCCGGACCGACGGGCCATGACGCGCTTCGTTTCAGCTACATCTGCATCCCGGTTGTCGAGACCAAATGCTCCGGGAACTGCAGCGTCGGCTTTGGCATCAAAAGCTCGCTCTTCTTCCACGGCTTGTGTCTTCAGCGCATCTAGCTCTTCCTCGTAGCGGCGCCATGTGGCAAGGATTCCCGACAGAGCTTCTCCAGAAGGGGCCAACATCAAGGCTCGGGAGAGAAGCTCCATCCGCTGTGTCAAACTTTCTATGCTGGTGTTCAAATTCTTGGGCGATGAGCTGGGCCGATATTTGCCTGCGGCATAGGCGGCACGCCAGGAGACGTCGTCGACAGATCCAGAAGAGGCAGACTGCTCCGTTGATGTGTTGAGGCGTGTTGTGATATATGCATATGCCGTGTCAAAATCACTCGCACCGAGAGCTGCCATGATGGCTTGGTACGTTATCCTGTGCTCAGCATCCAACAGACGTGATTGAAGAGGCTCCGCATCCTCTGTTATTACGTTCCCTCGATTCGGCAGGTGGGCACGGACGAGATTACGGCTGATCTCGAGCAGGTCTTCCAACTTGGTGTACGCTCTCGCGTCCTGTTCCAAGACCTTTTCTACCAGGCTTAGCGGGTCTTTCTGCACTCGGATAGAGACAGGCTTGAAAGGAACACCATGCTGCAGTGTGAGCTGGTAGAACGACAGACTGTGCGTGGCTCTGATCAAGTGATCAATATCGGAGAGAGCAGAGGACTCAGGGAAGCTCGGTCGAAATGCCTTCAGGATCTCGTTTGCCCTCTTCATACCGCCACGATCTCTGTTCCCATTGCTGGCATTATCGTAGGCCTCGAGAATTGCTGCAACGACACGGGCTTCAATTTCCGACCCAGAGAGACTTGGGGAAGGGTTGTCGAGGTACACCTCTTTGACGATGGCAAACTGAGCAGCCTTCAGTAATGCATCGAGAATTTGAGTTTCTACAAAGCTGAGGGGTAAGTGGGAGAGAAAAGCTGTTCGCTGCTGTGCCGCCACCACTGGCTGTGTTTTGGCCCAAGACTGAAGCCAGAGAAGCTGCCGTCGTACTGAGCGCCAGTCAATCTCTTGCCGTGTGTGCAAAGGTATGTGTTGAAGCAATCGACGAAGTTCATCTTTATGGCGGCGTTCTGAGCCGAAGATGCTGACGTGCGCCAGTTCACTTATAGTACGTGGTGAGCCAAATCCCGACAGGATCTCCGCCGTAGCAAAGATGCCAGTCAGCAGATGAAGGGAAAACTCATTCACCCGCGTGAACTTGTTTGATTTTTTGAGTAGAGAGTTGATCAGCAAATCTGTCTCAGCGAGGTCGGTTGCAAATCCCTTAGGCAGTGATATGTCCGGCTCGGGTTGCGAGAGTTCTGGGAGTCCTAGATTGAGAAGTTTTGCAGCTTTGATGATCACCAGTCTGCAGACACTCCTAGCCTCTGGTGAAGCCTCTGAGCAACCATAGACAATGGCCATGCCAGTTTGAGCAAATCGCGCGACAGCCTCATCGGTCGGTCGATGGTATTCCACCGGGCCATTCCAATCAGCGTAGGCTTTTGCTGCAATACTAAATTCAGTCATGCTCGTAGCGATCAGCCAATCATACAAAGATTCCCATGTTTTCTCATCAGATGTGGTGTCTTCAGCAGAATAATCGACCCTCCTTCTCTTTGCTTGGCTCGCCCCTCGAACCCATGGTGACACCACATAGTCGAGGTCTCTCGCAACCTCAGAAGGATTGTGCCTTTTCATCGCATATTGGAGAAGTGTTTGGATACCCTCTTTATCCGACAGCGTCTCAAGATCCCGCAATCCGATTACGTTTTCACTGTCTGGGTAGAACTCATATTGCAGCCGGACGAGCGGGGCAAGATACGTTTCATACCACAGTCCCAGATCAGAGTCGTGTCCGATGAAATTGTGGACGAATTCCGCAGCTGGCTGAGCGGATCCATGAATTTGTTCCAATCTTTTTGCCCATTCAATGACCACATTGGCCAATTCGCTCCGTGTACGTATAGGCTCATATTCAGGAATTGATCGCAAGCTTAGAGCACGGCAACGACGTAACGCCTCATTCTCGGTGAGGTTGGATGTCGAGGGCTCCAGACTCGGCGCTTCGGGGCCTTTAGCATCATTGGATTGGTCCCCAAGGGACTGTAGAAACTTTGCAAGCGTCGATTGTTCAGCAGTTTCTGCAGGATAGAAAGAGAGTAGAAGTCGATACACGAAGGTGTCCGAGAAGATCTCGGGGCGCCATCGGACGATCTTGAGCAGCGACTCCAGATCGCCTTCTGATGTTACTTGAACAGCGGAAAGGACGATATGAGCGTCCGTAAGCTCGTTCGGAGTCTTCATTCCGTAAGGTCTGAGGGCATGGTGCAGATGGGCGCTTTTGTTGACAGAACGCGCCGTAATTGCAGTGTGTAGACAGCGTGGAAAGTTCGCAAGTGCCGCCAGCGAACAGCTGCGTCAGGATCGGAGATTCGGGCCAATCTGAACCTTGGCCTGCTCCAACCTCGACCCTCACTCTTCCACCCACTGCACGACAGACAGGCGCACATCGCAACGCCAACAACGTTGCCACAACCTGATATTCAAGAGGTTGCTGTCCCCAACAATTTTCGATTCTAACGATGGCGTCTGGCTACGGCCTGACTGGAGGTTAGTCATAATGCCAGCGGTGGACAACCTCCGTTGGCCTCAGATCCTCAAGCCAGCAGAAGCTTCGTACTGACTGATTTTCTCGTCTACAGGCGTCTCTCGATGCTTTCCTTTCTGGCAAGAGTACATGTCTTGCTATGTCATCAACCAACACGACCCTGAAGCCAGAGCGAAAGGTGTCTGCGCCCCACGATTAGAAGACTACTACGAATGCCTGCACCACAAGAAAGAGGTATTCGTTTTCTCAACTAGCTGGACACAAACGAAGCTTGGACACTGATTCAAAACGTCTAGTATGCGAGAACGGTGGCGATACAGAAGGCATTGCGAAAAGCAGAAGCAGCACACCCCCGCGAGAACGCGCCGAAGCTGGGCCAAATACGAAGTTTGGGTCTGATAGGCAAGGAAGAGGAGACTAAGTCGATGCTGGGCACGACACCGGGGACGTATTCCTGAAAACAGATGAAGTGGGCAAAAGATTGGAGTGTTTATGTGCAAACAGTCCCGCGGGAAGCCTTTTTACAACATTGTACATATCATCATGCTCCCACGGAATAACCTCCTTTGAGCCGACGGGCGGCGCGTCAAATGCATCTGGTCCAAATTAATCTCATAGACCACTCTCTAAATGGGAAGCTGTCGCATCGATCTGCAAGATTCTCGCCCAAGCCTGAGGATGATAATTAGGTATCCTCAGGCAGTTGGGGGGAGCTCATCTCCAGAAAGCAAGGCTGAACTGTCCTTTGCCCAGACAAGCAATGCTTGAAGTTGTTGAGATTTTTGATCCCAAAGGTGATGTTAAATTGTTCCTAAACTGCCACGGTGGAGCACTATAAACGCCTCCAATACATAAAACCAAGGGGATACTGCGCCTGGCGTCTCATACGGGCTGAGATCCGGCCGGTAGAAAGCCGCATTGCAGCACCCAGGCAGTCAGTCTGAGGACGTCATGGGGTTCTCGCCAGCCTTTTCATCACCCTCCGAACCCCTGGAGTGGCTACCGGGCACACAGAGTGCTGAACGTCTGCCTCGCACGTCCCGCACTTTACTCAACAGTGACGGGAGAAGGAAGTTATACCTGGCTGGAACTGGCAGTGGACGGCCTGGACGGATGATAAAAGTGCCAAGACGCCCTTGTAAAAGCTTGGGCGGGCAATTGGGTGCTAGCGCAGCCCAAGTGGCCGAATTTTGCAAAAGGTGGGCACCCAAGGCATCGGGGAAGAGCAATCAGATGCCAGGGGCTGATGCAGGCTGCAGGCGCAGCAAGCGAGGATTTAAATGCCACTCCAGACCCTCTTAAGCCCACGCGCGCCCCCGATTCCAACTCTCTGATCTGCCAGTGCCCTCCCCCGGCACCAGAGAAGAGCCGTGCCTCACCGCATCAACCACGCAGCATCATCATTTTTCCACTCCGGCACTCATGACACCGTGACCAAATCCATCACCGATAATTCACCATCCACGCGTTGGCACACGTCTTTCATCTTCTTGAGGCTTGATATTTCTCTTGGCAGACCTGGTTGGCTTTGCAAGTCACTTGACCCCCGTTTTCGGTTGCTCAGGTCGTTTATTTGATGGCTCCTGGGTTGCGACCTGGCAGGCGTGTGGTTGAAAAGACAAAACCACCCTACAACTATTGCAACTAATAATAATGGCCGCTACTGGGACTTCAAGGTTGGAGCCTTCGCTCCCAGCATCTGCCAAGCTTGAGCTAACTTGTTCTGTACAGACTAGATCGTCTTGTCACGTGAGTGTTCCTCGCCCTCAACTCGTCTCGCACGGGGTTGTCCATTCATCTCAGAGACTAACCCACATCACAGCTTGCTGGACAAGGGGAGCACCCAGCTCATTCGAAACACTGCCGCACAACAACTTGCCGATGTCCAGAAACAGAATCCCGACAATCTCTTTGCACTACTCGGCAGGGTTCTTCCCTACCTGCAGTCAAAATCATGGGACACTCGCACTGCCGCCGCCAAAGCCATCGGCGGCATCATTTCGAACGCCGAAAAGTTCGATCCTAACGCTGACGATGCCGACACCAAGTCAGAGCCCCTCAAGGTTGAGGAGGTGACCACCAAGCTCGAAGAGAAGACTCCGGAAGCAGACGACCTTCTCCAGCTCAGCGCTCTTGACATCAAATTGATCCTTAATCATGGGAAGAAGCTGTTGGGCAGTGCCGGTAAAGAGTACGAATTCTCAATGGCTGGTATGACACCTGCTCAACGCTTGGCGCATCAGAAGCAGAGTCTTACCGCTCGACTCGGTCTCGGCGGCGAGTATATGGAGGACGACTTGGTCAACGAGTTCGACTTTGCAGCTAGCTCGCAGTTCAAACAAGCCACAACCCCGGGTCTGACTCGAGTGGATACCAAGCCAGGAGTGCAACGACTCGACAGTTTCGGGTCCGCCGGTCCCTACAGTGCCGTGTCCCCTTCAGACCACAATGGCCAGTCCCTGCCTGACGAGTCCGGGCTCAGTAAACGACAGCTGAATCAGTTGAAAAGGAAAAACAAATCGGCCGCCAAAGCTGGCGCGAACAAGATGCGCGTAGTAGACCTTTCGGGGCGACGCCAGCCCGAGCCTGGCCAGACACCGGTTTCAGCGACTCCGCATGCGGTAAAGCTCAATGGCCACGAAGACTCCAACGGTGATGCTAAACAAGACTACTTCTCGATCAAGCGAGAAGGCTCCGATGACACCACTGCACTTGTCTCCGAGTTCAAGGGCGAAGCAGTCCCAGAAAAGCCGCTCATCCAACCGGACGAAGAGCACGCCCACGACTGGCCTTTTGACGTTATGTGCGATTTCCTGTCGGTGGACCTTTTCGATCCCAACTGGGAGGTCCGACATGGAGCAGCTATGGGTCTGCGAGAAGTTCTCCGTGTGCATGGACGTGGTGCCGGTCGTCGATATGGCAAGTCCAGAGCTGAGAATGAACTTGCGAATCGACGCTGGCTTGATGACCTTGCATGTCGCCTGCTGTGTGTCTTAATGCTGGACCGTTTCGGGGACTATGTGTCGGATACAGTGGTTGCCCCGATCCGTGAATCGATCGGTCAGACTCTTGGTGCTTTACTAACTCAATTACCTGATGACCTGGCCATTTCTGTCTACACCTGCTTGCAGGAAATGGCCAATCAACAGAACACCGGTCTGGAACAACCGATTTGGGAAGTTTGTCACGGAGGCATGATTGGTTTGCGCTATTTTGTTGCTGTTCGCAAAGATCTTCTGCTTCGTCACAGCAAACTCCTCGACGGTGTTGTCACAGCCGTCATGCACGGACTTGCTCATCCCGATGACGACGTCAAGTCGGTCAGCGCAGCCACCTTGGTACCTATCGCTGGGGAATTGACAACCATGCGTCCAGATGCTCTGGGCCAAGTTATTAGTGTTGTGTGGGACTGTCTCCTGGATATGCAAGACGACCTCAGTGCAAGTACCGGCGCCGTCATGGATCTTCTTGCGACTCTCTGCTCGCACCATGAAATCTTGGAGGCAATGCGTATCAACGCCGCCGAGGACCCAGAGCAGTCATTCGAGAAGCTCGTCCCGCGCTTGTACCCTTTCTTGCGACACACAATTATCAGCGTCCGCATGGCGGTGTTGAAGGCGTTGGTCACATTCTTGAATCTCTCCAATGTGGGCAACATGGAGTGGGTGGGTGGCCGTGTGGTCCGCTTGATATTCCAGAACATGCTACTCGAGCGAAATGAAGGTGTCTTGTGGATGTCCTTCGAGGTCTGGAAAGCGCTCATCTCATTTATGGAACGCCAAGGGTTTTCCGCCTTCGTTGCTGACTTGGAGCGGCATATAACACCAATGGTAGGGGCCGTCATTCAACCCATCGGTCAAGCGAGGAGCCCCATTCCCATGGACACGCTCCTTCTAATTAAACCATCGGGGTTTCCGATGGTACCCATTTCGACAACACATGGATATACTCCGGAATCTGACCAGCAACTGAAGAAGCGACGAAAATTTGAGAAACCGGACACAAATCAGCGCCTCTCCCACAATACCGATGGACACATGTTGCACGGCGAAGTAGATATTGTTGGCTTGGAAGTCATGCTCCGAACCAGAATCGTCTGCTCACTGGCGCTGGGTCTTTTACTCAGCAAACAAAGTGCATCTTCGATTGAATCAAATTGGACTCACCTGATGCCGTTCATCGCTTCTCCTCATTCAAGTTCAAGGCTGTTTACTGCAATGATCTTGGAAGAACTTGCAAAGTACCAATCTCAAAAGCCAGCGAATACACCAGCAATTGTTTCACAGTTGCAGCAGGTCCTTGATGATGATGGCAGCAACAGCTGGTACGCAGACATGGTATCTTCGCTGCAGGCAGCTCGTGGCCAATGCCAGTCTTTGATTAGCGCTTTCCAAAATCAGGCGCACGTTTCCCGAGACAAGTTACCGTCAATAGCAGTTGTCTGCCAAGGCAGCATCGGTGCTGGTCCCAAGGCGTTCTCGCTCGCAGATGCTGAGAGGATCGTGACAACGGACTTTGATCGTCTTCTCAAAGGTCTTACACCCGCACAGCGCGTTTCAGGAACGCAGTTTCTGAATGACGCCCGTATAAATGCTAAGACGGCCGTTGACGAAGCCAGAAAAGTCAAAGAAAGCCGAGACATCGCGATCAAAGCCACGATTGCGTCGGTCCTGGTTCGACTCAAGGAAATCCCGAAGAAACCTGGTCAATTGATAAAATGTATCATGGACAGTATCAAGTCAGAAGAATATCAGGATTTACAGGCTCGATCCGCATCAAGTGTTGCAGGGCTCATTGATTACTACACTACGAGCCCGAAACGTGGCCCTGTGGACAAGCTGGTCTCCAATCTGGTCAAATTTACCTGCGTGGATACTTCGGAGACCCCAGAGTTTGGTCCCAATGCCTCTTTCGAAGACATTGTTTTGTCACTGCGAAAGGAAGAAGACAGAAAGGACCATCCGGATGCTGCCCGGTTTGAACAAGAGGCCAAGGAGGCCCGGATCATGCGGCGGGGAGCCAAACGTGCACTTGATGAGCTGGCGCAAGAATATCGTGCTCAGCTCCTTGAAAAACTCCCCGTGCTGAGATCCCTCATCGAGAGACCAATTCACGAGCTAATTGAGCCATCTGACCCAGCCACTTTACAGGTCGACGAAGAACAAGGTCAATCACTAGTTGATGCTATGTCAGCTTTGCGAACGCTGTCACCCACCCTGGACGCTGGTCTGCACGCTTGGGTCTTGTCTTTGAGCCCGCTTATTGGAAAAGCTATGAGAAGCAGGCTTTCTGTCATAAGATACAGCGCCGCTAAATGTTTCGCAACGATATGCAGTGTCATAACCGTCGAGGGGATGACTCGGCTTGTGCAGGATGTTTTGCCTAACATCAACAACCCACTGGACCTGAGGGACAGACAAGGGATTACCGAATGCGTCTATCACCTCATCCAAGCCATGGGCGACAGGATCCTGCCGTATGTGATCTTCTTGATTGTACCTGTTCTGGGTCGGATGAGCGATGCCAATAATGATATCCGTCTTCTTGCGACGACATCCTTCGCCACACTGGTAAAGCTGGTGCCTTTGGAAGCAGGAATCCCAGATCCGCCGGGAATGCCGGAGTCATTGCTCCAAGGACGTGAACGAGAGCGCAAATTCATGGCGCAGATGCTTGATCCAAAAAAAGTCGAGCCCTTCCAGATCCCTGTGGCGATCAAAGCGGAACTACGACCCTATCAGCAAGATGGCGTGAACTGGTTAGCATTCCTCAACAAATACAACCTCCACGGCGTTTTGTGCGACGACATGGGTCTCGGGAAGACTCTCCAGACTCTCTGTATCGTAGCAAGCGATCATCACATACGGGCCGAGGAGTACGCCAAGACCCAAGCTCCCGATATGAGGCGTTTACCGTCTCTGATTGTCTGTCCACCGACGCTCTCGGGCCATTGGCAACAGGAGATCAAGCAATACGCACCGTTTTTGAGCTGTGTGGCGTACGTGGGACCGCCATCGGACAGAATCAGCCGGCGTCCTTTACTCGAAAAAGCAGATGTTGTCATAACTTCCTACGACGTGTGTAGAAACGATAACGATATCCTAACACCCATCACCTGGAATTACTGTGTACTGGATGAAGGCCATCTGATCAAAAACCCAAAGGCGAAGATCACCCAGGCCGTGAAAAAGCTAGTCAGCAACCACAGACTCATTCTTTCCGGGACCCCAATTCAGAACAATGTCCTGGAGCTCTGGTCTCTCTTCGACTTCCTAATGCCTGGCTTTTTGGGTACGGAGAAAGTCTTCCAGGATCGATTCGCGAAGCCGATTGCAGCCAGCCGCAATGCAAAGTCTTCTTCAAAGGAACAAGAAGCGGGCGCTTTGGCAATTGAAGCTCTTCACAAGCAGGTGTTGCCATTTTTGCTGCGGCGTTTGAAGGAAGAAGTGCTCAACGATCTACCACCCAAGATTCTGCAGAACTACTACTGTGACCTCAGCGATCTGCAGAAGCGTCTGTTTGAAGACTTCTTCAAGAAGGAGCGCAAGACTGTGGAGAACAGTATTGGCTCGGCGGATAAAGAGGCCAAGCAACACATCTTCCAAGCCCTCCAGTACATGCGCAAACTCTGCAATTCGCCGGCCCTTGTCGTCAAGGAAGGAAACAAGCAATATGAGGCGATTCAGAAGCAACTTGCAGCGTCCAAATCCAGTCTGCGCGATATTGCTCACGCACCGAAACTGGGAGCTCTACGCGACTTGCTGGTTGATTGCGGCATTGGCGTAACCAACGACTCAAATGACATTTCAGCTTCAAATTATGTGTCACAACATCGGGCACTGATCTTCTGCCAAATGAAGGAAATGCTCGACATGGTCCAAAATGAAGTTTTGGGCAAGCTTCTTCCGAGTGTTCAATTCTTGCGACTCGATGGGAGCGTGGAAGCCACCAAACGCCAGAATATTGTCAACCAGTTCAATAACGACCCCAGCTATGACTGTCTCTTGCTGACCACCAGCGTGGGTGGCCTTGGGCTGAACCTCACTGGCGCCGACACCGTCATCTTTGTCGAGCACGATTGGAATCCTCAGAAGGACATTCAAGCCATGGACCGAGCCCACCGAATCGGCCAGAAGAAGGTGGTCAACGTCTATCGCCTGATTACGCGCGGCACCTTGGAGGAGAAGATCCTGAGCCTTCAACGATTCAAGATTGACGTCGCGTCGACTGTTGTTAACCAACAGAACGCAGGCTTAGGGAGCATGGAAACGGATCAGATCCTGGACCTCTTCAACCTCGGAGAAACAGCAGAGAATGGTGGTGAGGCAGGTGGTACAAAGGACGAGGACATGGTCGACCTTGAGACCGGTGAAGTCAGAAAGAAAGGAGAGAAGGGCTGGCTTGACGATGTGGGTGAACTCTGGGACGAGAGGCAGTACGAGGAGGAGTTCAACCTCGACTCCTTTGTGCAGAACTTGCAAAAATAGAGTCCGTCGGGCAGGATGTGGCAGGATGTGGCAGGATGCCGGTTTTTGGAGCTGTACAATTATTCCACAGGGTTGCCCAGTGCTCAAAAGTGGTTTTTGGCAGGATTGGATCAGTGATCATTATCAATAGTTACCACACAGCCCAACTTGGAGTTGGCAGTATTCAGCTTACACTGCACCAGGCACACAACTTGCAAACTCAGGAGTCTCAGTCTCGTGGCTGAATGACAATGTATATTTGGCCAAGATATTTACCAAAACCTATCTCAGGTCTAGGCAAGTGGTGCATGTGTTTGGTTGGTTTCAGACGGGGGACGGCCTTCGTCTACGCTCGATATAGGAACTGCAAATCCTTGACGCCCCACGCCAGCCTTGGCTACTTGCAAACTTCGCAGCCTCGCAATCTCTGGGGCCTGACTCTGACCACGGGCGTTCGATAGCCGGATTCGCCGACGGGTAGAAGGTAAGATCTTGACGACCTCGAATACCAATACCGGATTTGGCAGGTGATAAATCGGGAATAGCACCAGTCATTCGACGATCTCATGCGGTATCTGATCGGAGGGCCTACACTGATCAGGCGGCGAGGGGGTGTCGTGTTCAGCGGAACGGGCCTTGACCGCCTGACTGTTTGCGGCTTTTGCCTGAGGATGCTGTGGGAGATGGGAATGGGCCTTTTGCGGGTTACAGTCAGTGACGGTCAGGAATGTACGAGTGAGCTGTGGTCTTCTGGAACTGTCGGTCAGGCGTGGGTGAGCACCGCGCTGTCCTGAGTCAGGCCGGTAGATGAGTAAATAAGGGAAATCGACTCCAAGATGCGTCCGGAAAGAGTGACAGCGGTCACATTGGTCATATTGGGTAATGCTCCCATTCAGGCTGCTGCTGGTCCAGCAAGCCAAGTTGCTGGCTCGCTCGCTGGTTGTTGCTATCTGCGGTCAGCATAGCCCCGCTTTTGCCCCGCGGCGTCCAATGTCGGCTCGATGATGTTCCGCCAGCTCAAAGTGGCCAATGACTATACATACATACCGCGCTAGCCTTTCCATCTACGGTTAGCGCACGGCAGGACAAACAGCTTATCAACACGGTGCTTACGAAAATAGAATATCCGAGCCAATAACGAACGCCTTCTGCGCCCTCCTCGTCGTTCCCCTTCGCCTCCACTTTGCCGCTCGCCGCCTCTCCAGCCTCCTCCCACTGCGTCTAGTCACCGTTCTGCTGGGTTTTCACTATTTTCTCTACCCTAAACACGTGTCGAGGGTTTGGTACTCCGTGCCTGGTAAAAACCGCGGTCCCCTGCCATTGTGACCGCACAGCGGCGTGAGCACTAAACCTCATCTAGGCCTTGCTGCAAGCGGGCGAGGGGTCATGGGTGAAAGCCTGCCCGAGAATAATGCGCAGCCTGCACGGGTGATGTTTTCCCATTCCCTGCTTTGCGGACCTCCATAGCCACTTATCCTTGTATAGGCATCATGCTCATGCTGGATGTTGTTCCTTTACTTCCCGAATCCCTGCCAACAGCTACATACACACCATGGGTCTCGGCCAATCTGATATCCACAGTAAGCAGAGAGCTTAGCTGGCGCATGAAGCGACCTGCCCAGAGGCTTCTACCCAGGTACGTGAACGGTTTTGATGCTTGCTGCCACATTCCGCATCGCAATCACGCAAGATGCTCGGGAACATACATAAAAGACCTTCCACCCTCCCCCTTCAACAGCCCTTCATTCTCTCATTCACAACAACAAACAACAAACAAACCAATCAAATCTTTTCCTTTTTCTCTTTTATTTCCTATTTCTTCTTTCCTTACTGTTATCACACATTCTTTAGCGTACCAGCTATCAGAACCAACTACATTCTAATCCAATCACTTTAACCACCCAAAACCCCGATCCAATCAAATATCCAACCAAGAAAAATGCATTCTAAGTCGCTTCTCGTTGCTGCTTTCGCTGCCGCCGCTGCGGCCACTCCCATGGGAACTGGCTCCAGCTGGCAAGCAAGCTCCTCCGGCAGCTCTGCCCCTTACCCAACCAGCACTGGAGGTTACTCGATGACCACCAGCTACTACAGCGCGCCGACCTCGTACTCGAGCGCCGCTAGCTACAGCAGCGGCGGCAAGTACTCGGCCAGCGGCAGCTGGGGCTCCTCCAGCTCTGTTCTGGGCAACCCGACTGCCAGCCCCAACCCGGTGCCGACCGAGGGCACGATCGCCAAGCTCCTGACCGAGGACAGCCGGGTCGCGCGCTTCAAGGAGATCGAGTCCGAGATCCAGTCCGGCAACATCGCGCTCAAGTTCGACTTCAACCCTGCCGCCAACCCGGGCGTCGCTCCCGGCAAGGGCGGCCAAGTCGACCTGGCCAACCGCGCCAACTTCCCCGTGCTGACCGACCTGGGCATCTCCGCCGCGGGCATCTTCTTCCAGCCCTGCGGGCTCAACACCCCCCACATCCACCCTGACGCGAGCGAGTTCTTCACCGTGGCCACCGGCAACAACTTCACCACGGGCTTCGTGCTCGAGAACGGCCTGGCCACCGAGTTCACCACCTCGCTCACCCAGTTCCAGGGCACCGTCTTCCCCATGGGCTCCATCCACTGGCAACAGAACAACGACTGCACCCCCGCGGTCGCCATCGCCGGCCTGAACTCCGAGGACCCCGGCGCCAGCTCCATCGCCCAGAACTTCCTCATCAACACCGACCCGGCCATCGTCGACGCCACCCTCGGCTTCCCCAAGCAGATCGACGCCAACAACTTCGCCCAGTTCAAGGCCAACATCCCTCCTCCCTTGGCTCTCGGTGTCGAGGAGTGCTTGATCCGCTGCAAGATCAGCTACTAAGCGGGTCGGTCCCCTCCTAAAAGGGGATTGGCAGGACGAAGGGAGGATATGATGGACGAGAAAAAGGGAGGTCCCGCTGGGGATTTGGGGTTGTCAATCTTTTTCCCGTGGGCATAGCGACTGGCGTTTGTCTTTTCAACTCATCAGCGAAAATCACGTAGCATACCTGCATACCTGCATACTAGCATTAGATAGCATTTATATTTGAAAATCGGGCTTATCATCCAGAGAAAAAAAAAACCCTATTTCGCTCTTCCGTGCAATACTTGCCAAACTGACAAACAATGTCACTGAACTGTCCGTTCATACAGCTTGGAGCCCACTCGACCAAGAGGTTGATCGGTGCTTGCCCTGCTTGGCCCCGTCTCGTGTTGGGTGGGTTGCCCGCGGCCAGCGAGCCAGTCACTGTGAGGACACAAAACTCCACACCAAGAATGGGTCAGTAGCCTTACGGCCGACGCTGTCAGCAAGAACGAATGTGTAGATGGTTGCCTCTACCTCATATACTGCGATATCGGTTACATGGTCCAGTCACTTGGCTCAGTAACTTTAGAAATGTCCATCAAGACCGCTCGTCTCGATGCAAAGCAAGTATGCCACCCCCACTCCCTCTCCCTACTTATGTCTGGGCGTCCGCGTTCAATGATGCACCTACCCGTACAGGCGCGGAGACGGTAAGGGAGAGAGGTAGCAGGAAAGGGACAAACGCAGTGAGTGGACTGCGGCCGGGCCATTATGGCCGCGCAGTGTCGTTGCCTCGGAAACGATTTACATACCTTGTGACGCATGTATCGCCGGTTTGGTTCTTCACACGAGACTGGCGAGGCATACAACGACGTAACAACGTGGTCGAAGCCATAGTGCGTCCATAGTCTCTTGGACATACTTTTTATCGTCTTGGTTGGGTTTCATCTACTGACAACTGGAGAGTCTAGCCGGTATATGTATGTGTGTACCCTTCCATCTACCTCTACCCATAGGAGATGGGTTCCTCTATCTCGATTTCATTTCCTTTCGTAGTGTGGAGCGGGTGGCACTTGGAAATGGGCTGTGAAGGAATAGTGCAGGTAGTGCAGACCATGCAGGTCGCTCACCGGTGCTCGATGGGTCGACAATTTGTTTGCGAGGCTCGAGGACGGGAGGGGGACGACTAGAGTCTGACGATGACGATGACGCCTGTTTGGTTCATACGCCGACCTTTTCCGGATCATTGCCCTGCTGCTCCTCGACCTCCCTCTCCTCCTGGTCGATCTGGCGGACCAACATCTCCTCGCGGCGGAGGACGGCCTCGTCGAGGTCGGCCCATCCGATCTCGCGCAAGATCGGGCCCGTCATGTGCATGTACTTGAGGTGGCCGGAGACGCGGTCGGAGAGGTCGAAGTTCTCGACGCCGACGACGCCCTCGATGTCCTGGAGGCCGGCGACGGAGAGCTGGGCGCTGCTGGTGCGGTACAGGAAGGCGAGGATGTAGTCCTGGCGCGAGGACACGTTGACGAGGCGGCCGGCGACGACGGCGCGCATGGCGCGCCACTGCGCGGCGTCGGCGGGCACGGGGCTGCCCAAGAGCACGGCGTGGTCGACCAGCCCGAAGGCCTCGCGCTTGGCCAGCGTCAGCAGGCACGAGTAGACGACGCGGGCGCCCAGCGACGCGCCGACCAGCGAGACGGGCCGCTCGCCCTGGACGCGGTGGATGAGCGCGTCGGCGAGCACCTCGCCGGCCTTGACGGCGCGGTTCTTGGCGACCCCGAACGGCGAGTCGACCAGCTTGACGGCCTTGCGGATCGCCAGCGGCGCCATGACGGCCGACCACACGGCCGCGAACACGGTGCGCTTGATCAGCTCGCGCCGCAGCTGCGACCACGCCTGGCTGACCACCAGGTCCCGCAGCGCCGACCCCAGGTTCAGCAGCGCCTGCAGCTCCCACCGCAGCGCGAACGGCTCGCCGGCCTCGCCCAGCACGCGCCACGGCAGCGTCACCTGCTCCTCCTCGGTCAGCCACCCGGAGACCCCGACCGTGATCCGCAGCCGCCGCCGTTGCTTCTGGACTTCCTCCGCGTCGTCCTCCCCGCCGTTGGTGGGCAGGAAGGCAAAGTCGTCGATCTCCTTCGAGTACTTGTCCATCGCCTGACTCGTCATCCGCGCCCCATAAGCTCCAAATAAGCCCCCTACAAGCACCGAGCTCCCCGCCAGCGCGCCCAAATACCCTGCTGCGGCCGTGGCTCCCAGCCCTAACCCGCCCATCAGCGTGCCCACCCCAGCCGCCAGCAGCGGAGCAGCCAGACCGCCGGTGATGCCGATCAACGCGGCTCCGGCCACGCCCGCGACCCCGATCTTCCACTTCCTCGCCGTGGACGATGCCTGTTGGGCCTTCTGGGTGGATTCGCTGGCGTCCATTTTCGCCGCGGCCGTCAGAAGGCCATACGCTGTGTCTTTCTCCATCTGGGAGACTTCTCCCCCGTTGACGCCGAGCGAGATCGCGAGCCGCACCAGGAGGACGCGGGAATGGGCGCGGTATGCTTCGAGACTAAGCAGGAGCAGAAGGATTGCCTTGATGATCGTGGAGCGTTCGCCTTGGCTGAGATTGGCAAGCGGTGTCTGTATGGGCGGGAACACCTTGGAGAGCTTGCTGTCCGCTTCCTGTTCGCGAGGGGTCGGTTGGTACTGCTGCTTTGCGGCCTCGGTCGCCAGTTTGCGGGTTTGGTCACGGTTCTTATCCTGCGCGGCCTCGTCGCGCGAATTAACGACCTCGCCGACGCGGAGGATGACACTTTCAGCCCAGGCGTCGAAAAATGTCAAAGCCGCACTCCTCAGCGCCTTGGCTTCAGGAGTGGGCGTAGTCAGTAGCGTGTCTGGTTCCGCGTCAACTCCTGGCTCATCCTCGTCTTGCACCTCTTGACCTTCGGTCCGACTTCCTTTGAACTGGTCGTCGATCTCCTTCCTCTGCCCCTCTGACAAGCTCAACTTCGAGACCTCGACGGTGGCCTGTTCTGCCTCCGCTTCACCCACAGCAGGAGCCCCCTTCGGTTTGGGTTTCGGCCTCTCGTCAAAAGTCCTCACGAGACCCCTCCTCATCTCCTCGATGGTCTGAGAGATGAGGAGTGTCAAGTCCGCCCGCTCCTCACGCGTGAGGAGAGTCCCCAGCGACTGGTCATCCTCGGGTTTCCGCTGTTGATCGCCGCTTTGGGCCCGGCCGCCGATACCTCCCGGGCGCGGCTGGGGGATGGCGGCGCTGACTCTGTTTTTGAGAGAGGAGAGTGAAGGCATGCCTCCTGATCGTGCTCTCGATCTCGAATGGCTTCTCGTGTGATTCGAGCAGTTTTCACGCCAAATCTTGAGAGTGGGAAGGGGCTTCGTCATGCTACAAGGAAAGATTAGGATGCTTTCTATAATATGCCCAAGGTCTTGGACCGGTGCTTGTAAGCTGACGGCCATGACGTATGCCAAGCACTTCACAGCCTCGTCAGCGGCCAGATCAATCGTGACGAGGCTGTGCATGTGAAGATACCACGAAGATGTCCCATACCGGATCAGGTGTACAACGGGCTTTCCTTCTGTCGGTGGGATAAACTCAAGTTATGCGAAGCGCTGCGAAGAAAATGTAGATTTCAATTGATTCCCTCAACACACACCAGATTGTTCCCATCACTAGTGGATTGGATATAAACCGCCCGTCACATGTCACATATATCAAGTCATCGCCTTTCTATTTCGTCGAAGCTCCCATGACGTCTCCGTATTGGTTACTCCTCTTCACTGACCTCGCTCTCATCATCTGGAATATTTGCGCTCGACATCCCAATGCCCAAGCCTATACCTCTATTCTCGTTCTCGTCCTCTTCTTCCAAGGCCGCCTCCAGCGCGGCTTCGAGGTCGTCTTCATCGTCATCGTCGTGTGAAGGGATTGGCTCGGGAGGTGTTGGCGGGGCCTGGTCGATCTGCGGCTGTTGCTGATGTGGCGGCCGACGACCTCGGCCTTGGCTGCCGCCGCCATCATCTTCCGACTCGTCATCCTGCTCCCTCGAGACATCGCCTCTGGTCGGCACCGAAAGGCTTTTCTCCCGGGGACTTCCCAGCTCGAATTCCTCCACGTCTTCGTCTTCGTCCGGGGATGAGGCAGCCTCGATGTCTTTCATCGTCACATCCTGATCTCGGTCCCTATCTCTGCTAGGACCTCCCCGGGCGGGCTCCTCCCCGGGCAGTTTAGAAACGGGCCTTGAAGAAGACCGGCCAATATTTGAACTCAAACCACCAATTGGGGTCGCGGTGTGGCTGCGGAACATCTCCGGATCCACTCTCCCACGTCGGATTCGTCCGTTGTCGGGGGGCGGGCTCCCCATGTCGATTTCCAAATCGCCATCGTCGTCGTTAATGATGATATGGGGTGAGCTGCCGATGTTGTCCGAGACATTCCGGGTGTGGCCTTTCCCAGCCTTTGGCTGTTTGGGTCTGCTCATGGCGGCGCCGGCAGGCTTAGATGGAGCTGCTCGGGTCGCGTCGACGGATTCATCGTCCTCGTCAGAGTCGGAAATGCGGGCTTTGCTGAGTGGTTGGGTAGATTTGGCAACGTCTCGTTTAGTAGAGACCTTGGTGGCCGGTGCACGACTTGGCCCTCGAGATAGGTCCTCGGCCTTTTTCTTCCTCTGTTGAGTTGCTTTCGAGGCAGCTGGCACTGAGGTTGGTCGGGACTGTGGTGTGGTAGGGAGAAATCTATTTCCTGGAGGGACAGGCGTGGATGTCCCACTCAGTGGAGTGCGGCTGCCTGGGGCAGGCGTACGGTTACCCGGCACGGTTGTTGACTTTTCTAGGGTTTCGCGGGCTTCGGCGAGGAAATGTCGGAAGTCATAGGGGTTGTCCGGATCCGGGGTCTCGTCATCTGAAGAGGGCACTGGATTTCCGTTTGCCGCTGGCGGTTTGGTCGACGATGGAGGGTGGCCGGGCAGTTGAGGCAACTCCCGAGCGTCCTTGGGCGACATACCCGGCGCCGCTTTCAGGTTCATATCCAAAGATGCCGAGATGGCTTCCAGGACGAAGGCGGACTTGGTCCGGTCGAAGACAAGAGCCAGAGATCTCGACCGGTCCCCGGATGCTCCCGACGGTTCTGAATGCGACCTGCCGACATACTGGTATTCGGCGGAATCGCCACTCGATACGTCAAGATGATATCGGTCACCAGCCTTTTTCAGTCGACTCTCACGGGCGCCGAAGCCGGATTTGGGTTGCCAGTTATACCGGATATTCAGAAACAAGTCCTGTGCCTTCGCATCTGCCTTCAGGCTATCCCCGAGGATGATGGGATAGTCTCCTGACTGGCGAGGATCCACCAGGCCTGAAGGCTTGCTCGGCTGGATGGCAGGCGATGCCATGGTGCTTTCTGCCAAGTCACCGTCCTGATGGCGAGTGGAGATGTTGGATGCGTGGGGAGAGGAGACTCAGGTTAGGCACAAAACAGGGCCCAAGAGGCGCATAGATCCGCAACGGAATTGTAACAGATATCAAGCGAGCAACAGATATGAAGTGTGTAACATATCAGAGACACGATTCACTGAGACGCTCAGAAGCAGCGCATCACTGGCAGACACCAAGAACGGGGACAAGGGGACGTAGTGCTGATGACATAGCAGGACAAGGGAAGATAAATCAGGAACAAAGGAAGAGTTGATGCTCGTCCAGTTAAAGGCCCGGCATGGTGGGTCCCGGCTCCACTTCGGCTAATTTTGCCCCGAGATAAAAATACCTCTTCATGCCTCGGCGACTCTATGTTCAGCCTCGTCGCGACCATCGACGACAACGCAGGTCTGGAATTTTGCAGAATAGACAGAACTTGGAGTCGGCGAAGAGGCTACAGCCTTATGCTCATGATATCTCGACTAGAAGCCTCAGGAGTTCATCTAATATGACGCCTTGGCACGGTGAGGCCAGGTACTCCAATAGCCCACTGATAAGCCGTGTCTGGCAGTATCTCGCTCACACACGAATCCGAAATATTCATAGAATCTAGCTAGGGTTTTCCATCCTTTGGAATAGATCTGCCGAGGCCTCCCACAGACCTTGCTCAGGAGACAAAGCCTGATCAAATCTATCCCAAAAATCCAGATCCACTCCGGAATCTGCTCGCCCTGCGCGCCTTGCCCATTCTTTCGCGGGTATCAGGAATCATCGATTTTTTCATCATCATCATCACTCGTTAATTTCGCGCTCTCTGCCAAAAAAAGGTCAAACTGGGTCTGCAATTCCCCAATCACCCTCCGCAGCATAACACTCGCGCCACGACTGAGTGGCTTCAAGAACACTTTGGTCTCGTCGTCCTTTGCACCTGCCGAGTCGACCAACGAGTCATCGTGGTTTGCTCGAGCCTCTTCAGATCTCTGCATTAACAGCTTTCCTCGCTCAATGACGGTGCCAAGCAGGCTGTTGGACGGGTTCGAGATATCGTGCGGCAAATATAACCAGGCGAGTATGTCTTCCAACCCTCCCGGAGGTCGGAGCAGGGCGCTCTTCAGGAATCCTCTGGACATGACAAAAGCCTGTTCGCTGTAAGAGTCGGATTCACTGGTGTAGGCCCCGCTATACTCGTATTTTTCGAATCCTGCCTCGTTGTAGAAAGGCCTCTTTACAAACACCAGCCCCTGCAATGAGACGAGCACTTGAAGCAATGTTGCCTTGTTGCTCCATTTCTCGCTTTCTCTCTTCGCAGACCAGGTTCCTAACAAGCTCAAACAGACCTTGCCTTCTTCATAGAGGTTCGGATTGATGCGACCGAGCCCCCTGGTCCAACTGTGAAAGTGGGCTGAAGGAGGCGCTTCGGGAAAATTGGCAGGTAGGCACAGGTCGACTAAAAAGGGCGCATGTTCATAGGGCGTATCTCTCGGGCCGATGATAAGGCACCGTAGGAGGTCGATTCGACTCTCGTATGTGCGGACATAGATCTCGCCTTCGGGAAGTGACGTCGCCAATATCTGGTGCTCTTTGAGGATACGTTTGAGTCCTGGCGCTGCCGCAGAAGTATAAAGTCCGAACTGGTCGGATGGAGGCTGCTGGTCAAGTACAAGAAACTGCGCGGGTGGTTCAGATCCGGGCACTTTCTCCAGCTCAAACAGGGGCCGCTGTGATGTCGCTGCATTGCCTGGCCGTTCACTAGCCTCTGACAAATCCAGACCTCCGTCTTGGTCATGTAACTCTTCCTGAGCATCCTCAAATACCTGGTCGTCATCAGACACCCAATTCTCGTCGCCGCTGTCATTGTCGAGACGCTCTCCACCTTCGTACTCTATCGTCTCCGATATGGGCCGATTTTCTGCGGTATAGAGGAAATCACTGTCACCCCAAGAGTCAAGGTCCATGAGGCTGAAAGTCGTGTCATCGTCACCCCAATAATGACGGCTGGCCAAAACTGCAATGATCGAGTCGGCATCAAGTAACACATCTCGACAAGGCTGCGATGCTCCCAAGCGGACGGTGATAAGGCCATCGAGTCCCAGAGACAAAATTTGGCCAATCCAGTCAAATCTTCCCGCGCGTTTTCCTTGTTCCCTTGTCGTACTTGCTTTGGAAGAAGCCCAAGAAGGCCGCCACCGAAGGCTGGCATTCGCGCCGGGATCTGGAGTCTGCGAAAACATTGAGGCCACCGTGGCAGGATCCGACAGAGATGATTTGGAGAGCTCATTCTGCGAGATTTTGAATGGGCCAGGAGGAGCTAGTACACAAATATCACCCCGTTGGCGTGAAAAGCAAGGGTAGATTTCGATGAGAGACACATCCTCGACCTCATCTCCGATGGCGCCAAACCGTGAACCTGGCGCAAGAGTTTGCTCTGGTCCTCGCAGTTCAAGTTTGGGCGCTTTGAACCACCGGACGCGAGCGATTTTCTCCCTGGGATCCACTGACTGGACCACGCCTGCACCAGTCGGCAACAGATCATGAGGCCCCTCGAAGAACGTCATTTCGTCAAAGACTTTGGCGGGACCAATTACCTTGCCGTTTTGCTGGATAGGTCTTTGTTGCATGCCTTCTCTTCTCAACACAATGTTTGTGGGGAGAATTTCGTCGTCGATGTTAGGAAAATGCGTCAAGGATATTGAATCAGCCGTAGTGACACTACCGTCTTGCCACATGACAGTAGCGGACTGTTGCATGAAAACAATCGTATACTCGTTCAGATCCCAGCTGCGGGATGCATGCTCGGTCGCGCGCAGGAGCTTGCCATGCGATATCCCCCCAATTCCTTGATATTTCATCGCAGCTGCGGAAGGGTCCCGGAACTTGACATGCATGCCGACCTCCAGTTCCTGCCCTGAATAACCGTCTCCGCTATTGTGGGCGTCGTGACAGGATGCCTGATTGTGGGCGGATCCGGCTTCACCGCTGATTGCGCGTTGCTCAACGGGCTTGATAGGCATCCTGCCAGTATCGTAGAGGATGACATCCTTCTTAAGACGCACATCTGGAAAATCACGGAAAGTCCGGATGTCCTCGTAGATGGTTATCTCCTGCCTCGGCATTCTTGTTGCGTCTGGCGGGTCTGATCCTTGGGTGTTGGTAGATACCCACTCGACTATAACATCATGGGCTCGGCAGTCAAGAACGATGCCTTCAAGAGGAGTGCTCGGGTTGTATGAGCCAGACAGCCATTTTCCGACCCGTAGATATTCACGATCCACGATGACAAAGTCCCCACGCTGTGGGTGTTCCACGGGTATAGTGTTTGGCCAGCCTTGAATGGCCCCCAGAACATCAGGTTGCCACAGACAGTTGAGCTGAGGAACCGTAATGAAAGGCTTCGAGGAGACAGGAGCAGGCATATTTAGGCCAAAAGACCCGACTATGACCACGACGGACGAGTCTGTGAGCATGACCACAGTGTCGTATTCCACGTCTTCCACCCGTCCGAGCCAGTTACCATATATTATGGAGTCTCCTGACAAGACATCCTGTGCTCTTTTGATCTCTCTTGCAGGGATATTGTAGAGGAGGATGTGTGGATTCGGATGCTGGAAGTGCTCGGGCATGGTTGACGGACATGTTTCCGAACAGGTCGGCGGACGGGTTGACGAGTTCCTCGGGAAGACAGGTTCAAGGATGTACGTCTCCGAAACATTGATCACCGTGCCCGTCAAGGAGCTTCCCTCTTGCTTGACGATGTCACCCAACCCAAAGGCCCGACTGACAAGGACAAGGTCATTCTCATTGACAAGGCAGCAGCCGATGCGGTCATGAACGAATTCGACGTAGACATATCCCTCTGGGGGGATGCCCGTGGCGAAGAACTCCTCGAGGACTTCGGGCGGGACATCGACATGGCCTGTCCAGGCGTCAATCCCAAAGGGCGCATTTGAATCAGTGTGGGTGAGTTGGACGAGGCCATAGACGGTGAGATCGCGTTTGAGGGCGACATGATCACCGAGGCCGAATTGGCTCATCGGTCCTGAGCTGATTGGAGAGGCCCGACGAGTAAGGTAATGATGCGGTGAGGAAGCAGAGACTGTAGAGGGATCAATAAATAATGGTGGGTGGAAGGGACGCGACTAGGTTGCAAGGGCGAAGTTGGCGGGGGACCTTGCCTCCCGATTCAGGAAGGTGGCGCGTTCCAGGGCTGAGCATGCTTCTAACACCCGTCCCACGAAGTATGGGCAGACGGAGCACGACCAACGGAGGGATCCATACTGAATAATATGGCCTGGTTCTCATTTGGGCCCTTTTCAGAATGCTAAGCTGTCTTTGTGCATGTAAGTAAACTCCAGCAAACCCACTGAAGCAAAATCGGAAATGCCACCTATTCCTCGAGCTCCTCTTCCATTGCTACACCACGCCGCAAATGAGACCGATCTATTATGCCTTCTCACTCCTCTTGCGCAGATACACCTCGAGCCCCTCCTGAACCACGAAAAAGGTCGAGTGATACGCCAACGGCCGTCCGGGATGCACGAGAGTCACGTCGTACTCCCTCAGGATCTGTATGAGGGTCTTATTCATTTCAAATAGTGCCAGGTTACGGCCAATGCAGAGATGGCTGCCTCCTCCGAACTGTATTGCAAAAGCGGCACAGTCAGCATCTCTCAACCCAAACAAGCTCTTGAAGAGCAGTCGGTGGGAGAAGGGGGCCTCGAACATACCTGATACAAATGCGAACCCATCAATTTCGCGTCACGCTCAAACCATCTCTCTGGTCTGAATTCCTCACAATCGTCTCCAAAAATCGCGGCGTCTCGGTGCAGGACCCATCCATTGACAGCAACTTCGATCCCGCCGGGGTAGAACTTGCCGTCAATTTCAACACCTTCGGGCGGGGTTTTGCGGTATATTCCCAGACCAACTGCTGGGCGGACTCGCATGGCCTCCTTCAAGCACGCCTGGAAGTAAGGCAGAGCCTGTGCTTCGGCGTAGGTCACGATTTCCGACAGCTTACCCGCCTTTTGAGCCTCGTCGATCTCCTGGCAGAGGTTGGCGTAGACCTTGGGAGCGTTGAGGACCAGGTAGAAGAACGATTGCATTGTCGAGGCTGTGGAGTCGGATCCCGCAAACCTGCAACCACACACATGAGCATACGTAGAATAACCCCATAGCAGCACCACTTACACGGCGCCGTGAGCAATGCTAAACACATCATTCACCGAAAACTTCTCCGGGTTCGCCTCATGCGCTCTTAACAGTTCGGCCAGGAGATCGATACCTGTCGAATCGTAGGTCCCGTCCTTCTGTTTCCGCTTCTCGAGCTCGGCGACTGCGATTTTCGTCATCGTGGTCGGCTTCATCTGCAGGCCCAGGTATGGTCGCACTGGGTTGTTTCGGAGGAGGATGTCGTATTCCGCAATGTGGCCCACGATGCCGTCGTACCATTGAACGTCGTCGATGTTCTTGATCGAGCCTTCGATGTCGACTTCTTGTTCCAAGAAGCCGAACTGGCGCGAGAAGGCAACCTCTCCAAGTACCTAAAAGGACCTGAGCAACCACCGCGTGAAAAGGGACCGGGACAGGCATACATCGAAAGCGAAGTAGTGCAGCAGATTGCCCAGGTTGCACACCCGCCTGTTCTCGGTGGCGTACTTCTCCAAGTGCTCCATCAAGAGCTTGATCATGCCCTCGATCGGCTCCGACCGCTTCTGCATCTGCGCAAGGCTGTAGGGAGTGACGGCATAGCGTTTCATCTGCGCGTGCTTCCATTCGCGCACTTCGGTGAAGATGTCCGGTGCGTGCTATACCGCGCGTCAACGCTCCATTTCCTCGATCCCGGTCCCACAGAAAGGGGGGGGGAGGGGATACGGCTGTCAGTGGGCTTACCTTTGGTGGAAAGACACTGTAAAACATCGTCTTGTGGAAGCCCTTGCCCACAGCAAAAATGTCTTTGGCGGCATTGCAAGTGCCGAAAGATACCTCGTTGGGGGCGGTTCTGACCACAGGCCCTGCATGCGGTGAGATTTTGGGCCCCTTCGTCACGTTTCGTGGTGCTGGGGCTTACCGTATTTCCTGTGCAAAGCTATATGATCCAACTCGGTGTGCCCATTGTACGTACTCCACACTGTTCAGACGAGAAGTCAGCCGGCATGATGAGAGAAGAGAATGGGTGAGATGAGGAGGAGGAGGAGGAGGAGGAGGACCTTTCCAGAGCCTCGAGCACGACGCCAGCCACGGCCCAGGCACATTTCGCAAAGGCGAGGCATAACGCTTGTAGAGGCAACGGGTGACGAGTAAAACCACTGCCAAAAGGAGCAGATTTGCCTTCAGAACTGCCAGGGCTTGGGCAACAAGAGACTGGCCCGCTGCCGAAGACGGGGAGTGCTCAACCTTCATCTTCACAAGCGGTTCTCCAGACGAGACACGATTCCCCAATGCTGTGGCCTAGAGGTAGGGAGGAAGAGAAGCGACAAACAACTGGAAGAAGACGCAAGGAATATACCCATCGTCACTATATCTACAAGAACGCACACCCCCCGCGCAACTGGGCTTGGTTCGCATCGTTCTGCCGATGGCTTCACTCCACGATCGAGAACCTCGTGTGATATGGTGCCCCTGGCCATCCCATTTCCTCCAATAGGACCGCCACTGGGGGTTCGTCTGGGGGCGGCAATTGCAAAGAGAGCGGTCGGCTGACTGTGATTGGCACACGGACTGCTCGATTGAAGAGCTCTGCCTCTCCGATGACAATCTCTTAACCGTGTAGGGGCCTCCGAGGGAGCTTCGATGCAGCATCAGCCCCGCCAGACTCACCCACATCGGAAAACCCCCGTCAAACGTCGGCAGTGGCACTCTGACCCCACCTGGCCGTTTGTGGAAGGTTGGATAGAAAACTCCCCATATTGTGGCGCGGGGGTGGTGTGGCGCATGATCTGTGGCTGCCCATATTCCATGAGATGGTTCCAACCATTGTTGGAGCACTTGGGAAGAGTATGAATAGTTGCTGTGGATGGGTGGCTTTTTCCTGGACTTAGAAATGCCACCCCCACACGTAGTCAACGCACGAGGCTGACCATACAGGGGCCGAGATTCTAGAACAGCCGCAGGTCGCAGCGTAGTAGGATGCTCTCCTGGTATACCTGGATGGATGAGTTCCAACATGCATATTCTGTCCTTCGTCTACCACGAGTCCTAGCTATCTACGCAGTTCGATCTTCTGGCGATCCTGAACGGATCGGAATCTATGCTACCGAAGCCTCCATTAGAGGTCAAACTTCTCTCCCACCAATTCCTCGCTCAGTTTCCACAACTTCTCCGCGCCCTCCATGCTCTCCGCATACTCGTACGTGTTTTGACACTGGCAATCCGCCATATACATGCCGCTCTGCGGTTCAATCCTAGGATCTAAAGCCGCGACCAGGGTTGTGGAGATTCCCTGCGCCATGCTCTTCGGGAGGTCCTCTGCGAGCGGGAAGTGTCGGCCGGTGTTCTTCTGCGCGATCGCCTCAATGCTCCCGAGCGCCTTGGGAATATCAGTGATATGGGTCCCGAGCTGGGTCTCGTATATGCCGCCCGGGTGGACGGCGTAGCTCTGAATCCCACGGTCCCGAAGCTTGTTCGCCAGATACAGCGAAAAGAGAACGTTGGCCGTCTTGGACTGGCCGTAGCCTGACCACGGGTCATAATCCTTACCGCCGGCAAAATTGTAGGCCTCGAAACGGAAGGGGCCGATTTTGTGGCCGAGGCTGGTCAAGTTGACGATCCTCGCTCCAGGCCCCGCGGCGAGAATCTTGGGAAACAAGAGTTTCGTGAACAGGAAATGACCTAGGTGGTTGGTTGCAAATTGGATTTCAATCCCGTTTTTGTTGGTCGTGTATTTCTCAATTGCCATGATCCCCGCGTTGTTGATGAGAATGTCGAGCTTGGAGATCTTGCCGTTGATGGTGGCCGCGGCAGCTCGGACGGAATCGAAGTCGTCGAGGGATACAGGGACGAAGTCGACCTTGATGGCAGGGTTGATTTCTTTGATACGGGACATGATCGACTCCACGCGGGTTTGAGAGCGAGCCAGGAGGATCAAGTGTGCAGGGTTGCCATGTGCGAGGGCAACGGCGGTCTCTCCTCCGAGGCCTTTCTCACTGGCGCCCGTCACGACGACTAGATGGGTTGTCAGTATCGAGGTACCACCCGAGCCATTGGCCCATTCACGACGAGGAGAACTAACTCGTCTTGCCCTCGACTCGGTCGGCGAACTCTTTGACAACTTCGTCGCCCGTGGTCTCTCGACTGAAAGTTTTCATCTCGACGGAATCTCGTGGACACGTGGTAAGAATTGGTTATCTTTCGACCAAAGAACGTTGGGCGTCAACTTTGGATGCGAAGCTGTTCTTTCTGTGGAAGTCTTCGGGTCTGTTGAGTGGCTATTTGCTGATCCGAGGGCGAGCAGAGAACCTGCCGTGTTAAATATCCCCTCCAACTAGGCAGAGAGATGCAATCCATTGGGAGATACGCTATCTCCATGGCATGGCCATTTCCTAACCAGGACCACGACCGATCTCCCGATTTTCGTGCGCCAATGTGAGTAAGCCCAGCGGCCCCTCCCCGCAAGAATCCTCCATGCGCTTCACCGAACAGGAAAGCATAATTTGCACTGCGGCCGAAACTCGAACATGAGAGTCTGTGGGCTCGCAAAGGAGAATCTGAAAATACGGTCAAGCAGATGCAGATGGTTCGGCCGAACGCGGCCGCACGCGAAGCACGGACTTTAGTTGATACTGACGACCAAGGCGCCGATTGTCAGCGACTCACTTCCAGGCGCCCTCACCAATCGGATCGGCGGTTGCGGTGGCGATGGGCTCAATACGAACGAGTAAGGAACCAGTGGTACCATTGAGAACAAGCGGAAACAGAGAGAGAGAGGAAGAGTGTCATGTAGCTCATTACTTGCTGTAGTTGCAGCCTAACAGGCTTGGGCTTGTGCTTCAGCCCCAAAGTCGATTTTCAGTGAGGCAATTCCTCGCTCGAGGATAAGGAAATGATGATACACAAAAACTCAAAGCGAATGTTGATACTCATCAAGGGGTATCTCAAAAAGGGAAAACAAACAGGAGGTACGCCGAATTTTCAGTGCAAATCATAGCCAAGCCCACCACGTCTCATGAACGTTCAATCCAGCTTTCGCTCTCTCCCTCTCCCTCTCCCCCTCCGTGCCATCAGTGTGGTCTTTAGAGCGCGCGCATTTCGTCCGGAAACTGGGTATTGAGGATCAGAAAGCCTTGCCCATCCTTCAGATGTTCTCAATGACTCTGGCGTTCATGGCCTGTTGGAAGCCATCGTTGCTGTCCATGTTGAAAGCGTTGCCGGTGTTTGACTTGGAATTGTAACCACTCCCTTCACCAGTGGTTTGGCTTTGCAGCATGGCGTTCATGTCAGTGGGCATGGTCTGGTTGGTGGCGGGCAAGAAAATGACCTTGCTGTTGGCGGTCTTGGCCATGGCTTGCATGGCTTCAAGATATCTGATTTGCATGGCAGGTGCCGAGCTCAAGATGTCGGCCGCTTGTCTCATAAGCTTGGCCGATTCGACCTCAGCACGTGCAGCAATGACCTTGGATTCACCGATTCTCTTGGATTGAGCGGCCATTGACAGCGAGTCTTGGAGGTCGTTGCTGAAGATGATGTCCTTGATGAGCATGGATTCAACCTGGACACCCCAGCCGGCGGCGACCTCCTCAATGATCTCTCCGATGGACTGAGCAATCTCTTCACGTCGTTCGATCACATCTTGAAGCACGCGAGCGCCCACCACGTGACGGAGGGTGGTCTGGGTGCGTTCCACCAAGGCCTGGCGAATATTGGAAATCCCAAACGCGGCCTTGTGAGGAGATGTAATGTGGTAATAGATGACCGACGTCAAATTGAGGGTCACGTTGTCCTTCGTCATGCACACCTGTCTTGGCACTTCCACGATTTGAATCTTGACATCGACCTGAATGAGGCGTTCGGAAAGAGGATTGACTTTGACCAAACCGGGATCGACGGCGCGCGAGAAGCGACCAAACTTGGTGACCAAGCCGACGTTTCCTTGAGAGACGGGCTTGTAAGGGTTCGGGCAGATGATGCAGCATGGAATGGCGCCCATGCAACCGATGCACTGTCCGAGGGTGTTGACTGCGCCAGATGTTAGCAGGGTGGTCCGAGCTTCTTTGAGGGCGTGGGCGTGAGCGCGAGCGCGGATACGTACTCATGGAACCGTACCAGCCATTAACGTCTTCCGGAGAGTCTTGTAGAGTCTGCGCATACGAGGGTTGCAGGTCCTCACGTCGCGGAGGCTGCACCTTGATGACACCGCCGTTCTGAGGACGGAAACCGATTGGGGGCGCGGCAGTCTTGCCAGTGTCGACCCCAGACTCACGAGGAGAATCCATTGTCGAAGGGTCTGATTCGGACACTAAGGGACGCGTGGACGACGACAGGATGGGCGACAAGCGAATGTTCTCGCGACGCACTCACAGACGGAGGTGCAAGAGAGAGAGCGGTGGTGATAGAGGTGGGATGGACGGTTGGGTTTTGTTTTTGCACCGGGCAAGTTGCGACAGCGACTTAACGGTCAAGGAGGGATTAGACAGGAAGGACGACTGGTAATCTAAGTCGTCATGACATGGGGGACTAATATACCTCGTACCATCGTGTGAGAGGGAGATCTGAACGAGGGCGGAGGAGCAGCAGGAGGGAGAGGCTAGCAGGAGAGCGAGCCGTCAGACTGGGGAACTGGGCCGGTGTGATTGGCGCGCAGAAGCCTAAGGGTCTGGATGTGTGGATAACGCTCTCCCGTCTGCCACCTCCCATCCCCCTCCCACCCACGGGCTCCTTGCGCCTAAAACTCACCCTGAAGCACGCTATTTCTGGCAGCATGGAACCCCCCCTATCGCGCCCATCACCACCTGTTACTCGCGCAGCTATCCTCCCTCAGTCACGGGGCGCCAAAGATGCTGCTTGTCCACAGGTATCCGCTAGCCGACCTCTGCACGGATCCTTGTTGTCCGAAGAAGACCCAGAAGACCATTTCCACGATGTGCGCCTGCCAAGCGATCCCGAATGAAGGACGTGGCCCTCGTATTCCGATGCGAAGGATATTAGCGCGGCCGAGGGGGAGAAGGATGGGCGTTGGAGGAGCGCATCGTACGAGCAATGCCCCGGTAAGCACTGGTTCCGGCTGGGGGGCGTACATGGACTGTTGGAGTTTCGACCTGTCAAAGAGAACCACAGAAGTGGCACTGCAGCCAGGACATCTCCACCTCCTGATGAGACTGTGGTCTTCCTGTCTGCCTCGGGCCATCACCAGGTCAGTGATTTGCTGGGCTTTCTGGATGCTCAAGGATGCTCAAGCTAAGCACAGGTCACGTCAGGTGCGCCCATCGCCCTGCATGCCCGGCATGTTATCTTGTGCAGACAACGAGGGCTCCCCCTCAACCTCAATGTCATGTCACAGGTCGGCATTCGGCATCCACAACCTCTTGACGATCCAGCAGCCTTTCGAGAATCTTTCCCAGTCAAGTTAGCATTGTAACTGGTCGAAGCCTGGGATAAAAATATCAACGCCACCACCAAGTCACCCCACGACGACGTATCCGAGCATGATCGCAAAATCGAATCGAGTCGTTGCATCCCCAGGTAGCTCTGGTCTAGTTCATTGCAGTACTTGGAAAATCAGTCTGAACATCAAATGACTTTCCAACGGTCGGTTGGTGGGGAGATGGCGGAACGCGATGTCGGGGAACGACCGTAGGAAAATTACTCATCCAGTCAGTTTGGATTAACTTGTCACGGAGGCACGAGATGAACAATCTTCCGTAACCGAATGATCAATTTCAGCATCCGAATTGTGGTTGGATTGGAGAAGGACAATCTCGTCCCACATGCAACCCCAGCCACGAAGGATTTATATGCCAAGGCAAGGCTCACTCGCAGCTGGCAGTGTCGGTACACGAAAGGAGACAAGTAGACATGCTCGTACGGAGTCGACACTACTTGGGCATCATCCTGATGGTTGAAGAAACTCCGGCATCAGAGGTATCGAAAAGGCAGCATGCAGGTGTGCCAGTGCCATTGGGGTGGTGCGTCTGGCCACGGCAAAAAGGAAGGTGTTGTGGGATTGCGCGGCGTTCAGTCCCGTCACAGTGACGTTCCGATTCGCAATCGACCATGGTGCTTCTTATTTTAGTAGTCTTCGAAGGCGGTCTGAACAAGAAGCTCGTTCTGGGGTATCGTATCGAATCTAGCCGAGTACGTAGGATCGTCAGAGCTCTCGTCAACATGCGGCATATTTACCTGGTCGTGTCATACCATTGAGGACTATCTGCCGCTCATCCGACTGTACTAGCATTCAATGCACAGCAACTCCGCCTTGAGAGGCTTCGGCAAAAGGCTTAGCATTGGAACGGATGGCCAGAAAAGTCCCCGCATCTGATTGCGTCCAGGGTAGCCGCTATTCACCCATCTTCCGTGGAGATGATGACCTACTGGTGCACCAGGGATGTCTAACCAGCAATCGACACAATTTTCAGCGCGATACCATAGAAAATGATGTAATCGATGAAACCACCGCAAGATACCAGATCGAAGAATCACATTGGTCGTCGCGAAAGATTCTGGCCGGCACGAAATCCCTGGAACCCCCATCGGTGAGGATGACTACTAGCCGGTACTTCCATCAGCGACACTTTGGATCCCAAGGTATTCGCTAGGTATCCTCGGATTCACGCCCACCGCGTTCGCACATGGCTTATCCTCGCGACTGGCTCTTGCTGGTTCGACACAGATGAGCCACTGAGCCTTGATATGAACGTCCAGTGCGCGAATGCGGCACTGGCACTGAACGAGCAATGCGCCCCAAGGCGTATCAAGAAGAGCGTCTCTTGGACGGTGGAGCGGTCGAAGGAGATTTGGGCGACTTCCTGACTAAAACGTCTTTTCACCGGGCCAGGAAGGGTTAGGTTTACTCCATCTCACCAGCGGATTCCCCCCCTTTATGGGCAATCCGGTTCCCAGAGCGAAAGTCTGCCTTGTAGAATAGTGCCATCCTCAGACGGGCATGTCTCGCAAATCCACTGCACTGTCCTTGGGGAAGGGCCACTGTACAAAGGTACAGCGGACTCCGTCTCAATATCTGACGAAATCAGGGCGAGGGATCATTTCGCCGGCTCGTTGGTTGCATATATGCGGAGTGGCATCCCCCCCCGTCGCGCCTTGGACGAGAGACGGCATTCCCACCTGCACAGCCTCGCTGGGTCTGGCCGCCTCCACTTTCCCGCGAAGGCGCTGCGCGCGGTCTCGTCAGATTGGAAGCTGATCCGCCTGAATAGGACGTGGTCGAAGTCATTCGGGGGAATCGCAGCGGCCGGGGCTGTGTGACGAAAAGTACTCCATATCACTTCGCAGAGTGCTGTGGACCTCTCAAACGCCGGTCGTTCCAATTTGTGATTATCTTCCGGCAGTGCTACGTCGATCAAATACCTGACAGTGTCTTGAAACCCTGGATTTCCCCCAGAGAACTGCTACGCTGCGCAGCCTATGGTCCGGTGACTTGACGGTGTGAAGAGTTGGGTCCCATGATACCGTCGCAGCTCCACATATGTCATCGACACGCACCCACCGCCACCAGCGTTCCTCAGAATTATCATTCGTTGATAACCCAGCATCAAACCGCTTCTCATATATCATCTCTCGGATTATCGTTTCCTCTCAAGTGGGCCACGGTCAACATACACACGAACACTCGGGACAAATCGTTGATGCTTCTAACCACGTGTAGTAGGTCTTCGTCGACATTTCACGATCAGCTCATCTGGATTGGCATTGAATCTCTCAATGATGCCCAGTTCGAAGTCTTCAGAGGGCAACTCGAAGTCGTAAAGGTGCGTCAACGTGGCAATCAGGATGATCTGCTCAAAATAGGCAATGTTCCTTCCAATACACGCTCTTGGCCCAATGCTGAACGGCAGATGCGCCTTTGACATCTTCGCTCTGTCACCATTGATCCATCTGTCCGGGTCAAACATATCTGGATTCTCAAACGCCTCGGGGTCGCGGAGCAGGGTGTACGTGGGCACCGAGACGGTGACGCCTTCGTCGATGAATTTGCCGGCAATCATTCGGCCGCCCGCAGGAACGACTCGGGGCAGACCCATCGTGCTGGCGGGGCGCACGCGAAGGGATTCCTCGATGCATGCGCGGAGATAGGGCAGGTGGGCAACACTGTCGTAGAGGGGCACGTCGCGGTTGCGCATGACGGGATCGAGTTCCTCGCGGAGTTTCGCCAGGACCCTGGGGTTCTTGTAAAGGAGGAAGATGGTGCCGGTGAGCGCCGCCGTCGTCGTGTCGCTGCCCGCGTTCATGATCACGCCGCATTCGGCGAGAATCTCGCCCATGGAGAGATCGAGCCTCTCGCCTCGGCTGTTCACCATGAGCCTCTGGAAAAAGTCGTCGCCGCCGCCGCCGCCGCCGCCGCCGGCAGCGGCGTTCCGGAGGCGTTTCATGGTGTTGTGGTAGACGATGTTTTCAAAGTCCGCGCCGGCTCGTCGGTAGGGATGCCAGGCGAACAGCTTCTTGGTGTACGGAAGGAGAGGAGCTTCGAATCCGAGGGCGGTGTTGATGCTCATCGCACGGTGCAGGGATTGGATCAGCCCGGTTTTGTAGAGCTTGCCCTCGCGCGTCTCGGCGTCGACCACGTCGTCCCCACGCTCGAGGCAGCCAAGGGACTCTCCATAGAGAAGTTCCGTGATGAGGTCGATGGTGAAGTAGTTGAGATAACGCCTGATGTTGATTTCTTGGCCGGCTTCCGCCTTTCGGTCGATCTCGTGTACCAGCATGGCCGCCTTCTGGGTGACAACGGGTTCCAAGCTCGCAATGGTCTTCTGGGCAAAAACGTGGGCAAACATTTTCCGTTTCGCTTGATGTTCGGCCTTGACCCTCGTGTCCCCCATGTTTCGGTGTTCACCAGCCCCGCCATCGTACCAGGCGTCCTTGAGAAAATTAGCCCCGTGACCGTAGATGTCGTTCATAGCCTTGGGATCCGAAATCGAGATGTGGTTTGGAGCGATCCGAACATGGGTTCCAAGGTCCCGGTGAGCTTGATGAATTGCCACAAAGTGACGTTTGTTGATGTTGTGCCTGATTCGCCAAAGGCTGGAAAAAGCCGCATATGAAGGGGCTGGAAACTTGCGAAGATGTTTGGCATCGTTGAGGTAGCTGAGAAGGGGTTGGAAGACGGCGAAGAGGGCGACACAGGCCAAGCAAACTTGTAAGGATTTGATAAGTGACGGTGAGGCCCAGATTTTATTAGATCACTTACCCGCAGCAAGCATCTTGTTGTCGTTCTTGTCCTCGAGACTTGGGGAGATATTGTCAAGGTTTCCAGAAGCTCATGAGCCAAATTGATACGGACAAAGACAATGCACAATTGGGTAGAGCGTGTCAAATGATTGCAATATTGATAGATGGGAGGAAAATGAGACATTGTGGAAGGAGTTGTGGCACTTATATACAGCATCCGTTCAATACTCATCGACACTGGCCGTGCTTTCTGGTCTCAGACAATGGCCATATCGAGTGTCCCAGGTAGGGGATCGAATGGAAGAGTCGGGAGCTGTCCCCAGTGAGGAAATGCAAGCGTCGACACCCATGCCGCCGACTCGCCTTCGTTCGCGCCGAAGTGGAAATACATAGGTGTATGTGATGTCGCGCATCAGGTGCAGAGTTTCAGCGTCCAAGGCTGGACTGGGTTCAACTATCGAGTATGACCTGCTTCAGAAGCACTAGTCTTTAAATGGAGATCTATGCCGAGATCCGCTTTTGAAAACGATTGGTGAGAGCCTCGTCGCATAACCGATGCCGATGGCTCGCATTCCCCAGCAATGTTAGCCACCAGTGTCTTAACAAATGCACTCAGAGGCAAGAGAAATTAGACCATTCTTGAGTCAGCAACGTGGAACGACAGAGCCACAGGTAGGGTACTCCATGTTGAAAAGTAATACGTCGAAGATAGGGTCGTTCGTTCCTTTGATATCTCGTCAATTTCCCTTTCACTTTATCGCCATTATCCCAAATTTTGAGTGTTTCCAGATCGTTGCCCAAACACAAACCACATCGTTACATAATAGCATCTCTCGACTACCCACGTTCTCATTCTGGTATCTTTCCGAACTATTCGCTCCTGCCCTGCGAACTCAGTTCCGCGGGCGGTTTCTGCTCCGTCCCTGGTTGCGAACTGCCCACTGCGGTGGTCGAGGTGACCTGACTGCGCGTGTCGCTGGCCGAGAACCCCGTGCTTTCACGATGAGGTGAGAAGTGGCGGACTTCGTCCCCCGCGACCTCGGCGGGTGCGTCTTTGTATTGCCCTGCCTGGCCGTAGCTGCCGCCCGAGGGGTAGAACGGCGGCGGTGGGGACTGGGATTGTTGTGGGTAGCCCATCGGCGGGTATCCTTGAGGGAGGGCCTGAATGCCGTATGGATTGCCGTAGGCGTCCTGGACCTGCATCATTTGCGGCGGCTGGCTTTGCGGCGCTGCGTATCCAAAAGCCGGGCTGAATCCGTGCGTAGGCGAGCCGTACGGGTGCTGCTGCTGCATCATGTTCGGGCTGCCCATGGCCGGGGACGGAGCCATGTTCGTCGCCACGGAGATATGTTTGGGGTTCTCCCGAGCAGCGGCATACGCCCCGGATTCTGGACGGATGGGGCCGCCAGCTGCGGTGTTTGCGGCTTCGAGTTTCCGCATCTTCGCCCGCCGACGGTGGCGGACAGCGAGACAAGCCCAGAGGAAGCCGATAAGGAGGAGAACCGCGACGCCAACGCCCACCCCGATCCCGACTTTGGCGCCCGTGCTTAAATGAGTATGATCTCCTCCCTCTTCGCCACCTTCTTCGTCGTCGGCGCAAGGGAGACCTAGGGCCCACACCCTGGCAAGAAAGTTAGTTTCAACACAGCAAACCGTGGGCTAGGGTCACAGATGACTTGGGTTGAGCTTACTGATTGACGATGACATTCACGGTTGGGGTTGTCGTTGCCGTTTCCGATTGAGCAACCAGAGAGGCCGATACCATCGACGTTATGGATGCCAGCACGGCCGAATCGGGCGAGAGTGTCGTGGTTAATGTGCTTACACAGGGGAGGTTGCCGATGATGCTTTGGCCATAAGTGGTGAAGCCAATCGGGCTGGTGGAGCCGTCAGTTCACGCCAGACAATGCATGGACACAGCAAAGGGCCGAGACTCACCAACAGACTGGATCGATGTCAACCATATCACTGTAGTCAAATATCAGACCGACATCCTTGCAGCCTGGGACTTGGAAGATTGATGATACCTTGGACAAATAGTAAGTGGGGCATTGCTCAGCATTGAAACGATCCCCGTTGGAGTGGGACTGGGAGTTGTGCCTGTCCACGACGTGGTAGACTCATGACCGTCTCCTTCATCGCTCGACTCTGTGGCCGATGTGGAAGCAGAACCCGTCTCTTCTGGCTCGGATTTTGTGAAATTCAGTGATGGGCAGCACTCTGGCCGGTCGTCGGAACATCCCACAAGGGGAACTTCGATCGTGCCACCGTCAGGGAAGGTAAGGAGGGTGAATCGAGCAACGTTACACCTGGTCAAGAAAAATCAATACCGATAGTCGCGATAGCGCGAATATATCAAACATACGTCCCCACGAGCAACGCCTGGCCCGTGAATGGCACGGTCTGGATGGCAGGGACACTGGTCGGGGTTGAATAGCTGCTCGTGGTCGCTCCATCATAAGTGCTGCCTGAAGTGTAGACAGTTGTAGTGTACGCATTGCCGTTGGAGTCGGTGGTGTAGACCACGGACTGCGCAAGCGCCACAAAGGGAAAAACAAGCAGACATAAGGGAGAAGCCATTCCCAACCTCATCATGACAGCCGACAGGTGTTTGACACCGGTATCAGCAACTCAAAGCTTGAGGGCAGCGCCCTGTGCTATGTGAAGGAAGTGAGGGAGACCAAGATAGAAAAGAGGAGATCTGCAGCGCTGCGGCGGCTGGGTTCGATATACCCTTGATCAAGTGGTCGGGATGGCTCATGATTGACCCTACCTCAATAGCCATTTCCACAGCCGGAGCAAGCGGACCCTGGCCTCGAACACGAACCACCTTGGGAGGAGGTGCCAGCGCCCAAGACCAGAGTCCGGGATCTGCCTCTGTGCAAGTGGCACGAACACGAAGTTGAGCCCCCAGCAGATTCGTCCTTGCGTTGTCACTGCTGGGCATGTAGGCGGCGACAGGCAAGCCAGGTAGCTCATGGCTTGACTCTAGCGGCTGGACTGTATTGGCCCGGATTGGCGGACCCAAGTCTGGACCCCAACTGATACGAGGCTGAACACGAAACCTTTTCCACCAAACAGGTCGCTTTGGGCTGGCCGCATGTCTTGATTGGGCGTGCAGGAAAATCATGCACGGGGGCTAGACTCCCACACTGGCCGAAAGGTGACTTTTTTGACTTGGATCTGGGCCGAAGTCGAACAGCTTATCAAGGAAAAGGTGTCTAATGCAGACAAAGAAAGAGATTTCTTGGGGGGAGATCGCGCCCGAAAGCGGTGTGGACGGAGAGACCCTCAAAGCATCACAAGATTCTCCCAGTCCGGGGCTGTACTGGACACAAGCAGCCTCGCTTAAAATCGCAGAGGCGTAGCTGGACCAGCCCTGTAGAATCAAGAAACAGTCAAGCGTCACCCGCCCCTTCAAGCTCCGAGGAGGGAAGAAGACTTCAGCTGCCAAGGGTCTTGGCGTCTGGGCGTCTGGGCGCGGATTTCGGTGTGGAAGGACTTTCCGCCAGACTCTTTGACAGCCCGATAGTTGACAGCTCGTCCTCCACTTCCACGCCTAACCAGGAGGGGTTTTCCACTTCCATGGCCAGACGTCCATGTGAGCGGAACACCCTTCGCTTAGGAGGGCGGACGCCAAGGCGGCTGAGAATGAAGCGAGGAGGAGAACTGCTTCGCTGACCTCGGGCTTTGCGATACTCTCGCCACAGAACACTTCAAATTAAGGAGGCCAAGCCTATCCTGACGTTCTTTTGTCCGCATGGTAATTCGTCAGTCATGGGGAGAGAGGTCTAGAAAGCTGACCGGAAAGGCCTCGACGGAGCCCGGTGAGGGAAGAATCCCATCTTTCTTCCAGCAGTTCCAGCAATATGGCCTCGAGTTGGAAGTGTGCTGGCCTTCTAAGCAGAGCTGTGGAACGAAAGCCCAATGAGGCAGTCTGATCTATTGCCATCTATTGCCAATTGGTACGACCGATGCTTTGGTAGTCAGCGCTCTCCTGCCCTTGAATCATTCAGTCGCCTGGAGCCCCCCTGTCCTCTTGCCCTCTACAAAGACAACCGGTGGCGTAAAGTGATGCTTTCCATGGAGAAAATAGGATATCACGCTGAGTAAGATCACGCCCGCCCATACTGCCGGTGCCCAATTTGCTGTGCTCGTGTCGACCGGCAAGGTTGATGGGAAACAGCAGAAAACGATGGCGAATCCGCAGTAAACGAAAGCGAACATATTGATTGCAAGCCCATACCGTCCCAGGCTCCATCGCGCCGCGGGCATCGGCTCCTTTCGTATCCGTTTTAGGCACACACACCCGATCGAGACCATATATGTGCTGAGCAGAGCCAGCAACGTGAGAGAGATGATAATGTTGAAGCTGCAAGTATTCGTTAGCCTTGCCGGTATTATGGGGAAATAACAACGGCTCCCCCGGCGCAGGATCCAGAGAAGAGACAGCACTTACGCGGTTGTTGAGCCAATGTTGATGACGCAGAGCACCGCGGACCAGAAAGACGTGGCGTACACTGCATTGAATGGAATGTTTCGCCGCCGTTCAATCTTGCTGAGCCATCGTGAGAACGGAAATCCACGATCTCGTGAAAATGCAAAGACCTCACGGCTCGTCGTCGCAAGCGCGGTGATATCACCACTGAAGATGAGCACTAGGAGGAGAATGCATAGCACATAAGCCACAGCGTTCGAGCCAGTGTTGAGGAAGAGTTGTAGATAGGGTGTCTCGGCGTTGATGGCCTCGTCGAGGGGTCCGATGCAGAACAGCATTGTAATCAATGTTATGATTCCCATGGAAAGATTCAAGAGATAACTCCACCACATTGAGCGAGGGACGTTCAAAGAGGCATCGGCGACTTCCTCTGAGATATGGCACGCGCTGTCCGACCCTACATCAGGCAATCAGGCTCGGTCTGATATCGATACTAAATAAGACGTGCTTACCCAAATTGCAATACAAGATAGCAACCTGTGAGACAAGGCATGCAGTTCCGACGTTACCCCATCCTCCATTATCGACGAAAGTTGCGAATACATCCTTTGCGCTGTTCTTGGGACACATGACTGTTCAGAGGAACGGCATAAGTCGGCCGTACGTGTATGATTTCAAGTCGAAGGTAGGACTTACCCCAGAGCGGTATAATTGTGACCAAAAAGCCAAGGATATGGCCCACCAAGCTGATAGTCTCAATCATTGGCAGCGTCGTGGCACCCCAGGTGTTGAAGAAGATCGTGATGACCAACAGGGCGATACTGATGAGAGTGTATTGCCAGTTTGGAAACACAAAATCCACGTCCGAGATCTCGATCAGAACTTCGATGAGGGTGCTGCAGACGAAGACCCCTGAAGCGCAACTAGCGAGCCAGCCCAGAGTTGACATCCAGCCTGCGGAATAACTGAGAAATTTCTGGTAGTGACTGGGAGCGAATTCCGACACCCAGTGGTATTGTCCACCACTGGTAGGGGCCATCGATTCCATTTCTGCAAGACTTGCCACGACGGTGGAATAGCAGAGGATGGTCCCAATGAACGTCCAGAAAAGCCCGGCGAATCCGCCGTTGACCAAGCCCAAGGCAAGGGAGACCAAGACAAATTCCCATGTTGCCATGTAGCTGAGATGTTGAGGTTGTTATTAGCACGCTGTCGGGCTGATAGCATGAAAAAGCGAGTACCTAGCTGGGACAGGGCCAATGAAGACATTCCGAGAGTTCCCCTTGCACTAAGATTGAGGAAAGCACTCAACTCACATCGATATGAACCCAAGCGTGGAGATGAGAGAAAAGTTGCGTTTGAATTCCTGACGCTTGCCGAGTCTAAACATGTCCCTGATATCCTGAGCGGTGTCACCGGAGAGACCATGGTGACCTTCTTGTAAGCTGTTGTCGGAGGGAGACTCTTCGTCCGTAGCCAAGACGAATTTTGAGTCGTGTGTTTTCTCAACGCTGTACATCCCGTCGTCTCTGCCGTCATGGTGGTGAAGAGGAGGTTCCACCCCATGATGAGCGCTCATTTTGAGCAGATGAGGGCGGGTTTGTTCTTATCGTGGTCAGATACCCGCAAAGAGCGAAGAAGCAACTGAAGTCCCACAGTGTTGAGAGCCAAAAATTTGTATCAACAACAAATCGGACTCAAAGGATATCAGAAACTCATGAGAACTCCTGCTTCCCGTGAGCCGTCGAAGACCTAAGGACTCGAAGGAAAGATTGAGCATAAAGACAAAAGAAGCGGTCTTCAAGCGCGACCATATCGATGCGACATCAGATCTGTCGCCAGCTCAGGGAGAATGGCCATGGTCCAGATCGCAGAATCTTGACAAATCGCCACTGAAGAGCGACAATTCCCTGCGGGGGCTTCATGCAGTCTAGTGATGGCCAGTGCTCGACCATATACCAGGGTTGCAAGATACGGCAGATGGGCCATCGCAGGTGTGTCGTGCACTTGTAGCGTTGAGGAAGGTCAAAGTCGCCAGGCCAAAGGCGGAAGGTAGGAACGCACCAGAGCCGACGCGGTGAGCCTTTATGGGACAAGCGCAACCCTCGTGGGATCAAAGCGATACAGAGAGATTGGTTATTTGTGTCGAGGGTGGGCAAAAGGTCCCATCTTCGATATGTCGACCCCTGGCAAAGAGGAGGGTGCTTATCGGCAGCAACCGGCGCCCAATAACGTTGGCCGAACGACTTTCCTGATCGACGTCGTACGAGTATCAAGCAAAGGGCATATGTGATCGTCTGAACCTGCTGTGCTCTATGAACCATTGACAAGAGCGGCGACGTAGGATGAAAATAAAGGTATGGTGTAGATTACATGGTCGTTAAATTGCTTCTACCCAAAAGTCGCAAAGAACTTATATACCCCTGCTCCCAACACATCTCACTCCTCGCGGTCTCAGAGAGTATCTGTACAGTTTGTCCAACGAAGTGGTCAGCGTCGAGTCATTCTCATCAGCGCGCAAACATGAGAGCGGCCTCAAATATCCAACATGTCTGAAATTGGTTTTCCCAACAACGCCTTGCATTTAATCAAATGTCAGCAGAATATCTCCAAGAGCAGCCAAAGCTGCCCTTGCATGATATAAATTATAGTCGACGACCCCGTCACAAGCCAGCGGCAATCTTTCCGGCAGCCTCATCCGCGACACTCTCCTCATACCAAGCCTTGATGCGGGCAGCCTTTTCGGGGCTTCGGACCTTGACATCCATCTCGAAAGGTAGAGGGCCACCAATCAAGTTGGGCGTGAAGGCATTGGAATCAGGCCACTTGGGTTGACCATTGGCATCCATGTAGGGTTTGAGTTCGAAGCAGCCAACGATGCTGCCGCAAGCGACAAGCAACTCAGCCTCGGTGACTTCAATACCAGGGCACATGCGACGACCCATTCCGAAACCATGGTGACCCATGAGTCTGGGATGCTCTGTAAGAGGCTCCTTGTAAGTGGGGAACTCCTTCTGGAGCCATCGATCCGGGTTGTAGGTCTCGGCATCGGGGTAGAGCTCAGGGTTGCGGGCAAGAGCGAGATCGACGGCGTGGATAACAGCACCCTTGGGCAGGTAGTAGCCGTTCCATTCATCATCCTCTTCGAGAAGACGGGGCACACCCAACGGCACTGGTGGTCGCCATCTGACGCACTCCTTGATGGCAGCACGGAGAATGGGGAGGTTGGGAGCATCCGAGACTTCAATGACACGGTCGCCAATGACTTCGTCGTATTCCTTGCGGACCTTCTCTTGCCATTCGGGGTGGAGGACCATGGCGAGGAAGAAGCAGTAGAGAGGACCACCGATAGTGAAGATGGCGACAGTCACCAACATACCAACAGCGTAGGCAGCCTCATGGTCGTCGAAACCAAAAGATCGGCTGCCAGCTTCGGCTTCCTTGCGCTCAAAGTAGGTGCGTGCGTAACTGATGGGAGCGATGCCTTGGTCCATTTCCAAACGCACTTGCTTCATGAGACCCTTCCAGAGCTTCTCTTCCTTTTCACGTCGCTCACGCACGCGTTTGATCGACGGGTTGATCCATTCAGGAAGGCTACCCAAGAAAGGCAAAAGGTTGGTGATGGGGCCCGAGGGGGAAATCTGGGGAATGAATTCACCAGCGTTCTTGCAGTGGGCAGCAGCGGAGGCGGGGCTACCATAACCGAGACGAGCGCTGATGCGACCGCAGAATCGATCGGTCAAAGCGAAGTGGTCCTTGGGGTCCATGAGGAGTTTGTAGAGGAATCGCTTGCACTCGTGGCTGACATAGCCATAGTACTTTTGGTTGAAGCCCTGGGTCAAGACGGTGTGGGCGAACTTGCGTTGGTTGCGCCAGTGGTCTGTATTTTTGACATTAGAATTTGGAACCTTGGATAATGCGCTGTCATGGTAAACTTACCGTCGTGAGCCAAAAGGGGCAGGTACTGTCCTTGAGAATCACTTCCCGGAACCGCAGGCACCATGGGACGAGAAGAGTAGATTCGAGCCTTCTTGCAGAGCAAGTCATAGGCAATCTGTGAATCACCCACCCAGATATGCATCTCACCGCAGATGGTGGAGCGGAAAATTCCATTATATTCATCACAGAACTTCTTCATCGCAAACCAAGGGGCCATTGGGTCGACATCATGGACACGTCCGATGTAGGGGATGGTGCTCGTAGGGCCCGGGATGAGCTTGAGACCTGGGGGAGGACGGTCCCTAAGCGCATATTTGATGATCTGGATGGCGGTAACCAGGACGAAAATGCCCGTGCCAATGAACCACTTGTAGGTGCCGATGGCATTGACAGCTTGTTGTGATTGGAAAAGAACGTCGGAGGTCTCGTTGGCATTGAGGTAGCTGGAGATCTGGGTCATGATGACCGACGGCGAGATAGAGGCCGCCATTATTGGCAATCAAAGAAAAAAGGAACTGCCCTGCAACTGACAATTGCAAGAGAAGCAGAAACCAAACGAAGGGAAGTGATGAATAGATATGGGAGGACAACAAAAGGGGACGGGGGGGGATGTGGGCGTCAGGGAGTCGGTGATATAATAGGGCCAGCCATAAGGAACTGCAGGCTTGAGCTGGGCCACCGACTGGGCAAATCCTCAGACGCAGCAACCTGGACGATGTGATAGGTGCACCAGGGAGGGCGCAGTTTTGCAATCAGGACTGGGAGCACAGGAAGTCAGACCTTGTCCGTGGCTAACAGGTGTGTGTTCTCAGGAGGTGGCCTCAGCCGCCCCAGCATCAGCGTTGAAAATGGACGACACGATCCATTAGCCCACGTTAGGCAGCGACTAGCGGCTGTCAATCATAACACGGTCATACCCAAAAGGGATAGACGGTGGGGCCGGCCGTCTCCAATTTTGGAACACGAGCCGTACAGCCACGGGGTATCCGCAGTGTTTCCCCTGATACAGCCCCTGAGGCCACTTTGCTAAGATTGGCATGTCCGTAGCGGCGCTAGGTGCAGATTAGGCATGATGCTGTACAATAACTCGAGTCACATGACCGCGTCCTCAATTTCGAGGTCCGTCATTACCATCTGGATACCGAATCGCCACGGTTTAATCATCCGCCGCTACCCAAGCCCACCAATGGCACGGGCCTCCTTTGAAACATTGCAAAACCTTGGATTCCAACGTGCAGCTCCAGATCCTTCGCCGCATCGTGTCTAGCAACCATATCATCAGCAGACAACGGCTTCAGCATGCCACAGTATGACCACTTCTCTGATGCTCCTTGTTCACAGTCGGGGTACCTGGTGTGAGTGTGCTGACAGGAGTATTCAGGCCCAACAGACAAGTCTCCCTGCCTCCCGTGTTTCAATTGCCAGGAGGATCAAATTAGATATCTCCCCACGACAATGAGATGCTCCAGCTCCACTCCCAAAGGCGTCAAGACTTTCGCGGTCTCCTGTTCTTTGACTTGCCGAGCTACCACATGTGGTAGTAGGCCACGATCGAAGATTGCCCGACCCCCTGCCCCCAGATTTACGAAGTGTCATTCTCGGAAATCGTGAGCCGCTTAATATTTTCTCGCCAGCCTCGCCACGTGCAAGGCTGAAGTTGAAGTGTCTTGGCGTCTCCCACCAATGTGGCAATGTGGCAATCTGGCGCCCAGCTTCCTGCCCAACGGCCCTTGGTCTTCAAGCACTTGTTTGCGAATTTCTCCTCGGGTGATGATAGATGCCCACGCCATTCCCTCCCTGAAGTTTATGTAAGGGATACTTTTCATGCAAGACGCCTGCAGGTCGGGGTTTGACGCCAAGCTGACGCCGGCACCTGCTTTCGTCTTTCACAAAATCTCGACCTGGCAAGCCAGTCAGACTGAGCCACCTCCTCGCTTCTCCCTCGCTGCAGGGCCTTCACCGCCCGGCTGTAGTCAGCCAATCTCGTTGTCTTATTTTCAATGGAAACTCTCAAAGACAGTCTAGAGCCCGTCGCTCTCCCCTACTGGCCAACCTGCAAGAATGCGCTGACTTGGTCGCCCGAGGATTTGGCAGTCGCTGCAGGTGAGCTGGTGCATATCCTAACCCCTCGCGATGCATCGCGATCACTGGGTGATCCAGGCCACAGGCTCTGGCACACATTTACTCTCCGCGTCAATCAGTTCGATCCGTCAGAATGGCCGTATCAAGACCTGGCCACTATTACTCATTTTTCCGTCGGGGAGGAACTGTCCGAGTCTACCGTCGTGTCGCTTTCCTGGTCTCCACCTGGATTGGGAATCTACCGAAGAAGCGTCCTTGCTATTTTGACGTCAAATCTCATTCTCTCTCTTTGGGAGTCCAGCGGGAGACTTGGCGTCTGGCAGCGAACTGCGATCGTTAATCAGTATCTACCGATTCAGCCTAGTGGCGATGAGACCGATAATTCCAGACTACAACGACGAGTGCGCGCCTTTCGCTGGCTTCCTCCCCTGTTGCCTTCTGAAGAATCCGGGTGGGGGTGCCAGTTCCTGGCTGTGGCCGATGATGATTTCACAGTCTCGTTCTTTCAACTGTGGAAGGCCAACGGTGCTGTGTATGGACGTTGGTCATACAAGCTCTGTGCACAGTACAAGATCCCCGGTCTACGGCAATTTGATGCAAGTGCAATGAAGAAGTTCGGTTTGCAAACAATTCTAGCCCAATCCTCACCAATCTCGAGTTTGGAGACAAGCAAATGGCGATTCGAGGATGGACCCAGCAGGCATTCCGGGACAGCAGCTGTGGATGTCAAGGTAAGCTTCGGCCAGTGCAGTGAGGCGAAATATCTGTCCCTACACGTGAAGTGGATGGATGGAAGCAACGACAAAACCCGACGTGAGATGGCGTTTTCAGTTACACCTTTGAAGTCAGCATCGAGCTTCTTGTCCTTGGAAATGCCCACCCAGAGCCAATTTGATTCCGTAATCCAGAAACCTCGTTCAGATTTCGACCGCAACTTTGGGCTGGGGGGAAGACTTCGCGTCAATTATTGGGGCACTGCGTTCTCTCCTGACCATACCATTGCAGCGGCCTGCATCACGCTACATCCTTCAGACATGATTGAGTACGGCGCCCCTTCAAGCCAACGCACTACAGTGGTGTTCATGCGCATTCGCGAGCCGCCGATGTCGGACTATATTCCAGACCATCCATCCGAGGTGCAGAAACGCATTCTGGAGTTTGTGAGGGACTCGCCATTAGGTTTGGTCAAAACAGACCTGGATAAACATATTGTGCGGACGGCTGCTGCCCTGATCAAACTGGATTTCAAAACTTCCTCGTCTCTCACCCGCTGGGCAGATGATATGCTGGATCTACTTCCGACGAGTGCTTCCCGCCAGGATTCCAGTGGCACTGATCAGCGACAGGCTTCTAATAACACGAATCTCATCGCAACCGCCGAGCCTGGAGGCGAAACAAGCGTTCTAGCCGACGAGGTTTGCGATCTCTGCGGTGATACCATTCCGTTTTCAGCAGACCCAGGTCGAGCAAGATGCAATCGAGGCCATCAATTCAGCCGGTGCAGTCTTTCCTTCGTTGCTATCCAAGAGCCGGGGATTTCCATGTATTGTTCTAAATGCGGTAGGCAATTCCTCGATCCTGGCAAGCTGGAATGTGCGGATGGTCCAAGCTTGAGTCAAGCGCTATTTGACAACTTCGATGTCTGCCCGTACTGCCAAGGCAAGTTCCGGGGCTGAGACTGGAATGCGGCTCGATGAAGCCATTCTGTGTCACCATCAGAGATTGGAGCTGCGAACAGGTTTGCCGTGCACTACCGTCATGCTGGCGGAAAGCGTCCTATGGACTGTTCTCTTCTTTGTTCTTTCCGAAGAAGTCAAATTATCCAGACTTCGCCGGATTCCGAAATCCTCACCGACGCTCTTGCTGCAAGCAGAGTTTACCGCAAACGGAAAATATTCTTTCAACACCAGCGCTCACCGCAAGCGATCATCCAAGATGGCGGCGCTTAAAACAACTTTCAGCGATGATGCTAATTCCGAACATTTTGATATCTCTCTAGTGGTGGACTATCATCGCTCATGGTCTTCAATCCTTCGAGCCCGATACGAGTCTTTGGCCGGCAACAAGTTGTTATCCTTCGACCGACCCCGAAGCCTCACAAAGAGGAGCAAGAAGCCACTGCGGCCAAGAAGACCAACAAAATTTCTCCTATCGAGATGTCCAGATCGTCTTCGCCGAGTTCTGGTTGGCGTGGGGGAGTTTCTCGCCTGATGCGACAGTCCCAGGACCGACCACGTCCGCCTCCCAAAGAGGTCAGTCGGTGGTCCAAAACAACCACAGAATCAGAGATGTCTGATGCATTTCCGGAACCCCCATCGTCATCAGCAGACAAGAGAAGGAGCTTCCTCAAGAAATCCAAGTTGAAGAGGCAGTCAAAGGACACGACAAATTCGAGCCCAACAGACCCATTCTACGACCCGGTGACCAGGCAGCTCCAACCGATTGGAGATATCCCTCCCATCGTTTCCACCAGTCGAGGTGAAGATCCAAGAGCCACGTACGCTTCAGATTCGGATACTTCGTCTGAGCTCGACCCGACCAGCCCGATCATTCACAGAGCAAGCAGCGTCCGCGTGAGCAAGCCGCACATCGTGCAGCACAGCAACAGCTCCGGTGGCTCGGTACCCCGGCTGTGTGCTCCTCATTCGACCCAGACATTGATGAACGATGGGCCGTCCATGGCAAAAGCATCACAGACCTTGGGAGAAGACCTCAAAAATCTCTACGACCTGACGCCTGCTGTCGAGAAGGGCGAGAAGGCCGTTGTCCCAGGCGGTCCAGGCGACGCTCTCAAGGCGCTCGAAGGTCAAGAAGAACCGCAAGAGAAGGATGCAAACATCACCGCCCTGCCTCAGGTTCCCGCTGAAGTCAGCAACGAGCCGCGCGACACCATGAAGGAAACCATTCTCGAGTGGCCAGACACACCCAGCCGCATTGAAGCGCTCGATACCTTGCCTACACCCTTTGGCGGGTTTGGTTCTGTGCGGGTGCCTCGGACTTCCGACGCAACCTACTCAACGAGCGGGAGCACGAATACCACCTACGTCTCTCCTCCCTCCATAATCGCCGACGGCCTCCGCTCAAATCCTCCCACCGAGAACGACAAGAAACTCTCCCGTGCCATCTCAGCACCGGCGCGTCACCCAGCGCGTCGGGTCATGATCCGGCCTGCGCACCTGATCATCAACAAGGGAGCCCACGACCATAAACTGTACCGCGAAAATATCGTCAGCACCCCCTATCCGGCAAGACACAGCAGTATCGGAGAGATTGACGAGATCGTTCCTCCCACAACCCAAGAGGCGGGAAACAAGACGCCCAAGCTGAGGCGTTCGAGGCCACTCTCCCACCACACCGAAAAGTCGGCGGAACAAGACGGCGAGGGCGAGCCCAACACCACTGGCAAGGATCATACTCGCGCACAGGATTTCCAGGACGACGAGAAACGAGATGCCGCTCCCGAAATCCCCTTCTCCACAAAACCCACACTCCTCTCGCCGACTCCCGTGCCACCAACAGCCAAATCCGACCGATTTCCTTCCCCGTCTGCGCCGGAGATTCTTTTCCTGGATCTTCGCTTGGCCCGCCACCCGTCTGCCCGGGTTACAGTTGAGATCGAGGTGACTGACAAGACGACGTTCGATGACGAGCAACTGTTCACGATGGTGCGGGACAGCTACGTGACGAAACTAATGGGTCGAGGGAGATGGTGGTTCTGCGCGAGGACTTTGGAGGGTGCCAGCACGGGCATCACTCAGCCTTTCGCCCCAGGAGTGCCGTTCTGGCAGAGCCCGCACCACATTGGCGCTGGCGCTGGCGCTGGGACTGGGACAGGGGGCGACTTTGACGGCGCAGATTTCGTGCGGCATCTGCTCAACCCTCGCGTTGGGCGGCGGCGGAAGATGTGGCTGCTCTGGCTCCGCAACAATCAATACCTCGACTCTCCCGGCACCCACAACAACAACAACGACAATATGAACGGCCAAGCACGTCGCGGTCGCGGCCGCCGGTCCTACCTGCCCCAGGATAACGGCTCCGCACATGGATACGGCTACAGCCCGCAGGGCGACGCCACTGCGACAAGCCCGGTCTTCTCATTCGTGCATTCGCGGAACAACAGCGACGGAATCGGCAACAATGAGGTCTCGCCGACAACACAGGCAAACGGTCCCAACAGCGTCGCGGGTGCAGGCGTCGTCGGGTCAGGGGGAGGACTCGCCGCGAAACAACCCTCGGTCTCCCTCCCGCGAATGCCCTTCCAGCCCTCAGCCATGTCGTTCCACCGGACCAAATCCCTCGCAGCCCTCACTTCATCCCATATTCCCTTCTCCTCCTCCACTTCCTCCCCGTCCGCCACCTCGTCGCCCTACACCGCGAATCCTCACGCCTCATACCTTCTCCAGCTCCATCAACAGCACCAGCAGCAACAACAACAACAACAAAAGCCACAAGGGCCACCAGCAACCCACCTGCACCACACATTCTCGCTCGTCTCCATCGCACTCTTCACTCTTCTCGTCCTCGTGCTCTCGTGCCTCACGGCGACGTTCTGGATCCTCTTTGGCTATCCCGGCCGCAGCGCCGCGGCGGGCAACGGCGAGACGACGGTCGCGGGCAAGGAGTACGCGCTGAGTTGGCGCCGGGACGCGCAGAGCCGGGTCGGCGTTGGCCTGGTCATGGGCGTGGTGGTCCTGCTGCTGGGAATTGGGGGCGAAGTGGGCTGGGTCTGGGCGAGTTGGGTGCTCGTCTAGGCAGGCCAACCGCCTGCCTGCATCCTATGATGAACAGAGGGGGGGGGATAGTCCCGCAAAGTAACGTCGAGAAACAGAGATAGAGAGAAAAAGGGTGTCGAAACGAGGGGAAGCTCAACAAAGGACACAAGGTGGCGGAAGCAAAGGACTTCCACGTAGGTAGAAGAATGCACACACCAAGGGCTACCTACCTTGCCAATCATGCCCAGCCTTAAATGAGCATAGCGAGAGGGGTTGTTTGGCGGGTTCAACGCTCCTGTCTTGCTCGGCGCGAGAGATTCGGCAGACGAGCGAAAGACCATCAGACTTTGTGTATATACTGTCTAGCCATTGCCTAAGGCCAGGCAGAGATAGACAGACTGATCCATAATCTCTGCTCTATGTAGCGCAGTTCCCTCCTCTTCATCCTTGGCCTCAAGATCTGGGCGCGGCGACGCTTGGAGCAAAGTCTTTCAATTTTTTTTTTAAATTTTTTCTGGGAGCATCTGGCACCCGGACTGCCGAGACAGAATATCCCCTGGTCATCTCCTGGGTGCTCTTCACGCAGCCATATGGGCTGGGGTGCTCGGGTGCACTCGAGTTCTTGGGGAAAACACCACCCTACTCATGACGGCCAGGGAGATCCAACGCCCTTCCAACCACGAGGATATGACGAGTCTGCGAAGGAACTTGACGAATTTGTCTTTCAGTCTCCAAGACCTCATCGTATGTTGCGCGGCAGGAAATCATTGGGGAAATCCCCGATACCACAAGGCTGTCTCGGTTGGACATATTGAGGCGATAGCCGCCACTAAGAACTGTATCACAGTCGGTTCCAGCCGAACTTCACGAGATCCTCACAACCGGGATAGCAACGCCGTCGCCGACTCGAGCAGCCGCGGACCCGTCACCAACGGGGGGTCGTAAGCCTGGCGTTGTCGCGCCTGGGACATACATCCTGTCGGCGAAGTCAAGGATAGTCTGCACTTGTTCGGCCTCAAAGCGCAAGGTTCTAGGGAGTATCGACGCAAGAGCAGTCGCCTGACTACATACGCCGAAGTTACGAATAATGTTCAGCAAATTGTCATGGACGCCCCCTCCCCCCCTGGAAATATCAAGCTGATCGTTAAGGTCAATGGAACGCTTGACCCGTCGCCGCAGCCCTTCGCACTGGTCTGGCGACTCTATCTACTGTGTAGGGTGCGTATCAAGAACAATGAAGGAGCCTGCCAAAAATGCGAGGACTCAAAGTTTCGGCAAAGGGCAGAAATCCCATCACAAGGCACACTTGAGGCTGGCTTAGCCGACGTACTCGTACGGCTAGGACATGTTTGACTTGCCAAGCGCAAGATATCTACCAATCCGGACAGCCCGAGTCGACATTGCGCCCGACATGGCCTCGAGTCCATCACCTTTTGGGAGCCCTGGTTCTTCTCCGCGTGGGGGCCAGCGCGGCCACTGGCCTGTGCTTTAACCATTTTGAGTAAGGGAATGCAGAGGTGTCGACAGCGCCCTACTTGTGCAGGTTACCAAAGTACTCGTGCGCCGTTGAGGTATAATATGTAGGTGCGTTTGGCCTGGGTGGGAGGCCCTCAGCCCCAGCCTTATCTCTCTCCCCTCCCTCCCTCCTTCCCTCCTTCCCTCCTTCCCTCTCTCTCCCTTGCGATCCCCCCGTGTTGTGCAGCGCCTGTTACCCGCACCACCACTCTACTCAGTCTCATCTTTCACATAGCATTCTCCTGATAGCTGAGCGCAAGTTTCTCCTCGAGACCGAGACTGGAAACCCTCACCGGGGCCCCAAGAGTTGGACTATCCTCGACTATCGGGGCATATTATTAGGGGAAGATTTCGACGCAATCTAGCCGCCGCCGCACAGTCGAGCACAGGAGACTCGGACGAAGAGAAACATAGTTCTCGACATGGGGAGAGATATCAGTCGGAGAGATTTCGTTGACATGATGGACGAGCTGGACGAAGTCCAAAAGACGTCGGGGCGTGGGTCCAAGGACCAAGCGTTCTGGAACCCGCTCGTGTCGATGTCGAAAAGAGACGCCGACTACATCGACGACGGCGGCTCCGCCTGGGACTTCCCCGACTACAATGGCGAGAAGTCCCGACGGGCTGGGACACGTCCGACCAAGCACCGTTCGCGCTCGTCTGCGGCACTCGACCATGACTATGACTGTGACTATGACTATGACTATGACGACAACGACACGCTCGACCGCGGCCGCAGCAAGAAGACCCGAAAGAGGCGCGAGCCCCAGCGCGACAACAGCCTGCGAGACATCTTCTCCCGGCTAAACAACAGCAACAACAAAGGCACGAGCAGCCACAAGGGCGACATCGCGCTGTCGTCGGGCTACGTGGGCGACGAGTCGCAGAACTACACGGACCGCTCGCACTCCACGTACGTCAACAACAGCCGCAACTTCATCGCGATCGGCGGCGGTCAGAGGACCAAGAAGCAACCCCGGGGCCCTCGGACGGGCCACAACAGCAAGCGGTCGGGGCCGAGCGGTCCTATCGACTCGTTCGCGTCTGGAGCCGGAGGGGCGGTCGTGTCGACGGGTGCGGCGGCCGCGGGGGGGAGTTGTGTCGTCATGTGAAGCGAGACGGAAAGCGTGGGATAGGGTTCTTCTGGGACTTGGGATGTGTCTGTGATTACGTTCCCAGAACTTTTGGTCGGAGCAGTTGGGGTTAGGGGTGGAAGGGAAGATGTACTTCTCGCGAGGTAAGTTGGGGGGGCTGAATCGAATCCACTGCTTCGTGATCAAAGCATCACATTTCCGGAATTTGGTGTGAAAAGACGCAAAGAGTGTCGAAAGTTATTCGGTAGTATTATCGACAGTATCAGTATGAGCGCCGATTCTAATCAATGACACATCATCGTCTTGAAAACCACCGTTAGGCTGTGGGATTCCGATGCGATGCAAGGCAAACCCTAGACCGGGAGGGCGCAGGGGGTTGACGAGCTAGTCTCGGAAAGGGGAAAGCGCCGAGTTTGTTCGCTTGTTTGCATTCCAACAGCCGAACATCTGGGGGATGCTATCCATATATTAAGTACGGACTATCAGGCTGCCACAGAGCCTGATCTGACTAACTACCACAGCTGTAGGTACATGGGTAGGAGCGGACTCCCCTCTGAAACTTTTCCATATCTAAACTTGAGGATTCGTCCAAACTAGTTACGGTCAGATCTAACGGCCAAAAACCTGGTTCAAAATCCTGCCCACAATACGGCAAGCCATTACACTCTACGATGGATGCTCGAGATCTGACGGGACAGACGCCATTACAGTCGGTAGCCGAGAGGGGTTTTCGTCCTGATGTAGCAATTGAGCCAGCGAGCCAGGAAGACCGGCTGAGTGCTCGAATACATACCGACATATACTGTACACAGCCTCGAAGCCCCAGATAAACGAACGTATCGCTCAGCCGTCTGAATGCAAATCACATCGTCGTCACAGCCTGACTTAAGGCATGATACTACAATCTATCCTCACATACGTGAATTGCCTTCAAATCGCTATATCGCCAATCCTGCAATCGTCTGTGCCACGTTAAGTCGCTCCTATGTGATTTATGATATATATATGATATACGTCCTCATGAATTCCTGTTCCACTTATCGATAAAAGAAAATCTTCTAGCCTTTCTCCATCCCAAGATCGACTGCTGCCCGCATTCAAGCATTTACAGTCATAACTTCGGCCACCCATTCGGTTGCCGTCGACTTCCTCTTTCCCGTGACCTTGTCCTTTCCCTTCTCTGATGTCGCGTCCCTTCCCGCTGGTGTTGTGCCAGGCTCGAATTTGGGAGTAAGAGATAGATCGGGTGTATCAAAGAACGAGGCGGAAAATTCCGACTCGAATTTTGGTGATGCGGGACTTCCAACTTCTGACGACGAAGTAATGGTTGTTGTCGTAGTTGCAGTGGTGGTGGAGAGACGGGGTTCGTCCACAGCGACAGAACTGGAACTGTCCTCCACCTTATCGTGCACCACGAATTGAGCCTCAGTCGAATCGGTAGGCTGGATTGAGGTGGCATCGGGACTGAAATTGGCGTTCTCAGGCACGGGCGTAGTGCCCCGGGCCGGCGTGGAGAACTTCTCTGAACCCGATCTTGAACTCGGCCGTAGGAGGGGAATGCTCTCTATAATCTCGCTGGTCATAAGCTGAGAGTCATGAGTTGCCATCATGGGTACTGGTTCGACGAACGCTCTGTCTGCTGATGATATCGGCTCAATCACGGGTTGACTGTTCGCGATCACATGCTCATCTGCACCGGCAGCGGCGGCGACAATTTGATTTACCACACCACTTATCTCAGGGGCCGCATGCTCGCTCATGAGAGGTTGATTCTCGTCCGCTTCCCCTTCCGCTTCGGCCTCCTCGTCTTCTTCAGCGATCACGGTTGAATCCACACTTCGTCGTCCATGCAAGCTTGCGAACCTAGTAAATCGAGCTGGTGTAGAATGTCTCTTCATTCTTCGTGGACTCGAACTCATCTGTGCGATAGGCTGTCTGACCGGACTCGAAGCAGCGATATTCATATCCGTCTGGGGCGTTTGCTCATGCTCGACTGGGTCCTTCGGAGGGCCCGAATATGGTTCAATTGTCGCCTGGCGCGTTTCGTTCTCGCCAACTTCCATTGGGATAATGGGTATAAACTTATGGCGACTCGCGTCAGAACTTCGCCTCTCCGAAGTGCCCGATGTTCGTTCAATCTCGAAGCTGAAGTTGGCTCTTAGATTCTCGTTTTCCAGCACCGGACTGAGTTCCCCCGAGTACCCTGAAGGCCGTTTCAACTTCCCACAACAGGCGCATCGGGCATAGACGGGGGGGCAGACGATTTCTTTTTCTTTCCCTTTGAATTCGCTTGGAATAATGACGGAGAGTGGTCGAATAGCCGGATGGGTCGAAAACTCTTCCGTCTCAATCGTCGCGCCGTCTACTTTGACTTCGTCGATTGCCTCGACCGCCGTCACCGTCTTGTTCTCTGGTTTTTCTGCCTCATAGTTTTTGCTGAAAGATAGAGTCCGCCTTCTCCCCTTTTTGAGTTTGCCTACATTCTCTGCACTCTCATGGTTGGTCTTATCGCCGCCAAAGAGTGCCGCATGGAGCGTGAAGCGCTTCTGCTTCTCTTTTTCCTTCTTGGGCGATTCGGGCTGGGCAATTTGCTTTCCTGGTTCGACGGGCGACTCTGACGCTTGCTTCGGCTGAGTGTCAACATTTTCCGGGTTCGTTTCGTTTGGAGCGACTTCCTCATCAAGTAGAACCTTGGGTTGATTGTGCGGATCATCCGCGGGATCCAGGACCGGGAACTTCTCCGTACCATCCACAATCATCGAGACGGGTGAGTCAGTCACTCTGGGCGGACTCACGGGTCTTGATGACGGAGCGCTGACATTCGGCACAGAGTTGGAGCGTGCGTTTCGTAAACTTTGAGCGCGGTAAATGCTGATTTCCGGCGATTCATGCCTCCCTTGCTCTGGTGACGTGCTGACCTGGCTCTGCCGCGGTCTCGAGAAGTAGGAAAGCGGATTAGAAACAATCTTCTGCGACGGGTACTGTAGCATGGTCAAGGACCCTGTACGTGTAACTTCTGGTCCTCGGTATTTGGGAAGGCCCCGGTATGTTGAAGACCCAGAGCTTGACGGACGGGAAGACAAGCCATTCGCAGACATGAATGCAGCTTGTGCAGATCCGCGAGGTCGAGGGGCATGGATAATGCCGTTTGCGTGGCCGTGAACGACATGGTGACCGTAATGGTGACCATGAGTGCTGGATTGAGACGATCTTCTTTGAGCATTGGGCGTATGAGGAGGGGTCGGGATGTTGACGCTGTTGTTCCTCGAGACCGAGTTCCTGTGCGTCTGTGCTCCATAGGCGGGAAGCTCATCAGGAGTTGCTGGAGGCGTTGCATTGGTTGAACGCCTTGATCGGGATTGAGTTGATGTCGTTTTCGAACTCGATTGACTACCCGTCTTCGAGGCTAGGGCACCATTATTAAGCGATCGAATTTCGGCGGGGGTCAGCTTGGTGACATTGGCACTGTTTCGGGCTGCATGACGCTGTCGTTGCTTCAGCGTCTTTTGCAGCTTGGCCATATCAAATTCGTCTGCATGAAAAGAAAACACATAGGTCAGTCGATGTCGGACAAGACATGGATGAAGCTGGTAGAGGAGAAGGAAGAACGAAATAACGACGATCGAAAATGGCAGGGCATGGCTGAGAAAGATGGGTCCGTGAGGTCAGTCAACGGGAAATGGTTGGTGAAGATGACAGTGGTCCGCCCAAACAGAACGTGACCTCTGCAAGGTAAGCTTCCCAGCTGAGACAAAACAGGTCACCTACCCGAGGGAAGTGCGGTAGCCATCGCCGGCATGGCTGGCGTTGGACGAGAACTCCTCTCTAGTAGTAGAACGATTCCGTCCGAGTCCGCTGAAGGATATCCGGTCAGATGGTTGCGGTGTCACAGCCAGTGGTACAGTCGTGCGTCGGGCCCAGCCCCCCAGGACTCCGGACGATCTGGCGGCTCACTCAGACAAGCAATAATAAAAGGCGACGCTGCTCCGATTTTACGCAAAATCTCGCTCGCGGATGCAGGACGTCGTCGCTAACCTGCAGCAAGGCCGGTGCCCGATCTGTTGAGAACGAAACTGGAAACGGTGTTCGGATGCTGGAAAGGGAATCAGTGATTGCGGTGTGGAATTGGCGGTGCGATCGTCATTCCTAAAGCGGTTTTCTCGGCTGGGGGCGCCTCGATTCAGGGAGCTGCGTTGATGGAGTCGAGAGAGGATTGCGAGGGAACAGGTGTGTCAGGTCGCAAGAGGGCGCGATGTGTTCGACACAGCGCAAAGTTCTTGGATGTTGAACGAGTGATGAGAAAGAAACAGAAGGAGGGAGGGTAGGTGACGTGCGTGCGACCGATTGATTGATAGATGGATGATGGATGGAGGAATGCCGTGGATGGAGATGTTAGTTTGGAAATCGCAGGAGGAGGGGCAGAAGTCACTCTCGACGGGACCCAAGTTGTTGGACCTGGAGCCGGAGCTGGAGCACTGGTGTGGCTGCAAGAACAGACATGGTGTCTCGTCGCATTCTTGCCGATGGACTCTCTGATGGCGCCCGCGATGATTGATGGCTGGTATTTGAAGGCGAGGGGTCCAAGGGCTCCCTGTTTCTGTGTGTTTCCCTTGGTCTGTTGTTGACACCCTCTACCCTCCTCTTTCGCCTTGTTGTTCCTCCTCTTTCTCTGATTCTGTTGTCTTTTGCCTATCTCCACCACTCGCTCTTTGCCCATGGTGATGGAGGATCGGCCAGATTGAGCATGGATTGGAACAAATGGCGGGATCAGGTGGATGGGGGTCGATGGAGTCTTGCGGCGCGAGATGCTAGCGAGGTCGTTGGTTAGGTTTTGGGGAGTGTCTAAGCCTGCGGCGTCGGCCCTCCAATAAACTGCCACCCAGGCTTGGTAAATTGAGGCACGCCAATCCGCAGTGCAGCCCGTGGCTTTGGGGGGGCACGGGAGCCCGCCACAACAATAGTTCGGGTACCTAGGCGGGCTTGGGCTGCCGCCTAACTGAAAGCAGTCGCCTATCCGGACTTTGTCTACAAGTCAGAGCCGTCGCTAAAGGAGCATCAAACGGGCGTCTGCGGCTCCCTCGGCGCCCACTGGGTGCCACTTGGGCAGTCTCCAAACCCTGTCTGCCACGCAGCTTCTCCCTTCACTCTGGAGAGAAACAAAGTGAAACAACAATGCAGCCTCACACCAAGATTCCATGTCTAGAGCCGGAGCAGAAAAATGTTGGTGAATTGTTCTCCGTATCCCTATTCACTCACCGGGTCCAGTGGCAACGGGCAGCAGCCTCGTCCCTTGCGGCGTCGTTGTCGGTAGGTACAGTCTCCCATCCTTTGTGATCTTGTTTCAAGACCCTGCGGTGTTGCTGACGAGTCTTCCCCATAGTAATATTACATCGGCAAAACAGGGGACAGCGGCCCATCCCTGCGCGGCATCAATCACATCTGGCCTTTTCTCTACAAGCCCAGGCTGCCGAGCATGTGCTCACTGCTGAGGCCCTTCGTATTTACGGATCTTCCCATCCTGATTTGTGTGCCTGGAGAAACGCCGAACGACTCCATGAGCGGAATGCTTCACCCTGCCGGTATCATTTGCCACTCGTCAGAGCCCTGGGTAGAAACCAATCTCGCCTCATGCGCTTGCTTACATATGGAGTATCTGAGCTATCGTCAACAAAATCGACCTTATCACACGACACCACGGCGCACCCAAGGCCTCGCCCCGATATACACACTTGATGCCTACAAGCTCGTCCCGGAGTACATCACCGAGTACCGTAGCACCAGAGGCACGCGACGACGCGCCATCACAACAAAATTTTTCCCATGTCCAATTTCCGTATCTTGAATCCCTTCCGTCAAAACAATGCCCAGTCCGTCATGGAGGTCATGTCGTCCGTCGTAAACAAAACATTTGCAAATATGCCACACCCGACAGGAGTTGCTTTTGGGCGTCGTGCCCAACACTAGAAGAGTCCTCCCGGTTTCAGGTACAATCGCCTCCCAGGGCTTTGGTGTCTTTACAATGCGAGGCCGGTGCCGTCGCCAGTCCATCTGTACAACGCAAGCACTTCGCGCCTCCAATGCTGCTGTTCGGCTAGGTCCTCGGGGATGCGCCCTCGCACTTGCTGAAGGGCTGATCGCATCACCTTCCGGAAGTTGCGCTGACGTTGGTGTCAGTTCCTGCTCATGTCTTCACGCCCACGTCCATCGATATCCACTTACCTGATATTGAGTATCCAGGGTAGCAACACACGCCTCGTGCGCCCGCACAATCGTCTCACAAGCCTTGACCACATCGGGACTGACATCACCTTGTAATTTGTCCGCAAACAGCAGCAGCAAGAAACTGCCCTGGAGAAGGTACACGCCGAAAAAGAAGGGCATGAAGCTCAGGTCGGGATCGTCTTCGATGATTTCGGCCACTGCCTCGGCCGCACTCACTGCATGTCCCGTGGCCGTCACAAAGGACTGCGAAGAGATCCAGAGGTCGTTGTCATCCAGTAAGGCAATCGGATCCCACTTGCCGGTCAGGAGGATATGCAATACGTGCATAATGTGTGTCCCATATGCTACCACAGTTTTGGTCTGCAGCGCCAGCTCTGAAGCACTGTGAGAGTCATTCGTTCCCGCCGATACCACAGACGGGGTCACCACATCATTGTGGCTGGTGTCTTGAGCATGTCCCCCAGACGCCTCGAAATCTTTCAGACTCTGCCCATACGTCTCCAGCTGTTGAGTGATCTCGTCGGTGTGATCGTCCCAGTTTTTAGCCTTGTTAGCTCTAGGTCCAAACCGCGGTCGATTGCGAGCATGATTGAGATCTAAAATCTCTCCCAGGATCACCATCAGAGGCAGGAAATAGCCAAACACGCTGTGGGACGTGCATTCAATGTTCAGCCCTCGTCTTCGATGCGCAGGATCCGAAGCCTTGTCAAATCGCCCTGCCTGGAAAGCGTCGTCGTCCAATGGCTGCAGCAAGCTTTCACATTCCTTATTCAGGAAAAACATGGGTCGGTTGTAGCACAACGCTAGATGCCGATCTTGCATGTACAACAGCCACCACACCCGTCGCCGTTCTTCTCTTTCTTCTTCCGACACGTAGCCGATGGAGTTGCGCCGTGTGTCATCTACGGATGTCTTGCGGTTCTCGCCCGAATGACCGTCCGTTTGATTGCTCGCAGGATTATTCTCCTCCCCATCTTGCTCCGGCGGATTAGCAGGGAGCTCACGACCCAGTCGAAGTTCTCGGGCAAGAGACCAAGCAGCATTCCACCACCGAAGACTCGCTGCTTTTCGTTCACTTGCGGATACTACCGTAGCTAGGTGGATGTAGGTCGCCAGATTGTCAATCTGTGCCCGATCGACACCGTGACCTCCCGAATGCGTTGGCACAACAAGAGCGCCCAGCCCACCATCGTTGGCCGCCATCTGCGGATAATTAGGGTTTGGCGTGGGGGCAGAGGTATTTGGGTGGCTGTGAATCAGGGGTTTGAGCATGTTGATGGTGAGTTCTAATAGTCGTTGACATATCCTGGCCCTGGCATCTAGCTGAGTGGTCAAGAAAGCCGCATCACTCGTTTGTGCCGCAATCCACAACATGCTTGCCAGGAGTGCAGGGGTACAAGGCCGCGGATCGGTAGGATGCAAGAAAGACTTCTTTCGGAAGATGTAGCCTAATATGTACGGATTGGCAGGTCTCAGGTAAGCTGAAGTTGAACTCGTGAAATACTGCTCCAACAGGTCGCACGCCAGAGCTTGAGGGATGATGGGCTCGATGTGAGGCAGCAGAGGACGAAGGACCGGATATCTTAGCGTATCTGTGATGCGAGGCTGAGCCGGTAAGGGGTCGTTGATGAACATGGGCGACGTGAGAGCGAGCCAATCCGGCGACTCGACCATAGGTGCTTTACCCATGAACGCGACCGAATAGTCGTCTCCCAACGGAAATCCAAAGCCTTGTGCTGCCCCTTGCACGTGCATGGAGTCGAGGGTGGATGGCGCATACGCTTGGTTGGGAACAGCAAAATCAATGGCTTGACTCTGAGTAATCTGCGGTACCATGGACTGATCCATTTCGTGCAATTGTCGCGCGGCAGTAATGCTCACCCCCGAAGAGGGATCGAAACTGGTAAAGAAAGCAGCCTGGTGATGGTTGGTCTCAAACCCAGCACTCGGGGGTGTGTTGTTGGTGGGCAAGGGGTTCCCATCGAGCATGCCATCGTGACCGGTGTAGGAAGTGGTGGAATACTTCCTTGGTCCAGCCGACTGGCGAACAGCGGACGCATTGTTCGAAACGGATTGAGTCGAATTGGCATAGTTGGCCTCGTCGTTGGCATCCGTCTCTTTTTTGGGCGCCCGCCCTCGTTTCTTGTGAGCGCGGGCATATTCGCAGACAAGGGCATTGTCGGTACAGTGTGCACACGGCTGCTTGCCATCACATTTGGTACGCAGTTGGTTGCATTGGTCGCAAGCTCGACTTATTCTTCGTCGAACGGCCGCGGTGTCGTTTGTTTCATTCTGATCGAGCTCCGACTCCCTCCTCTTGCGACCGGCCTGCAGATTGTCATTGTCGTATGGCTTGGGTTGGGTCTGAAGCATGGAAGCGAGCTGCTGAGGTTGGGGGGTGATCAAGTCGGATCTTTGAGCATAGTCGTGGAATTCCGAGTATGAGTTGTGGGTTTGTGGGGGAATGCGGGAGAGCATGTCTGCGGGACTCGACGGCGACAGCAGCACACAGCCACTGTCATAGCTCGAAACTCGAAATCTCCGTCGTTGTCAGGCGGTTCACTGTTGCTCAGAAGAAGATGCGCAGTTGGGAGCGTTGAGATGGTTGTCGACGGCGAGCGACCGGAGACGGCAGCCGCACCCTCGGCGTGGCAGAAGCGGTGGGCGGCAGCCAGAGCAGAAAGAACAGCGTGAGTGTGGGGAATTTTTTCGCTCACATGAGATGATTGAAGGATCAGAAGAGGAGGCGGCATACGGGCGAGTTAAGCCTCGACCATGGACGTCGATGCAGCGGGGGATTGGCAGAAGTTGGGGCGTGTAGGCGAGGGCAGCTGGTCAAAGCAGGGTGTGGGCAATCATCCGCTGGGCTTCTGGGTGGTTTCGGTGGTGAGTGAGGGCCGGTGGCTAATGGCATTTGGAAGCTGGGGGCCCGCCCCGTTAGGCACATTAGGCAAGCTGGGGTAGGTGAACGCCCATCATTGGCAGGATGCTTGGTTCCCTGGAGGCTGGCAGTGGTGACCAGTTGCGCCAGTGCAGGGATGCAGGCAATAAGAGGGTGGGGCCGGCCATCAGCAACGTTCTGCCGCTGAGACGCATGGCCTCGGTGAGGTGCTTTGGAGCACACTCTGGGGTGGCCGTGGTAGCAGCCAAGTCGACCATGAACCCGATTGCCTCTCCAGAGTGATTCGATGGCACACATCAGACGGTGAGCGGATGGCGTTGTGCTGGGAGATGAGTAAGAGGGGGGTGAGTGAGAAATGCGAGGGAGCGAGGAGTGGGTGCGAGTTCCAATAGTTGTCTTCACAGCTTCCTCGTGGGGGATAGGGCGAGTGATGCGGGGCACCCCCATCCCAGGCGGTTTCGGGCTGGTGTAGAGCACAGGCGCCCCCGTACAACCCATAGCCAGAGCACCTAGCACCCTACGAGCACCTACAGAGGACTCCAGAGAGGCTGCGACCGTCGACCAACTTCGTACTACCTAACTCACCCGCCTCGACCGCTACCCACCGCCACCCAATCCACTACATCATCATCCTCGTCCTGCGGTCCAACCACATTCGCTTTTGGCATTGTAGCATTCTCGTGATCTCAATACTACGCACACTTTCCCTGGCCTCACCACTCTTCAGCTGCCACAAGTGCCGACATCTCGGACTTTGTGCGTCGACTGCTTCCTCCAAGGGCGGGAATCTTTGCCACAGTCGCCCAATCAACAAGCATTGTGAGGTTTGGCGGCAAGGATCTCGCGAGATAGTCTTCTGATGTTTTATCACAGAGAAGTGTTTTATCAGGGTGCAATCGTGCCCTTCCTGTGGTTGAGAAGTAGCTGGCGGTCGAAGGCCTCTTCTCTTCTCGACGGTTTTCGACCGCAGCCAAGTCCCGCTTCCAAGAAGCTGTCTTCTTTCTCTACGGCTCGGTGTGCAGCCTTCTGCAGTGGTCTCGGCCGCATTCGATCGTCGAATGGAAGCAGCTTCCAGCAAGCTTACCGATTGTCTAGGTCATCCAATGGTGGACCATGACCTTCTCCCATTTCGGAGAGTGTTGATATCGAGCAACCCGGGCCCCTCGCGAACTGCGCCGTACTAGTCCTTTGCAGGATCACTCCCAAACCTGCCCTCTGCAATGCCTGCATGCGTCATCGTCCGCCGATTTCCACGTTGATTCCCAGTCTTCTCTTTTCACAAGCAGATAATGCCCCTGCCGGTCTCACACCTGCGTGCTTGCAGTGAACAATTGCCGGGCCGTCCTCACACCGTAGATAGCGCCAAGTCTATCATCGATGAATCAGCAGGAAGTACCTATATTGCTACCTCGCCACCGTGGTCGAGAGTGCCGGGGGCCTTTTAGGTACTCAGATCTATCGCATGGCGCGACGGATGAGTCGGGTGATAAAGGGCGGTGGACAGATGCTTGCTCCCCATGGTGGATCAACCCGTCTGCTGCAATGGCAGCCGTTGCAGCTCACTGAGCAGCATGCTCGCTCAAGATCTTGTTCAGTCCTTGCCGTTGGACACATTCGTTGAAATGGAAACTGTGCGCCAGTTCGTCCAGCTCTTTGAAGTCCATTCCCTTGAACTGTTGGGCAAACTCGTCGGAGAATTGCGCACTCAACCACGTCTGGATCACGGCGCGCATGACGTGCCTTTCGGTCTGCCACGGCCCTGGATACGCATCCTTCGCAGTCGGACAGATCTTGTCGATCCACTCTACGAGAGGATTCAAAGCGGCTTCCGCCTCCGGCGAGTGGTGCACCCCCCACGCATCCAAGCGATACTGCTTCTTTTTGTCCAGGAAGGGCTGGATGGTACGGTTCCATTTCGAATCGCGGCTCGTGTGCACCATCCCCTGGACGCCGATGTCCTTGTACAGCCAGATGCTCCAACTGATCTTGAACTTGTCGTAGACATTAAGCTGTTGGCCGAGCATGTTGTATCGATCCTGATTGACGGCGTCTGCATCTTTGTCCTCGGCTGGGTCAGCGTAGACTGGACCGAACTCGCCATTCCAGATGGGGCATTTGTGGTCGAGCATGAATTCAGCTTTCCGCAGGAACTGTCGCTCGAGCTTGCTATTCTGGTCTTCGGTGCCCTTGTAGCGCTCGCCGGTAGGGAAGCCCATCATCTGCGCGTCTCATTAGCACAAGCACAACGTTCTAGCCTAGAACCTCGGGACGCACCGAGTAGTCATGTAGAGCGTACACGCAATTCGGCAAGACCTCATCAAAGCCCTTCCACTCCATCGAAAAGGTATTGCCATCCAACCACAAGATGTGATGAGGGTCCACGGCACGGATGGCCGCTTCGATCCGTTTGTAGAACGCTGGCAGGCGGATATGCTCGGGGTCGCACGGTTCGTTGATGGGATTGTACCCGGCCACCCACGCGTTGTCCCTATATCTTTTGGCAATCTCTTGCCATAGCCAGATGGTCCTGTCCTGGTGGTCCTTGTAGTCCCAAAACGCGGCATAGTTGGTAGGGTTATCGGAGTGCCAGTCGGGGTTCTGGCCGCCTGGCGCGGTGTGCATGTCGAGGATCGTGTAGATCTGGTGCTTTGCACACTGGAGTTCGCGACAAAGAGTTCAGCGAGGGTCATCTTTTAAGGGTCATCGACCATGAAAACACCACCAGACTCACCAAATCAATCACCCTGTCGAGGTGCTTGAATCCAGCCTCCTTCAGCACCCGCGGGTTCATGTCATCTTCCAGATGCCGGTAGTTGAAGGGGAGCCGGATGCAGTTCAGCTTCAGGCTGGCGAAGAAGCGGGCGTCGGCTTCGGTGAAGTGGTACTCCAGCCACTTGTCGAAGAAGAAGTCGGCCTTCTCTTCGCCCAGCACTTTCTTCATGGATGCTCGATGCTGGAACTCGTGGCCGGGGTAGCCTGTGATGAAGTTCTCCATGCTTTGAAGGGGCACATCAGCTCGTGACTCTCTCGCTCGGTGGGAGCATAGAAGTCCCTTACTTCATCCATCCTCCAATAGCCGCTCCGCGCAGCACCACCTGCTGCCCACTGCCGTCGACGACCTTGTCACCGTCGACCCTCAGGTAGCCGGACACCATCTTCGTGCACTTGCAAACACAGAAGCAAAAGATTGACTTACTCCCGTCTCCGAAGAGAGGTTCTTACCTGATTTCTCCCGGGTAATTAGAGGGAGGGGAAAGCAATGTTGCAGCCCAAGATGCTCTACTCGTACTGCTCTCAGCATAGCGGGCGGGTACAAGAGGCTTTCCGGATGCGCAGCACGAATGGAAAGGAGTCCAACGCCGAGTCCAACGCAAAACAGGGCGTCTGAGCCAGTGAGAAGTGTCTCCTATCTCACTCTGTCGTCTACAAATGTGTCCACCTAGCCAGCGATCCGGCTAAATGCTTTGGTCACTCGCCTGATATACGCGGAGGAACCGTGAAGATGCAGTGGTTACAAAGTGATGATGATCGGCCATTTAGCCGTACAGGCTCTTGGCAATGGACCCCAATGTACCTGTGTACGAGTAGTGTCTCCCAATTAACGCGGAGATGATTCAGATGTCATGATGGGCCACTAGGGGAGTGGTTTGTTTTGTTTCTCCGACAACCTCACCCCATATTCTTGAGACGAGGCTGGAGTAAGATGTGAGCTCGAATCTGGCCTCTCATTTCCTATCCCGTGGGCATACGGTCTGTGCGTTCTGCTATGCCTGAAATCCTCCGTACCTCGTGCTCATTATTCGACAGGAAGTAGCCTTCAGATAGGCGGCGAATCCCGTTGACATCGTGGATACTCGAACGTGTGACGCAAGGCTGAGACCCAAGCAATGCAAACTATCATGTTTCACCTGACAAGCGGAGCTCTGGCCTCTGTTTGTTTATTATCTGCAAGCTCCCGGTACTTGTGATCTTTTCATGTGTTCAAGCTCGGTGCTTACATGTTAAGATGAAGATTGAGCTCCTCGGTGTGATTCACGAGGGTATGTATCGTCTCTAGAATGGAAGAAACGCAGTTTCGCAGCTGCCGACACTCGCTTTGGAAAACGGTTCCACATTCCGACTCCTCGGCTTTCTGAGCTCTTCTTCATTTCACACAACAAGCCCTCGATGTCTTTGCCCATCCGCTCGCAGATAGCCCTGGCTGCACCTGTCGGTCCAGCAGGCTCTGTTTTGAGCTCTGACTACGCTCCAAGAGCTCCAGAAAACTAATGTAGTCTTCGACTGTGACGTCTCGAGAAAGCGTTGGTTCGAGGCCTCATTAGACTCGGTTCAATTCAAGGATCATACCCGATATCTCCTGCTACTGCTCGAGATAGTAGCTTATGCTATAGTTGAGCCACGCACATTGCGGCAAATCCACAAAGGCACCGCTCGTCGCGGGGTAGTCCAGATGCTTGATGGGACCAGTGGCATTGGACACTTTCTCCCAGGGTCCTGATGCCTGAACGCCTTGCAAGGTCTTGGTATACCCCCTGGCCTGGAGGTAGGGGACTGGAGGATTAGGCTGTCCGCTTTTCACGAATTCCGCAAAGTACCCGCTGACCAGCTGGACGGAATAGAGGTCGTTGGAATCTCTCAGGGGCACGTAGAAGTTGCCAAATGCCCAGTCCATGTCGGCGCCGTGCAGTTTGAAATAAGGCAGGTTCGGGTTGCCGTGAGGGTAACCCGGCGTGACCGGCGCGCCAGGGACGTTCTCGGGGTTGTATCCATTGATCGTGCGTTCGAACTCGTAGTAATATGCCGCAGGGAACGCACCAGTCTCTGCACCAGCATATACTGTTGCTTGATCGATGCAGCGGAAAGTAGTGTCGGTTGCGACTCGTTGTGACACGTTGAAGGAATCGAACGTCATATTGCCGGTGCTGTAGTAGGGAAACAAGCCCGACTGAATGATGGCTTGTGCGTAAGAGGCATTGATACTCAGACCGGTCATTAGCCCTTGTGTTTCGTTGTGCACCGGAATGGCAGATATCGTGGAAAAAGAAGCGCCGTCGTTTGCAGCATTGCCAAACATGATCGGGACATATGCGCTCCCAGCATTCTTCTCGACCACGTTGAGTTCGGAGGAGTTGACAATGGTTCCGTCCTGGACGACGTATCTGGCAACGGTCTCCAGATTCACCAGATCCGTGGCATTGACTTTCTTCAGACACGCGATCTTGCCAGTCAATGTTTGTTGGGTACAGTTTGAGGCGTCGAAGATTTGAGGTCCGGCGACTGTATATGATTCATTGACAGTGTAGTAAGACGAGTAAGTGGTTCCATAGTTGCCCTCGAGGCCAAGTGTCACTCCGCCACCCAAGTTGGACATAGCTACGGCACCCTGGAACAGCCCGATTGCAGGAGGACTACCGAGAAGAGTTCGGACTGAGCCGGCCCCAGCAGATTCGCCCATGATAGTAATCTTGTTTGGATCTCCGCCGAACCTGGCAATGTTCTGTACGGTCCAGTTCAAGGCGACAATCTGGTCTCCAATGCCAAAGTTGCCTTTGATGTTGGTGCCGGGAATGGCCAGAAAGCCCAGCGTTGACAGCCGATAGTTGATGGTCACGACCACAATGTCTTCTCGAGAGGCTAGGTTACCACCATCACTGAGCGGATCAGCTCCAGTGCCGCCAGTAAACCCTCCTCCATGAATCCAAACTGATATAATCAGCCTCATTGCACCATATAAAGTCACTCATGGCATGTGGGACTCACATAAGACGGGTCGAAGTCTCTGGGATGATCCAGCTTTGGGAATGTACGGGGTCTGGATGTTGAGAAACAAGCAATCCTCACTCGTTCCATTGACGAATGGCTGAGAACACTGGGCGCCATAGGCAGTAGCGTTCACCATTTTGCCACTTCCACTGTACATGTGAGAATATACCCATCGCTGTGGCGGATCAGCGTATCTGATGCCTAGGAAGCGAAAGGATTTCTGATTTCGATAACCCATATAGGTGTTGCCTGCTGCCGCAACGACCACTTGATTTGAAGTGTTTGCGGTGGAGTTTGGAGGCTGGCTTGCAGAGCTTGATTGGGTGCAAAGGACGGGCAAAGAAGTGTTTCCTTGTGGTGTTGCAGGGAAGGAGAGCTGTGCTTGACCGGAAACCTGCAAACTGCCACCAGCAATGTGATACACCTGATTAGGAGACACCCTTCCCGAGTACGCCAGGTATGATAATGCAGACGAGAAGTCACTGCTGTAGTTCTGAATGGTCGCTTGAGTCAAAAGTGTCTCGCTCAAAGCCTGACAAGCAGCGGACCCAGCAGATGCTAACATCGGGTCAAGCAGGATGGCGCCGACATGGTTGACATCATCCGAGGCATTCAGGTTGTTTTGGAAGACGTATGTCATTGAGCTCCCAGTATTGGACACGGCGACGTTGGCCCGGGGTACTATATCCTGAGGATGGCCGAGGGTATATCCAACGAGCACAGCCAGAGGCAACACGGCCCGAAAGAACGAAGCCATGGTCCGCACCGGGTGTCGATTCAATTCAACAAGCAGCTAGAAGAAATACAAGGTAGAAGGATACCCAGCACATCTGGGCAACATGGTCTTCTTACCATTATCAAACTCAGGTCGACGAGAGCACATTCCACCACCGTCTGAAAACCAGCTTCCGCCCAGCCGTAGGCACAATTCCAACAATTCATCCTATTTCAGGACGGGCTCCGGTCGTGAAGGGATACTCCTCACACTGCCATTCCAAGTCAGGAAGGCAGTTATTGCATCAAACACCTCGTCCCGCCAGGTATGGGCAAATTGCGGAGGAGGTGGACGCGTCGACGCCGGTTGAATGCAGAGAAAGTCATCACCCTCGACCACTCAGTCGACAGGACCATTCGGGAAGAAGGCAATCTGGCATATTGCCGCGGAGGGGCATGGAATCTGTTAAAGAAGCACAATCGATGACGGCGACACCATGCACGGACGATACACAACGATCGAGGAAACCCACATTTAGGCTGAATTCCCCCCAACGCTCATTGGCAATAGAGACGATCGGCCATTTGCCAAAAAGGGCTCAAGACCACAAGATGGCGCCACTGGAGATTTCCTCCGTGCTAGATCCAAGCAAGCTCGCTTCCAATGTCCCCGGGCATTTTCCTTCCAGAGTTTCTCCAGGGGATTCAGCAACTCCGCATTTTCACAACGCCTTTGGCAAGCTGGCTAAATGTTCTCTGGAGAGGCGAAGGAGGCTCCAGGGTCAGAAGCTGTCTGTGTCTGGTATTGGGCCGCTTCTCTTCGATGGGGGAAGCGTGGGTGTGGCTTCGACATCTAGAGACCACGTTGAAATCAACCCAGAAGAGCAAATTGCCCTGCTGTTCAAGGCCCACAGGCCAAATGGTGATGCTGATCATGCTGGGTTTATACTAAGGTAGGTCGCGCTCTTTCTGCAGGACTTTGGCGGACGTTTCGAGACTCCTTTGACCATGTCGACCCTCCCTGTCGTCTTGCTTCTCTTTTGGTTTGGCTGGTCGACATGGGCGCAAGAAGCGCTCATTGCGTTCAATCAATCCTCTGACGCTCTTTTACTCGCAGACTCCTCGACTGCCCCAACGATCCTAGTCAGTGAAGATGAATGGACGGGCGTGCAACGGGCTGCAAGCGATCTTGCCCAAGATATTGGATTGGTGACTGGCCTCAATGCGACTGTCGTGACATTCAACTCGAGTTTCAGTTCCGAGTCTGCTTCACCAGTCGTGATTGCAGGCACGGTGGGCAAGTCAAGCCTGATACAAGCTCTGGCCCGGGCGGGAAAGATTAACGTGGATGCCATCCGAGGGAAGTGGGAGAGCTATCAAATACAGATTGTGTCGGAGCCTGTAGATGGCGTCAGTCAAGCAGTTGTTATTGCTGGTGCCGACAAGCGAGGGTCTATATACGGCATATACGATATTTCAGAGCAACTAGGCATATCTCCCTGGTACTGGGTGAGTTCTCCTGACCCTGGATATTTGTTCCAGTATCGACCCTGTCAAGCTCGGCTCTGGCTGACGAATGTTGCTAGTGGGCAGACGTGCCAACGACGAAACGAGAGTCTATCTATGTGCGGAATATCACGAAAGTCCAGCCATCTCCTTCGGTCAAGTATCGAGGCTTCTTCCTCAACGACGAACAGCCCGCACTCACAAACTGGCTCAACACACGTTACCCTCCGGGCCAATATGGTCCTGGCTTCAATCATCTTTTCTACTCTACAGTCTTTGAACTCCTCCTCCGACTAAGGGCAAACTACTTTTGGCCGGCTCAATGGGGCAAGTAATCGCCCTGCTTCCGCAGTATCAAGTTGCTGACGCAGCCTCAGCCTCTATGTTCTTCGTTGATGATCCGTTGAACGCTGCTACAGCAGACGAATATGGGATTGTCATAGGTACCAGCCACACCGAGCCGATGATGAGAGCAACAAACGAGCAGTCCCTCTTCCTGAACGGCACTTGGGCATGGGCCACGAACAGAGCAAACGTGACCGACTTCATGAGACAGGGAGCTGAAAGAGCGAGGCCTTACGAATCCCTCTATACGATGGGCATGCGTGGGCTTGGAGATACGGCATCCCCGACGCTGAACGCAAGCAGCCTGGAACAAATCGTCAATGTCCAGCAGGGGCTGCTGCGCCAGGTCTACAACGTCTCCAATGTTTCAGCCATTCCTCAGATGTGGTGTCTCTACAAAGAGGTGGGAGGTTATTTCGCCGAGGGTCTCGAGGTCCCTGACGATATAACGTTGCTGTGGTCCGACGATAATTGGGCAAACATGCAGCGACTGCCGCTCGCCAACGAGACCGATCGATCTGGCGGTGCTGGGATCTACTATCACGCGGATTATGTGGGTGATCCGAGAGACTACAAGTGGATCGATACCATTTCTCTACCAAAGTACTGGAGCGAGCTGCAACAAGCGTACGAACGGCAAGCTCGCCAGATCTGGATTCTCAATGTGGGCGATCTGAAGCCGCTGGAATTACCGTAGGCATTACGCTCCGTCCGACATCTCGCATGGAGGATACTGACTGATGCATGTTTCGAAACAGAATCAGCTATTTCTTCGCCACTGCGTACGACGCCCCGGCACTTGCTTCACCAAACAGCACGCAGGTGTGGCTAAGCCAATGGGTCGCGCGCCAATTTGGAACCCAAGTTGCAGATGCCACTGCGACGATATTGATGAACTATTCCCTCCTCGCAGGACGGCGGAAATATGAGCTCGTTGACCCGACGACCTACAGCCTCATCAACTACAACGAAGCCGACAGCGTGCTCCAGCAGTGGCAAGATCTGGTCCGTGCTGCTACGGCTATATATGACCAGCTCGACGCGTCCGTCCAGCCCTCGTACTTCGAGCTGGTGCTTCACAAATGCATGGCGGGCTACACTGTGTATGCGATCCACGCCAACGCCGCGAAGAACAACCTGTACTCGGAACAAGGAAGGACAAGCACCAACGCATTGGCGCAAAGTGTGATGGACTACTTTGCACAAGACCACACCTTGACGCAGAGATACCATAATCTGTTGAACGGCAAATGGCAGCATATGATGGATCAGACCCATCTGGGGTACCAATACTGGCAACAGCCGATGCGCAACAGCATGCCTCCCGTGGCATACGTGCAGCAACGGGAAGTGAGCCTCGCCGGCCAACTCGGCGTCACATGCGACGGTAACAATGGGACTGTTCCGGGGGATGACATGTATCATACGCTTTCGTCGAATGCGCTTACCTTGCCGCCTATGGATCCTTACGGGCCGTCACGATGGATCGATGTCTTCTCGCGGGGAACAGATTCGGTCAGTTTCAACGTGTCGAGCGATCCTCACGTCGTCGTCACTCCTTCAAGCGGCGTGCTCCAAGCCTCAGGGAATACCACCGACATGCGCCTGGCCGTCACGATTGATTGGACAAACGCACCCAATGGCTCCACGATGTCCACCATCAACATCACCACGACGACCGCAACAGGGGCCTACGACAACGCGACATACCCCTATGGCAACTTCAAGATGCCGCAGGTCCAGGTGCCGGTGAACAAGACCGCGGTGCCTGCGTCGTTCCACGGCTTCGTCGAGTCGGATCTGACGATCTCCATCGAGCCGGAGCACTTCGCGACAAACACCTCCAACGGATCCGCTTACTATGAAATCATCCCCAGCTACGGCCGCACAGTCTCGGGCGTGGCCTTGCTCCCGTTCACGGCGCAATCACAATCCACCCAATCCTCCTCGGCGCCAAAACTCGGGTACAGCTTCTACACGTTCACGCCCAACGTCACGAACGCGAATCTGACCCTCATCGCCGGCACGGCCATGAACACCGACCCGACTCGGCCACTGAAGTACGCCGTGAGCATCGACGACGACGCACCACAGGTCGTCCAGCCGAACCCGTTGACAGATCTGTGGCCCCTGCCCGCCATGTGGGACGGGATGGTGGCGAATGCCGCGATGACCAACACCACGACTCACAATATCACAAGGGCAGGCGCTCACACTCTGAACCTGTGGTTGTTGGAGCCGGGCCTTGTGGTGCAGAAGCTTGTGCTGGATCTTGGAGGCGTGAGAGATAGCTACCTCGGACCTCCTGAAAGTACTATTGTTTGAGGCCGGCAGGATGGATGATCGTGGTCTCCAAGCCACTCGTAAGAATAGAACCGAACGGAAGGAATATACACTCGTAGTATCAATTTCTGTATGCCATCCGAACGCAGGAGATCATGGTGTTGGACGAACAGAGTGCAGCTCTCTTCGAACTGGAAAATTAAGGTTGCTCTTGCTATGGTCAGTCTCTTCGTGGCCAGGATCGCAATATCTCCCTACCAGTGGACAGCCGTGAATCCGCCTGAGCATCTCAAGACAGACCGACTTCGACGCCACCACTCGCAAGCATACGCCGTCTTCGTACGAGCAATCGCATGCTTCCCACCCAGACCTTCATTCCATCTCATTTTTCCCGGCCGCGCGCCCGTCCGCTCTAGATCATGCAGGGTGCATATGCGAAGAGAAAGCTTGTTCAGACCAGTCCCACGCAAGTCGCGTGAGGGTAAGGCCGATCAGCATGTTCCTCGGAGGAACGGGATCTCAGACAGCCCACGAGTAGGACCGGGGGGAGGATATTTGGCTGAATTCGACAGACAGTTAGTGTCTGGGCCTGGGGGAGGTTCCCACCCCCCTTCCTCTGCCACCAACCCCTACCGTGTACACCCCTGTTGTCCCGCTCTCGCTTTGTCCGTCCTCGAAGGCTAGACGAATCTCGATCCGAAGAGTTCGTGGTTTGTGGGAGGCGTATGGAAACGTGGGCCACTCCAAATCACATCGAGGATATCTCCACTCCTCCTTTAGAAGCATTTTGGGGCGTTGCTTGAAAGGGGGGCCAGACTTTGCGCCATTTTCTTTTGGGACATACATGTCAGGGAAAGACAGGATGGAATTTTTGATGGTTATTGGCCGTGGGTCGGTGTTGGTCCATTAATGCGTGTCTCCTTTTCATAACCCCCGTCTGGGAGTCTGATGCCGGATAGGGCATTTCGACATTGCATGCTCTTGCTCGCAAGGACACCACAGCCTCGTCGTAGCAGCAATGCAATGCAATGCAATGCAATGCATATATGTGTGCTCTTTTAGCCAATTTGAAATCGGAGCTGCTGCACGACCAAGCCTCGTGCCGTGCCCAGTCCTCGTCGATCATCTCGGCGCGGAGGTGTGCAAGAGACGTCGAGGGTGCTGTGGACTGACAGGACAACCAACCAACCAACTAAATCAACCACCGAGCGCCGCCTGCTAGCCTGACCTACTTGTATGAAAGACGGTCTGGGGGAGGAGAGGAACAGCACCTATCACTCCACGTCGTGTCCACGCCCCGGGATTTGGAGATACACACGAGGTACTACTCGGTCCATGCCTCCCCATCACGCACACGGACGGCGGCGCGTCTCTTTGGCCTTTTCGACGCTTGTAAGGTTCCTAGGTAGAGACTCTCATAAGCGACGACTAGAATCCGCTTGGTGTGGAGATGTGCGAAGGACGATTTGACGGTTGATCTTCGGGCTCCCGACTTGCTCCCCTGGGTCCCAACCGCGCACAGAAAAGCCGTGGTTCAGGCGGATTAGCGAGATCACGCAGGGCGCAAAATGGAGAAGAGAACGCTTGCAAGAACAACCAACAAGTAATCACAGTGTCCGAGTCTAAGACAGCGCTTGGTTGGTCATTGGGCAGAGAATCGGTCAGATGGGGCTCCCAAGCTCGTATGTGCTTGTAAGATGGGCGGGGGAACCATTCCAGTTGGATATTAGCGGTGGGTTGTATTATGTACACAGAACTGAGCGTGATATCTCTCTCCCCCTAATCCAATTCGAGAGCTTTTTGGGCACTGTCATGCCCGACGTGTGTGGGTTGTGCTCGGGCCACAAGCAGGAGGAGGCAGACTCTCGATCAGCGTGGTCTGTCCAGTAATGGTAACAAAGCGTCCTCCGTTATGCGCTATATACCTACAGCCAGAGCAGTCCCGGGTGTCTAGTGTGCAGAGTTCAAGCCGAACATACCGAGCACGGAACTCCCTGCAATGCATCGCCTACAGCATAGTATGCCGGTTTGCGCTGTGCCCATCGCTCGCTAGCATGCAGAGAACAGCGCCAGGGAAAAGGACAATAACCAGTGGAGTGAACCCTCCGACCTGGTGGGATTTAGGGGGTGGGAAAGCTGCTTACCCTAAAGTCAGCATCGTAGAGGTCGGCCAGGCCCTGCCCTGGAAAGCTGGAGGGAATCCAACTATCAAGTGAGTGCGGTCAGTCATCGCGATGCTCTCTCTCTACAGGGGGGAACAGGTTACGGAATAGACGGCAGGGCAATCCAAAACGAACCTGTACTGATCGTCAAAGTCCCAGACCGTGATGCCGACACACCCGTCCACCTGGACACAGCTGGCCGTCGAGTTGTAGTACTCTTCTGCTTGGAGGGCAAAGGCCGTGGTGTTGGTGAGATTGGCCTGGGGGAAGCGGACGTCCAGTTCGGTGATTGCCACCTCGACGCCCGCGGCGATGTAGGCCTGTTTCGTGGCCATCTGGTCCTCCAGCGAGGGCGTCTCGCCCACCACGAAATGGCTCTCGAGCCCGACGCCGTCGATGCGGATGTTCCGACTCTGCAACTCTTGGATCAGACCCAGCACGGCCACCGACTTGTTCCCAGACTCGATCCCGTAATCGTTATAGTACAGCTTCGGCTTGCGGGTGCCTGGTGGCAGCGAGTCCACGGCTTCCTCTGCGCTTGGTGTCAGTATCACCGAGTTATGAGACGAGAAATCATGACAGAGCTTCTTCTTGCAGACGTCGGGCAACTTACGAGCAAACTGATACGCCAGGAAAAAATACTCTGGACCGATCACGTCGTACTGCACAGAATCAGTTGGTGGTCCGTCCCGCCATGAACGCGAGTACTGACCCATATACTGGACGAAAACGACCCATTGGCAGCAATGGCCTCGTTGACGACATCCCACGAGTAACAGGCATCTCCAAAATGGGTGATCATGGTCTGGATATGGTTTTGCATGACCGCTGTAAGTGTATCTGCAGTCCAGGTCCCGTTCAGGACCCATTCGCTGACTTGGCTGACCCAGACCAGGTTGTGACATCTCAGATATTTCCCGTGGTCTTGCGCAATGGCCACGTCGATGTCTCCGCCCGTGAAGTTGAAAATGCCGGGTTCTGGTTCGCTCAGCTCGAATTTCATCATGTTGGCCGGCGTGATCTGGCCGAAGATGTGCGTGTTGTTCAGGATCTCTTGATAGAGGATGTTCGTGTCCTCACCGGTGCCCTGCATATCTTCTATCAGTCCCTGAAGCTCTCCCACTGCTGATACCACCACCTACAGGTTGGTCGGTCGCGCTGCCAAACCACAGCTTGCCGGCTGCTTGCGCGATATCATTGAGGTAGGGTGGGGCCAGGGGCTCAAAGTACCCGGAGCAGGACGCTGGAGCAGACGATGCCGGCGCTGGCGAAGCGGACGAGCTTGTCGTTGCCGGTGCCGAAGCAGGAGGAGGCGGTGGCGGCGCCGGCGGATAGTGTCGATGCGGTGACCAACCTGGTCCCGTCGGGCTCGCAAGACCAAGGGCCGCGAGTGCGGAAACAACAGAGGCAAGCCTGGCCAGAGACATCTTGACTTCACGGTCAAAACGAAGGACACGAGGGATGAAAACAGACAGCAGCACAACGGCCTGAAGCTCCTTACACTTGCTCAACCACCAACATCGACACGGCACCGTTCCATTCTCCCGCATCTATATACTTCATACCGGCAAATAACCGCTGGAGCATTCACCAGGATTCGAAATTGGCATATACTCACACCGACCAGAAGGCGCGTCACACACGTCCATGGGATGGGAGACTGCCGACATGGTCAATTTCTGAGATATCAACCGGAACCCCGCAATAGAAGGGAGAGTCGACCAGCATGAGAGGTCCTCGACATAGAGGACGATCAAAGACCTTCCTTGTTGGGCGACGATGGCATGGAGTTAGGACGAGTAGATGCAGGCAGGGTTAGCGAATCCGGGCACCGCGGACATGGAAGCAGCTAGTCCTCCAGCCAGCATTCTCCCATTTGTCCCCAGCACAGGTGCATGGGCCAATGCCCCGGTCTGGAGGTGGAGATAGAGTATATGCGGCTCATTTGCTTTGGGACTGGGGGGTTCCTGGGAGTGTAGGTGTCTGGAGAACCGACTCGAGAGCCTTGTAGCGCTATTCCTTCTCCCTTACCTAGATAGCCTCGTGAACATGCTCATGGATGTCTCTCCGGGTATCTTGCTGGCTCTTTGCCGGCACATGCATCGATCCCAAGTCCATATTTTCCCGGGCGGAGGATGTGGCCTAAATTGGCTACACCGATAGGGTCTCAATATGTAATAAACGACGAGACTAGGGGCGCCCCGGCGATGGCGTCGAATCGTACGTGTGTGTCGATCTGGGAGTGTCTTTCTCCTGCTCCCTCCCTTCCCAGAACGTGGCCGATCGCAGACATGGGTGTCTGATGATGGAGGAGCCGGAACAGTCTGATCCAGTCTCCGGAAGAGGAAGCTCCTTTCCAGCAGGTGGCAATTGGGATGGCTTTGGCCCTCTCCCTCCACTCTATCCTGCCGGGTAATAGGATAAATAGGATTGCTGGATGGTAGGCTGTTTTCCTTTGCCCGAAGATTCTCCACCGCCGCCTGCTTCAGGCATAGCTGAACCCATCGTGCCCATCGCCGCCCATCCTTTGCACTGGTCGAGCATGGGGTCCGTTTCCTGGCAATCCCACATTCTCTCCTCGCTCTCCTCGCTCTCCCTCCCTCTCCACACTCCCATCCACCACATCCGCATGGCATGTGTTCAGAATTTGCCCATAATTTTGCCGCTAGATCAATCAGAAGAGTCCGAGGGTTGGGTCCAGAGAGGGTCACACATCCATGGATTCCTCGCTCCCGACCTCTCTTCGTTCTTCTCGATCCATCCCGAGAGGCTGCTGCTGCTGCTCGCAGCCGGCCGGTAAAACTCCCCTGGGCGCTTTTCGGTCTCCAGACTCGGGTCTTCCTGTCGATATAGATGCAAGCTCCTAGGCCATGGCTGTTAGGCTAGTGGGCGGCCTGTTTACCCAGCCTTTCGCCTCGGATTTGATCGTCCAATCCAGACCACTTGGGTCCACCGCTATGGCAAGATTCGTGTGTTCTTCGAGACCGTTATTGGCTCTTGCAGCCCTGGTCAGCTGTGAATGCAGACTTTCTAGAACGCTATCACCCAAAACGCATGCGGTAGCATTTCAACCACGGCCCTGGGTGAGATAAACCTGCACCGTAACGGATGCCACCTTGTATAAAGCATTTGCATTGCTCCCTGTTTTCGTCCTTCTTTTCTCTTCTTCCACCAAGACTTCACGTAGATACAGTCTCTACGTCCTCGTTTCATCCTTGCCCAAGAACCCATCAGCCGTCAGTGTCTTCTTGTCAAAATGGGGAAAGGATACTTTGAGCTGGCAGGGCGCCAGTTTCCTGAGGTGACGTGGTATAAGGATCCTGCGCTGAGAAAGACCTACATCTGTCTTATGTTTGTGGTTCTTACCAGTGCCACCAACGGGTGAGTCTTGCGGATGATCCAGAAGGAGTGCCGCGTTGTTGACTTGCTCCATCACAGTTACGACGGCTCCATGATGAACGGTCTCCAGACTCTCCCTCCCTGGCAACAGCATTTCGACCACCCCAAAGGCGGCAAGATTGGTATCCTGAACGCCATCATGTCAATTGGTTCCTTGTCCGCCATTCCGTTTGTGCCATACGTGGCCGATTTTCTGGGTCGTCGAATGGGTATCCTCGTGGGCTGCATCATCATGCTGGTCGGTGTGGTCCTGCAGTCCATCTCAGCAGGCTTTGGCATGTTCTTGGGAGCTCGATTCCTCCTCGGGTTTGGAATCGCCATCGCTCACGGTTCTTCTCCTCTATTGATCACCGAACTCGTGCACCCTCAGCATCGAGCCATCTTCACAACCATCTACAACACCACGTGGTACGCCGGTAGCATTGTCGCTGCTTGGCTCACCTACGGAACCGACCATATCAACAACAACTGGGCGTGGCGTATCCCCACCATTGTCCAGGCCGCCCCGTCCTTGATCCAGGTCACCTTCATCTGGTTCGTGCCCGAGTCTCCTAGATGGCTCATCGCGCACGGCAAAGAGGAGAAGGGTCTGAACATCCTCTACAACGTCCATGCAAATGGCAACCGCAACGATGAGATGGTCCAATTGGAGTTTGTCGAAATCCGCGATACCATCAGACTCGAGAAGGAGGTTGAGGGTAACCAGTGGCTCGAGCTGATCAAGACCCGAGGCAACCGCCGCAGACTCATCATTTTGTTGTCTGCTGGTCTCTTCTCCCAGTGGTCTGGCAACGGTCTCGTCTCATACTATATTACCAAGGTAGGTTTAGTTTATGTGGCGTCTGCTGTTGAAGTTCCTCGCTAATGATGGCCGAAGATTCTCAACAACATCGGCTACACTGATACCCTGACCCAGAACTTGATCAATGGCGTTCTTCAAATCTTCAACCTCTTTATCGCCGTCACTGCCTGCTTCTTCGTCGACAAGGTCGGCCGCCGCAAGCTCTTCCTCATCTCCACCACTGGCATGTTGATCACCTTCATCGTCTGGACCATCTGCTCAGCCCGATATGCCATCTCTGGCTCCAAGGGTGCCGCCAACGCCGTTGTCGGGTAAGTCGCTAAGCCATGTTGCTTTTGACCGTTTTCGAAGACTCGTGAACCATCCACTGACATGTTTTCGCTTAGCATGATCTACATCTACTACTTCTGGTACAACATCGCCTGGTCCGGCATGTTGGTCGGCTACACGGCTGAAATCTTGCCGTACAACATCCGAGCAAAGGGCTTGACGGTCATGTTCCTCATGGTCGACGCCGCGCTCTTCTTCAACCAATACATCAACCCCATCGCCCTGGACCACATCGGCTGGAAGTACTACATCTTCTACTGCGTGTGGCTCGGCTTTGAGCTTGCGATTGTCTACTTCTTCTACGTCGAAACCCGCAACACGCCTCGTAAGTGTCTCTCCCCCGCGAGTATCTTTGTTCACGCACTGACTCTTACTTTCTACAGTGGAAGAAATTGCCAAGCACTTCGATGGCGACCAAGCACTGGTTGCCGGCGCCGCTGCCTCAAACAAGGGCCTCACCTTGGCGGCTGAGATGGGTCTCGATGCCACCGTCAGCCAACACCACGAGTTGGATGAGAAGAGACACTCTGTGCAGGTCGAGAACGCTGCTCCCACAAAGAGCGAGTTGTAGAGGAGGAATTTGAGCGTTTGTGGTTTTGTGTACCGGTGAGATGATGCTCGAGTCGAGTGCCAGTCTCTTGTTTTTAGGAACCAGTCCTCCTTGTTCGTGGTACTTGCAGCGGGTTGTACTGTGGAATGTCCTACCATCGCGCCACTATAGATGCTCCTCAGAAGACAACAGCATTGATCATCAGACATACTAATACAATGACATCAACTCAACAAGCACTTCGCGCGCTTTTTTCCGCGAGAGACACAGCGTGGTTTCGCTCTCCCACATCATGTGATACGAAAAGCGAGCTTCTTAATCCCAATTGAATCCAGTTTCTCGCATCCTCAGTCCCTTGTAGGGTATTATACGCAGACGTAATAACCGAGACGAATTGCCCGCCATCATGCTCGGTGGCAGTGTAGAGTGCCTTTCCAAATTTTGTCGTGCACTCGTTATACCCATCAGAAGTCAAGGCCTGAACATACCCTAATGTTCTAGCGTTTCGTAAACCCAGCTTCACTGGTCATTTTCACATCATTCTCGCCACGCTTGGTGGTTCCCAGATACGGACTTACCTAGCCTTCTCGCATCCCGCCATGGTAATGGCCTAGAGGATAGCGCTACCTGTACGATTTCCTGCATGACATGGGCATTGCTTCGGATGTTAAGTTCACTTGTGATTTAGGGATCAAGATAACTTGGACCGTGTACTCGGTAGGTTTCGTCTCGTTTATTTCCGTCCCGAAGAACTTTCCGAGCGGGGGAGCAGAGCCTTGCGCACAAGGCTGAAAGTCACGGGCGATAAGATAAGCCTGCGACAAAATTTCGCGCTGCGCATCCAAGTCCCACAGAAACTTTTCCTTCCAGGCCCGTTCACCGCACACTGTATACCTCTCCCCAAAAGAAAGATGCCGCCCCTTAAGAAACGCAAGTTGAGCCACGATGAATCTTCCTCCGATGAGTATCAGTCTGCAAACTCGCCGACCGGCTCCGAGTCCGCCCCGACCAGCGATGCCGAGGAGGAAATGCAGGCGAAGGTCACGAAGCCAACAACATTCAAAGAGCTGGGAATAATTGATTCCCTGTGCGAAGCATGCGAGAGTCTCGGGTACAAGGCACCTACGCCAATCCAAGCTGAAGCAATACCGTTGGCCTTGCAGGGCCGGGACCTCATTGGGTTGGCAGAGACCGGTAGCGGCAAGACGGCTGCATTCGTCCTCCCCATTCTGCAGGCACTGATGGATAAACCGCAACAGCTCCATTCTTTGATTCTGGCACCGACAAGAGAACTGGCGTATCAGATATCTCAGGCGGTGGAGGCTCTGGGTTCGCTGATCGCAGTCCGGTGCGCCGTGTTGGTCGGAGGCATGGACATGATTCCGCAGGCGATTGCGCTGGGAAAGAAGCCTCATGTCATTGTTGCCACCCCCGGACGTCTGCTGGATCATTTGGAAAACACAAAGGGGTTCTCGTTGCGCCAATTGAAGTATCTGGTCATGGACGAAGCCGATCGACTGCTCGACTTGGACTTTGGGCCGATCCTGGACAAGATTCTGAAGATATTACCAAGAGAAGGGCGAAAAACATATCTATTTTCTGCTACCATGTCGAGCAAAGTCGAATCCTTGCAACGAGCCTCGTTGTCGAATCCCCTCCGTGTGGCGGTTTCCCAAGACAAGTACCAAACCGTGTCGACTCTGATCCAGTCGTACCTCTTCATCCCTCACAAGCACAAAGATCTTTACCTCATCCATGTTTTGAACGAACTTGCTGGTCAGACAGGGATCATTTTTACACGGACAGTCAACGAGGCACAGCGGATCTCGATCCTCCTTCGGACCCTGGGCTTCTCAGCTATACCGATCCACGGCCAGCTGTCTCAACAGGCGCGATTGGCTGCACTGAACAAATTCCGCGCAAAGTCCCGCAATCTTTTGGTTGCTTCTGATGTGGCATCACGAGGCCTAGACATCCCTTCTGTTGATCTCGTGGTCAATTTCGATCTCCCCCACGACAGCAAAACATACATCCACCGCGTCGGGCGTACTGCGAGGGCGGGCAAGAGCGGCAAGGCGATTTCTTTTGTCACCCAGTATGATGTGGAGTTGTGGATGAGGATCGAGGGGGCATTAGGTAAGAAATTGAAGGAGTACGAGACGGTCAAGGAAGAGGTCATGGTGCTGGCAGAGCGGGTGGGGGACGCCCAGCGAGCTGCGGCCATGGAGATGAAGGAGCTGCATGAGAGCAGGGGCAAGAAAGGGGCAACCCTTCGCCACAAGCGGACGGCAAAGGGCGTGGGCGGAAAGCGGAGTCGAGATGATATGGACCAAGACGAAGGGTAGATGAGGTTCCTGGGCTCCCATTAGTAAACGAGTTACGTTTCCTTGATGACGGTGTTTGGGGGGTACCTCCATATCTTCTGACCCGGCTCTCGTCAGTATTGGTCTTTTTTCCCAGAGTATCTAGCCCTTTGCTATATATTCTTGGATGCCGTGCTGGTCGAAAAAGTACTAGAGCAGCCTTGCGGCCAGAAAAGGCGCAAGGCGGCGGGTAAATTCTCACTTCACCACTCGGGGTACGAATCCACGAAATCGGTACCTGTACACAATCCCATGCCTGGATCTGCCAGACTTGGTCAGGAACTCGCCAATCCTGCTAAGCATGTGTGGATGGCCTGCATGTCCCCAAATCTCTGCCAGTCGGCGAATTAGCGACGTCTATCCAAGCCAATCTCGAAGTTTTCGCGATGACGTCTTCTGGATGCCGTGGTACCATTGGTCAAAGATCCTGGCGCTGCGTGGGAGAAGTTTCCACTGACCCTCAACAGAATCATCGTGGTCCAGCGGAAAAACCCTGTGACGCCCGAGAGAGTCGCTATGAGTCGCTTTTCCTTCCTCCATACCCTCCATAAGACAATGGGAACCACGCAGTGTTAGTCGGGTTGGGAAATCTACCCTGCAAAAAAATATCACTGCGAGACACCATGCCTGTCATCGACATCACCAAGGACCTGTCGGCACTTTTCCGCCAGCAGGTCCAAGTGACGCCCGATGCGGTGGCGTTGGAGGACGACACGGCGACATACACCTATGTCGAACTGGACCGAAAGGTCGAGGCGCTCTCCAATCTCCTCCGCAAGCACAAGGTCGGCCGAGACAGCCTCGTGGGCGTGCTCCTCCCACGCAGTGCCAACTATGTAATTGCCTGTCTGGCAGCGCTCCGGGCAGGCGGGGCCTTTCTCGTCCTCGAACTGGCTTACCCTCCTGAACTCCTGGCAGACGTGATTGACGATGCCCAACCGGCTGTAGTGGTCACATACCGCGCCGAAGTGGGTAAGATCAAGGAAGGGATTCCTCTCATCACTCTGGATGAAGAGCAGACGGACACCAATGGAGATGTGAAAGACCTACCTCCGGTGCCTGCTGATGATGATCTGGACAGACTTGCCTTCGTCTCATATTCTTCGGGAACGACGGGCAAACCGAAGGGGATCGCAAACCCTCACCGAGCCCCAGTACTTTCGTACGACCTGCGATTCGGGATTCGCGATCTGCAGCCCGGCGATCGTGTCGCCTGCAATGTCTTCTTCATCTGGGAGATCCTGCGTCCACTGCTGCGGGGAGCGACTGTCGTTGCAGTGCCAGACGAGGCCAGTTATGACCCCCCTGCGCTCGTGGACCTCCTCGCTTCCAAGAATATCACCGAGACTCTTATGACCCCGACGCTCTTGGCCGCGGTGCTGTCGCGCCATCCAAAGATCGGGGTTCGCCTTCCGAAGCTGCGGACCTTGTGGCTGAACGGCGAAGTCGTCACAACTGACTTGGGCCGTCGAGCAATCAAGGCTCTACCCAACACAACCCTGCTCAACTGCTACAGCGCCTGCGAAACCCACGAGATTGCGTGTGGAGATATTGGAAAGATGCTGGACGACGAGGCCAACTACTGTCCGGTCGGCCCTCCTCTAGATCCAGAACACACCTACATTCTCGATGAGAGTGGTCAAAAGGTGGAAGGTGGAGAAAGCGGAGAGCTTTTCGTCGGCGGATCCCTCCTTGCCCGCGGCTACATCAATCGTCCTGAGACAACTGCCAAAGCCTTCACGCCTGACCCATTTGACTCGGCGCCGGGATCGCGCATGTACAGAACCGGAGACCAGGCACGCATTCTTCCGTCAGGACTTTTGGAAATCACTGGTCGTGTCGGAGCCATGATCAAGCTTCGCGGCTATTCCGTCGTGCCCGGAAAGGTCGAGCATGCCATCGTCCAACATCTCGCTGTTCGACATTGTGCGGTCACGGCTCATGGCGAGGCGTTAGAACGGCAACTAGTTGCATATATCGTCCGGGATAAGGAGTCTTCTTCAGATCGCCCGGAGCTGGAGGTTAACGAGCTGGGCCACAGTCCAGCGGCAAGACGGACGCTCTCGCCATACCTAGCTCACTATATGATTCCAGCTCTGTGGGTGGAGGTGGAGGAATTGCCTACCAACGCAGTCTCTGGCAAGGTCGATCTCAAACGTCTTCCTCCACCCCCAAGCCCCAACGCTGTCAACGGCAATGGTGCATTGAATGGGCACAAGGGAGACCACGATTCAATTGACATTGAGGCCATAGCTGAAATCTGGGCCGCAAGTCTCAAGATCTCACGCAGCACCATAACGCCGGAGCACAGCTTTTTCGACCTTGGCGGTCATTCTTTGACGCTTGCCGACCTGTCTGCACGCTTCTCTAGGGTTCTTGGAGTCAAGGTGCCCCTCGCACGGCTCGTCGACCCCGCAACTCTCAACGGCCACCTGGAAACGGTGCGATCTGTGAGAGACGGTCATGCAGCAGCGGTGCAAGCTCATCTGCCTGATGTCCTTCGGAAAGACTCGTCCCTTGAGGACAGCATTCGACCGACAAATGCTACTATATGTGCGGCCAGCAAAGCAAATACGATCCTTCTAACAGGTGTGACTGGCTTCTTGGGCGCATTCTTGTTGAACGATCTGCTGGAAAGCACATCGGCCAAGATACTGTGCCTTGTACGCTTCAGTGATCCTTCAGAGGCCGATCTGCCGGAAGGCATTGCGAGGATGCGGAGGCATCTCCTTGATTTGGGACTGTGGCGGGACTCGATTATGGAACGTGTCGAGATCCTCCCCGGCAACTTGTCCCGGCCACGGCTAGGTCTCTCCCCGGACGCCTTCGAGGAACTCACAGGCCGTGTCCAAGTTATTTTCCACGCTGCCGCCAGCGTCAACTTAGTGTACCCCTACGCTGCCCTCCGAGACGCTAACGTAGGTGGAACAAGGGAAATCTTGCGTCTGGCATGTCGTGCTGGAGCCACAGTGCAGTATATATCCACGAATGGTGTGCTGCCGCCATCTCGAGAAGGCTGGAGTGAGGATTCCATGCTGGACGTGGACGATGTCCCAGAGAAACTGGCCGATGGGTATGGCCAGTCAAAATGGGTCGCAGAGAAACTCGTGCGTGAAGCTGGCCTTCGAGGCTTGCCGGTGAAGATTCACCGAGCGGGGACAATCAGCGGTCACAGTACCACAGGCGCAGGGAACGCGTGGGATCTGCTTAATGCGATCATTGTTGAATCCATCAACCTTGGATATGCGCCAGATGTGGAAGGCTGGCGCGCCGAGATGACCCCGGTCGATTTTGTTAGCAAAGCCATCATCCATCTCTCAAATCAAACCAGCACCACGCAGTTCGTTTTCCACCTCGGCGATCCTGATCCCGTACAAACTCGGTCAGTCTTTAAAGATCTAGAAGTGCTTGGATATCCCACCAAACCACTCCCTTGGGACGATTGGGTTGGCCGATGGCAGGAAAACCGAGGCACTCTGAAAGGTGGAGATGGTGCCTTTACCATTGATATCCTCCGCAGCGGCATGCCGAGTGTCGAGTTTTTGAGGGGCATTGTCGTGTTGAACAACGCCGCTACCAGACCTTTACGGGCCGTTGTTGAACGACCTAAGGTTGATAGCGTATTGCTCGAAACGTACGCTCGCCATTGGTTTGCCCGAGGATGGTTGCCTCATCCACCGTCCCGTCAACACGCCCTGGGCGGCACTGCGCAGCCCATACGAAGAGGACCCCTGAGCGGACGTGTGGCTGTCATTACCGGAGCTTCATCTGGAATCGGCGCCGCAGTTGCTGCTGCTCTGGCACGCGAAGGCCTCCATCTGGCTTTGGGCGCTCGCCGCAAGGACGCTCTCGAGGCTGTGAAGAGCAGACTTGTGGTCCGCGAGGGCAAGGTGATAGTTCAACAGACGGATGTAACAGACAGGAAGCAGGTCGAGCGCCTCATTCAAGCGGCGAATGACGAGCTTGGGCCGGTCGATATCCTGGTCTCGTGCGCTGGTGTCATGTATTACACCATGATGGCAAATGCACACATAGAAGATTGGGATCGTACAGTCGATGTGAACTGCAAGGGGCTTCTACATTGCCTTTCCTCGGTCGTGCCGTCAATGATCTCGCGCGGAAGCGGGCACATTGTCGCCATCTCGTCGGATGCAGGCCGGAAGGTCTTTCCTGGCTTGGGTGTCTACTCGGCTAGCAAGTTCTTTGTCGAAGCCACGCTGCAGAGTCTGCGCTTGGAGACCGCGGGGACTGGGTTGCGTGTCACGAGTGTGCAACCTGGCAACACGGCGACTGAGCTCCTTGGCATGTCCACGGATGCTGAAGCAATCAAGAAATATGGTGAACCGACTGGTGCGCAGATCTTGGACCCGGAAGATGTGGCCAATTCGATTGTCTATGCATTGAGGCAGCCGCAACATGTCGCTGTGAATGAAGTTTTGATCGAGCCCAGGGAGGAGCCGATTTAAGCCAACCTCGTTGTGTGTCCCCTGGCACGCATCATGGCGCTCCACGGGTTCATCGGCGTGCCTTGTGTGGGAGAGAACAGCCTTGAGAATTGAAGGGAGGCGATCATTTCTTCTTGTGTGTTACATAGGATTGGTAGCTCCAAAACTCGGGCCAGTTGTGGTGTCTGCTATTAGTTACTCGAGGATGGAAGGCAAGCGGCAACAAGGGGAAAATTCAGAAACAGCATAATGAAAGAATCCGCTCTAAAGGACCAAGACGTAAGGACTTTGACACGGAAATAGCGTATACTACTCCTCTTATGACGAGAGAAGCATGTTCTTGCACCACATGATCAACCAGGGCCAGTCGGTGAACATACTTGTAGTCATAGAACGGTCCGCCTCCTGCTATTGGTTGCACTGCAAGGCTGAATAGTATCCCAAGGGAGACTAGCGCAGCCTGGCCGAACGTAAAAAAGTTGGAGATCACCCCATCCACCGATCGCACAGGGCTTCAATTACAACAAACCAGCCATACCACAAACCGCCAGGCCTTTCGTTGTTACCGTTCTGCAAGCTATTTGACCCCAAGATAGCCCTTTCCTTCTTCGTGGGACCCTTCCCCCAGTATTGCAGGTTGAATTCCTCAGGATTCTGTTTCTGGGCCCCAGGCCTAAACCGCAGGCAGGATGCAGGCGCCTGTGGTGGTTATGAGTGAGTCCATCCAGGATGTCTTTGTGAGGCCGACGCTGACTTATCCCATAGACACGGCGAACGGCGAAAGACAAGTTGGGCGAAAAGCGCAAATATCCAACATTACCGCGGCGAAAACGTGAGGATTCAACAGTGGAAAACTTCGTTCGGCATATAACTGACCAACACAGGGTGGCGGATATCATCAGATCATGTCTCGGGCCCAAAGCAATGCTCAAGATGCTGCTCGATCCCATGGGCGGCATCGTCCTCACGAACGACGGCCACGCCATCCTCCGAGAGATCGAGGTCGCACACCCTGCGGCAAAGAGCATGATCGAGTTGAGTCGGACGCAGGATGAGGAGGTCGGTGACGGTACAACGACGGTGATCATATTAGGTACATCCCCGCTATGCTATTGGATTCAACGGCCAGAACTGACGAGATTGGGACAGCTGGCGAGATCCTCGCGCAAGCGCTGCCGCAACTCGAACGAAATATCCATCCCGTGGTAATTATCCAAGCCTTCAAAAAGGCTCTGTCGGACGCGCTGGCAATTGTCGAAGAGATCTCCATCCCCGTCGACACCTCGAGCGACAAGGCTATGATCTCACTCATTGAATCTTCCATCGGCACCAAGACCATCTCTCGATACTCGGAGCTCATGTGCTCGCTTGCCCTGAACGCCGTGCGGACTGTTTCTCAGGACCAGACTTCTATCTCGAATGCACCCCAGGCGAACGGTACCGCGAAGTCCCCCCCTGCGCCGGCGCCCGCGAGACCTGTCGAAATAGATATCAAGCGATACGCACGAGTTGAAAAGATCCCCGGTGGAGAGATCGAGGACTCGCGAGTGTTGGACGGAGTCATGTTGAACAAGGACATTACACACGCCTCGATGCGCAGACGGATAGAGAACCCCCGGATCGTGCTGTTGGACTGCCCGCTTGAGTACAAAAAGGGCGAGTCGCAGACCAACATCGAGATCACGGACGAAGACTCGTGGAACAAGATTCTACAGATCGAGGAGGAACAGGTCAAGAAGATGTGTGACGCGGTGCTGGCGGTCAAGCCGGATCTGGTCATTACCGAGAAGGGCGTGTCTGACCTGGCACAACATTACTTCCAGAAGGCCAATGTCACGGCACTGCGGAGAGTGCGGAAGACGGACAACAACCGCATTGCCCGCGCCGTGGGTGCCACCATTGTGAATCGGGTTGACGACCTTGTGGAGGCCGACGTGGGCACGGGCTGCGGCCTGTTTGAGATTGAAAAGATTGGCGACGAATATTTCACGTTCCTCACCAAGTGCAAAAACCCCAAGGCTTGCACGATCTTGCTTCGGGGACCTTCCAAGGACATTCTCAACGAGATTGAACGAAATCTCCAAGACGCCATGTCCGTGGCCCGCAACGTCATGTTCCACCCGCGCCTCTCGCCCGGCGGCGGCGCCACCGAGATGGCCGTCTCCGTGCGGCTGGCACAGAAGTCCAAGTCCATCGAAGGCGTGATGCAGTGGCCGTACCGCGCCATCGCAGACGCCATGGAAGTCATCCCCCGCACACTCATCCAGAACGCCGGCGCGAGCCCCATCCGAATCCTGACCCAGCTCCGCGCGAAGCAGGCCGAGGGCAAGTCGACTTTCGGGGTCGATGGCGATACGGGGAACGTGGTGGATATGAAGGAATACGGTGTGTGGGAACCGCAGGCGGTCAAGCTGCAAAGCATCAAGACGGCGGTTGAAAGTGCGTGTTTGCTGCTGCGAGTGGACGATATCTGCGGAGCGAAGAGCGCGAAGCAGGTCGGCGGGAGTGGATTGGCAGGGGGTGCTGGAGGGGAAGAGTAGAGCCAGACAAAATGCAAGCAAAGGAGAATGGAAGAACGAGCAAAAGGAACCGACCTCGCGGTCCCTCTCCACGCGACTGGGGCTTACGATGTGAAATGAACAAGAGCACACGGATGAGATGAAGATGATATGGCTCGAAGGCCTGGATATGACGAGGGCAGCCCTGACGGCCCAAACACAGGAATCGTGGTCATACATCTATACAGCCATAGAGTCCCTGGTATGTGGAATGTATTGTCCCGTCCTGATGTCTACAAGATTGATCAGCGCAGAGGCGTCCAGGTCCTGCAAGTCAACGCATCAGTCTCTGGCTAGGCTTCCTTTACCATCTCCTGTCCTCTCCTCTCCTCTCCTGATCGCTCTTCTTCGCGCGAGACTAACTACTATCACAACAAGAGCTCCCGGTTTCTTTCCCATTGTATTCGGTTCTTCGGATTCCTGTTTGCCTCCTTAACCGCCGCGACTCGCCCAAGCCCTTAATTGGTCAAGGACCGACAATTACATCCCATATGTCGACGGTTCTCGCAGTGGTGACGAAGCTCCTAGGTACGTTCGCGGCCGCGGCCTCTCATGGGGTATTTATACGCCCTTTTCTGCCTCTAGATTCTGGAAAATGGGGTTTCTGCCGTTTCTGCCAAAGTGGCTCAATGATTTTTTTGCTTGTGTTGACCCTTCTAAGATGCTGCTGGCTCTTCTGCTAGGAAGTGAGAGTGCATTATCGCCTTTGCAGTCGTGCCTGTCTCTTCTCAAACATTTCTATCTCCCCCCTCTTCCGATGGGCAGCACGGCGGATCCGACGAGCAAAGCATGTGCTGTGAAGCAGACCCTTGACCTAAAACCAACTCGCTACAGACATCCCACATGACCAATCACAAGGCGCCGGAGGAGAGGACCAAGTACAACACAAGACCAAAGGCGTGAGCCGGTTGCCAGGAACAGCATCGATACAAGATCTCAATGTGGTACGGGGACACCGACCTATCATCCCGCAGACGAAAAGCACCAGAGGATACAAAAACTCACGGAGACACGAGACATCCCAGACGGTAGTTGCACAGAATTCTCCGTATCAACGACTTGGTATCTGGGACGTCCCGCAAGGCACCATCGGCACGACCCGCGGAAACACTCACTACACTGAAGAAGAGCCATGGCCCATTCGGCACTGTCTCAATGATTGCATGGATACTCGCCTCCGGTGTCAAAATGTCTGTACTGATCGTTAATTTGGATCCTGGATCTCTCTCTGTCTCTCTGTCTGTCTTCCTTCTGCACATACCTACAATTGCATCACCTTATACCAGCACCATACGTTGCCCCGTATTAGTGACGTTGCCTTCTACGAGCATCTCGCCCTGCATCACACCTGTGACGTACGCATCTCCAACGAGTCTGTACTCCGCCTGCTGCTGCTGCTGCTCGTGCTCTTCCTCTGCCTCTGCCGGTTCGCCTCCGCCGTCTCGTCCAACCACCTTCCTCAGCACCAATGGCACCGGCATCCCGAAGACCACTGCGACGTGATCACCGACCTGCGCTCGTTCAGGCACAAGACCGACTCTCTTGCCCGCTTTCGTGACACAGAAGCGCCGCGAGACCGTGTTCTCTGCGACGAGCTGGATGAAATCCCGGTCCTTCTCGGGAAACGCGGTGAAAACGACCTTGTGGTTGGCGTGGTCTTCGATCTCCAGATAGTGCATCAGCCGCACCAGAAGCATCTGGCACAGGGCCAGGTCCTTGAGGGCGCCGGTGTCGGTGCCGGTGCCGGTGCCGGGTTCATGGTCGGGTTGCGACAGGAGGAAGGGTTTGGGCTGCATCGAGATTGCGGACAACATTTGTGCCATGGTTGGGGCAGAGTCTTGTGGATTCACGTGGTTGCACACTTGGCCTGTGCTGATGGCGAAGGTTTCGAAGAAGTCCTGCAGACGGAGGGCGCCGGCGCTCAGCGGAGAATTCCCGCTGAACGGCACAAAGGCGTCTGCTACGAACTCGATCGTGTCGAATGTGGTGCCAGCAAGGATGAGTTGGTCTTGGTTAATAGTGGCGTGGAGTTCGCTCTCGCCGCCGGCGCGAAACCGGTGATCTGAGGATATCGCTGAAGTCATGGACGCGGTAGACGCAGACCAATCCTTGAGTGTGTTAGTGGACATGATCGACTAGAGGGACTTTTGACGGTTTTTACACTCACCGGTATCCACGTTGGCAGCTCCGGGTTCCAGGGCATCAGACAAGCCATACGCAGAATGTTTACGCAGTGGCCGTTTTCAATAAAAGCTCGAGCGAAGCTTCTGTAGACCTTTGCGTACGTTTGATCCTGCTCGTACGTTACCAAGTCCATGAATGCCCCTGCATCAGATACCAGCCCAAGAAGTGCATATATCTTGTCCCTCGGATCAGTGGCATCGAACGACATGGCCGAGTGGATTTTGTGGATCAGCTTCTCCGCCTCATCGCCATCTTGAATGGATACTCGCTCGATTGTCATTCCTTCCAGCCCCTTCCAGCCCAGCAGGGCAGCGCGGGTTAGCTCTGAGTTCTCGCCGCGACCTAGATAATGAGCGTTGAGTAGCCTACTCATGTATCTCACATAGTACATCGCGAGTAGCATCAAACTCGACGGCGCCTGACCGTCACCGAAGCGATAGTCGACGGATCGTGCCATGGCATATTCTTGGAGGATCCAGATCCGTCGAAAGTAGGGTGAGGCGAAGAACTTCCTCCACGCGATCCAAGCAGGGTCATCCTCAGGAGGCAGGTCATAGTCCTCGATACATGTGCCCGTAGGTTTCAAGGGGAGCTGCTTGATATTGATCTCTCTCTTCGACGGACTTGACGGAGCCTCTCCCGGTGACTCCGCGTTCGCAGCTTCCGTGCTCTCAAGCAGTTCATTTTGGTCCATGATCACGCCTGAATCGATGAGTTCCTGACATTTTCGGCCGGCATTGAGGATCTTGACTACGAGATCATTCAGGCTTTGCGTGTCATCGGGCGTTTGCGGAACGAATGCAATGACCTTCTCTGCCTGCTGGTAGACTCTTCTCATCAGGGCGATTTGCAACTTCTTCTCCTCGGCGTCTTGCTGATTCATGCAGATGGCATCTACCCACAGCGACTGAGCCACGTCTGGGCGGCGAAGCGATTTCAGAGCGCGAAAGAGGTTTTGGGTGATCCAAAACTTTGTATTACCATTCATGATAATGTACGCCGGGTTGTCGATACTTCCCCAAACATAGGACAATGCGGAGAACCTTTGAAAAGGATGTCGATGAACGTGGTCATTGAGAGCACCTCCAGCTTGATGTAGCCTCATCAACTGCATCAAATCCCATACGTCGTCGCTGGGTTCTTCATGGGGTCGGCTCACGGAATCGTAGCTAGGATCGTCTTCGTAAGACATTAGCTTGATCGTCTCGCGAGCTGTCGGTGTAGAGTGGTGAAAGTGTGGACAAGCTGGGTGCTCCATAAAGACGGACTCACCTGTCGAAGCTGCCTGCTCACGAGGCATTCCGTTCTTCTCGGCGACATTTGCAGGTGTCCCACCTATAGATGTAAAATCATCTCTACTCCCACCATCGCCAGCTACATCCTGTGTTTCACCACGCTGATCCTGTCGGGGTTCGGCGCGAGATGGAGCCCCTAGTCTTGCAGATGCTGTCCTCGAGGTCTCGTCATCCTCGGCACTTTCGTCAATATAGGAATCCAGCGGCAGGAGAAATTGAAGTGGATGGTCCGCGGCGGAAGACTGTGCTTGAGCAATGCAGAGGTTTTCAAAGGGCCGCGGGACTGTGGTGTCTCTAGCATGGTCCTTGTCTAGATCACAAGGGAAAAGAAAACAGAACACCTCATCGTCAGGCTTACCGGGAGCTAGGTAGAGGACTCTGACAGAGGTAGCGGACGGCAGTGGATCGTAAACGGGATCTTCTGGACCGAGCATCGCATTTCTAACCTGTGGACCGTCAATGTATGAGAAGCTCCAGGCATGGTGGTGCCGCAGAGGGTCTCTTAAGTCGTCTTCGAGGCATTGTGCACTGCCTCGTCATGATTCTGGCTGCCTCAGCATACCAGTGTGGCGCCTACAGGGGCCAAAGCCTCCGTCGAACAAAAGTGCCAATTTAGCGGCCTGGTGCAGCGGCCTCTATTCGGCTTTAGGCTGGGCTGAGCTGGGCGTTCTTGCGGCTTTTGCTGCACTCCCGAAACTCCCTCCTCATTGGCGGATGTCCTCATTTATCACTGCTCTATTATCCACAGCCACCTGGCATATTATACGATGGTTACCTGCGTCCTGTTTGGGCGGGGTGGGTCGCATGTGAGCTCCGAGCAGCTTTTACTCTTCTTTTGCCGCCTAAGACTGCATCACGATTTGCGAATCCCGTGACGAAGAATCAACACGAGAGCTGAGAAAAGCAAAGCTGGTATCATCGCCGGCTGTCCTGTACCTCAAAGCCCAGTACACCAATCTACTGTGTAGCTCACCTGTGACACACGAGGCTGTCTTTGGCGGTGTTCGTCTTCCCAATATGGAGGAGCATTTCTTAGGCCAAACAGACCGAGAGCCCAAGAGCCGCAACAAAGCACGACTCCCACGCGGACAGCGCCTAGCTGTCCGTCACCGATCCAAACCTCTGTGGCTTTTGGTCGTTACGGGTTGCCAGAGATCGAGAATCAATTCGTTTGACTTGGTACTGCTTACTGTTCCCAAACTCGGCCTAGCGCCTCGTATTCGAGTGTCAATCACGACTTCTCACGAGCATGATGTGGCGTGATTCATCAAGCTCTGTGGTATACACTTCATGTGTAAGTGAAAAGGAGCGCGTCCCTGTAGTGCGCAGGGAAACTCTCTCTCGTCAGTCCCGCGATGGCAATGGAGAAAACCAGCGTGCAACAAATTGATTTGGAAGAGCAAGTTGGACAGAAGAAGAAAGGGCAGAAAACTTCGATCAGCATCCTAGACCCCGCAATATACATCTCCAGGAGTCGCAAGGGTCTGGACGATATAAAAGACGACAAGAATATCAGCAACCTCGGAGCCGAAAATAAGCCAGAGTGCGACTGCCTTCACTTTAGGGCTAGTTTCACACTTGAGGTCGAGATTCGAGGCTTCGAGCACACGTAGGTTGATACGCAATTCCACTTTGTCCTCATGCGTCCTACTAACAGCCTCAGTTCTCAACCGTACAAGAAATTCTTTGACTCCATCTCCATCCGCTACCTATACAAAAAGCAGGAGCACCATTTGTGGTATCCCGAGAGGGATGAGTCTGCGGAGGCCGAAGTCAGTAATGAAACTACAAAATCCACGAGCATCAATGTTGGCATAGCTATGACTGGAAACATACCAACCCCGGCTCCGGAAGTCCACGTGCAAAAAGACCGCAAACTGACTGTCACCCGCAGCATGCGAAGTTGGCGCAAAGGGGTATCTATGGAGCAGCGTGAGACTCACCTGATATCTTATCATGAAAATGTGCTAATATACACCGTCAGTGAAGGCTGATAAGGTTCAGAGGTTATCAAACGATTCCGTCCAAGTCGTGTCCTCCGACGGACGTCCTGCAAGGCGCAGTTGCCCAAGGAACAGCACAGAGTACGCAGAGTCCGTGCATTGGGACTACCAAGTCGAATTGCAGAGGCACTGCTGGGTTCCCGAGATATATGAGAGCGTCGCAATCCCAATAACGGTTGAGCGAATCGTCAAGATACCCTGGGACGAGGAGACACCTCGTCACAAGTTAATCCCGAAAGGATCGGAACCGCTCAGCGACGATTATCTGGACTGTCTCATGCATTTCGACTTCCAAATCAGGACAAAACTGCGGGTCATGACTCCTCGTTGCCCAATTTTCATCAACTACAGCAAACCCGCCGAATACCGATATGAGTCCGATACAGGCGAGCGTTTGCCGTCGGACCACTATTCAGTCTGCTTGTTCGGCAACTGTACAAGACAATACTTGCCTAAGGAGCCGACTATCGACTTTAACAAAGCCGTAAAAGAGTTTTACAAGGCGGTGAGAAATGTTTCTGACGTCCCAGATCTGCGCCTGCTGACGTCCTGCAAAGACAGAAGGGGACGCGACACACAATCTGGTTTTCCTGCCGTGCGACCTAGTTCTAGAGGAGGACATCTTGTATCCTGCGAGAATGGCTGCTTTCGAAAAGCGGCGTGGACTTAGACATGATCAGCGCAAGATGAGGGATGTGAGGCTGGACGGGAGACGCAAAGGACTGATAAAAGAGGTTGAACGCTTACGAGAGCTGTATGCACAGCTACACCGAGAGCAGGAAACCCTGCTACGTTTCCCAATTTCAACATCTGATGAAACCATGGGATCGGCGGTGCCGAATGGCCAGTCGCTCCCTCAGCGCATCGAGGCCGTTACGCGAGAATGGAACGAAGCAAAGCACAAACTTGCGGAATTCGAAGACCACTTACGATTAGTCCACGAGCAGGACGAAAAGAGTGATGCTGAAGAGGAGCCACGGCCAGCGGCGATCAAACAGACACCTAAGCCACCCAGACCAAATGAAGTGCTCGAGGAGCGTCCCGAGCGGCCTCCCCCTCACGAATTCGTGGAGACCTGGTCCACTTCAGGTCCTGGAGAGGTGCTAGTGGACAGGCCCGTCCGGAGGCAAGAGGTTCATTTTGGACCTTCTATCGTGGTGGAGCCTGCGAGGAGGTTTGTGGCAGTAAGAAGACGGTGCAGGGGAGTAGGAAAGCCTTCTTCTCGGCCTTCTCCGGGTCCGTCTTCATGGCTATTTAGTTGATCGATCCGTCCCTAGGTAGTGAATGAAGCGTGTCTCACGTGGCAAGGAGCTACTCGCTAGCTCCTAGGAGTCGACTCCTAGAGCGGAGCGGTCTTGGCAGGAGCTAGCTCTTGAAAACGCTGGCTCAAATGCGGACGCATAGCTCTGAGCGAACTGGAAGCGGAACAGGTCGCTTCGTAAAGCATATTGTACATCCAACTATGATGCACAGGCGTATTCAGCCCTCAATTCCACCGAATCAAGCCACAAGCGTCACATAGGAACGACCTTCCACGGATCCGCCACGAATTCCAGGGCTGTCTCTCTGAGATGCCAAGGGTTAACATACACCTGCAACCCAATCCTGCTGGAGAACAGGTTGAACACTCTCATGATCAGGTACAGATCTCGCGGGGCCGTCGTCGAGTTATTTGGACAGGCTTTGTCTCGCATGAGCCTGTACTGATTGCTGCTCATGAAGAACGGAGTGTTGTAGGGCCCGGACGTGGTCTTGACTTCGATGTGATAATTCACCTCCGGTGTCGACATTGACGTCGCGCCGGACTCAAGCCCAAGCCAGGCGGGATAGGGGAATGTCGTGTTTTCCCGAAGCAACTCCATCAGCCGCGGACAGTTGCCTTCGTACATTATATCCGAGATTTCGCGGCCGTGCCACGGCGGTTCATCTGCGTATTCGGGGAGGATGTTCACGTAGTGACGAATTGAGCTCTGCCACTTGTCGATGCTGAAATTTGCGACTCCGTAGGCTTTGAGGAGCTCAAATACCTAATTCAGTCCAAGTCAGCTACCCTTCATGTGTAAGGATACTTTCCAAGACTTACATATAGTTCTCCCGCCGCGCCCACCCGGGCGTTTTCTTCAAATCTGCCGTTCCCTGTATCGCCAAACGTTTGGTAGAACGCTGCGTAGTCAGCTGGTGGGTGGGTAAGTTCATCTAGAGCTTCGTCGATTTCATCCAGCGATAGCGATCCTCCTCTCCTTTGAGGAGATCGCCCGCCTTGCCTTGCTTGGCGGATCACTTCTCGCAAGAGTCTTTTGTACTGTTGATCCCGTGCCACCTCCTCCCAAATTGTATGGTGAGAACCAGTTGACTGAACGTGGACTGGAGAAGGAATGCTGCTCTCCACTCGGGAATATGGTGCTGTGCTCCTTTGATCGACCCGGGTCACGACCACGTCGTCGTCGTCGTCGTCGTCGCCGTCGTTGTGGTCAGAGGATGAGTCGGTTGGCGATGCAGGCGTCGGCATACTGCTGCTGTTAGGTTCTGTATCACCCAGAGCTGGAAATGGCACTGTCTGTAGCGATGGTGCAGGTTTTTCGAACCAGGGATACTCCGGCAGGTCCTCATCCTTCATGATGGTATCCAAATCTTTCTTGGTATCATTCAAGATACGATAGACGACCTTGACTGCCCGTTCATTGTCGATGGAAAGTACGTTTGCAAGTTCTTGAGGAAGCTCTGTGTGAAAGCAAGAATAAAGGCTATCGTAGTCGCTTGGGACATAGATCGTCAACTTCCCATCAGGGAAGCAGATATCGACCACCGCTCGATCACTCTGAACAGTGACTGAGTCATATTCCTCCGGTAGCACGAGCTCTGTCCACATCTCTTCGCAGACGAATACTTCTGCAGCCATCAGTAACTCATGGGTCGTCGTTTTCCGGTTGTAATATTTCGAGCTATTGTAGTAATTGGCACAGCTGATGAACAGTCAGCAAACTTTTTCTTTACGATAAGACATTGAAACTCACCACGACAAGGCGTATGCCCGGTCCCTGATATAGTGTTCAAGACCTTGATGGGCAGTTGACTTGTCCACAGTTGTTTCTGACTCCACTAGGCTCGAGAGAAAGCGATCCTGGAGATCCAGCAATTCGAACAACGGATACAACGAAGTCATCTCTTCGTGACCAAAGTCAAGGATCTTTGCTCGATTTTCGAAGAGCTGGCCATATCTCTGATGGTCATTGATGGTGAATGCTTCATCCACGGAAAATAGCTTCAACCCGTCGGGGCCACGGACAGGTAGAAAGGCCGTTTCCTCCAAAGTTCTCAGCTGCTTCTCGTTGACCTCTACCTCAGGATCTGAGGCTAACAGTTCGCCAATAGTAAGTATGATACGCTTGACCTCGTCAACGTTGGGGGAAGTCTTCTTCGCCATTCTTCCAAGCTCCTGTACAAGAACGTTGATGTTCATAGTCCTGACTTTCATCTTATCAACGAAGAATTTTTTAAGCCGAGGGTATACATGGTCCAGTGGCAGACGCCCGGAGATGGCGACAGTACAGTTCCACAAGCACTTTGAAGGCTTCAACCACTTTTGACCAACATAAATCAAACCGATACCATTGAACTCTTGCCTATGACTGCTGTCAGAGAAATCGGTTTCTTTTTGAGGGACAACCGTACCGAATGGCCTCGATCACGGGCTTAGAGCTTGCCATTGCATCTAGAGCTGCATAGACTTTTGACACCTTGCTCTCGATTAGACATGATCCGTCTGTTGCTTCCGTTGATAACATCTTGAGTTCGTCGATCAAGTCGTTATAGCTAACATCCCGCATATTCAAAATGGTTTTGAAGAAACTGGAAGCATATTGATTAGCTCCGTACAACGGACTCAATACCTGCTTCGCCCGGAGAAAGCTTGGACCTTCCCAAATACAATCAGTTGATCGGTACCAGGCTTCCTCGGTTGTCTTCGAGCGGATCAACGGTCGCGTCACAAATTCTTGCTGCTCCGAGTCAGTAGATGTCTCTGCATGAACGGAATTGACATACCTGTACAGCTTTGGCGTCTCCGACTGCCGTTGTTTGAGCAATACCGCTATAGATTTTCTCACACGTCGGTAGTAAGTGGCCCTCTCCAAGATCAGCTAATAGGTACATTGCTCTCAAGTAAAAGCTAGCATTGACTTCACAGATCACTCCAAACTCTTTCAAAAAGGACCAAGCCTCGGATTGTTGGGTATCATAATCAAGAGGTAGTTTCAGGAATGGTAGGAGATTGGTTAGGTGGGGTCCTCGGCTTCTATCCATCAATTCATGCGTTGGTAGAATAGTGTCGCAAAGCCTTTGTGTGGAGTCATTCCGACATGGTACCCGAACATTCTTCAGGTCGTTCTTGATTCTGGATGCATCAACACGGTAATCAGACCAATGCGCTTTGAGATTTGCGACAAAGCTGTCAGGATTATCTCGAGCAATCAGCTTCATCAGAGTATGGAGCTTCCATACAGCGGACACTTCGTGTGCCAGATCAGGGAAGTATTTAACCCCCCATCTCTCAATATAGGATCTCCAGTCTAAACCATGGCGGATATGATTGGAAACTTGGGATTTCAGGTATTGTTTATCGAGAATCCCGTAACGACGCTTATGCAAATCCTTCTTCGGAGTTGCAGCAAGTAGTTTCTCTGCGTGATAGTTATCTTCCGAGGGAAAGAATAAGAAAGGTCCTCGAAGTAGTTTGAATTCATCGCTCATAAATGTCAGACGAGTCTGACTCTGCGTTGACAGGGACGGTCGCTTTCCGAACCAAAAGAGGATTTCGAGATCCGTTTTGAAGGTGAACACCGTTCCGGTTCTCTTCCCTGACTGGTGTATCTCAAGGATCCTCGCTGTTACAGCATCAGGGTGGCACGAGGTAATTCCGAGACTCGTGTAGAAGCTCGCACGCTCTCCATCTGCAGCGGCCGTCTCGTGAAGTTTCTTAAACCCGAGACCATCAGGTACCTTTATCGACACCGAGTCTTCATCGACAAGATATGGTAGATAAACAGCATCCATATGCAAGGACCAGGGTGAAACCCAGCGATTGTCGTCCAATGGGATGATCCTTAACTGCTCGACATCCTTCTTGATGGATTTCTTCCTAAGGAGCCGTTGTATGAGAGCAGCGAAGGCCGTGTGCCATGAGTCATCGAGTGGGATGTGATGTATTGGGGGTTCCGCGCTTCGTGAAAGACCAAGTTGTATTCTCTCCAAAATTTGTGTAGCCGAGATTTGGCCCACCCCAAGGTCTTTCAGGATTCTTACATCGCTTGATTCATAGTCGTCCGATAAGTAGATATCTTCGTCCGTGTCGGCCACGATTGGCTCGTTGTCGTGGATGAACCAGTCTGGAAGAGTTGTCATGTGGTCAATGCTGTGAAGTTCGTCCCGTCGTGACCGTAAAATGGGTATGTCACTGTACAAGAGCTCGGCCTGAATGTCAACCCATAAACATTCCCAAAAGCCTTGCATGGGTCTTTGGGGGAGATAGCGCATCCATTTGAACTCCAGAGGGTCACCAGAGGTAACAACATTGTCCACCAAACCGACAAACGCCGAAGAGGCTCCTTCTCGCAATGCATTATTCCAATCGGTATCAGGAACACTCTCACGATTAGCCGTGAGGATAAAATTTGCGTTGATAAGAAACTGGATTAGTTAGCTTCGTATTGCGAAAGGTATCAAAGACACATACGGGGAGCTGTATAATGCGCTGTACTGGAAGATAAGCAAACACATGCTGCCCTTTGGCGGGAATGACGGGCTGGCCATCTGAATCCACCTCAAATGCGACGGTCACATCGCTCTCAGAGCTTGTACGATGTGTATCAGAGGGGAGGTCGCTGACTGTGTTTTGAAACAGCCTGAGCCATGTTGTCGCTGACATATGGGCGCCAAAATTCCCGGTCACGGTGGTGTTAATGCGAATTTCATCGGATCTCAAATCTCCGTCTTTCTCGAAAGCCATTCGATCTGACCGTCCATCAACGCCATCCACAACGACGATTAACTTCTTCAGCTTGCGTAGCGCAAACATAATTGTTCTGGGTAGTTTTTCAAACTCAGACACGAGGCGTCTGGCGAAGGTGTCGCGCCGGTCATAGTACCGAAGCGTCAACCTCGTCCCGACATTCGAAGGTAGAGGAGACGTAACATCAGTCCACACTGGAGTGATCATTCCCACGCCCTCTTCGCCTTGACTGTGCTCAAACCTGAAAGACCAGAGCCCAGATTGGATGTGGACGTAGTCTGCAATGCCAAAT